TTTAAATTAATAAATATTTTTTAATTATATTTATATTTTTTAATAAATTTAATTATTTATATTATTATAATTAATATTATTTTATTTTTAAATTACATTTATATAAATTATAAAATTAATTAAAACTTTTTTTAATATTATATTATTTTATTTAATTATTTTAATAATATTTATATTAAATATTATTATAATAATAATAAAAATAAATATTTATATTAATTTAATATATATTAATTTATTTAATAATAAAATAATTATTTTAATAATAATAAATTTAAATAAATATATTTAAATAACCGGCGTATTTAAAATTATTTTTATTTTATTTTTATTTTAATTAATATTTAAAAATAATATAAAAAATATTTAATAATAATATAAAAAATATTTAATAATAATAATATATTTTAAATGTTATTTTTAAAATAATTATTAATTTAAAAATTTAATTATTTATTATAATAAATAAAATCGAAAATTTTAATTATTAAAAGAGCAATGTTAGCCGCGCAGTATGATGTTGCTTATCTCCGCCGCGCAGTAGCGCTAAAAAAGTGCGTCCGAAAGAGGTATAGGTCGGGTACCTTTGCTCCCATACAAACCGTTATACAAACACTTGTACCCTTGTAACTCCTACACACAACTATTTTTCAATCAGCTTCAATCAATTATTCTTCGCTCATTTCAAGCCTAAATCTCTTATAATTACTATAGTTAAAAAGCTCTTAATTTACTTTATATACGGCCCTATTTGCAGGACCTAACACAAAGGTCTAAAGGAGATATTGCAAGGTCAAAATGGAGCAGTGGTTGAATCGCGGTCGCAAGACTTGGAATTGCTTCAATCCGACGAATCTTTTGAACCTTAGATATCTCAGCCATTTCGAAGTTGCAACCTTCAAAATTTAGAGTGTAGGTTCTCCAAATTGAGGGCTTTTAAGCTATTATAATTATAGGAAATTTGAACTTGGATTGAGTGTAGAACAATTGATTAAACGTAGGTGTAGCGTTAGAGGGCGTTCTACACACCGTTCGAACGCGCTAGCGCCGTTTTAGCGGTACTGCGCGGCGGAGATAAGTAACATCATATTGCGCGGCTAGCATTGCTTTATTAAAAATTAATTATAATTTTATAAATAATAATATTTAATATATATTAATATTTTATTTATAATTTTAATTTATAAAATATAAATAATTTATTAAATAAATAAAATAATTAATTTTTATATTTAAAACTTTTTATTAAAATATAATTTTATAATAATAATATTAAAATAATTATTAATTAATTTTAAAAATTATTTTAAAATAATTTAAATATAAAATATTTAAATTTAAATAAAATAATTTTAAATTTAATATATTATAAATAATATAAATTAAAAAACGTTATAATTTTTTATAATTTATAACGTTTTTTAATGTTATAACTTTTATAAATAATAAAATATAATATTAATAATTAAAGCTTATTATGCATTTATATAATATATATCGCAATACATAAAATAAATTAACAAGTTAACGGATTCGGTACTATCGTCCGCTGTCCCAGCTCCCCCCACCACTTATCGCTATCGCGGCAGAAAAAAAGTCTAGACACCGCTTTCACTTTTATGAGAATTCGTACCGTAGATCCTACAATTCTGCCACTTGCAAGCTGCAAATCGACTTCAGATAATAAAGGCCTAATATTGCCATTGAAGGTCCGAGAAAAGATACGTTAGTACTTGGATACATTACATTGCACGAAAGCGCAGCGAAAGAAGCGTAATCCAACCATGCCCGGCCGGCAAGCCCACGGACGGCCCGTCGGCGGCGGCGCACAGAGCGCGGGCGGCAAGGGCAAGAAGAGATCGAAGGCCAAGTCCTCGAAGAAGGCGCTGAACGCCTTTGCGATTGCATCGGAAGAGTTCGCCGACCGCCCAACTCGCACCCCGCGCAATCGCGAGTTAGACGCACCACTCGAGGGTGGTAGCCGCGGCGGCAAGCGCTCTAGGAATGCGGGGGGCGAGGATGACGACGACGACGATGATGATGAGGATGAGGATGAGGACGAGAGGAGGCCTCCGAGGAAGATGCGCCGCGGCGCTGACCGCGACGAGGATGTCGAGTATGGCAGTGATAGTAGCGGGAACGAGTGGCGCATCGGTGTCGATGATGATTCTGAGATCGATAGTGATGATGCGTTTGGCGAGAGCGACGAGGAAAGGTTTGAGGATTATGCGTTTCGTGGGAGTAAGGGGAAGCAGAAGCAGAAACAAAAACGGAGAAGACAGGTAATGAGAGGCAGCTGAAGATTGCGGTTGTTGGTTGTTGGTGGCTAATATGACTTATAGGATGACGATGATGAAGACGACGACGATGATGATATTGACGACGCTGATGGCGCCTCTCTCGGATCGGATGCCATTGATCTTGCCCAGGCTCTAGATATGTCTATGTCGGAAGACGACGAACCCGGAGCGGACCCAGAATCGGGTTCTGATGAGAGTTCTGACGACGATGCTGAAGCATCTGACGATGAGTCCCCTGACACCGAGGATGATGAAGACGACGATGTATCAGAATCCGGAATTAATGCCTGGGTATCAAAATTTTCAGGGGTAAAAGACGCGGACGAACAAGAGACTTCGCCAACCAAGAAACCTAAGCTCGGATTGAAAGATCTAGGCTTATTAGGAGTCAAGGATCCTCAATTGAAGAGGTCCCTCAAGCTTATGACGAAAGAGGAGAAATCTAGCAAGCCGCAAAAACTCGAAGTACCCCTCGCAAGACGCCAGCAAGCAAAGCTGGATCGCACTGTTGCGTACGAGAAGACGAATGAGTCCCTGGACCGGTGGACGGAGACCGTAAAGCATAACAGAAGAGCGGAGCATATAGTATTTCCCTTGCCACAAAACGAAACTGGTCTCGCTAGACACGACAATAGCGAGATTCAGGCTCTAAATCGCAAAGCGCCTGGGACTGAACTGGAACAAACTATATTTGCCATCATGGAGGAAAGCGGCCTAGGACCAAGCACCAAGAAAGAGACAAAATTGGATGATCTAGAGGATGTAGATGCTGACGGTGTCTCGCGAAATAATCTCAAGGAATTGTGGCAGCAAAAGCGCCGCGAGAGAGAACTCAAGTCCCGAGAAGACGCAAGAGCAAAGCGCATCAAGAAGATCAAGAGTAAGGCTTACCACCGTGTACACCGAAAGCAAAGGGAAAGAGAGGAGTTGAAGGAGCACGAACGCATGGCCGCAAATGGGGAAATCGACTCGGAAGAGGAGCGCGAAGCCCAGGATCGCCAGCGAGCTATGGAGAGAATGGGAGATCGGCATCGGAAGAGCAAGTGGGCTAAAATGTCTAACAAGGATGGTCGCGCTGCTTGGGACGACGACGTTCGAGTGGGAATAGCCGAAATGGCCCGCCGAGACGAAGAGTTACGCCGTCGCATCGATGGTAAACCGTCTAGAGGAAACGATAACTCGGACGACGATTCTGATTACTCGGGTGGTTCGGATGATGTTGATGAACGAAAGAGACTCCTAAAGCAACTTGACGAGGTTTCCGACGCCGAAGACGGGCAACCAAAGTCGAAGTTGATGAGCATGCAGTTCATGAAGAAGGCGGAGGCGGCGAAAAAGAAAGCCAATGATGACCTAGTAGCCCAGATCCGACAAGAACTAGCTTCCGACGACGAAGACGGCGATCGATCTGACGACGGACCTGAGGATGTTGGTCGACGAATATTTGGCCAACCATCAGGGAAGAAGTCCACTGAGAAGCTTACCAAGGCTAGCAAGACAGACAAGACAGAGAAGGAGGAACTTCAAGCTGCTAGGGATAACATTGCGGCCACCTCAGGTAGTCGATCGAAGGGCCTTTCAGCCCCTGTCTCACAGGACGCAAACGCAAACTCGACAGCGAGCGCTTGGACCCAACCGTCAACAACAGGGCCGTCTAGGAAAAAGAGAGGCAAGACGGAACCCGGAGCAGATGTCCTACAGCTTGGTGCGGACTCCGCGGCTATTGCAGCGCCAGCAGTTCCAGCCTCAGCGAAGAAACCCAAGCCTAACAACAAGCAAGCGGTCGTGAGCTTCGAGGACTCGTCTGACGACGAGGAGAGCCATCTTCCCATCAAATTCCGCGACCACGAGCTAATTGAAAAGGCCTTCGGCGCTGTGGACGTCGTGGCCGAGTTCGAGGAGGATAAAGCGGCGGCTGAAGAGGAGGACGACGATAAGATCATCGACAACACGCTTCCTGGCTGGGGTAGCTGGGTCGGTGACGGTGTTAGCAAGCGCGAGCAGAGTCGGCATCACGGCCGGTTCCTGGCTAAGCAGGAGGGGATCAAGAAGAAGGATCGCAAGGACGCGGGGCTGAAGGGCGTCATTATCAACGAGAAGAGAAATAAGAAGGTATGTCACGTCACTTGTCTATCTATATCCCAGCACTAGACTGCTATTGTCGGTGCTACGAACGTTTACGGCTAACCTGTTGCAATTTACAGAACGACAAGTTCATGGCCTCCCAGCTCCCGCACCCGTACGAGTCGAGGCTCCAGTACGAGCGCGCGCTGCGGCTCCCCGTCGGCCCCGAGTGGATGACCAAGGAGACGTTCCAGGAGGCGACGAAGCCGAGGGTCTTGGTCAAGCAGGGTATTATTGCGCCTATCACGAAGCCTACGCATTAGGGGATGTTTTGGTGTATTTGCGGTTGGTGTGTGTGGGGAAAAGGGTTGGTTTTATAAGTGTACCCGATACCCTAGGCTAGATAATCTAAGGCATATGGTAGAATACATGGCATCCTATGGCATTATCATAATGGGATCGGAAGATGGGTGACGTAGGAAAAGTTCCAAATGGAATTGCGAAATGTCCAAGGCTCTTGACTTTTCACCGGTTTCTAGACTAAGACATTAGAAGGTTGTAAGCCGTACATATAAAGGAGTCGGTCAGTTGCTTCCCACATACTACCTATGAGTATGACTTGCTATAGCGTTAAATATTGGTATTCAATAAGGGTATAACAATTGCGAGCATCCAACGATCTTTAAATATACATGCTTTATACTCCAATACTTTTATAGTCCTCGCACCTAGTCCTCGTCATCACTGCTATCACCAAATATAGCTTTTAGGACATCGTCCTCCGCTCGCTTCCCTTCCAACACCTCGTTAACTTCCGCGTTCACCACGACCGCCGTCGCTTGCGGTTGAGGCGGTACTTCCGGCGCTTTAGACGTCGTCGATGCTGATACTTCTCCGCCATCACCCGCCGCCGAACCCCCGGCTCCTTGTGCCTGCGTTTGCGTCTGCGCCGACCTCACAAGCTCATCCAGCGTCATCGCGCTCTCCGAATACACGCCCCCGGAACTAAACGTCCTAAACGGATCCGCAGCCTTGCTTTTCGCCGTATTCCCACTTACACCCGCACCCGCGCCCTCCTGCTCCTGATCCGGCTGCACGTGCGCGGGCGGCTTGACGTTGAACCTCTTGCACAGCAACCTCGTCGGGTAGAAGTCCGCCGTGCTCCGCGTCATCGAGCCGTACATGCCCAAGCGCGCGGCCTGCTCCGCGGGATCCGCCGGCTTAGGCGGCGGCCTCGAGACCAGATCCGTATTCCCATCAGCCCCGCTCCCGTTCCCGTTTCCATTCCCCTTCAAGCCAGACGCGGATGTCGACGTCGTGAACCGCGACGCCATAGCGCCGGTCATAGGCTTAAAAATCAGCGCGCACTTCCGAAACTCGTGGAGTTCGCGGAGGTAATCCTCCTCCGAGACGTCGGGCGCCTTAGCAGGAGGCTCTGCCGCGAAACCCGCCGCCCACTCGAGGTACCTCCTGTACCGTCCCCTCTTCGCTTCATCATCCGCGTACGGCGCGGACCCGCCGCCCGAAGCGCCTCGCGCGATCGCCGCCGCCGCCGTCGCCTTGTCGAGCTCCGGGACCCGGCGCAGGAGCTGCTGCCTTCTCTCCGCGTCGCTCAGCGCGAAGCCGGCTGGGATCTCGCCGAGAGCCGGGGGTAAGTTTGGCTTCCCTGTCGCGGAGGCGAGCCGCTCGCGCGCTGATGCTGAGAGGAAGTCGAAGACGGATTTCCCTTGGAGCTGGGCCTCGCCTAGCAGCGCGGCGCGGGAGCGCGGGTCTAGATTCGAGGCGCGGGCCGCGTCGGCGGTGGAGACGTAGTTCGGGTTTGATGCGGAGGAGGCGTCGTCGGGCTGGCGTTGCTTGCTAGGCTTCCAGTCCGGCGGGATCGTGGGCGGCGGGTACTTGTTGACTTCCGAGTTGATGGAGGATGCTAGGTCGTCTGTCCGCGTGCCGAAGACGAAGCCGTCGAGGGGGAGGCGGCCGTCGTGGCATTTTCGCAGGTTCTTGCCCGCTTGGGCGAGGGCGTGCTTGCGGGATATGAAGACTGGTGCGGAGCGGAGCGCCGGGTTGGCCGATGTCGTAGTGCTTGCTGCTTTCTTTTTCTTTTTGTCGCCCCCTATGACCCGGTTATACGATATGCGCGGCCCGATTTCGTACGGATCCTCGTCGTCGGATCCCGTATCGTTGAGGACGCCAATGCCTATCCCGCCTTTACCGAATTTGCTCGGTTTCTTCTTTTTCAGCGCGTTGGGGCGTATTAAAGGTCCGTTTCGCGAGTCCTCATCAGAGCTTGAACCGGCTTCCGTTCGTGTGTTGCTTCTCATTGGTGCCAATCGCGATTCTCCCCTGTGGCCTAGTCCCTTTCGATCTAATTTCTTGTTGAACGAGATCATGGATACGTTATCCGGCGCGAAGAGATACGTCTCGCCCCCGTCCTGAACCGTGCCGCCTGATTTGCCGCCGCCAACCTCAAGCCGAGCTTTCCGACGGACTTTCGGTCCAATTCCTTGGCCATCCTTCCAACCCATCTTCCTTAAAAGTTTCTTTCCCATCGTATCCCCCTTCACCCGGAACAGATCCGTAAGCCCTCCCCGCTGAGCAAGCCCATCTTCATCCGTAGACCCTAGCCCGGCGAACCCCTGCGCAGTCTGAAGTTTCCTCGCCTCTTCCGCGTCGGCGAGGTCCTCCTCGTCCATAAAGTCCTCCGGCCTCTGCTGCTTAGCCGCCGCATCGTCCTTCCGGCGGTTCACGCGCGACGAGACGAAGGTAGACGGCGTCCAGCCCTCCTTAGACCCGACGGTGTTGAAGTAGCCCGCGCTCCAGCCGCCGGTAAAGGCGCCGTGGAGGCGCTTGCGGCCGCGCTCATCCCGCACTTCCTGCTTCCATACCGGGACGTAGGAGCCGTCGTCGCGGACGTCGGGGTCGAGGGGCGGTAGGGGGGTGCCGTAGACGACGTACGACTCTTGGTCTTGGAACTCGTCTTCGAAGGATTTGCGGGATCGCTTTTGTGACATGGGCGGTTTTTCCACAATCCGCAAGTTGGAGGCAGTATCACTGGCGCGACTTCGCAGTTTTGTCCGGATTTTGGGTATTAGAATGTGTATAAACCGTTTGTCTGAAGTAGTTCGAAAGCTCTTGGATCATGAAGCTGGGAATGAATGTTCCTTATCGATAAGAATTGAATACGTTCACCTAAGCTATTAAGAACCTGGTCCAGTACCCACATAGGTACCTAGGTACCTTTTGGCTGGGTTACATAATTGCATAGGTGTATTATATTAGTGGAAGCTGCATAGCTTCAATTCTTTCTTCGATGATGCATTGCAACATTGTTGTTTTGTAATGGTTAATACCTAATTCGATGGATAGATACAAATTCCTAAATTGCTGGCAAGGTTCTGTATATCTCATTATGTTCAAAATCGGGAAACGATTATCCTGGGTAAAATGGCTCAAGCAGGTTTCGCGAACAGTGCTATGTAATGATGTCAAAGATCTATGATTCAAACCCTTAAAAGCACCGGAGTACAGATTCGTACCATACCGGCAATATGTGGATGTCACAAACGGTTATTTGATGGTCAAAAACCGTTGTTGCAAGCTGATTACCGTTCTTCCCAGCCAAAAACCATTTGCAGGGCAACAATCATTTGTATTGGTAGAAAATCGTTTTTGAAATGCTTATAAAGTGGGTACTCTGCTTAAAAAAACTGACTGATTGGATGAAATTCTTTAGCTTTATAATTAAGTTTAGAGCTAAACCTTCAGTAGTATGGCTAGACCACTTAGCTCAACCGTAAAGCTCGTAAACTTCAATATGTTAATGTTCTCGAAAAGTGACTGAGGTGTAGATGTGATATATACTAAAACAGTAAAGACTTACCTTGTAAACAAATTAAATTCTCTTAATAAAGTATCGTCTTAAAAGCTCTTACAAGAGAATGTGGGTTCGATTCCCACCGTTTTCGAATTTTTGGATTGGTCCACTTATTCTAACCAATCAGAGTGAGGCAAGTTTGCGTTGACAAATCAAAAACCGTTCTTGGGTCAAAAACCATTTGCCTCCAACTGAATCATACATATGGCGATCATCGTTTTTACGTCCGATAACCGTTTGTGAAACCCCCCCTTTGCCGGTGTGGTAGGCTGTGAGGTAATCTCATACAAATGGGGTTGTCCTGCAGGTCCGGAACCACAGTGCTGTCCTACAAGCGGCTCACCGGGGAGCAACTACCAGAAGGGAGTTTTCATATAGGGAAACCTCGGCTTATGAAGGAATAGGTAACTCACTTTTTTTCTCCTCAATTAGGGGGTGATACGGTTGCGTGTAAATCAACCCCGACCATCTAGTTATTCTAGGTCAAAACTCGTTACTAGCAGATTAGATAGAGGATATTTAGGAGTTTAGCTCCGAGTCACATTGAACGTGCTTTTTAAAGCGTACACCGGCACTATGAACAAGCTTTTCGTTAGAAGCAATATAAAACCTAAAAGGGGCAACACCATCCAGTTTTAAGGTACGTGGAGTTCAAGCAAGTTCCATATGAGGAAGCGGGCAAACTTCCATATATGCGAAGACAAGTGCACAAATTGATTGGATTTGTCGAGGCAAGTTGTAATATGCCGAAAAAGAGAAGTCTAATGTGGATATTTCAGTAACGAGAGCATGGTAAGACGCACCTGTACCGATATGGTTCAACAGATTGGTGTTTTCCATGATTGCTCCTTTAGGATCTAACTCGCTTCACGGTCCAATCAACCCGGCGAGCCGTCTCCTTATTCAATGAATGGTCAGGAACGGGAAACTCGAAAATGGTCAACCTATCATGGCCCCTGGCTGACCGAAGAAGAGTAGGAGCAATATTCGAGGATGCCCATTATTTTCCTGATCTGTTCAAGCTTTCATTCTACAATATAACCTTGTTGGTAGTGGGTGGGAGAGTGGGAGTATCCGGTTGCTGTCGTCATACCCCTCCATATTATCACATCCATCCCTTATGCACAAATCAACTGGATCATGATCAGAAAGATAGGAGGATATAACGCTTGAGACGCAGCACGTGTAGTTAAGTGACTTGTCCGTAATTAGTTCCGTGTTCTGCTGTAAGTTTGATAAGCTACCAATTCTGACAGTGTGAGCGGTTTTTGATTCCTATTTCATGTAAACTTCTAAGCTTTAATTCATTGGTGTGCTGTGCTATGCTGTGCTGTCGCTTGGTTATCGGCCACATCTCACAAAAGTTGTTGTTAAAGGTTAGGACAGTTACTGTAGGTGCATTTTTTATTTTCATATGGATGGATGCTTATCGTTTGAATCGCAAGTTTAGACTACAGAATTCATTAGTCTCGATTAGTTCCAGGGGCCGCTCTTTCAATTTCGTCATTGTGTATGAGCTGGAAACCACATCACCCACCAACCAGGCTACGTAAAGTGCAACTCTGCTGCTTGCATGACAGCGACATGCGGCTAACATAGCTCAATTCACTGGTAGGTAGCTTCTTGAACGGAAAAGCATTTATGGTAAGAGTGATCCAGTTAGCTTTGTCCAAGTTATCTCGCGGACCACAAACGTGACTAGGTTAAAGTGAATATACGGATGACATTTCTTTTCTTTTTCCATTTCCTTTTTTTTATCAAGTGCTCTTTCTGTCTTGTCTTGAAATATGCCCAGGTGCCTTGGTAGTTTCGCCTTACGAGACCTTGTGTATAGCTGCGGGGCTGGGGGAATTCGATTGTGATCTTCCCTGTATTATCAGACGTCGGCTCTCGTGTTCTGGAATCTGGTTTCTGGGCACACCAAGTGCACACACACGGTCAACCGTCTTGCGTGGGACTAAAAGCATTACTAGATAGTTGTCGGTGCTGAATTCCCCGGTGCGCAGGTGATGGTGGTGGAATGGTGGAGGTAGTCTCCTTTATTAGACCGTCCTTATTACTACACGTAGGTGGTTGCAATTCTTACGTGTAACCTATTAACGCATTTACTTAAGAAAGGTACATACATGTATGGATGGAAATGGGTGTTCCAGCTCTCCGCCGTTATCACTAGCATGGTAGGTTTTCCTAGGTACATGAACACGCCCGACTACCTAATCAGCCGTGGTAAATTTACAGTGTCCAAAGTGTTCAGCAAGTGCAAGCCGGCAGCGGTTTCTCACCAATAATAAGCTCGCAGACCCGCGAAAAGACGCTAGTGTACCCCGGTCCAATTGACGCCTCCTCTTTTTAGGGGTAAAAGGTGGTACTGCGAAAGTGGTAAATGTGGTAGGTGGTAGGTGGTAAAGGAAGGCGAGAAGGGGGGAAGCAAGAAAAAGAAGTGACGAGGCTTCCACCTGTAACTCAGGACTGGACTGGACTGCACATACAGTATTTTGTAACAGTACATCGTGCAACCTATTAGTATCAATGTAGTTACATAGTACCAACATTTCCCGACCCCAGTTTCCCAGGCTGTTCAGGCTTGTTCTTTCCAGGCCGTTCCGCCTTCGCTTTACTGCCCAAGTCAGATCCCAATCAGTTCTCCAAATCTCTGGAAACCGCCCAGCAGCATTCTGTTCCGTACCAAATTCTTTAATTTTGAATTTTATGGATCAGAAGCATCGGCCTTCATTAGGCCTTGTCGCTACAGCTACCACAGCTCATCCCCGTCCCCGTCCCCGTTCCGACTGCCCCCTTGTTGTTATTCGATAATCATTCTCATACTGTACGGTACGGTTCACAGGATTGCTGTAGCAATACCTCCAGTACCAGCTGCCGAGCAATGTCAACTTCAACAACCGAACAACAACATCATCATCATAATCATCACCATCCTCACTCTCCTCACCACAATCACCAACATTCATCCTCCTCGTCTCCCCGATCTCGCCAATCCCAGCCACCTGTGCGAAGCCACTCTACTCGTTCACGCCCGACAAGTTCCACCGCCGCTTCGCCTTCCCAACAACACTCCTCCGCTCCACACCCAACTCGTTCTGCCTCCACCTCCCACCACCATCGCCATCACAGCCGACAGACCTCTTCCTCCGGTCGTCCTATTCAAGACATTCTCCCCCAACAGGACTATGAGACGTCGAATGTAGTTGCTAGTCACCATCAAACTAAGCGGAACTCTAGCAAAGACCGTCCTCCCCCAGTTTCGCGTGGTGGGACCGATTCCAAGGGGGTACATCGCCGAAGCAGTACTCGATCTACCCATAGTAAAAGCGACATGGCAGGGCCGACCGCTGTCGCGAATAACGCAGGCCCAGCTGCAATCCCGCCCGTCATGCAGGCTGCAGCCGATGCTCGCGCCACCGGTGCTAAGCAACGAACTTCGAGAACTTCCATTCCGACCCAATCGGGGAAATGGATTCTAGGCAAGACTATCGGTGCCGGTAGCATGGGCAAGGTAAAACTCGCTCGCAAAGAAGACGGCACAGAACAGGTCAGTAGCTTCATTTATATTAAACATTCTAGATACAAGTCAATCATCCCAAGGGGCCTTGCTAACCCTGATTGTTAGGTCGCTTGCAAGATTATTCCGCGAGGCTCTACCGAAGATGGGCATCACAGTCGAGCCGACAAAGAGAGGGCCGATCAATCGAAGGAAATTCGAACGGCACGAGAAGCAGCAATCGTTACCCTCTTACAGCATCCCCACATCTGCGGTATGCGAGATGTAGTCCGTACCAACTATCATTGGTACATGCTCTTCGAATACGTAAATGGTGGTCAGATGCTTGATTACATTATCTCCCACGGGAAGTTGAAGGAGAAGCAAGCAAGGAAGTTCAGCCGACAGATCGCAAGTGCTCTCGACTATTGCCATCGCAACAGCATAGTGCACCGCGACCTGAAGATCGAAAACATCCTGATCAGTAAGACTGGAGACATCAAGATTATCGACTTTGGTCTCAGCAATCTTTTTGCTCCGCGAGGTCACCTGAAGACGTTCTGCGGTTCTCTCTATTTCGCAGCACCTGAACTCCTCCAGGCACGAGCTTATACTGGTCCTGAGGTAGACGTATGGAGCTTTGGTATCGTTCTCTACGTCCTGGTTTGCGGCAAGGTCCCCTTCGACGACCAGAGCATGCCTGCTCTGCATGCTAAGATTAAGAAAGGACTTGTGGATTATCCTAGTTGGTTATCTAACGGTAAGTGATCTCTCCCCCGGGGAGCTTGTTTAACATTGCTAACATACATTCAGAGTGCCGACACCTTCTATCCCGCATGCTTGTCACCGATCCAAGACAACGTGCTACGATGCACGAAGTCATGAATCATCCGTGGATGATTAAGGGGTATGGCGGGCCGCCCGAGAACTACCTACCCGCTCGCGAACCGTTGTCACTACCTCTAGAAACAGAGGTCATCAATGCCATGACTGGCTTCAACTTCGGTCCCCCTGAAGTAATAAGGGTCCAGCTTACCAAAGTCATTGAATCGGACGACTACAAGCGTGCTGTAGCGCTGCTGCAGAAAGAGAAAGAAATCCCACCTGTCCCCAAAGATGTGGAGAAGAAGCGAGGATTCGGGTTCGACTTCTACAAGCGACGCAATTCCGGAAGTAGTCGTGACAACCTGTCGACCCCAAGCACAGATGCTCTACAGATTGGCGTCGATCCGCTCAACGCCTTTAGCCCGCTTATCTCTATCTATTACCTTGTGAAGGAGAAGCAAGATCGAGACAAGGTTGACGCGGTGCCCAAGTCGCATACGCCAAAGAACGTTGCCGACTCCCCGATGCCAGAAATAGCACCACCTCCTGAGGCGCACACGAATACTGCAACTTATGAGATGACTGGGGAGAAGGCGACTGGAGGACGGTCACGGCCTCGTGCCAGAACCCATGGAGAAGACGATGCCCCGGAGGACGTCAAAAAGGCCCATGCAACGCCCAACATCCCCCCTCCTCCGGAGACACCCATGGATCTACCGCTTAAGAAGGAAAGCACAGCTGCAGGTATCCTTAGGCGATTCAGCACTAGACGTCGAAGAGAACCAGAGAGGCTCGATAAGGATCGTTCTCATCCTCCTGTTGTCCACGTTCACTCACCTGCCGAAAACCCGACGGCACCACGTAAGAGCTTTAGCATACGGAGGTCGAGACGTGAGCGAGATGATGATAACGTACCGACAAGATTGCGCTCAGGAAGCAGTCAACCGCAGCATCGGGACCTACTCAGTCCACCCCTATCTGCCGGTGGTAACTTGTCTGGAAGCAACAAGGGCTTAGGGCGCTCGACCAGCGTAAGTTCAGCGGAATTTCGTAGGCGGCCTTTTGGGTCTGCCAACCGAATCGCTAAAGAGCCGCCGCCAACCAGCGGCTCAGATCAGTCTGCAGCTACCGATAAAATCCCACCGGAGCCTAAGAGTGCGCTGAACCCTCGTGCTACTTCCATGAGAGCAAGGCCGCTTGGGCACGCTCGTAGAGAGAGCATCCAAGCGCGAAGATTGCGCAGAGAGGGTGCTCGTGCTGCTGATGTTCCCGAAGAGACAGACCAGGAACTTGGTGAAGGGAGTGGAAACTCGGCAGAGCGCTTGGATGATTCCGAGCTGGCCAAGCCGGTCTTCCTAAAGGGCCTGTTTAGCGTTTCCACCACCTCGACAAAGTCGGTACCTGCTATTCGTGCAGACGTTAGGAGGGTGCTGAAGGACCTTGGTGTTGACTACACGGAGATCCGTGGGGGCTTCTCCTGCCGCCATATGCCTAGCATTGATCTCAAAAAGGCTGCAGATGCGCCAGGCAGCCCCGTCCCAACTCCCGGTCATCGACGTAGGTTTAGTTTTGGCATTCGAACGGAACGCGATCGTGAGGAGATCCGAGAGATGGATCGAGCACCCCCCACACCACGGACGCCCGGAAGACACGCTGATCGAAGCGACTCGGCATCAGAACTCTCTGACCCCGAGAGCATTCAGCGAGACGCAACCAGTTCGTCCAGACGAGTACCGGGTGAGACGACCACTCATGTCCAGAGCGATTTGGGTGGCAACATGGTCCTGGAATTTGAGATATTTATCGTCAAAGTTCCTCTTCTCTCGTTGCATGGGATTCAGTTCAAGCGCATGGAGGGCAACACGTGGCAATACAAGAATATGGCGGATCACATTCTGAAAGAATTGCGACTGTGATCCAAAGCGGCATCATGGATGATTTGAGTAATTGAACAGGCAATCGAAAATAATAGAAGCAAACGGAGTTAGTTAAAGATGCCGAAGAGCGGCCGCTATCTTACATTGCGGTCTTAAGGCCTTTCACATCTGAGTTTCGGTAGTCTAAAGATGGAGCTTAGAGGTATCATTGTTGAATACTTCATTGTCGGAAACACGCTTTCTTGAAGGGCACGCTTGGTTTGTTGTCGATATGGATTGTATGGATTCTTCGAGGCCAAGGCCGCGCCTAGTGCCCTATTGTAAGGATATGGTGGAATTGGCAGGTTTGGCGAACCGGACTTGACGACCAACAATGCTTTTCCTAATAGCAGATGCAAATAGTAATGTACAAACAAGGTACATCCGGCGATGGAATAATACGTATTGTCCTAATTTACCTGGATTCTCATCTAGGTACCTAGTCTTCGCTGGCTTATGTAGATAGGGGTCAACATACGGTAGTTTATCCTACCAGTAATTCAGTTGTACCTAAACGCATTTACTCGATTTTCTCCCGAGTCACTACCTATTCTACCTACTTCACCTTTTCGTAGCTTAATGGGCGAACGAGTGCATTTGTAAGATTACTTGCTTCTCTTTGAATATCCAATTACTAGGATTCATTCCTCTTATTAGAAGCTCTACCCCCTAGCACGAATACGGTAAGCCGTGAATGATGTCGAGATAGTGGGATGTGAGACCAATAGGGGGCAATCCATAGGAGGACATGAAGCTTCATTCCACGTTGGTGGTTGATAACGATGTACCTAGGTATAGATAGCACTGATAACCAATTTTTGTGGCTCTTGCTTCACCCCGCTGCGGCGCAAGATGAACGGTGTGAATAAATCGGTGGAACCTGGTTTTACCTTGATGTTGGTGCCGACCTGAGGCACGCCGCTTTTAGCCTACCCTAAGCTGAGTCCCGCTTTTACATAAGTTCATTTGCATTATATTTTTGAACTGTTCCTGATAAGTAATATTTGAAGCTATTCACAGCTTTGCTGCCTTCAAGTCAATGTTCCGAATAACCTCACATATCAAATTCAATCAATATCTGGCCTAGACAGCAGTTTAATCAATACATAGTTCAATAAACAGTTCAACTAACTTAATACTTAACTAAAAACGGTATGTACTGTAACTACAAGAGACTTTGATTGATACGCTATATTATAACACCTGTAAGTTCTAGGTATCCTTGGATGATATATCTGTAGCGTCCTTGGCCAAGTGTATAGTCCGCCACTTGCGACCTGGCTTTGAAACGAACTTGACATTCAGACGACTTTTTGGAATAGGCAACGCTTTGCCCACTACCAAGTCCTTCTTTGGCTCTGACCATTTTCCGGAGACTGGAAGCACGTCAACCCGTAAAAGCATTCAAGCCATGAGCGATAGGATCTCAGTACTGGCAAAATGACGGCCGGGACATAGAACATGGCCACCGCCAAAGCCACGGAACGCGGTGGCAGGGTGCTTCGCAGATTCATTCCTGGCCGCTTTCAAGAACCTCCTATGGTTGAAATCGCCAACCGTCGGGCCCCAGACACTCGTCGCAGTAGACAACAGCGTTGGGCATCAGTGCAGCGCCGCCTTTTTGCAAGAGATATTGGTTATCGATGAGAGTATCCTCCTGGACAAGTCGGAAAGCTATGCTAGTTCCGTGGAACCGGAAAACTTCCTATACTATTAAAATCAAGATAGGACATTCCGCTCTGATGCGGGCGAGGTCGATGGTACTTGTGCCATCGGCATCATTTCGCACCAGTTGAGTCACCTCTTGTCTACAGTCCTCGAATACGACGGGGTCTGCCAGAGCCTGCCACACGGCCCAAAAGGCACCCGGTGCGGTATTAAAGATGGCTGCAGCTACCTGCCCGACTTCGACACGAGCTCGATCCGCGAGGGTGAAACCGAAACTCTCATTATATTTCTGGCCAAGTTGAATGAACATAGAGCCTTCGAGGTGCCGGCCCTTCTGGAAGTACTTCATTAGCGCAGACACCATAGTCTCTCTCCCCTCTACACCACGGCGAGCGAGGATATTCGGGAAAATACCCATAAAGATCGTAAGGAGGCCACTTGCGTAGTCGAACCATTCCTTTTCAACTTCGGGGTCGCGAAACGGGTTGTGAGGTCCATACAAAGCATTCGTCGAGGCGCAGAGTGTCTCGCGATTGACCCAATCGAATAAGTCAACAGCGATTCCCCCTTGGGACTCCATTCGGTCAAAGGTGTCCGTAAAGGTCTTCACCACCACTTTTCCTAACGCGTTCAGACCGGGACCAGGCATGGCGCCCGGGGCGGCGGTTCGTGGAAAGCTGCGTAAGCAGCTGTTCTCCGACGCGGAAATCCGATCCATGCCATCTTTGGTCACACAATGGCTTTCTTGCACATTTGTGCTTGGAGAGGAGCGAAGTCAACGGTGGTGATGTGGCGGTCGATACGCTGTATCAAGTGGAGTGAGTTGATAACGTAGAGCGACAATCCGGGGAGCTTCAAGGTGTAAATAGGGAGTTGCGTTTCGTTCCTACACGAGTCCGCCGAGGATATGTTAGCTGACTTACATCTACATGGAGGGAGACTTGGTTTGTACGATGAATGGCATAGGTATACCCTAGCCGGATGTAGTAGTCATCTTTGTGGACGAACATGCCGTATATAGTGCTGAGAGAGGGAATGTTTCCTGTGACAGCCTTTGGCTCTCAAGCATCTTGAGTGGCCGTCAAAGCGATCTGCAAAACGGCAAACGTAATCGCGATAGCGACTATGGACAGCGCGAACGCGGATGGCATTTTCCCGAGTCATATTCTCACGATATTGTAGAGGCTATATGGAAGCGTGTGATGGGTACTAGACGCCTACTTAGTAATAACCTGCCCCCCAAGAAGCTCCAGAGCAGGGAGGCGCGTACTTCGTACGTTGGACCTGGGTCTCATGCAGTGTATCGGGCCAACAGTCAACACACTCCCATGCATATAGAGGGATGCTAAATATATCATGCAACCAACATTTCTTCGTGCTGATTAGGTATGCGGCAACACATTACATCCCTAGATTGTACCCCTCGTTTGATAAGGCTGACACACAGACGTCTTCGTACGAAATTTCTGGACCTATGTACACATTCATAGGCTCGTTAGAATCACCTGGGGTCTTACTGAACTGCGATGTTAGTGTTGAGTCATGTAGAATGAAAGCAAGGAGACGAGTAGCGTAGCCTAAATCCAGTAACGGCTGGCCTCCAAGCCAGGCACAGGTGCAAGTCAACCTCAACGCCTCCTATATATTCGCCGACCCCATGTTACTTGAGCATGCTCTGGTGTTAGGCGAATGAGCTGTCTCTTTGCTTTGACTCGGCGCCACGTTCATGTTTGCAATGTCGCCGACTCCTTTTGTGGCCCTATGGGTCTTCGCAGTAAAAGAATTATCTCCTTCGATCGCCAACCTCAACGTCCTACAAGTTTGCATTGCTTCTCTATTCTTCCTCATACTCAGATATGTCATTTTGTTGGCACTCTACCATAATGGCCATTGTCATGAGGAACGGGTTGGCGGCAGAATTCCGCCACGGTATCCCACCTTCTTTCCGTACCTGGGATCTGTATTTCAACTCTGGCTCAATCACAAGAGCCTCGTACATCAACTCGCGTAGGTTGGATATTGTTGACCGTAACGACATGTTATTTGGCATCCTAACTCTCGGCGTGTAAACAGGCTTTATGGAAATAGATTGACGGGAAACCGAGTTACGATCATGGGTACCACATATTACTATTTCCAGGATAGGGAGACTCTAGAGAAGCTTTTCAAGCACAAGGCCCTATCCAGCGCCATAGATATGTATGGCTTCAGAAACTCTAAAATTCTTGGAGCTTCCAAGGAGTCGTCGACTGTTTACTCAGCTGACAACTCGGGCCCGTTCCCGCAGCCGCACCCGAACAGTAATGTTCTCCCCCACAATCGTGTTGATCACATCACCCACAGTCTCGCCTTTCGTGGCCTTACCGGCCCGGGATTACAGCCAGCAACACGTCGGTTTGCAAAGGAAATGCCCCGTAAGTTTGCAGAACAAGGTATTACGGAAGACTGGACGGAAATGGGCGACTTCGCTCAGTTCTTCAGACACAACCTCGGCCCTTCAGGTGTCCAATGCATCTTCGGGCCCACAATGCTTCGCCTGAATCCAACGTTTGTCCAGGATATCTTCGAATTCGACAGGCTCTTTCCAAAATTCGCCCCAGGGCTTCCTTACTTCATGATGCCGAAGAATTATGATTTCAGGGAGCGACTCGCTTGTCAGTTCAAGACCTGGTATCAGTACGCGAGGAAACACTTCGACCCTTCACTCATCGATGCTGACGGCGATGGTGACCCGATTTGGGGATGCGCCATGATGCGTAGCCGTCAAGCTCTTCTCTTGAAGGCTGACAAGCATGACGACGACGTTCTCTCTCATCTCGACGTCGGATTATCTTGGGCGTAAGTGCTGCTTTTCTGCGTTTATTGACGTAAAACAACTAACACACGAGTGCGCATATCAGTACCATAGTGAATGTGGTGGTGACCACGATGTTTGCGGTCTACCATATCTTCCAAGACAAAGACCTCCTGGCTCGGGTTCGTCATGATCTCAAGGAGTATCTCACTGGGCGATCTGTGCAAGACGTCGATCCGCAGAAGCTCGCTAGAGATGTGCCACTTCTTTCGGCCATTTATGCAGAGTCAATGCGTGTTTACATCAAAGTGTACTCGGCATACAGCTCGGCACACGAGGACATCGATCTGGGGAAATGGGTTTTGCCCAAAGGTGCCTTGGCGTTGGTGAACTCGGAGCCCTCACACATGGACAAGACATTCTGGAATACCAAGAACAACATGTACCCGGTCGAGACGTTTTGGGCCGACCGATTCATGGTGAACCCATCCGACCCGACCAGCGGGCCAGTCAATCCAGATATCTGGGACCGGTCTATGCGTTTCGAGAAGGCAGATACTGGTGGGAAACCATATTTCTCCATGGAGGGCTGTCAAGGCTCTTGGATCCCTTATGGAGGTAAGCCACTCTCACCCAACGAAAAGTCGCAACGTCCAGTTTATCAAAAGTTACAAGCATTGTTAACAAGTGTTCCCATTCCGTTCAGGTGGCTTCTCCATGTGTCCCGGTCGTTTCCTCGTGAAGTCCATCATTATTCTCACATGCGGGTTTTTGGCGATGGAGTACGATATTGAGATTCTCACCGACTCTATCGAATTTACCAACTATCGGTATGGCATGGGAGTAGAAGATATGAAGCATCCTCTTCCTTTCCGCATTAGGAAGAGGGTTGTTGAGCGAACTAAAATCGTGTAAATTCTATCTTAGCCTGTATAGACAAACCCCTTGAATAAGAACCCACCGCCGGAGCGATGTACGGAACATCTCACGACGGGATGAGTAACTAAGCCTCCTGGACCTCCGGGCTCGGTCGGCCGTCAATTTTGGCGTATGGTAGTTACCCAGGCGGTTATCCGAAATGTCAGATGATTACCTCAAATTTGAAACCATGCGTGAGGCCGTAGGGACCTCATGCCGAAGGATGTGGGCCGCTAGAGGCGATTTCGGCGGGATGCCGGCGGATTCATAGGAGATATCATTGCCAACCTAGATATGCTTGATATAACCGCGGCGGACGTGGCGTCAGCGAGACTATGTGTCAAGGTAGCGCCCTCGAAGCGTTTTACTTCGAGCATGTTTGGCTGTAGCATGTAGGACGTAGATGGATAATTGAAGTTGACAAGTTAAACCGTTTACTTAAATCCATCCGTTTTAACATTTTCTATGCACAAAACTTGCACAAATGCTACTGCTTAGTCACCTAACTGAGAACAGGCTGAGCCGAGCCTGAGCAAAAGCAGCAAGTACGCTAAACCCGATTTGTCATATGTCAAAAAAAGTGGTAAAAGTTAGGTAGAACCTTGGAAGCTAGGGCTGATATGCAGCAAAAGGGTAAAAAAGGGTACGTAACCGGCGTAACGCAATCGGGTGGGATGGGCAGGATGGGGTCAAGAAGTGGTCAGTGCTCCCCTCTTAGAGACTTAAACCCCATTCCATCGGCAAATTAAGATGCGATGCTGGCGAACCCTGCATCAACTTCACTTCTTCAACTTTTGAAGTTACCTGCCTACATTTTCAGCCTTATCTTGTTTCTCTCTATTCCCGCCTACACGTTGAACTAAGGCCGTGAGACTGTTTTTCTTCCTCAAGATTTCAATTAAACTCGAGTTATTTCCGCCGCCCGAAGCTCTCCCAAAACATCGTCACGGACAGTTTACTTGGAGCGTGTCTTCCCAGCTCAGCCCAATTTCACTACGAGTCAAACGAAAACCTCCGTCGCGATCACACAGGTATATCAACTTCCGCCCACCTTGGGATTTCCCATGTTATCGGCGTCGCCAACAATCAAAAGGAATCGCCACAACTAACCGCCACAAGGAAAAGGCGTGACTTTCCCAAGGACAACTACGTCGGAGCGGAACGGAGATACCTCATTTCTCGTCGAGAGCGCATTCCTCTTGCGCATAGCCTTGTCTCGCTCTTCCCACTCACTACCCATCTACTCAAGAAAAGCGAGGGTCATTCTATTCCACTATTTACCTAGTCACGCCTCAAACATAACCAGCGCGTATTCGTGGTTACTACACCAATACACAGTTTAGGCAAAATTCCGAATCTCTTCAAGATTTCTGGTCTCTTCTACAAGCTCTTCGGCAAAGGACGTGTTCGCCTGGTCAAGTTGCATCCTCACATCCATAATCGTTTACGATTCCGTCATCTCCACACAACATCTCTCCGTGTCAAATTTTCGGAGAAATAGAATAGGGACAACCTCTGGCGCAAAAGAATAGGCCGAGGAAACATACCAGGACAAGTGTCGAGTCAAGTAGAGGAATAGGATTCGGCGAGAGGCGAAACGAAATAAGTTGGCTATAAACTCGTTCTAGACACGACGCGCTCAGAACGACGGGCGATCCAATCTGACGATCTGCAGTTCCGCCCAATTCTTGAAATAACGACATAACCAGAGCAGAAACATATTACCGACACCATGTTACCAAATCCGAGCCTTTACGGTCATCACCAATACAACCCCCACGCCGAACAGCCATGGATGCACCAGCAGCCAAGTCACCAGCACCAGGCCCAGCAGGCTGCTGCTGTTGCTGCCGCTGCTCAGCAGCAGCACTACAATAGACTGGCAGGCCAACACAACAGTGTCACGGCAAGCATGAGTGCCTCTGTTGCCAGCCATGTACAAGAGAACGGCCTAGAGAACGTATCGGAGGACAACCGAAGAACCCTTACATTCGTTGCTGATCTGCTCAACGAGAACACACGGGAGGCTGCTCTGCTCGAGCTAAGCAAAAAGCGTGAGCAAGTGCCCGAATTGGCGCTTATCCTGTGGCATTCATTCGGTTAGTAACCTTTAACATACCCAAGCTACTGAGATGAAGATGAAGTTATGACTAATCAAGATTTAGGCGTCATGACTTCTCTCATGCAAGAGATTATCTCAGTCTACAACCTTCTTAACCCCTCTCAGCTAACAGCTGCTGCTTCTAACCGAGTTTGCAACGCTCTTGCGCTCCTACAATGTGTGGCATCGCACAATGACACAAGAACTTTGTTCTTGAATGGTACGCGCTCCGTTTCCTGATTTCCGGTAGATTCTGATACTGACCATATAATCCTAGCTCACATACCTCTCTTCCTCTACCCCTTTCTGAATACAACGTCTAAATCACGACCTTTCGAGTACCTCCGCTTAACCTCGCTTGGCGTGATCGGCGCCCTAGTTAAGAACGATTCTAGCGAGGTAATCAACTTCCTCCTTACCACGGAGATCATTCCTCTTTGTCTGCGAATCATGGAGACAGGATCCGAGCTTAGCAAGACGGTTGCCATCTTCATTGTGCAGAAGATACTATTGGATGATAATGGTCTCAACTACATCTGCGCCACTTACGAGCGCTTCTATGCTGTTGGAACAGTTCTGAGCAACATGGTTGCTCAGCTAGTTGAACAGCAGACCGCACGTCTTCTCAAGCACGTGGTGCGGTGCTTCCTTCGGTTGAGCGATAATGCGCGCGCCAGGGAAGCACTTCGCCAATGCCTCCCCGAACCACTTCGCGATGCCACTTTCAGTTCAGTACTTCGCGACGATGCGGCAACTAAGCGTTGCCTAGCCCAGCTACTGATTAATCTCTCTGATAATGTAGTAGAGAGTAACAGTGCTCACGCAGGCCTATGAAGTTCCGGAGACGTACGGACCATATAGGGTGCGGCTCATCGTATCCTACCAACCGCTTTATGTACCTCTAAGAGCTATTGAGGGACCTGTCATCCTATCCCGATAATATGAGAGCCGCACTGACACGACCCTTTTCCCTATTACAAGACGCCAAAAGAGAACAAAGCGTATTCTATCTGAATACTACCGAACTCGCCGTTACTTGCTATGTTTGGACCATTTATCTATCGTTTAGTTAACTTGAAGGGCCTCACTGAAAGAGGCTCTCCCATACTTCAGATCCCACCATCGGCCGCTGGAACATCCTCCGGCTGCTCTGTTTGATAGGCTGCGTCTGGATATTCTCCAGTTACAGCCTCGATTCCGTTTTGCGATCGACTAGGCATCCTTCATGAACTTACCCTCCAACATCAACTCATCGGATGAGACCGACCATCTCATCCGCTACTCAGTCCTACTCAATCTCTAACATATCCCGATTTTATAATATGAGTAAGGGGCCACGATAATCTTTGACTATCCTAGCGATTGTGACCAGTACACGATCCGGAAGATCCCTATATTTAATTGTACCATACCCAGGATTCATCTGAGATGTACATCCTTTCCATCAACGACACGTTTCTCCAATCATCCAGCACTTTCAGTACATACGCTCCAGCCTCGTTTAACTCGCGGAAACTAAGCCGTCATTATTATTGGTGCGACCGTAGGATGCAATGGTCGCGGAACTAAGTACACTGTCGATCGACGGTGAAAACCATATCTAAACTACGACCCGAATATTTCCCAAAGTGCGGAATGGATATGAAGACCCTAGTTTTTGTAGGGGATGGCGCAATCTACACGACGAAGACAACCTACGCATCAATGGTATGAGCCTTTAGGCTTTCACACGTCTCAGCCCGTTGACACCCATAATACCTCAAATCCCTGTATTTCATTGTGTATCGCGGTAAGAATCATGATATGGATACCCCAAGTTTCTTTGCGATCATCTCCGGTACTACAACGTACCTATCTACCTACCTACCTACACCTACAAATCATTGCACATAGGCGGCGTTCAGGGCATCGACTCATCAGCGAAACAAAAACTAGAAAGAGGGGGGTCGGCGTTTTTTTCGTCAATGAATAAAATTTAAGTTCCAGGTTCTGTTCTCATGCTCTGGGTTCACGGACGGCGATGGGGTACTCGCGTTGGAAGGTTGCGGCATTTGAGCAGGCGTCGGATATCTTTTTACCTTTTTTCGGGTTCGATTCGATTCATCTCGGGAAACCCCTCCGTTTCTACCGGACGTTGGTTGGTGTGTACTTGTGAGCATGCTTTTCTCGACCTCGCGGTCCCTTGCTTGCTTGCTCGGACTTCGTTTTCTTCTTTCAACTATGTTATGGATACCATGCCCCGCAGATATCGACGTTACGAGTTCCGAAACTCCGAGATCGAGGATCATTCAGCACACGGCCGGCGTTTCCCCTCCCTTTTCGAGGAAATAAGCTTTGCGCGTTCCGTTAGGAGAAAGGGCAGGGAAAAGGGGCTGTTGCGTTGTTACGTGTAGATTACGTGTATATAAGATAGGGATAGGAGAAAAGAAAAGAGAAGAGAGGAAAAGTAATTGACTTTTGGGAATTGAGAATTGATGTTTGGTTGAGGTGTGGTGAATGTAAAAGTGAATGTGAATGTGAATGTGGGAATACTGTGGGTTTTAAAGGGATATTGCGTCGAAATAGGGGGTCCCAATAGTCTTGTGCGGACATGTACCCCTAATCCGAGAACCCTTAGCCCGACAAAGATTTCCCGTATTTATTACAACCTCCAGCGCTAAAAGTATATTCTTTACAAGCTTCAATCCTTGATATCCAACTTTTTCCCTTTATAAGTTGAACGTGGAAACATGAAACCAAGTCGAATTTACCTGTTGCATGCTCTGTGAGGAAGGTGGAACTCTTCTACCTTAACCTGTTCCTGGAACCTCCACAAGGGGACCACCACAGTTTTCAGTCCTGTTACTGAACTCAGACCGAGGCCTTCTTCAAACCGCGGAGTCGAATCGTTGGTGCTTCACATGATCGGCCTCTGGTTTTCTTTATCAGATCGAGACTCCGCTGCCAAGGGGAATAATGCGTAAGCCTTGCGAGTGAAGGTTAAGTATCCGTCCTCATTCATGCATGGTACCATATGGTCGGTCCCAAAACCAAAGCTCTGGCGAATTTGAAGGCCCCATTTATATTTACCGAAGATAACATCGTCTAGTTCTCTCGTATTACACAGTTTACTAGAGATGCGATATCTTGCAAGACCAGACTCTTCAGTGATGGCGAAGTCGGGAAATATTGATAGCTGCGGACAGCGGGGGAATCCAGCCGGTATCACCAACCAGTCAGCATTTCCTCTCTAATCCATTATGTTGGAGGCAAAGCAATGGTGGCTCCAATGCCGTCATCATCACCGATATCATTAGGATTTAACTGGACACCCATCCGTCAGATAATACTACCTGAATACCATAACTATGAAAAAATGGATCTAGGAACTTCAAGCAATCGTCTTCACTCATCTTCAATTCAGGCGAGGCTAGTTTTTTCCAGTTGAACAATCAAATCAATTAAGCCAAGGCTAAGTTCTGTACGACTCCTCTAAGCCCTGTAAGCCCTGTAAGCCTTACCCGCGCCACGCCCTATACGGGTAAGGGTCAGCTGGCTAGCGTCGACTGGGTCTCTTTATTACTTCCCAACTACGCCATCATCCATTGTCTTTTCCAGCACTATGCGTTTCTGGGATCTTTGTCTACCAAAAATGCCGGCGCTTTCTTGGAATAACTTTAATCCCGGCATTACGTCGTCGGAGCTTTCCCAGCAATGGTCCAACCCGTCTGATGTCTTCTCCGTGCTTCTCATCCTCGGCGGCGATGTGGTGGCTCGAGCCCTTGCTCAGCTGGCTGGGTCCCGCGTGACCCCGGTCGCTTTCTCGTTCGGTGAGTGTAGGATGCTTGTTTGTACTTAAATGTTAGGTAACTGATGGTATTCCCGCCCCTAGGTTGGGTTGCCTACGCTGTTGCAGCAGTTGTCAATATCTTTGGCGAGAACAGATTGATGCCCATCGCTGATTGCGCATGCAAGGTTATCAATGGCTACAACGGCTATGCTCGCGACAACTCCAGTTGGGTAATTGGCCGCATCGTACGCGATTTCGAGTCGTGGATGGATGATGGCCAACTAGACGGTCCTATTCGCAAAAAGGTTGAAGAAATAATCGAGGACAAGCGGAAAATCACTGGGCCTCCAAAACCGCCAATGGCTGGGCTCTGCGTTTCCGTATACAAGGCCAAGGAATCTCAACCAGGCCACCCCGGCTACGACTGGGTATACTACGCCGGTTTTGCTACTGTAATCGTGCAGTTAGCATTGGCAGCTGTCCCTTGTGGCTTGTATGGTAACTGGGCTATACTGCTGGTGACCGTAGCAGGCATCATATTATCGTTCGCAACGGGTGCTCTTCCGCAATGGACAGAAGAGAAGTGGGCCTGTGGACGCAACTCGAAAAAGATCACCATCTTGACCAGAGGGAATGGCACCCAACACGCTATCCTAATTATTGGCGACGGCAAAGGGTTGGACCTGGAACATCTTGCCGCATCCAGTTCGATCTCTTTCGAATCGCGCCTGACTAAGTCCACTATACTCATGCTCGCGGTGCTCTGGATCCTGCTTTTGATCAACGCAGCCGGCATTCAGGAAAACACCTGGTACCTGCTCGCAATTGGTGGTATTGGCATGTTAGACAATATTCTGGCTGCAGGGGCAACACGCACCCCAGACGACTTTGGCATTCCTCTCGAGTATGTGGAGGTTATTGGTCACCATAAGGTCATGCAGGTGCTGTTCGAAGTCGAAAAACGATATCCACGTGTTGGTAAAAGCATGCTGGCTCTTTTCTTCCCGGGTCCTCTGCGAAAAGACGAGGTGACTAAATGGGACGAATTTGATAGGCAGGCGAACGCACCGAAAAAGGGTAAAGAAGAGGGAACAGAGGGAAATGAAAAGAGAATAGGGGGGAAAGAAGAGAAGGACGAGGGAAAAGAGGCAATAATCACGAAAAAGGGGGCGGTGGCGGGGTAGGAGATAGCTACATACCTAACTGGGTAGCTGACCTTGAGTGGTGATGGAGGAACTTTCATGTCTTTACAATGAATTTAGTCTTAAATGGTGGTTATTTAGCCTAACAGTTTGAGGTACTGGCGATAATCTTTGAGAACTCAGCAACCTATGTCCGACTTTCGTAGTACTTCTTAGGTACACAACTATTGTCAGACACCATATATGGGACACTTATATTATAGTCTACCTCCTAGGGGCCACGATGACTTATGGTGTAGTACTTCAATATAATTAGGGTTTTGCGAGCGATATGTTTCGCCCCTTCGTCACTGCTCTCGCCGTTGTCCACACCACACTTCGTCAACAACGTCAAGTTTAACCAAAATTCTAATATAACTTTTACTGTACATACCTAAGCCACCCTGCTCTCAAACTTTCCAACAACCTCACTAACAGACGTATTGTAGCTTCGGGAAGGGTATTATGGGGAGGTTAGATTGTGATGGTAGCTACACAGCCACTACTGCAGGAAGATATGTGGACGAAAAGGGATATATATATCTTACGATAAGCTTCCTAAGTAGGGGCACTGGTTATGGGAGCCGCTACCTACAACTTTAAAAGGTATGAAGACTACCAATGGGCGTGCTAGCAACAACTGTGTAGGTAAGTCGGAACGGATTGTCAAGAGGCGACAGCAAAATCCACGATAAAGGAGAGAACCCTAACAGTAGCAACATAAAATGTACTTGGATTTATATAGGAGGTTGTACTCTAAAGTATGTAGCGTTGCGACTTACCCCGATTAAGTTAGGTATAGTGGAGGTTCGTTTGTTGCTGCGTAACATCTCCGTCTTCTACCGGTCATCGTCTACAGTAACCTGTCTACAAGTTGGGTCTATCTTTCCACGAAGCCTACGAGCCTCTTCATAAATACCTATAACACGCATTCATGCGCGCATTTATCTCTGAGTAAGGTGAGTTAGCTAGTCCAGACCCTGTAGTCTTTTCTTTACTTCCACGCAACATGTGTAATAACCCTCATAGAAGTCAGGCAAAGCCGAGCATTATAATCATTCGGCCCAAGCCGTTGATCATTTATGGCAGGTAATTATTATTTTACTCAACGTATATCATTTCAAGCTTTGAAGGAGTAATACCAATTAGTAACGCAAAATCTCTACCTATAATAACATCCCTTTTCTTAATAGGAAAAAGGGGGGACCGATGTATTACCTTTTCGTTGATCTCAAGTATAGCTGAAATTCATTATACTGGGTTTTATAGGTAGGCTACAGGTGATAGTGAATGCATGCTGCAGCTAATAGGACCTACATTGAACAGCACCCGACCCAGCCACCACATCATTATCACATTCAGCTACTCACAATCATATATTAAAGATGGGTAAGCCTTTGTTGATATCTAGCTTCAACACTTTTCACCCTTGTCCTGTCATCTGCGTTTACGATGAAGACTAAGAAAACTACAGAACCCCCGTCCCCGAGGCAGCTACAGCCGTATCGCGGTTTAGATCACCTAGCACCTAAATTAGCCGCACTAGTGGTGTTATCTTCGCTCACAAAGAATGTTCATGCCTTCGAATCTGTCTCCCAGGATGATTGGTCCCATGGGACCCTCCTCTTGGAGTTCTGGACGACTCTACCAGACCTCCCAAGCATAGTCACCGAGTGGGTGGCGTTAATTCCACTTACGGTCTACCTATCGAATATGCGGACAGTCTATGATCTGGCGGGCGAGGTGTCGTTACGTGCGAAGTTATCGGTGAGCTTCGTACCAAAGCTATGGGAGCTAGGTAGCATTGCAAAGCTCTTGCGTGAGCGAGAGGTGTTTCTTGACAACTCCAGCTCCATGGGCGATCCGCTCAGGGTATACGATGTGCAGTGGGGTAGCGTCTTTCCCTGCTACAACAGCGCGGCAGCGGTCAGTGTTGCCGTCAATGCCTCGCGCACTATGGTACCAGGCTCGGAGATTACGCAGGAAGATCTGAACAACTGGATTATAGCACATGAGGAGGAACTCGTGCAGAAATTCCCCAGAGACCAGACTGTGGAGAAATCTCTGCCACCAGTGCAGAGCGAGGTATACTGTGGTGACGATGTAAAAGACCTCGTGGAGAGGAAGCGAACGCTTGGGCGCACCCAATACCTAAACATCATTTATGTGCCGCTTCGCGAGAAATCTGCTCTGCTCCCCGACTACCGACAACGACCATGGGTTCATCGCTCCAAGGTAGCCGCGCAAATTCTTTTGGCCGTAGTGACAGGGTCGGTCCTGCTGAGCCTGGGCTGTATTGGGACCGGCGTCATTCTGTTAATCGGAGCCGTTTCTCACTACTGCGCGCAACATGTGCAAATTAAGCGCTCTCCACTCTACCTCCGGAACCGGGAAGTCCACCAAGGCTGCATGCTTGTTGCAGCCCACGAGAACGCAACCATCTGGACGCTGTACCTAGGCGACCGCGGCATGATCGACTCGCTGTTAAACAAGCCCATGGTCGAGATCTGCAAAACTAACCCCATTGTGTTGAACTGGTTCCAGTTCGCGGAAATCCTCCAGGTCCTTGCGATGACCTACGTCGCAGGCCAGCGAGGCTGGGATGCGTTATGCCTCTTGATGGTCATTCTCCTCTGGAGTCTGACACGCTTCAATTCCCGTCACAAGCATGCGGAGACCTGGCTACAGGAGGAAGGGTTCTCGACTAGAACACTGCGATGTGAATTTCCTGGTCGGTCGGAGCTTCTTGGTGCGGTACAACTACTCAGCACTGAGCATCGCACACTCTGGATGGACGGCATCTTGGCGCCTGTCAAGCGCCGTGATGTCTGGCTCGAGAAAATCGGTGCCGTCGACAGCGACCCCGATAGTCTTTGCGAAGGCTACTCTTCGCTAAATGCCCACGATCGATACTGGGTGAGGGCCACGGGCATGCAGACCCTCGCTGGATACAATTCGATTAAAGACAAACTGTCAGAGATCGGGTCTCCGTACATTGGATGATGATGATGATATTGTTCATGTCCAAGTCGCATCTCCATAAGGAGGGAAAGCCAGAGTTAGCGTAGAGAGATCCGCCACTACGTTCCCGCCTGCGCAGGGTTCTAGCTAGTTGGCGCCGACGCTAATTACCCGCCTGGTGAACGCTAAACGAATAGGTACCTGAGAATACACGCCCAACTGCCCCTTCCCAGCAAGGAAACACTCTCATTTATTCATGTATTGATGAACTTCTTTTGTACTTAGCCAATTTTTATTCTTACTTACCTATACGATCATTTTCATAGTTTAGTTGTTAGATACCTAAGTTTCAACGAAATGAACTTACTTTTCACTTACATAAGTCATCTCGCATATCTGTGAAGAAGGAGCATTGAAGGATAAGATGTCATGTTGATCCAAGTATTCCAAAATTAGAATAAATTGATTTACCTAGAACCCATCTGTGGGCATCCACCCATCTAGATACCTACCTAGGTAGGCAAAGGATCATTCTTCAATGAAGTCTACTGTCACCAATTACGAACTCATTGGTCTCACTTGTATTGAAGAGTAAAGGCTTCCCCTTCTTCATGTCCACGAGACCTTGCCATTGCCAAACCTCATCCCCCCTTCTCTTCGTGATGATGATTGCCCGATCACACTCCATGACAAGATTGGTTCTGAAAAAGCCGCTCACTGGCGCTGATGAATGTTTACCATCGGGCACACTTAGCGGATCCCCCATCAAAATCGGACAAATGAGCGCGAAGCCTTCGAACTCTTCACGTTCAATCCGCTTGATCCGCTCGACGTCTTTATATTTCGTCCAATCGACGGATTGCTTCCATTTTTCACCTTCCTTTGCCCACCACGTGCCTTCCAGATCTCTTCTGCCATTCTTCTCTCCAGTTATAGTGGCCTTGATGCCGCCGTATGCCGTACGGGCCCAGACATTAACAGCGGTTTTGCCAGGCCTCCAGCTCTGCGTGGCTTCGTTACGCCTAAACCGTTCCGCGTTGGAGCTGATGAATGCAACGTCAACTCCATCCTTTGCGTAGATATAAGGATCATCATATTGGAAGTCATCAGTTTTGTCGTTCCCTTCAACGGGGCGAAGCAAGCCCCAAATTGCCTGAGAGTCCTCAGTTCGACTAGCATGACGTCCGGATAACAGTAGTCCTGCTGCATCCATCGGCAATGCGGCACCACTGTACGGCAGGAGCTCAACAAATGTTGATCGAATCCACAATGGAACATTTGATTCATTATCGAAGACAGAGCGAAGCGCCGTCTCCAGATTAAAGAGCTCATATGGCGTTTCCTCTTTACCCGTCCATCTGAGAAAGTTTATTCTACTCAGTTGGCCCCTATTGCCTTCCAGGAGAGTCCACGCTCGCCGATGCCAAGCGGAAACAACGAGCGACAATAGCATCGGTGCGTATTCCGGACCCAAGGTGGCAGATTTTTTGTCCCAGCAGAGTACAAGCCCTGCATCCCTGAACGTCTTATTGATTCGCATAATCATATTTTTCCGTGTGTCTGGCTCTTCCGGGATCGTGGCGCAGTCTATCCAATAGCTGTCACAATTGTTATCCCTGGCAATTTTTGAAAGGAGGTTATGGGCGCATGTTCTGATTCCATCGTCTCTTGTTCCCCATATACCATCCCTCCAAACATGAGAAACAACCAGCGTTCTGTGGTCGGCTTTTACCCACCACATCTCCTCCGGACCACACCCACGTGAGACATTGACCGCGGGCATGCCATTCATCGCGATACTTTCAAAGTTGTCCTTACTGTCTGCTGGAGGTTTTCTTTTCTCGCACTCTTTGCAGCCCAGAACGTGGTATTCTTTTGGAGGCTTATGCTTGACATCGGTATCATATTCGCACGAGTCCTCTGTGCAGTTCCTATGATCGAGCGTAACATTTTGATCATCAATATCTGCAGAAAATCCCAACTCCTCAATGAGATGATAGGGTTGAATGAAAGGTTCGATGTCCTCCCGCGTGAGGAGTCGCAAAGCTTTCTGGCAGATTCGTCCTCTGCCATGGAGATTGTTCCTGTCTAGTGCTAACTTGGCGGCCCTTCGATAGTGAACATCATGAACAATCGGTATATCACCGACACGGAATCCACGCTGGAAACCGCAACGGGCCTTGATAGCCCCTAGCAAGCAAACGGAGATATCCCAAACGCGATCCAGTTTCCATCGTTCACCTCTCGACAATTTCACTGGGCCTGGGAGCCGGCTGGTTTTATCGAGGGGTGTTTGTAGAAGGTACGTGAGGGAATTGACGGCGCGGACACATTTTTCATAGGTCTCGCAAATGTCTGCCTGCTTGAACTTTAGGTCGGCGAGTTTATTATAGAAGTGCGCGATGGCCAGAATGCAACCAGATGAATAGATTTCATCAAAGTCCCCGACATCGTTTTGGACAGGCCGATGATCCAAAATACCATGTTTTCGAGCGAGTGTTTGAGCTTGCTTGACCTCGTCGGGAGTTAGGTCCTTTACAGACAAGACGAAGTCCGCAATCTGTTTTGCCGTATAGATTTTCTCATCGGGCAGCTTTTTGTGACCTATGCTAGTGTGAAACGGGCTTTCCGTGGCGTGTGAAAAGCTTAAAGTATGGATTTGCGAAGCCATCCTTCGATGATCCTTGGGTCTAGGGGCTAATACATGTGAAAAAGAATGTAGAACGAATTTATAACGAGTCGGGCACAATGAGCCCAGGCGCCGGGAAAGCATGGTTGCGTTGGATACGATCTAACAGCCCTCAAGTGCATAAGCCTTCAGCTTGGACATTTTAAACCTGAAGATACTACACATTTCTTTTCAATACCTAGGTAGGTATTCAGCTATGATTTCATTGTTGATTATGTACATGATGTTCTGTGGCTGATGCAAGTCATTGAATCGGTTAACTTCTACCCTGGAAATAAACTTAAGTGAAATGTTTTGGTTACATCGAAGCAGTGCTACGTAGAAGTGCATTCACAGTTGACCAATATTATCATTAAGAACCGTACTCCATTCAGCGTCGAGGCTCTTACTACGTAAGGAGGCGTTATGCAGTCATTCCAGCGCGTAATACTACGAAATCTACATAATAAGGTGCTATGGGGTAAACACGGCACGGCTAGGTAGTACGGCTCATGGTTAAATAACTTAAATAAACGGTAAATATTTACTGGTAAGAAACGCTGAAAGTTTATTTTATTATCTTTGTGAAGTTATATTGCATCTGCGTGAACACAAGGCAGTTACACGAAGAATCGTTTTATCCCGAAAAGTCAGGTACCTATTGGTACTTGATACCCACATCCAATACCATTGCAAAAGCCAGATCTGGAGATCTCTCGCGATATAACCTACTGCTCATAAATTATTGCCCACTCTTCACTTAGTTGTTGGTCCTAAGTAGATTAACCATCCACGATGGATATCTATCTGGTACGAATCCGTGAGCAGCCTGGGGGCTCGCTCTATATTGATCGCAAAGCCCACGCAACAACCAATGATAACTACATCGCGATATCCCATGTCTGGGGAACCAAAGAAACTGTTCAAAAATATACAGTAAATGGTGTCCCATGTGAGAGCTCACCTTACACCGACATACTCCATCCCAAAAGGTTTCTGATTGAGTTTGTGGATAGGGGAAGTATCATTGAGTCCCGGAAAGAAAGACATCCTGTCTATCCTCCGGCGTGATGATATCTGCGGCGACGGCTGGTTCTGGATGGACCTCTTCTGCCTTGACCAATCCGAATCACCCTCCATCAGCATCGCCGACCAGCTCATGGCAATACCCTCCATATACAAGTGCAGCCGATGCGTCAAGATTCTAATAGAAAGCCCTGTATGTATGAAGTGGCAGGAGACCGCTAGTCAAGCCTTTGAACAAGGGCCTATCAATGAGGAAGCTTTCCAGGAAGAGGAATTAGCCCACGGAAGGTCATGTCCGTATCTTCTCTTTGCGGATCCATGGTTTGATAGACTATGGACGCGACAGGAAGGCTTGTATGCGTGTGTGTTAGATCTCATTATCCTTAAACCAGTGTCATGCAGGCGCCACAGTCGAGACCCAACTAGCGCTTGGATAGCACACGGGACTCTCTTAGCACATCGTTTCAGAGCGGAGACCTTTCTCCTAGACAAGCTCGCCTATCATGGCCTACAGCCACTGAAAGCGAAAGAATCATTGTTCTCCCTCTATTTCGACGTCATCTACAAACGTCATGTCAATATCACATTGGCTTACGACTGCGAGTCAGGGCCGGATCCTAAGTACAACCCCATCGTGGAGGCATGGAGGAGCCAGCGATGTACGGCCAAAGCACGCGACTACGTTCTTGCCGTGTTTCCAGACGTAGATGGGTACAATGTCCCGGTTGGGGCAAAGAAGATGAGCTTTCCCGAACTTCTACTCGATGCCATCCACCAGCCCGCAGTCTGTAGACAATTCAAATTTGCACCGAAGGTCCCACGAGGAATGGTGTCGCCCTCCGGGAAAGGCACAGAAAGCATCTTACCGTGGCTCATCGATACGCCATCCAACATTGGTGAGGCCTACGATACATTCACCGCGAACAATACGACTTCCGGGACAGACAGCCGTCCCGGGGGCATTCATGGTAATATCGAATTAGAAGATATCACCTTCACTAAATCCGGCTTGTGCGCACTCAAAGAAGACTGGAAACGTACCACGGACATCTATCGGCACGTAGTGCTTGCATCTCCTTCCGGTCCCTGTACCGGCTCGCCGCGACAGGATGTTAGCGACGACGGAGGACTTTTGCAACAGTACTTCGCGCAAGAGTTCATGCATATCGCTGTGTCGCAGTACCTACCCCAGGAAAAGATGAATGCATTGGAGCTTCAGACCAACGGTGTCCTCCCCTTTGATAGGATAAGAGACATCCCAGAGGAAGTTTATGCGCGTGAGCTGAAACGCTTCCTCGTCTGCCTGATATGTGGTGCATCGTTATTCACCGCCGACAAAGTGCTGGAGACAGCAGATGTTGTACGTGTATCGACGCTTTACGGGCCTCTGTTGGGCGTAATGCATAGAGAAACGAAGCGGGTAGCCAAGCAAGACCAGCTAATGCTCGCGTGTAGCCCAACGTGGGACCTTCAGGGTTTCTATATCGGTCTACGGGTTGGTGATGGAATGTCAGTCAGAGGCCGGACCATCATTCCGAATAGCAGTGTCTGGGACTCCATTGAAAACCTAGCTAAAACATTGGAGTCTTGATGTCTACGCTATATTAGCCATAGTGCCTCCCCCTCGGGCACCTACTTCCCCAAAATTCTAGGCTTTGGAAGGCCCATTGTGGCTTTTAGCTAGCTAATATATTGGTCCATAGTATCCTGCTAGGGCAAGGCTTCGTGTGTGGAAGGCCTGGGACGATGCAAGTATCGCCCGTTCCTGTTTACTAGATTGAATACCTCGCTTATGGCTATAATATGTGAACCAGATTAGTAACTACTACGTATGTAATACTTTGGCAGGTATTTTTGTCATAGGTTCTACCAGGTACCTACCTAGTTAGTATCTCAACTTGAGATCACCAATTTCAGGCTATCCCAGCAGAACAGTGACACCTTCGTCATCTGCTGAAACCTGTCCTACCTACTTACCTAGTATTATGCACCTTCTGAATATTTCTCTGTAGAATTGGCGGTTTTAAACGGTTTCCGCTCCGGTTACCAGCGCAATACGCGTCCTGGTGGGTCCACTGCACCGACGAAAATGATAACTCCGGTTGGCTACATGTCGTATTACCCCTCTGGAAAACACCGAGAAACGCCCTAAGAGCCTCAACTTATACAGGTTCAGCAATTGGGGTTACTCCACTAAGTGATTATCACTACCGATTTTGTGGGGTGGTAGTTTTTTGCCAGCTGAAACATCAATAGTAAGTATGAAAACCATCTCATTGAGGTTGTTCAGTTTGCTTCTGCGGCTGAGTCTATTGGGCTGCAATTTCGCTTCGTCAACCTATATTGGGCAGTGTAATAATGACTGCTTGCAGACTTGCATTTCTAGGACAAGAAAACTATCGGAGGAAACGGCATGAAATGGCGTTGAAATCTATGCACATGCCCCAATCTCGTAATGTGAGGCTTTATGAATTACGTCAATTCTGCATAGTTGCTGTCTCCAAGGACCTAGGCATACGCAGCCTCGGACTACCCCAAAAGATAGAGAAGATCTAGCAACGTGGGTGCTTGATAGTGGTGTGGTTCGTCATGTAGGTAATCTAGCCTTTGCTGCTGATGAGTCGTGCAGCGACAAGTACGAAGATAACCGTCATATAGTTTGGGCCAATTATGACCACAAAGCTGAAATTAATAGAGTTTCCACTCTACTAACCTCATCAAGTTAATTGTATAATTTGTTGAATCCTTTTCCCTAATGTCGACTTTGCTGCCGACCCCTGGCAGCCCTCCCTACTTTCTGTCCACGGCTATGGCCCATTCCTATTGTTACAGCGGCGAAGCACTAGGATTTAACTCCTTGAGATTACAGCTTATCCATGGGGTAGGCGGCGGACAGGTAAAAGTCTCGCTTCCCTAAGGGGCGGCAGGTCTGAGGGGTACTTAGATTTCCATAGGCGAATGTACTTTGAAGTATGTAACTTTACGACTAATCTTAACTAACCTCTACCAGTAGTAGAAGATCCGTCTGATCAACGGCCCGCGATGCACCGTCGTTGACTAAGGAAGTGTATCTATAAAGCGGGAGTCAAAGAAAGGAAATGCTAACTCATCAGCTGAAGAATCGTGAACCAATCAACAACAAAACTTAAAAAATTTACCAAATATTCAAGGCAAACCATCTAAGTAGGTAGGTAGGATTCTTCGCTCAACTAGCGCTATTGAGAGGTAGGTAGGTAGTTAGAAGATTAGAAAGTAAAGAGGAAGCCCGTAAATATGCCTTACGTATAATGGTAACTTAAGTGATTCGGCACTTTTCAAAGGCTAGAAAGGTATAGAGTACTCGTTAGGCAGTAGATGGAGTGTACATCATGGGAAGGTGCGACGAGCACTGTGCAAGTACTAGGTAAGATCTTCGAACTGAAGATCCAGGCTCTAAACTTTCCAACCAAATACAACATCTTCATCCCCTTTAATCTTTTCTGCAGTCTAGTTAGTCAAACCACCTTTAGACGCTTCCTTTTGACTGGTTCTATAAGCAGGTCTCCGTGAAGTGCGAAGTTCGTTGAGAACTCCAGTAGCTCAAGCGGTGGATTTGTTGGATTATAAACACTGTGTGGCTAGGTCCTGTATTCAAGTTGACTGGATACTGTGGCGGGATGTGGCTGTGCTTATGCAAAGGGAAGGAATTAAGCAAGAAAAGTTTCAACACCTATTACACAACATGAGCGCCGACTCTTAGATGACCGCGATAGGAAATTTCTTATAAAGATTTCGCTGGAACCCTACCAACTACATACATGAAAATACTCGCAATCTACTATGTAAGCCCTGCATGTACGTCTCCGTCTTACATGATTGATACAGTGGGCAGGCGCCCATGTATGCCGTCTTCCGCATAGGTTGTAGGTTGAACCCAAATGCCGACTACCTGATAGTCGAAGCACTCTTGCTTATCTTCTGAAGGTGCATCTCGAATCAATATCTCAAACATCACTTCCCTAGGACACATAAAACGCTGCCCACCCGGAGGATCTATGCAGACAGTGAAAGTCGAGATGTTAGTTTGGTCCTGATAATGTATACTTGATAGACCAAGTCTCGGCGGCATTCCCTCGGAACCAAAGTCAACCACCAGGCGAAGACCTTTCTGCTGGCATAAATCCATATCTAGTCCACAGACCTCGCAAATGATTTGATAGAGGATATCATGATGATCCTCTGCTCGATCCCGCGTCAATTCCTGCAGGAAGAACTCCGTGTCAAGGGAGATTGAGGGTAATTCTCCCCAACCTTTAGCCACCATTCCTATCGAGTTAGTAATATCTTCCGGTATAGTTGGCAACATACTAATTAGAGAAATGATAAACTTATAAAACCCCGGTGCCGCGTTACGGATTCCAACACCCTGTGGTAGCATCAACAACAGAAGTTGAAGTGGTCCGCTGCCCCAATGCTGGCAGACTGTTGAAGTGAACTGAATGACATCGGCCGTAGAAATATCGCCAAATGTCGTCTTGAAGTCCATTGGGTGCGAGCATGAAAGGGGATTCAGATTATTGATAGACGAGTTCATTTTCAAGGACAGTTGACGGGAGCTGTCAACCTTATACGGATCCGATGAGCAAATCAAATTAGCGTAAGCTTTCTTGGTGTTGTTGATCCTTGAGTTGTTGGTAGTTGGCATGTAGTGAGTCGGTCTCCAAAGGAAACTTGATGGAGATGAACCGTCGGAAGGTTTTGCGGGATCGCTGAAAAGCCCTGCGGGTGCAGTTGTAACCAACGAGATGCCCCATTTGTTCTCGAGTTGGCAAACGGCATCTTCCATAAGTTCATATAATCCCATTTGCTTATAATTTAACGGTAATGCGTATCTGGGGCAATCAACCCAAACAGCAACCACGAGATCACGCTCATCCGTGGTATTTCTGTTGTTGGCCATTATCGTATTGAGGAGAAGGAAGAATCTTCTTAGCTTTTGTTCCTCGGTCATGTCGGAATTGCTTTTAGAAGTATCGACCAGTTCCTCTCCACACAAGAATCTGGTAAACACCCCCCATATTTGTTCTTCGCGAATCGTATGAATGTGTAACCATGTCAGTAGACATAGGCATGATTCCTTGTATGAATCTGTTGCTTCCTGGTCGAGTCGAAACTTAGTACTGATAGGGCAGCCTCCTTTCGTGTACCCCCTTTCCGCCTTATCAGCTAGTTTCAAGCTGGAGTTATATCGAAGCTTTGCGGTTATGTTAAGGTTGGGTCGCAATGCGTCGATAATGTCGTCGTCATCAGAGGCCGCCATTCTCTTGCCTGGACAGCTAAGCGGCTTAGGGGACGTCCATCTTACTTTTATATTCCGCGCATAAAGGAGTTCCTGTCGGGTCCACACTCGCTGAAACCAGTTTGCGTATCCCATATTGTTCCAACATGACATCTTCTTCCCTCCTGACCCGATTTTATCCGGATTAAAACGTGGAGACGAATTTCCATACGTGTCATCACGTTGAAGACTTTTCCATCCTTCTTCGATGCATTCGCATAATGCACCTGGCAGGAGCACCAAGACGCTGTAAGTGCGATATATGTCGGGGATTTTAGCGAGAGACTCTCGTACGTCTTCATCGTCGTCCTGTTGAATCGACAACTGATCGATCCAGCAGAATTCATTGGCTCTGAGAGATGTATCAGGTAAGGAGACACAGCATATATCCCGCAACGTAGTGATGAGGTCATGATATCCAGTTCCTGAAACCCATTCTTCTCCCAGAGTCATCACTGTATCCGATCCATCTTCAAAGTGACCAATCTTCTGACTTGTCCTGTTAAACTCGCCCCATGTGTACGAGATTGCGGTAGCATTGCCTGGCTTTAGGTCGACGAGTTTCCTTCGCACAAGGAGGTGCAGTTGATGGCCGAACCGACAATCCCGGTCGTGGCAAAATGAGAAATTCACGACTCGAGCTTGCGGTATCGAGGAAGATATACCCTCATTCAAGTTGTTGGTTCGCTTATATTCATTCGTAGGTCTAGGCGCGGGTTCCAAAGTAGCTGCCAGTTGGCCAGGAACACATGCTGGGGTAACCCTAGGAAAAGTTCAGTATCTTGATCTCATAGGGGTACTAACGATTAACAGGGAATATTTACATTGTAGGTCCGATTGTCGGTTCCCCGCCGGTCGCCTGTTGCATGAACGAACTGGCGTCATCAAGGTCGTCCTGCGAATGGGTGCAGTCATACTTCATGCACCACATTGTAAGGCAGTCGCGGATTTGAGGATCACGCTGAGGGTGGTCTAGAGAGGTGAGACTGACCATTTCCTGGGTTCGGTTAATTGCTCCCTCGATATCGTTTATCGACCTTGTATGCAGGAATCTTCTGGTCAGTAGTACAATCTGGTCGTTGAGACGAGCCATATAATAAGGGTCGTTGGCGTCGGGCATTCGTTCTTCAGCTTCGCCATATGCCTCATTAAGGTCTTCGAGGGCGTCAGTTTTCAAATATATTGAATAACTAACATGGCCGGCTGGTCTCTTGTCTTTGATAAGGCGCAACTGCTCTACATTCATGTCGTCGAGTGAATGCGATCCTGTCTTGTCTGCACGCCCATCTAGGTCCCCGTAATATTGAAAAATGCTAAAACATGCATCGCGAATAGAGCGACGCATGTCTGTTAGTCTAGAGATCTGATGGCCCCAACTAGCAAGCGCTTCTCTCAGGAGGACATGAGAATCACTGAAGGGGATGTGGTTATCGTGGCTAGGAGTGAGACTGATCGTAGTCTCTGGGATCGACGCGATGGTGTTATTGTTCGGTGTCAAGGAGGGTTGCGATTGTGTCCCTTGATCTCCAGATAACCGGGGATTCTTCGATGTCAGTTCCGTTTCTTGCTCTCGCTTCCTCTTTCTGATTTCTACCGGTCGTTCTATGTCGCTTGGCCCCTCCATTTCGAGTTTCTCCAACTCTTTACTGGTCTCGTCTAATTCTTTCTGCAGTTGGGCTCTCTTTTCCCGAGTCCTAATGACCTGAGAACGGGCGGTTAGTGATGTTAAATAATGCACCTTGAGGTATGCTCACAATATCACTGTCATCAAGAACTCGTACGTCCGCATTATCTGGCATGGTGGTGGTCGAGGGCGTACGATGTAAGGTTATTGATGTTGCGATAAAGATTTGTATACTTGGGTTGCTTCTTCGGTATCTATCTGCAGCAGCAGCAGCAACCGCTCAAAAGCCGTTATTTATGTCTAGAATTCCAAATAACAGACTTGAGAGTACGTCTTTTTGAAATCTGCCTCGCGTGACGAATATACACAGAGAAAAAGGCCATCGGCATAGCATTTCTGTGGCCTAATGGACCGGTTGCACGACAACACTTCGCCCCCTTAGGCATACTTGGGCAGAAGGATATTGGATAAGGTTGCCATTATAGCCCCATAAGAGGATAGCTATTGCCAGGAACACGTATCAAATCAAGATATGATTCTGCATAGAGCCTTTACCTCTTAAAAGATGTATATTATTCTCCTGGAGCTGATAGTCGTACACAGTCGGTGGCTTGGGGCCTGGGCAGGCTATCGTGGCGAAGGCTGGACGGTACCGTATTGGCACAGGTCATGAAAGTGTGCGCATATATTGCACGCTTCTCTGAGGTTTGGCAGAATCTCTATAACTGATGAACTGGCAAGGTCTTCCCACCCTCTGTATTGGTATCCGTTGGTAGGTATCTGGTTTATGGATATGACTCGTCACAAAATCAAGCCTTCGGCCTGGCTGTGGTAGAAAACTAGTAAATGTTGTGACACCGGTAAACAGCTTGCTAGCGCCATTTTGTGATCCGAAGTCCACGTCGGTTTCCCATCGCATCTCACCGCATCCAAGTTGGGCAGCTCGGCAGCTCGGCAGAGCCCGATAGCTTCGCCTCTGCACTGCACATCAGGGTTGGGTGTGCGCAGGATGGCGTAGATAGGGTGATCAAAATACATGTCCCTAGATAGTAGTTTGGATCGGTGACGCCGGCGACTATGATATGGCCTACACTCATTGGTAAGTTCTGTTCTATGTATGAGGCGTCTAGTATCTATGTATAGTAGTGGTTAGAGGTAAGTGTGGTACTTCTGACGTAGTTTGGTAGACGGAGAGGAGGGCTTGGGTACCTGAGAAGGACACTTTACTTGTTGGCCACCATGTGACCGCTGAGTCTTCAACTACCGAAAGCTGCATACAGCCTTACGCGCAATGAGGAGACAAAAGTCGGTGACTTGTTTTTGCCTTGTTTTTCTCTCCAGCCGCCAACCACGTCGAAGCATGATTTGGCCTGTCATGCTAGATCCGGAGATCATATGGGCTGTAGACTTAGCATGTTTCGTTGTCAATTATCCGACTCTGATGTGATATTCGCCTTTGGCAGGTACTAGTTCTTCATGCCCTTTTCTACTCGCCGCCCCCGGTCGATTAACCTACCAGGCGCCGCGATGCCATCACTCGCAGAGAAACTTGGCGGTGACGTTGTCGCTAGGGAACTTGCGCAGCTGGTTGGATTACGCCTTACGCCGGTTGTATTCTCGTTCAGTACGAGTCTCTTCCGCTGTACCTTGCCCTCTATACTCTTATAAATAAGCCTTCCAATAAGCATGTAAGAAAAAAAGACAACTCCGGACAGCAAGTTCATCGGGACCCCTACAGATACGAATTCAAATTCCGTCGCGAGCCGTGTTGAGGATATACTCAATCGGAAAAGGGGTTAATTGAAAAAAGGGGGGCATAAGAGGGAAATGCAGTGCCGGAGCTGCGACCCAAGGCCGGGCTCTGTACTTCTACCAGTACCTATCTACAAGGCATGGAAGGTAAGTAGGGTACATCTAGGGTACCATGCTTCGTATGTTACTGGCTGCCTCGCCCGCCTAGCCTAGCTGGAAGTATCTGCCATATCGTGCAACATCTTGGGCAACTGGAGCATCCTGCTGGTGACGAATGTAACTATCATCCTAGCTTTCGCAATGGAAGCCCTCGTATAGCAGGTAAGAGAGAAGTAGGGCTATTTTGACAAATCAAAAGGTCGTTCATGATGACCACAGGAAATAAGTAGCAGCCAGCATCGGTTTAGATCTCGAGGTTCTCGCCGGCTGTCAAGGCAGGTAGGTACCTACCTATGTTTGCGTTATTATCTATCAGGGCGGCCCTCATCGCTCTCGACACCCTCTAGCTTCTCCTCCCCGCCACAGCCACGGGAATCTTAGAAACACTTGATTTTCCCCTGCAGTTAGCGGATTGAGCATTGCCTAAAACATGTACGTTACTAGGAAGAGTTGTTCGCCCGGGTTCTTTACTTGGTCCTTTAGAGTTTGCGTCAACAGTGTTGACATCGCCTACAGTCGTAACGCCTCGCTAGCAATTATAATTTCTCCCCTCCGAATATCTCTATATCCTCCGTTACCTGCTTCCACACTAGCTCCTCCTTTTTTTCGTGACCAGGAGGTCATCGCGAACCATCCACGGCCTTTTCCATAGCTCACCATACTGTTTGTACCGTTTATGCTTGAGAAATGCACGATGACGAAGCCAGGGCCCCTCTAGAATACATGCCGCATGTACTCTACAGTAGGGGAGTCGTGGAGGTGTCAGTGATGGCGGGCAGCGCGGCTACGTGAGCATCATCTCGGCTCTGCTGCAGTAGCACCAGGTGTACCGTGCACAAGTCTGATGATCGGATGGGCAAGATACCTAAATTTGAACATTCAGATTGTAAAGTTGAATGAGCTTCAAATAGAATTATTGTCGGGTAGCTAGATTATTTTCCTATGAGGGGTGCGGCGTTGGAGATATTGCTTTCGAGATTTCGGAGACTTGCATCGATCCATAGCTCCTGATTGCAAAACAATCTGAAATAGTGAACCTGTCACCTCCTTTCTATTTTAAAACCATGATCTTCGCACGAACATCGTCGCCCTGCATATCAACTAAAGTTCCCGTCCGAAGACCGCTTCGACCTTCCTCTCCTCCATTCCCTTGGCAACATCTCATCATCGTCGTACACACAATTCCCATTACCAAATACAAACGCCTCCCCAACGCCACCTACCGACTCCAGACGCTTTCACTACGAGAACTTCCCCAGCGCCTTAAACACCACCTGATACTAAACAAACGTAGAAACAAATCATATGCACAAAATAGGAAACGCGACACGTGCCCAGCTTCCCTCCTTACAAACAATTACGTACACGAGAGTTGAGCCATACACGACCCCCGGCATAAGCAAATTCTGGGCGCTGTCTCAAGCTTTGCCTGCCCAGCCTGCCCTAACCCTTACCCGCGGCTCCGCGAAAAGTCGCGTTTCAGGAGATGAGGATGCCAAGATGCCAAGATTTAAAGCTCTCTGCGGATATCTCGAGTGCCGGTTTCCCGTCGTGGGACCGGCTGAAGCTTAATCTTTCGCAGCTAGAAAGCGGAAGACGGTAAGGGGGGCGATGGTGAGGCAAAGTGTGGCGGCGATTCTCGTTCCCGTTGAATAATGCATTTTATCATTACCATTCGGTATCATTATCATTTTGTGGATAGGTGTTTTGTAAATTTTTGTAGAATTTGTTCTCGCTATATTCGCACTCATTATGTCGCCGTAGCTTTGATGTACTCAGTTCTCTCTCATTCCGAACGTGTGCGCACTATGGTACAGTATAGTAGTAGATAGGTAGTCTTCGGATTCGCTCAAGTGATATAGAATTGCTTTAGAAAACCAAATCTCCTCTTCCATCTATTCCTCCCCGTCCAACGTAATAGTTCATTAAACTCCTCAACTGGCCGACCAAGCCCGCCGCCATCGTCGTATTTTGTAGTCGCTCGTCTCCGCCAGGGGCCTCTTCTCTCAGCATTCTGATTCGGCAGAACCTCCCCCTGTCTCGACTCGACTTTTCGCTCTTTTGTATACGCGCATAAGGAGATATCTCGCTCTTAAATATGATGTGATGTGTTTGTGTGTGGAGGAAATCGCGCTTATGATGACGGAAAAGGGGGGACCGAACGTAACCCGCACCTGGAATGATGCTGATGATGCTTTGATACCGATGCTTGCGGTAAGGACTGTGGTGTTGTAAAATTACACTTCACGTACGGAAAACAACTCGCGGTATTTGACAAGGGAGCCCTTCCACGCAATATGATAGTCCAGCTGACGCCCCTGGTCCCCGCCACATACCCATTAATCCGTGCCTATGTTTCGTTCACTACCCGTCTCGTCTCGAGTAGCTGTTCATTAGAAGCAACAATCCGATGCTGCTCCTTGGGGTATCGCGGTCTATTATTTTTCGTTCTCCTTGTCTTTGAATCGACTCGCGGTTCGTAAGTGGTCGTTCCTTGGGACTGCTTTAAGCGAAAGCGCCGACGATGGACATGCCAGCAGCTGTTTCACAGTTAGCTGAGTGCGAGACGAGTATGAAAGTTAGGTGATTATTTACCTCCGAGAAGAACGTAGACGAAAGCGATCTTCTTTTGCCTCATGGTCAGAACACGTTGAGATTCATCGGAAAGGAAGTCCTCGGCGAGAAGATCAACCAAAGCCGCGTAGATAAGAAGACCAGAAGAGCTGCGAGGCATTAGCAAATATTAAGTTAAGTCGGGCTTGTAGAACATACATCGAGTTGAAGACACCGACGATAATCAGACCGAAGGCGCTGTTGGGGTCGTAGCTGTTGCGTGCAATCAGGCCGATGGCCTGTCCGAGGGGTGCGGTAGTTCCGAAAGCGAAAACCAGCAGCCAAGGTCGGATGCTGCCCTTGGGGTACGGCACGGCTGCGATACGAGAGCCTAGACCGAGACCCTCGAACATCTGGTGGAACAGGATGGCAATGAGAAGGACGACGAAACCTTCGATGGTAATGGAGACGGTCATTCCGACGAAGACGGAGTGGAACAGGATACCACCTTCTAGCAGGGTAATGTTCATTGACATTCTCTTGTAGACCAAGGGGTCGATAGGCTGGCCCTCCTCGTCAAACATGCTCGTCTCGGAAATCACGACATCTTGTTTAGGAGCCTCGACTTGCATACTGCTAGGGCTGCTGGTGGTGCTGGTCGCTTTGATCATGTTGATGAGCTCGAGACGCTGGCGAACGTATTGCTCGTAGAAGACGACGAACCATGGGGGCATTTCGGATTGAGGAAGGTCGAGCTCATTAGCCGCGGGGTCGGGATACTCGTACTGCTGCTGAGCCATCCTCTTTTCGTAAGAAACGTCATCAGCCTCGAAGCTATTCCGACCTGGGAATCGCTGGGGGCGTTGAGGGGCAACTGGCGCTGATGCGTTGGTCTCGATGCCGGTGGCACCACCGTGAGAGTGACCGCCCATTTTGTTGTTCATCCACATCTCAACGACGAATAGACAAAAGAGTGAGGCCATCATGATGACACCGGGGAGCGGGGGGTAGTCTGTGGTGAAGATGTCCGGAAGACATGGGTCCGAAAGACTGAACCAGGCTGTGGGAAGAAGCTGATAGTTGTTAGATGGGACGAACCCAAAGTGGGTGATCAACAACGTACATGAACGAAAGCAGTTGCTATTAGGACACCCGTTCCGAAATGTTTGCAAGCAAAGAACACCTTCTCCGGGACCTTGAGCCAGCTGATTTTCTTCGCGGCTACGGGAAACCCAGCTCCGCAGACTGACGCAAGCAACACAAGAACTGAGAATACAATATTAGTTGATTACAATTCGAGAAATCAGAAGAGTTTTTGTCACTTACAAAGACCGACTGTGTGCAGAGCCACGTCGTACTCTCCGACTTCCTTACCACCGCCACAAACGGGCTTCATATCTCCCATATCTTCTGACGACATGTCTGTTTGATTTGTTTTCTAAAAAAGGAGGAAGAGAAGTGAATGACAGTCGGGAGTCCGGCGACTGGTAAAAATGAAAGTGGAAAATATTACAATAGAGAACGGGCAACAATACGAAGCCGTCCGGCGACTCCTGTGCGTAGAATGGGATAACAGACGAAGAGGCTTCAATCCTCACGCCAAGAGAAGGGAAGGTTAAAAGGAAAAGAAACCGAAGAGAATGTAAAATAGAAACGATACCCCTAACACTCAGTCATGGACACGGCGCATAAGAAAAGAATATCAAGCAGAATTTCTTGGAAGATCTGGCAAACCTATGCTTTAATATTGTCTTGTCGCGTCAAATCTTGCCCGACGATCCTCGGCTATTCTTGAGACGAATACCCATGATGTTCGATGTCGAGATCTGAAGTATGTATGCAGCGTTGATCCAATCTTCAACGTATGACAGAGGGCAGCTAAGGCAACTCGACGCTTGCGAGCCGGATACCTTGTTTTAGACAAGGCCATAATCTTTGGTAAACCGCAGATCAACCCAGTCAATGCCTTCGAGCTGTTTCACAGAGACTTTTTCGATGGTAACGGAGAGCCAGCAGCATGGAATCTCTACCAAACTTAGCATCACGACGTCGACGATCATGCCCGTGCTGGTGCGAGCTTGGCTTGAGGCTCACCTTGAAGGGGTCCACCATAGCGACCGAGATCCATTTTACTTGGCCGAACTGGTCGAATAGGTTACGCTCTATTATTACTTTCCTCCGTTGTTATTGCAGTATCATTTTCCAGACTGAGAAACCATATATTTGCTTTGGAGGCTCAGCGGCAGTCGAAAACACTACAAACAATGAAGGTCGTAGGGTTGAAACAAGTTCCACCTCCCCTACAATTTACTCACGATAGTAAATTTTGATGCCACTCACAGCAGTCCCTTTTCCGATACGGCTTCAAAGTATGTCGTACGTACATATTTCGCAGGAGTAAGGCGACTAAGCGCAGGGTATCCGCGGCTGTCATACCTTAACTCAGTCTTGACTCTTCAACAGGTCGGGGATTTGTGTGATTGTCGTCGTCGCCCCGTATGGAATAAGCATTTTCGAACCGCACGGGGAAACAAGAGGCTTCTTGGCAGCTTGGCAGTATCAATATTTGTGGGCTACGATAATGCGGCTTTAGATATCTAGTGTGGCAATATTAAAGGTTAGACGATGTGGACGGTGCCCAAAACAACGCAAGGCTTGGCAAACAAAGAGTCCGGGGTATATAGACCAGTTCTGACCAATGCGGTTGCGACGTTGGGGTGGAGGTGAGCTTAACTGCCAGCCTTGTCGTGACAGATAGGACATGATAGTCACGGCATTCGTGGCCTCCGCTTGAATCGAAACAATTTTTAGCCCAATTGGACATACCGTATTTGATAAAGATCGGCTCACTGCCGATGTGAGAAATCCTTCGCCAAGAGGACTGTCGTTTGAGGCCGATGGAAAGTTGCGGTCTAAGCGGTGTTGATGGGGCCTAGAATAACCCGGACCGGCATATGACCCCCTGTCTAATAATCTTTTTAGCACGGGGTTACCTTGCTGCCCTGATTGAGAGAAATAGTGATGTCGTAGAGCTACGAGATAGGCGGACAAGGGCGGGATAAGCATTCCAAATGACCTAGATGCATAGAGAGTTGTCCTGGAAAAGACGCGGTATGCCGTCATTGACTCTGTGGAGCGTAATAGGGTTGTAACGGGGCGCATTGCTACCTTAGACAGCGGTTGGCTCCCTCACAACTGGCTTCCGAGCCACGTTTGGATATAATATGAATCTTGTGCGTGCAGAGATCGGCCTCTCCCACTTTCATTCGGAAACATTTTTTGTATTGCACCCATCACGCCTTCGCAAGCATAAACTCCAAGATGGCGAATCAGGAATCGCAAAACACCTCTAAGCCATCAGGTCAGTCGTTTTTCATCCTTCTACACTCGTCTGATCCTGTTATGAGGCTCCATGGAAACATCCACATCCGGCGCGTTCAAGTGTTTTGAATTATTTTTACCCCCCATATTAGAGGTGCGGTGAAAACGTCGAGGTACGGACCGACTAACTTCAGGTGAAGACACAACCACGCAAGCAGCTGCAGGTGCAGGTACCGTAGTATCGGCGACTGCTGCAGCACCCGGGGGAACGGCCTCACCCAAGGATGTTAACAATAATAACCAGCCACCCACGGTAGCAATTGAGGAGCCAGCCGCAGCCCAGTCACCTGGAGCGACGTCCTCCGCGTCCGAGGTCAATCCAAATGACCCGATGAACTTTGGTCGTCATCGCCGCGAGAATGTCTCTAAGCGGCAGATGAAGATTGACCATCCAAATGGAAACAAGAAGGCTCTGAAGAAGTTCTACTCTAGGCAGAATGAACTTATCGATCAATTTCTAGGTGCCGATGATGAGGAACGACTGCAGGTTGAGGAGGACGTCCGAGTGGCTCCGAAGATCAAGTTTGCCGTCAATGCCTCCTTTACGGTAAACTTCTGCCTCTTCGTAATTCAGCTCTATGCTGCTATCTCGACTGGGTCGCTATCGGTAAATGACCCTGGGTGCGAATATTCCTCTTTAGTGAACATAGTTGACCGTTCTGATAGCTGTTCGCAACCGCTGCTGATGCTTTTGTTCGTAACTTCTTGAAATGCTGATGAAGTGCTGCTTGTTGACCCCAAAGACAGATGGACCTTGTCTCGTCTTTTGTAATGATGATAACCTCGCGCATGGCAGCTAGAGCCAGCGTCTATAAGTACCCGGTTGTAAGTACCCATTGATGATATGACTATCAAGGTGTCCAGCATGCTCATAGCCACGTAGGGCCGCACCAGGATTGAGACTATCGGAATTATCCTCTTCTGCGCATTGATGACTACTGTTGCCATCCAACTGCTTGTGAGTCCACTCTCCGTGGCGTTTCAGCCTCTCGGGATCGATCGCTCTGACCCTTGGCCTATAGATCGAGTCTGCGCGCACCCTCGGTGGCGGGCCGAGCGAATCTGATGAACTCCAACTCGTCCCCATAATCTTTGTGGGCGTTGCTAGTAAGATGTCTTGTACTGCTACTGACAGATCGTGGTTAACAAGGATGCAGTCTTTGCGAAGGGAAGTCTCATGCTTTACTGCCTTGCATATCGCAGGTACCCATCGGTTCACGTCTTCTTCGTAAGCTACCCCCTAATGACCCTCGGGATGCTGCTACTGACTCCGAATAGGTCGACCACCGAAATGACATTGTTGTCAACTCATTCGGTTTGATCATGTCGATAGTTGGTGACCGATTTGTTTGGTACCTGGATCCTATCGGAGCCATATGCATCGCCCTCCTGATCCTCTTCTCGTGGATCGCCAATGCATTCGAACAAGTCTGGTTACTTGTGGGGAAATCTGCCCCAAAGGAGTTCGTCTCAAAAGTCATCTACATGAGCATGACGCACGACCCCCTAGTTCGGAAGGTGGATACAGTAAGTCGACGTCGAACCACACTTTTCAGGGAGGGGTGCTGACAGAAGTCTTAGTGCCGAGCATATCATGCCGGGCAGAACTATTACGTCGAAGTTGATATAGTCATGGACCAAGACGTTCCCCTCAAGATCTCTCACGACGTGAGCCAATCTCTTCAGAGGAAGCTCGAAGGTAAACTACCCGCTCGGGCAAGATAACTGTTAGCTAGAAACGTGCTTACTAATAACACTTTAGGCTTGAGCGATGTCGAACGAGCATTCGTCCACGTCGATTATGACGACGACCACGACATCCACCAGGAGCACAAGCCCCTGTACGAAGAGAAGAAGCAGGGCAGAACTCTCAAGGACATTTTGCTCTTCCGAAAGAAACAAGGCGAGGATATACTTCGAAATGAGGATAGATCGAGATGACGAGGGAGTGCCATTCTGTTCACCCATTGCAATTTGAACTTCGACACAAGAGGTAGGACCTAGGGGTTATAGACGGTAAGGGGTTAGTAGGTATAGAGGCGAGCTACGAGGCTGCGTTCGCTCGCAGGGATCAAAATCGAAGCTACGGATTTAACTATCGAACAAAAAAAGAGGTTGGTTGGTTGGTTGATTGATTGATTGATTGAGGTTATTCAAGAGTTGGTCTACCAACGAGGAAACGAATAATATGTGCGACGTGCGATTTTTCATTCTGTACCTATAATAGCGATGAGCGATGAGCGACCAGACTTCATTTCACCAGCGGATACGATTTTTGAGCGCGACCTTTTTGACGGAAAAAATAGAACACACATTCCCTCAAATTATAGTTGAAACAGTGAAGATGATGTTTGAATTTGATTAAAAAAAAAAAACACCGAACCAAGCCATGCAGATTCAAGGGTGATCTTGCCCTTTTTCATGATGCTCATGCTGATGTAATACACTGTAATCGTCATTGTGGCACCGTCGTGGCTTGCACTGGAACTACCTAGGTACATTGTATCTTATCGTATGATTAGAAACGAAAACCTTCCCATTCGCAGCTTCACCCGGGCACCAATTTCTCCTTCTAGAGGGAATCCTCTCCTCACCAAGCCCAAAATGTCGCTCTTAATACCCGGGCTGCGCAGGGCGGCGACTAAGCTAGCTCCCAGCCCGTTCGTCTGCCGTCAATGCCTCCGCCAGCAGCCGAGGGCAGCTCCGTCGCGGATCCTCCGGCCCTCGCAGGCGCGGCATGCCAGCACCGAGTCGCAAGCACGTTTTGCGAGGTACTTCACATCTTCGGCTATTCCTACCGGAACAACGACAACGAATGCGTCCTCTCAGGCGGGGAAGAAAGCGTTCCCCGAAACGAGCTCCAAGGGCGCGGGGTACTGGCTGATCGGCAGCGCCGCGAGCGTCTTCGGCATCGTAGTGTTCGGGGGTCTCACACGGTTGACCGAGTCAGGGTAATAATGCTCTTTTTCCTCCTCCAATCGCAACACTAATCATTCCAACCCACCCCTCGCAGCCTCAGCATAACCGAATGGAAGCCCGTGACGGGGTCCCTGCCGCCCCTCACGCAAGCCGACTGGGAATCCGAATTCGAGAAGTACCGCGCGTCGCCCGAATTCCACCTGCTGAATTCGCACATGGACCTCGAGGAGTTCAAGAAGATCTACTTCATGGAGTGGACGCACCGGCTGTGGGGGCGCTTCATCGGGCTCTCCTTCGTGCTGCCCTCCGCGTACCTGATCGCGCGGCGGCGCGTGTCCGCGCGCGTGGCGGGCCACCTCGTCGGCATATCCGCGCTGATCGGCTTCCAGGGCTTTATAGGGTGGTGGATGGTCAAGTCCGGCCTGAAGGACGACCTATTCGCGCCGGGCTCGCACCCGCGGGTGTCGCAGTACCGGCTCGCGACGCACCTAGCAACAGCGTTCGTATGCTACTCGTGGATGCTCCTCGTCGGGCTGCGCATCCTGCGCACCTCGCGCCTCCTCTCCTCGCCCGCCTCCGCGCAAACCCTCATAACCGCACTCAAGAACCCAGCGCTAACGCCGTTCCGGCGCTCGGTCTCGCTTCTCACGGCCCTCGTTTCCGTGACCGTGCTCTCGGGTGCGCTAGTCGCCGGCCTCGACGCGGGGCTAATCTACAACGAGTTTCCGAAGATGGGGCTCGGCCTCACGCCGCCCGCCTCCGAGCTCTGGTCCAAGTTCTACTCGCGCAAGGAAGACGAGTCGGACCTCTGGTGGCGCAACATGCTCGAGAACCCGAGCTTGGTGCAGCTGGACCACCGCATCCTAGCCACCACGACCTTCTGCGCGGTTCTCGCCCTCTTCGCGTACTCGCGCACGGGGCGCGTGGCCGCGGCACTGCCGCCGAAGGCGAAGAAAGGGGTGTTGGGCGTCGTGCACTTAGTCTCGCTGCAGGTCGCGCTGGGTATCAGCACCTTGATATACATGGTCCCTATCTCGCTTGCGGCGGCACATCAGGCGGGGAGCTTGGCGCTGTTGACCGGAGTGCTAGTTCTCGGACACAGACTGCGGGTACCGAAGTCGACGATTGCTATCGTGCAGAAGAGGATTGCAGCGGCGGCGAAGACGCGGTAGTTTCCGCGCACAATAAAATAGAGAGTAGGAAATAGAACGTTAAAAGGGGGGAAAAGCGGGTATATAGGATGATGACTACGACGTTCACTGGACATATACCACGTATTTTATGTAAGACTTATCACTTCTCATGATGACTTCTTATTTTTATCCCGTCCCATGTACGATGCTACTCTGATAATAGTAGAGCATGTCGTAATACTATGGCTTGGTATAGCATAGCATGCTTTTGACTATCTAGGATCCCAGAGATTATTGTACAAACGCCGTAGACCATATACAACCAAAATCACCCCGACCAAAACAGGGTTTCGTCCTAACCGAGGCCAAAGGTACCTGTGCCTATTTGTGGGCTAGAGCGAATAGTTAGCACATTAATTCAGTATTAAAATGGTATGAAATACTCACGAATTCCCTCCAAATGCACTTGTGGTTCCTCTGCGCCCTCGACAGGGACCTTGTCCTTCTTCTGTTCTGGATTCATGAAGGGGAATAGCAGCACCTCCTTGATACTGTAGTTATTCGTTAAGAACATGACTAGTCGGTCGATACCTAGACCCCATCCAGCGGTCGGAGGTAAACCGTACTCAAGAGCGTTGAGGAACGTCTCGTCGATCATTTGAGCCTCGTCATCACCCTGAGCCTTCTGGCGCGCCTGCTCCTCGAAACGGAGTCGCTGCTCGAATGGTTGGTTCAACTCAGTGTAAGCATTCGCAATCTCCTTCTTGCAAACGAAGGCCTCGAATCGCTCAGTCAGACCAGGCTTGCTACGGTGGTCCTTGGCTAGCGGAGACATGATCTTGGGATGCTCAGTGATGAAGGTGGGGTTTACGGCAGTTTCTTCGATGAACTCGCCAGTCAACCGGTCGAGCATTCGTGCAGTTGTCTGGGGCTCGGGACAGACAACGTTAACCTTCTTCATGACCCCCTTGAGCCACTCTCTCGTCTCGTCGGTGTGAAGCTGGTCACCGGGAGGGAACTTCTCTCCAGTCGCTTCCTCAAGAGCAGGAATCATTTCCACTCGTCGCCACGGCGCCTCCCAGTTCACGTTGTACGTCTCGCCGTGCTGTGTGGTAAATGTGGTCGTGTAACCGCCCGTGAGCTGCTTGACAAGACCGGAGACAAGCTCTTCAGTTCGGTGCATCAGATCGTTGAAGTCAGCATAAGCTTCGTAGAACTCGCAAGTAGTGAACTCTGGGTTGTGAGTTAAATCGGCACCTTCGTTACGGAACAGGCGACCGATCTCGTACACCTTGTCATATTCTCCAACAATCAACATCTTGAGAGGCAACTCTGGAGCAATTCGCAAAAATACGTCCATGTTGTAGTCGTTAAGATGAGACTCAAAGGGCTTGGCGGTAGCACCACCAGCAATCTTGTTGAGGATAGGGGTCTCAACCTCTTCAAAGCCGGCATCGTCGAGGTAGCGGCGGATGTACTTGATGATCTTAGTACGGGTGCGATAGGTGTTGGCGGTCTTGGGGTTCATGATGAGGTCAAGGTATCGCTTGCGGTACCGCTGTTCCTGGTCCTTGAAGCCATAGTATTCGTCGGGCAATTGGTGAAGGCAAGGCGATAGTAGGACGATCTCAGTCGCAAAGATGGAGAGTTCGCCCTCCTCGCCCTTCTCAAGCTTGGTCTTAGGAGCAGTTCGTCCCGCGTAGCCGACGACTCCAATGATGTCACCACGTCGGATGTGGTCATGCTGCTTTTCGAAAGATGGTGCACCATCGCGAACTTCCTGGGCCTGACACATAATCTGGGCCTTTACGCCATTGTTACCTCGAATATCGTAGAAGAGAAGCTTGCTACCCGACGCGCGCTTGTTGTATATTCTACCAGCCACCTGCAGAGTCTTGGTCTTGTCGTGTTCACCGGACTTGAGGTGGCCATATTCCTTGGCGAGGTTGTTGAGGTCGTAATCGCGGTTGAACTTGTGGGGGTAGGGGTAGGGATCGTGGGTCTCGATGAGCTTGGTAATAGCCCGAGATCGTATCTCGAAGTATTGCTGGATTATGTTAGTTAGTGTCTATTATTATTTGATTCGACGATAATACGGGATGGAATAACTTACATTGGGAGTCAATTCCTTCTCATCGGCTTCAGCATTCGTCTTCTTCGCAGGCTTAGGGGGTGCAGCAGCAGCCTTTTCTTGCTTCTTAGCGTCACGCTCGCGTTGCTTCTGTCGCTTCTTCAACTCTGACTTAGACACCTTCTCTCCAGTGACTTCATCCAGGTGCAGGTTTGCGACCTGTTCGGTCGGCGCCTGATCTGCCATGGTGACTGCGATTAGAAAAAGTAGTAGAAGGACGGTTGAAAGTTGGTGTTTTGGGAAGAAATTAGGTTTACTTCTGTGTCGTGTTGCTGGCGCACAAATAGACTTTGAATTGACCACCCCGCGCTGTTTGGCTTGAATTTTTATTTTTTGTGACAGCGATCGCGGGGTAATTTTTCGAATTGAGTCACTGTTCCAATTTGGCAAATTGCTCATTCGCGTCCGACGCGGGGCATTTAGATCACGTGCTTATCAGGTGACGTATCATGCTAAAATGCACGATCTAGCTTATCTAATTCTACTGCTAAACAGCAATTCATCCTGAGCCAATCACAATCTTAAGACTTGATTGTTTCTACGAAATGTACATACCTATTTGAACATTTCTTTACAAGGTATACATCACCGATGTTGCACCTTAGGATTCTACGCTTAGAGTGTCTCTCCATCAGTCTGCCCACCAATATCCGTATTCATAGCCTGAAGCAGCCACATTAAACGAATATGACCGACAAGAACTGCGTGTTTTTGGTGCGTAAGAGATCTGCAGATATGGGATGAACAGCATTTTCAGCCCCTTGTAGGCTTCAATCATCACGATGCACCGCCCCACAGAGCTGAATATCCCAGCAATCTATCATGGTTAGCCCGTGGGTGATCAGAACAGTCCTGGCGATCGAGCTGATCGACAAAAACTAGGAAATCCGAAGGCTGTTCGCTTCAAAAACACGGCTTGTAGGTATCTACAAGCGTAAGCTAACGCGACAGGAATGTGTCTACATATTCCTTGTAATAAAACGCCACGGGGGTAAGCAGCCACCATATTACTAAAGAGGATACAATGTCTTCGGGTGCCTTACGCACCTTCGCGGGTTGACTAATAGCCGAGAGCTAAGATTAACCCTGGCATCGGGATGGGGAATTCATATCCAAGAGTTTAAGAATCTAAGAATCCAAGAACATAAAGTACCTATTCGAATATCCTGGCCGATGGGTGTAACGCAACCTTAGCAGACAGAAATTACTCGGATCACACAATCGCCCCGGAACACGGCCGGAAGACTTCGCTTATAAGATCTCATCTAGTGGGCCTTAGGCTTGTATGTAAGCTCATCAACCAGGAGAATCGAAGTTCTGTCAAGTACGTGCCGAATACCGAGAAGGATCGATCGTTACCACACCCGGTGTCGCTGAATTAACCGATCCAACGAATTCTAGGTACAATTGCAAAGAAAGCTCAAAAACAGACGCAACTATCATGAAGGACCTTCATGAGTAGATATTGCATTGGATGGAGTCAGTTCTCTTAGGAGTTAGCAAACGAAGATCCTATAAATTAAGCAATGCTATCTCTTCCGATTCCAACTACTCTGTTAGCATTATGAGATATTGGTATATCGAAATGAGCATGGCGAACGAATTTGAGTCGGAGATGCGAAAGTAATAAGCGGGAAAACATTGGCCTAGATCGTTAAACTTCTCGCACCGAACCCTTACGCCACTGTCAAGGAAGAAGTTGCTCATAGGCCCTTCCAGACTCATCCGGAAGCTTTCGTGAAACGTTCGATTGTACGAATTGCTAGTGATAGCGATTCTGGCAAACTCGCCGAGTTGTTTGGTATAGAGTGTGATGTGAATGCAAGGGATCGATTGAGGGTTGTGAGCCTTGCAAAGCTATTTATGATATGCTAATATTAGTCATGCAGTTAGTCGGCTCTCAGTGTCAACATATCTGAAGGCACCTTGCCATCGTCCGCTTCCTTAAACGAGGAGTCAACTTGTGCGACAAATAGGTCAGCGGTGATACCAACAAAGATAGCTTCAGCCCGCGACCACTCCGTAATGCATAGCCATTTTATGCGATGGAGTCCAAGCTGAGCGATCGCCTGGCTCGGGAGCTAGAGACCGAGCCATCAGGAGCAAAATGTGTACTTATAATATGAAGCTGCGGCGGGAGACCGTTCATCTTCATCATGATCTAATGACGAACAGGGGGATTTATTGGATATATTGTGGCAGAATGGCGTCAGAAATGCCAACATACCTACATCATATTCTATATCTATGAGACCTCACTTTTCTGGCGCCATCTTGCATCAGCCAGTTACACTGCCAGAACTGTCTCGCATTTACTACGGTTCAGCTATTGACTTTTATGGAAGGAGTTATTTTTGAATTGGTACCTGACTCGCTCTCGTTCTCCCTTTGCTGCGGTCCCCTTTCGATCTCTATGCGGCACATGGATGTTTACGCCGTAAGCTATCCCTCCCGTCCCTGGTTCGAGGGAAGTCCGAACAAGTGGTATTGTTTTATCAACCGACCCATGGTTGAGCCCACTCCCGTCTTATTCTTGACCAATTTTTGACCAATGTGAGTAAATATTTACGTCGTGTCTCCATATATTTTCACTAGGACCCGCAAACTCGGCAATTATGCCAAGCTATTGCAGCGTAACATTTGGTCTAAGAGCCTCCGGGGATGCTCAGGAATCGTAGGGCTGTTAGCAACTTTTTAGTTATCACAATAAGCTGGGTACGATTGACGTAGTTGTATGGGGCAGAGGCTGACATGCCCACACACGCTGAGCACTTCGCCTGCGCCAACGATCCTTCAACTCATGCGCAGCCACCGTAGGTCCTTCAACCTCCTTACCTTATGAAGGAAATTCCTTGTAGCTCACAAAACCGCAGCATAGCACGGGCCCTAGGGCTCTTATGAACTGGAGTCTTATGTAGCCTGTCATGGCCGCTCAAAAGCCGACGTTGCTTTACGGCATGCTTGCCAAGGATGTGCCTGATTGTCGAAGCGGTCGAATAGAGCGAATTCCGCACATCAGGTAGCGAATGTTCAAGACGCCATAATGCCCTCGCAGCTCACACAGAATGACCTTGCCATCCCGCAGGACCCCTTCCTGCCGCAAGGAAGACCTCTAGGACCAGTCTTTCTCGATACCGAAGCATGCCTCTGTGCTCTACGAGGGACGAATCATGTACACAGCGGTGAGAGTGCATGGGAATGTATCGGGAACCAGACACAGGGCGTATACGAAGTGCAGACGGGGAAGTGGTTCAATAACATAGGAGATGGCACTTTACGGGACGGCCTCGGAATGTCAGACGCGTCGAACACTCCCGATACCAGCAAAGCTTTAATGTATAATAACGGCACGAGCTCCTTGGTCGACATCGTCCCCAGCGAGCTTAGTGTATGGGATCAAGCCTGCACCGGCAGGAATCGCTCATCGTTCTCGACCTCTTACTACAGGTCTGTAGTTGCAGCTGAGAGCAATGATACACCCACCGACGCAGCTCCGTGTTGGCGACCCGGAGCATTTCCGATACAGATCCAAGAAGTAACGGATTGGCAAACAAATGGATGTAACGAGGGTTTTCTATGTGAGCTAAAAGCCCTGGAGATATACAGATATCTGAGACTTCTAGAGAACTAATCTGTCTGAGCTAGGTGCTAATAATACGGTTAACTCGTTACCACAATTCTGTCCTCCCATTACAGATTGTCAAATAGCGAGACTAGCGGGTTTTACGTGCTCGTTGGGCGGTACAAACATCGCAATGGGGCCTTTCGAACCTGTGGTATGTCAGCAAGGGTGGTACTGTCCGAAATCTTCGGGGGGAACAGAAACGCTCCGTTGCCCAACCGGCACGTACTGCCAACCTGGTGCTCCTACACCCACACCATGTAGCGTTGGAAGTTGGTGCCCGGAGGGTTCGACGTACGAGACATTCGTGATACCCATTGTCATATTGATTCTAGTCGACCTTTTACTCGCCATCATATTCCTGTGGTATTTCCTTCGCAAACGTTTCTTCAGGAGTCGTGAACAGACAATCAATGGTGTGCGCAAGGGGAAAACCACCTTTAAGAGGCCCATGGCTGGTTATAAACCTCTAGAAGCGGACCACGAGATGCTCCCGATGCAAGCTACCTACATGCCGACTCGAGACGCGTGGACCGGATTTGAGGCCGCCCTCAACTTCCCCACGCCTCGAAGTTCTACGTTGAACATCCCCGAAACCGAGTTCTCGCCCGAGCTCAGGGCTTTCGTCGAGTCTATGAGAAGGGCAACCGACGGCGCAAAATTCGGCTTATCGTTTGCGTATTCCAACTTGAGCTTCCATCCTAAAGGGAATCCTAAACCGATCCTTCAGGCCGTCACCGGGTCTATCGAGCGTGGATCTCTAACTGCGGTTATGGGCGGTTCCGGAGCCGGCAAGAGCACATTTGTTAACGTACTAATGGGCAAAGTGACTAACACTAGCGGCACTGTCATGATTAATAACGTGCCTGGTAAGATCAAGAGGTACAAAAAGCTCATCGGTTACGTTCCTCAAGATGACATTGTGCTGCCCGAATTAACGGTCTACGAGAATATCCTTCATTCGGCAAGGATACGCTTACCCCGTGCCTGGAAAGAAGTTGACATCCAAGCACACGTTAACTCCGTCATCGACTGTTTGGAATTGTCTCATGTACGCGACTCCCTAGTCGGCAGTGTGGGAAAGCCCGTGATCAGTGGTGGTCAGCGAAAACGAGTTAGTATCGGCATGGAACTCGCCGCCGCACCCATGGCCATCTTCCTCGACGAGCCCACCAGCGGCCTCGACGCCACCTCCGCCACTTCGATCATGCGGACCCTCAAAGCCATCGCGCGCCTCGGCATCTCCGTCATCGTCATCATTCACCAGCCGCGCATGGAGATCTTCGAGATGCTCGACGACCTGATCCTGCTCGCCAACGGCCAGATCATCTACGAGGGCCCGGAGACCGGCGTCCGCGACTTCTTCGAGAACGTCGGCTTCCAGTTCCCGACGCACAGCAACTTCGGCGACGTCGTCACCGACATCGTCACCGGCAACGGCCGCGCCTACAAGCGCAGCGGCGACATCTCCAAGGACTCGCTGATCGCGTACTGGGCGCAGTCCCGCGAGAACAGCTCCATCAAAGAGAAGCACGCCTCGATGCGGTACTCGCGCACCTCCATCGCCGAGAACAACAGCAAGAACCGCGAGCTGCTCCGCACCCGCGGCGCCCCGCGCCTCAAGCAGCTCTGGCTCTGCCTCGCGCGCGCCATGCTCCAGCAGTGGCGCGCCAGGACCGCCTTCTGCTTCGAGATGGGCCTGGCCTCCGTCGCCGGGCTGCTGCTCGGCCTGGCGCAGAACTCGAAGAAGGGCGTGCTGTTCACGGGCATCTACAACGCGCCGTACGACGTGCTCTCGCTGGCCACAGACGTCAAGTCCGTGCCCCAGCTCGCGCTGCTGACCGTCATCGCCATCGGCCTCGTCGCCGCCGCCCCCGGCGTCCGCGTCTTCTCCGAGGAGATGCTGCTGTACCGCCGCGAGGCGGAGGCGGGCCACTCGCGCATCGCGTATTTCATGGCGAAGAACCTGTCGGTGCTGCTGCGCATGGTGTTCGGGTGCATGCACTTCACGACGCTGCTGCTGATCCTCTCCGTCCCCATCATCGGCTGGGGCACCGCGTTCATGGCGAACCTGGTCTACTTCTACTGCATCTACGGGCTGGCGAGCTGCGTGAGCATGGTCGTGCGCCGCGAGGACGCGCCCCTCATCGCGACCATGATCAGCCTCATCGTCGGCATCTTGTGCGGCGCGGCGCCGCCGCTCGCCAGCGTCATCGGATGGCACATGGAGTGGCTGTGGCGGGCCTCCCCCGCGACCTGGCTCGCGGAGCTGTACTTCGGACGCATGATCGAGCCGTTCCGGTACTTGTATAACGTGGACTTGGCCGCGCAGCAGGTCGGCTTTCACCTAGACAGGAATTGGACCAATATAGGCATCATTGTGGCTATTGGGACGGCGTACAGAGTGCTTGCGTGGCTTGGGTTGCTGGTAGGGAGTAGATTGCGCATATAGAGCGCGTATCATATACAAATACCTAGAAGAATTGTATTTAGACTTCTGCATTGCATGGTTAGGGGCGGCATATATATACCTATACTACCATACTATTGTATGAGTACCTAGTTGTTTAAATTTTAAAAGTAGTTCAAAGGCGTCAGATCTGAATGAAGTCGGAGTTTGTATATATACGTATATAGAGCTCTTCATTCCGGGACCTTTACATTCATACATTCGAGTTTCTCGAGGGGTAATCAATGGCATTCAAGTCCAGAACGTGCTCCAGAGCTTATGAGATACGTTAGAAGAGCAGTTAATTGGACCTCTTCAATAGAACTATAGTTGAGCAGTTGACCTGCAATTGATCTATAGACAGGAAATCAGTTATATAATGCGCTACGTTAAGTAAACCCCAAGCTTCGAATATGCATATGACCCGACATAGAAAAGCGCTCATGCGAGCTAAGATATCTAAAAGGTACACTGAAAAGAAGTGAAGTTGAAGTTGAAGGGAAAAACAAAGAAAAATCTATGTACCATGGCGTCTAGCCATTCTATCTAGTATATACGCCATAAACCCGCCCATCTATACAGAATCACAGATTCATTTCGCATCCGCAAGGATATCTTCTGCCGCCTTATAGGCGAGCTGATAAATAGCAACCGCCGGAAACGTTCCACTATATTATTCACTGTTAGCAAGTGTTGATTAATCGTTGCTTCACGTGTACACACGCCTAAGGTAGACAGTAGCAAAGTGCAGAAGAAAATGAAAAAGGGGCAAACAACTCACGGAATCTTAGGAAAAGCCGACGCATCGACGACCCTCAACCCATCCACCCCACGAACCCTCAACTGCCCGTCCAGGACGGCCATGGGGTCATTATCAGCTCCGATGGGACAAGAACACGAAGCATGGTGCCCCCACGCCTCATCCCTAACCCACTGCTCAATATCCGCATCCGAGCTCACGTTCGCCGGGGGCCAGACGCGCTCGACCTCTCCCGTGCCCTCCCCATCGCCAAAAGCCTGCACCCCGTCAAAAACGCCGATAGCCCACTTCATGCCCTCGACCGCGGCCTGCAAGTCCAGCTCCGCCAGCTGCTCCAACTCCGCATTCCCCTCGCCGAAGCTGTGGAACGTGATGTTCGGCATGTCTCGCGGGTCCGAGCTCGTCAGGTTCACGGTGCCCCCGTTGTTGCGCGAGTGCGCCTTGAGCACGAGCCAGGTGAAATAGTTCTTGGAGGAGGGCGTGATCACGGTCTCCGACATGCCCGGGAAATAGCCCTGGAACAGGCCCGGCACGCCGCCGGCCCAGAGGTCGTGCGCGGGGCCCGCGACCGTGGAACGCGTCCATAGGCCCATCGCCAGCCCGTTCGTGGCGTAGGGCCCGTGGGCGAGGACCGCGGGGTCGCTGCCGTTGCCGTCGACGGGGGCGACGGCGATGCTGGTGTTCTGCGCCCACGCGGTGTAGCACGGGTCGTCTGCCGTCGTGATGAACGTGCAGTTGCCGAAGAGCGTAAAGTTCTGCGGCGCCTCGGCCGATACACCGACCTCGTACCTGTCCTGCAGGTTGCCGCCGACGCCGGGCACGTCTTTCACCACCGTGATGTTATGGGCTTTGAGCTCGGACGCGGGCCCGACGCCGGAGAGTTTCAGGAGTTGCGGGGTGTTGAAGGTTCCGCCTGATACGATGACTTCGCGCGATGCCGTCACGGAGCCCGGTGTGCCTGAGTCGGTGTCGTTGGATCGCGGGTCCGCGCGGTAAAGCGACTCACCGTACAGGTACTCGATCCCGGTAGCTTTCGGGGTGGTGCCGTTAGTGTCGAAAACTACTTTAGTGGCGAGCGTATGCAGCGCGACGTCTAGGCGGTACTTCCTAGATCCGTCCGCGTTCTTCGCCGTAGCGACCTGGTATACTAAATCCCGAGGCGAGGATCGCTTCCAGTCAGGCGAGCTGATGGATAGGGGGATGCGACTAAGCGTATCAGTGGTATCACGGTCCGGGGAGTTGTTGTTGATGTCATAGCCCAAAAGCTGTCTTCTATGTTAGTGTCGGGGAAGCCCCGCGAGCAGGTAAGGGGGACTACACATGCGTATGCGAACGCGTATGTCAAGGGTATGAAGAAAAGGGTGGACTGTAGGTAGGTAAGATACACACATTGGAAAGGTTGGTCGTGATTGATACAGTAGAATTCGATGATAAAACCTGCTCGAAGGGATTAGTTCGTTGACCCCTTTCATCACCCCCTTTTCCTTGGCTGTGCACTCACTTTTGTGGCAACGCTACCAACAGCTTGCTGGATACTTTTCAGGAGACCACTCGTCTGAAGACCCATCGAAGATGCTGCGGATAGGAAAATAGAATCCATTTTTATATCCGGCGCAAACAGCCCCATAGGCTCTATCGTCGTCGATAACCAGCCACCAAATCCATGAGCTTTGGTTACATCTTCCTGCGTGGAAAGGTATTGGTTGTTTTCTATCATCTTAAAATATCCCCTCATGTTTTCAGCGTCCCAATTCTGATCTCCAGTTAAGTTTTTTATATATTCCCAGTCGTCATTCGCCGGCAAAACGGCTAGAAGAGCTAGATGTTGTGTACAGCCTCCTAATCCGCCTACCCGAGGATAATAGTTTCCGAGCATCTTAGAACCGTCGGGAGGGTTGACGCCACTGTAATATTCGTCATCGGGGGTGAGGTAGGTCAGCTTTCTATCTCTCTTGGTCTGGGTCTCGTTGGCATAGTGCCGTACGAAATAACCCCAATTAAGTTCGTTTCTCTCAGATGCCCCTATGTATAGAGATGGGACCTCGACCTCGCGTATCGCGCCATAGTCGCCTCCGGCATCGACAAGTAAAACTTGAACCTGAATTAGTTATTTCTGATACACGGAAAACCTTGGCAACTATTCCGAAATACTAGCTCAAGGGAGGATCTAGAAAGGAGAAAAGGGGCAAGAGTAGATGATAGAGTACACGCACCACTATGACCTGCGAGGGCCAGACGGGCTGCAAGGGGAGAACCACCAGCCCCTGAGCCAACGATGATGTATTCATAAGTTTTGTTTGCTGGAGGATTAACTGGTAGTTGAGGCCCATTTGGTGGATAGTCGTTCTGCACAGGGGTACGAGGAACGGTTACGTCTATTGCGGCACTGTAAAAGTTAGAGCTTGTCTGTTATGTGGAATGTAGTTATACAGACTCAGCTGCTACGAGAGAGATCAGTGCGTCGAGAAACGCAAGAGCTGCTGCGAGTCTCATTTTGTCTGGATGTCGGAAGTTCTTGATGGAGCTTCACACATCGTTTCAGAAGGGCCAAGTCTTTGGGCCTTATATAGTAACAGCACCAGGAGGGCATGGTGAAGGGTTGAAGATGTGTACTTTCCCTGGGGAATGACCTAGACTTGCGCATAATCATAGTCCTTAACTTGAGTTCACGAGGGCTCAGCTCGAAGGAAGAAGCCATGATTCCTGTCATCTTGAAATATCGATTCAGATAATAGGCATCGGGTTCGGACATTTGTACAGATAGGGTCTTGGATTTTGTTCCTTATTGCAGGTGGTCGTCATCACGGGACGCTGCGTCAAGCAACTGAAAGGAGGGCTCTCATAGTAGGGCTTCCCTTCGCAATGAAGTTCAGATAAGGTGTGCCTGAAGTTACATGCGACCGGTGCGACGCGCTGGGATGTTAACCACCTTCCTCGCAGAATGTTGAGTACAGCAGCTGACAGCCCTGTTGGAAGCGAGACATGCTCTAGTATATTTCTCCAATCGCCAGCGCCCGCTTGATGTAACATGGGATTGTGGGATTTATTACATTTAAGCGATCTATTTAGGACTTCGCGGATACAATTTCACTTACATTTTGCTTAACCACTTACTAGTTTTCTATCATATCATCAGTCTCGATGAAGGATCGATATCCTGTGACGTCTAGCTGAACCATCTTTTTTTTCTTCCCAGGCTGCGCAGCGACGACAAGCCACCTTAGCTAGGTTCCTGCAAATATATCCTTGAGTACAGGATGCTATTTATTAACTTGTAGCCTTAACAGTTATGAGTTCCTACCAGGCTGATATTGATATCAGTGACAAAGTAGAAGTTGAAACAAATGGTTATGAGGTGCATACTTGAGGAAAATGCGTTGACGTTGGTCGGGTCTGGCGTCCGAGGACATGTGTCTTGCTATCTCCTATAATTATGAACTATGAATTTATTCATAGGTATGGATGGTGCGCGATGAGTGAATATCACTATCTTCACTCATAGGGAGTATAATTACTTAGTAGGCATCACTGAGAATGAGGCATGACCCAGTAAAACACGTTGCCTGGTGAACGATGTCTCAGCCCGACTCGAGAAGAATGTACGATGACCGAGACATTATCGGTAGTGGTCCTCTTTAAGGAAACGATGTACTTGTGTGAGTGCTCCTGACGAAATCGAGTTACAGTAATCGCATTTCGCCTCATCTAGACGAATCTGGTCAGTATAGGCAAGGGAGGTGCTCACAAGCTTTTGCCAAGGCCGTAGGGCCAGCTCCGCTACGGGAGTGAGGTATCGGGAATGGTGGTGGCTTGGTGAGGGAAGTATCCTATTTTAGAAACCGCGTGGCATCGACTGATTTTGCCTGGGTATCTAGTAAGGGTGGGCTCGATATAGAATAAGTAAACGAAGGGAAGGATGAATGCTGACTTGGAAACCCTATAATGATTACCATCAATGACTTGAGTTACTACGTAAGGTAGGTCGTTATCATGGTAAGGCAATTTGATTCGCGCTTGGCCAATATCCCTTAGTTTCCTTGGGGAAAGACAGGGAGTTGAGTGGTGGTCCCTTTGGAGCCAAACCTCGAGAAGCATAAGCAAGTCCTGAATGATTTCGTTGGACGGGGTACTCAAAGACATATGAGAATTGTGTTTGCGTTCCACGCCGACACTGATGAGACCCCGCCTGCATGGTACTAGGTAGGTACTACATGTGGCAGTGCTTATGTCAGATTCTGTCTTGGAGTCCTCGTTCAACCTCACGATTGTGGACTAATCATCGAGCTGGATTCCGTATGTCGAATCGAAAAGATCTAAGAACGACGTGGCGGTCAACCAAGCATTAACACAACCAGGCAAATGAGGACGCTTAGTTATTCGGACGAGGCAACGTAACTCGAGACTAAAATAAGTGTGTGGCGGTATAGGAGTATATACCGCTACATCATCTAGAGATTCCTTCTGTTTCTAACGTTTGTGAATAAAGGGATAAAAAACGAGAAACAGGTACTCTACATAAGGCTGATAAAAAACAAGAAGGTGGACCAAACGACGACCAGAAGTTAAATTTAGAGTTCACACATGGCTCGTCCCGTCCGTCTCTAATCCTATCGGGCAAATGCGGTTAGAATTCAGAGTAACCCTCCCCAGTTTCTTATTCGCTAGTGGAATGGTGTTCGAATAAGCGCCGGAAACAACTTAGGACAACCCGTAGAATTTAGAGAAGGAGGGAGAAAAAAAAAAAAAAAAAAAAGATGACGACGGACTTTCCGAGACCGTGTACACTAACTGGAGGCTAGCGAGTTCAACGGCCAAAACTGGTCATATGAACACGGAATACGAAGATTTTCTTCAACCATCAAACCATTCTTCGCCATCGCAAGACGTAAGCCGCATGTTAGTCTCATTCAAAGAATCGGTGGTTTGCGATGTCCAGCGCACACAGATAAAATGAATAAAAAAATAAAAATAAAAACCCCCGAAGAAGAAAAAGACCACCAATGATTTGGTAGGCAATTCAATTCCATCAATAAGAGAGCCTGTGCCTCTTTGACTTCTCCTGACTCCTGACGGCGTTTCGAAGTCGATCCGACCGACACACCGACGCCGTTCCTGAGGGAACGCCGAGAGGAATCAAGAAACCATTGGATTGATTGACACAATTGGGATTGTTTCAACTATAATACCCGGTTGTTGTACAGCATTCCATTCTAGGTAGGACGGTTGCTGGGCGTTATGCATCATCTTTGATGCACCACTGATGATCTTTCTGCGGTGGAACGATATTAGTAGGGTCCCTGAATTTGGACCGTTCGCATTCAAACGAAATATCATTCAATTGTTCGTGTTGGTGATAATGCCAATTCTTCACCTTGTCGGCGTAGATGAGATAGTCTCAACTACCGTAGCTACTACGGCATGTAATAGCCTATGCAGCCATACGAGGACACTTATTAGTATTATTACCGTAGGAAGGCTCCAGGCTGGCCAGGGCTAGAAGGTAACCGCAAGGAAGGCGAAGGCTATCGCAGTTCGCGCCAACGCTTTTGGACTTGCAGATTTTATTCATGCGCCTAGTTGATTCTGTATTAGCCCCGCCATCCCTGCTTCTTCGGTGCATTTCACCCGTACCTGACATAAATTACCTTCAAGAGGAAGCCACCACTAAAGGAAAAAGACCCTTATGCGGGCTGAGAGTTTGGCGTCAACCGGCAGCTGCCGAACTTCCGGGAAACGGTTATTCGGTTGTATTTATTTACCTATGAGCTAGGTAAGTAGAATGAAAACATTCTAACAGCAGAAAGGAAATACCAACGACACTTGAATGCGCTTGTTTACGTGCTTACTTGCATTCAATAATATGTGTACTAAGATACTTATGGAGTTCTAAGTTGCTTGGTTTCATGCTCAATGGTTAGAGTTTATTTCAATGGGCTGATGGGTTGACTTTTACTTGGCATCTAACCCCAGGCTTCAAGTTTGGTTCCATTAAATTACCCCAAGATGACTCCTTCCAAAGATACCCATCCATTCAGTTCCTGACAACAATTCTCCCATTGACTCTTAACTCAAAAAGGCTTACGGCGCAGCATTTCGCTCGTCCCATACACGGGATAGGCTATAGAAATATTGGCATGTTAGCCAGCTCCCCCAGCTCTCCTAATTCTTTCATTTGCCGGTGGCTTCAATTTTGTATTGGTTCAGGCATGTATGTGTGTTTTTTAATGGAGGTCCATCAGGTACACAACAGCCTGCAGCACTGACCTAATATCGGTGCCCAGCAGAGTGGTACCAAAGACGCGCAATACATACCGATGTGCGTCATCTGTCATTTTCTCCTTTGATCTCTTTACCATAATCATAACAATAAAGTCCACTATTGTTCACGAGCCACATGAGCTTGAAGAAGAATAAAGTCACGATCATCGGTTAATCGTAGACATTGTTGGACGTGCAACGTCACAGTTCTTTGAGATGAGCAAGATGGAGTGGATAGGGTGATACGATCTACCTTTCTACTTTTGACGATGATGGTCGCTAGGATAACGAGCAGGGGTTATCACGATGTGAGATGATGGGGCGCAGCCCGGGTTAGCCCTTGTCAGGTTTTTAGGACTCTCAGCCCTTCGTCACAATTGATTGGCTCAGGTGATTCAGCAGAGCCACAAAATCTGGAGCCTTCCCTGCTTGGCCGTCTCGGGTCTAACTTCCTACGGCTAGAAACTCAATCGAGTCTGGACTTTCCTAGACAGGGGAATCAGGGGCCCTCCAACGCAGTACATGGGACCCGTACCTACCCAAAGGAGAAGGCTCGGCCTTTACGAGTGGAAGGACCGCAAGTAAGATCGAGTAAGGATAGTCATTGGAAAGCGCCGGTTACTTGGTGGTTGTGTTCGTAAATAAAATCACAGATGTTCCCTCTTCCCTGCAAACTTCCCCTTTCTTTTCATTACTCCCACACCTTCGTTTTCCACAAAAACACGCATTCCACCTTCGACTGCTGTTGGTCTTACGTATACAGCCGTGGTCAGGCCCTCTTTCGTTTATTGCCAACAAGCTCTGTCTCTCGTTAAAACAGGCTCATTAAATAAATACTCACCTTTAATAATCCACCTCCCGCCACCTCCCGCCCACTCTACCCTAACTCCTCTACCTTGTTCATACATAAAGACAATTATACACAAGATCTGAAAAGCATCGACAACAATGTTCTCAAAGCTCTTGTCCGCCACCACGGTGGTCTTGGCAACCACCCAGCTGGTCGCTGCTCAGACTTCCACTGCCTGCGATCCCACCAAGAAGAGTGAGTTTACCTAATAATCTAATTAAGTACAATGTTGAATCAGATTCCTAATTCTGAGCCGTAGCCTGTCCCGACGACCCTGCTCTGGGTACCACCGTCACTGTTGACTTCACCAAGGGTAAGAGCGATTTGTTCACGGCCGCTGATGGAACCACCGTCACGTACGATGGTAACGGTGCCGTCTTCACCATCAACAAGGCGGCCGATGCCCCTACTATCACTAGCAACAAGTACATTTTCTTCGGCAAGGTCGAGCTAGTTGTCGAAGCCGCACCTGGTGCTGGTATCGTTACCAGTTTCGTCTTGCAATCCGACGACCTTGACGAGATCGACTGGGAGTGGATTGGTAGCGACACGACCCAAGTGCAGAGCGACTACTTCGGAAAGGGAGACACCTCCACCTACGACCGTGGTGGATACCACTCGGTTTCCAACCCCCAGAGCAACTACTACACGTACACCCTCGACTGGACGAAGGACTATGTTCGCTGGTACATCAATGGCCAGCAAGTTCGTGAGCTGTTGTACGCCGATGCTAAGGGTGGCACTCGATTCCCTCAGACTCCCATGCAGATCAAGCTCGGAACTTGGTGCGGTGGTGGCCCCGACTCTCCCGAAGGTACCGCTGAATGGGCTGGTGGCCGAACCGACTTCAGCCAGGCTCCTTTCATCGCTCACTACAAGACCCTTACCATCACTGACTACAGCAACGGCGTTAAGAACGCTGAGAAGTACCACTGGCCTTCAGGTTCCGACGGTTCTTACTCCAGCATTGACGTCATTACTGGAGATGGCAGCAGCTCCAGCGCCAGCTCGTCTGCTTCCGCTACTAGCAGCGCTAAGTCCTCTGCTACTAGCGGATCTTCGTCTGCCACCAAGACCTCGGAGACCAAGAGCACTCTGTCGACTTCTACCGTCTCTGCTACTTCAAGCGCCTCGGCCACCTCGGGAAGCGAGTCGTCTGCTTCGTCGACTGCTACTGCCAGCGGCAACAACGACTCTGCCTCTGCTAGCTCCAGTGGCAGCGCTGCGGCTGCTAACACCAGCGCACCCGCCACCACGACAAGCGGAGCTTTGAAGACTGGCTTCAGCGTTTCCGCACTGGCTGCCGGCCTCATGGTCGCTTTCATGCTGTAAATGTATCATGTTGGACTTTGTAACTGGCGTCCTTTTACGGCATTGGCGAATCGGCGATCTGTGGTTCCCACTTCAATGAACCGGCTATATTCAGTTCTTCTTTACGATCCCTTGCACATAAACCGAATTTGGCCCCTTTTTGAGAGTCAATTCGCCCCTTTATATACTTACTATTGCTTATAATAACGGTTCATACGGGTTACCCGGTTACCAAGGGGCTTGACGTCCGACAGCCTGCTAATTTATGTGGTGCTCCGGCGAACGGGTTAGGTCAGAGAAACGATGAATTGCACGTATGGGGAGCGGAAGAGACGAGAACCTGTACAAAGGTTTGTGGATGAGTGACATATATAGGAATTGGAGGGATCTTGTACGCTTTGAGACTTTGCTGCCATGCATGATACCAACAGGTAGAGAAAATTTTACAGTTTTGCAGATGTTAGCAATTATGTTTGCGTTCTTCGTGAGATGGTGATGGGTTGAAGTTGTTTAAACTTCGTTAATTAGTGCAACGCTTGTTGTAACGGTCAAATGGGTGGCTACATAAAGTTGACCTCTGCGTATGTGCGTCAAACCTAATCTGGTGAGATCGGAAATGAGCCGAACAACTACCCCTTGCTTGGGAATGCCAAGTAATTTCTTTCCTCGCCTAGCTTAGTTCAGCTCATCTCAGCTCTAGGTCTGATAGGGCTGTAATCAGCGAGCTTCTTCGTTTAACAGTTTGATTACAGCATCCCTAAGCCGCATAGAGGGAAATCCTTACCTGGATTGCCCCGTGTTACTATTGCTAATAGAAGGCAGAAGGTACCCAAGTGAGGTTTAGTGGCCTGGCCCCGGCCTCTCGGCTCGGATTGGGATTCGGTTCGTCTGATGTTGTGATTGGGGGTGAAGGGATTTAGTGCGGAACTATGGGTGGGCTTGGGGTACGCGTCGATGTGTCGACAGTGACAGAGCGGGATTGGGTAGCTAAGTGACAAATGAATATTTACGTGTAAGGATGCCTAAAAGTCGCTGGAATTGTGGTTTGGCAAGATTTTAACAACGGGTCAAGATATGTAAAAGTTTGGTGACTGGATAACGTGGCATACGTAAGACGGGTCGGATGGAAGCGAAAAGAGCTGCTCGAGTCAGCACGTTTTTCTTTACCTGCCCATCCGCGGCTGCATATTAATGGCTCGGTCTGTGGGGTTTACGCGCGTGGTCCCTTACCTAGAAGCTAGTGGCACGGAGCTATGTCCTCAAATGCACGATAGCCTCAAGCTAGCACCGCGTTGAAGCTACGCCGTTTTGAGCTAGAGCAGAGCCGAGCTAGGTTGAATAACTACCTAAGTCGGCTCGAATTGGTGAACCTCGTCTAACCCTTGTCTGAGGCGACGTAGGGTTGTATCATAGACTACGATACTATTAATGATGAAAACTCGGAAACAATCAAATATACCTATTTGACTCTGTAGAAGTGATAGACCTGATCGACTATGGTATGATCATGTAAGCTTGTATGCCTTAGATTTTGAGAAGGGGGTTTTGTTAAATTTATTTTTAGTTGTGAAGGACACACATAAAGGGTGAAGGGGAGATATAATTGTACTACTCAAGAAACTTTACGGCCTTAACAGTCTACGCTCGAATACTGCCTAACGTCCCTACCCTAGGAATATCGTCGTTATATGTGTTTGTTAAATTGTAGGAGCCCGTCTTAGTGGATACAGAACATGAGAATCTCTATGTACCTAGGTGCCTACCCAGAGAGAGTTTGCCTCACTGGCTGTACCTATATCAGTACCTGAAACCCTTTATTCTACCTTGTCTACGATTGGTGTACCTAGGCCATATACTTAGATCTACGTATGTACCATGTTCCTTATTTCATATCCAGTTCTGCGCCAGCCTCCCGGAAAGTGGTCGGTATACGGCAAACCATTGTGAACCGTTGTTGTCTGTGATGACTATAGGAGACGGATATGAAATGTCGAACTACAATTACGTGAGCAGTTAGATTATCGTTGATTAACTGCCATGTCGGACTTACTAGGTAGAATAGGAGACAATCATAAGGTAAGGCAATGTGATAAACCCCTTTATGGTGGTCTGGGTTAGAGGTTTAAGGCTGAGCCAAACATTCTAGAACTAAGCATACGCATAAAGGTATCCTGAATACGTATATGTATCCCTCGGAAGCCCGATTACTGCCGTATCTATTTTAATTACCTCGGTACCTACCTACCGAACCAGGCTTGGAAGGTTAGCCTGAACATGAGAGGTCAAATTCGACATGTCGCTGGTATCAGCTCTTCAAAAAAAGCTATGGGCACCTGGTGAGATCCTACCGATCTTACGATTAATAGTCTATCCAACATGTGTTCTAGTTATAATATTTGGACCAAGTTTCAGTATCAGACTAGGACTAGAGACGAAGTTCTTATAAATATGACCTATGCTTCATTATTTACGATATCACTCACCATTTCCCATTGTTGGGAAGCCCTGGAGGATATAGGGGACGATACTCAAGGAGAATGGAGGAATTTATTACGTACACGGGAAAAGGTGGCAGTCACGCGTCTAATGAATTGTGACGGAACGAAGAAAGGTGTTGCAATTTTCAGCGACATAATGTAATGTATCGAGAGGTATATCTAGATAGGTACTGTATGTATTTTTCGATCTCAGCCATCAGCGTATGGAATAGTCCAATTGGGTGCACCTGGGAGACACCAGAGCTGGTTATTTCCATTTGAATTTCACCTCCCCTATCTCATCTTTTCTTCAACGTCCCTGCTGCGCTAACCCCTCAACGTTCGAATGTACTCACTAAAGCTCCCAAACTCCTCATTCTAGCAGCATTTTGCCTTGGTTTTTGTGAGATATCGAGACGCCTTGCGGCACGTAGTCTACCTAGTAGAGTGGTGAAAGTGATGAGATTATCGCTAGGTACACCTAAAAAACACCCCTAGATGGTTCAAGATGACCTTCGAACTTCGTAAGATCGCAGTACCTTGATGAAGGTATGAAATTATGGCAATATTTAGCCGAATCTCTTCCAACTCGACGTAGATGGGTTTTACCGCATGATAGGGAGGAGAGATATGTAGATCGAGTATTGAGTGACAACGTATGTGGACTGCGGTAACCCCCAATGATATGTCGCGTTCATTTCAGCAGCGGGACTTAGCAAGGAAGTGAGCTGAACTTCTAAGCTAAATGCTTTCGTGCGTGACCCTATCACTGAAAAATCGATTCGTCCTCTGGGTCGAACAACATCATTTTTCTTAACTGTCTTGCTTCAAGGCATATTCTCTTTCAAGCTGACCGCCCAAACTGCACCAAAAGATGCAGTCAATAGCATCGAGCATGCCGAGAAAACCTTGATGAAGCTCTTACTATCGCCAGCAATGGCTAGCGAAACCACAACGAAGATATTCAACGGAATCCGCAAAATGCCGTAAACTTTGGCGCGAACGTCATCCTCTACGAGCCGACCCTTTAAATAGCCAGTACAAGGCCAGTACATACCGACACAGGCTTCGAAAAGACAGAAGAGCCAGAAGGCAGCGTCCTCGGTTTTGGGGCCCGCAAGCTTAACAAAGCAAAAATTGGCAGCAAGCAGGATGCCGATAAGAAGCCGGGAATATTTGAATGGCCGTTTCTGCATGACGATGTTGAATATCAACGCAGAAGCCATCGAGGACGCCATGAAGCTAGAGAATATGGTTCCGTATGGAAGTTCCCCGGTAGATTTCTGGACAGCCTTAATCGTAGGTGTCCAGAAGACGACGAAGAGATACATAGATCCTTCAAACATAGTCGAGGCAAATCCAAGAGCTAAGATTGAGGGTCGTTTCAAAGTCGACCAGACATTGGACTTCTTGGACTTGTCCGATGACTCCGATTCTTTCGAGCCGTAATTTTCAATCTTTTCATCCATTAGCATTGGCATTTAGGCTAGTAAACGGAGAATCATATACCCAATGAGCCCAGATTAGTTGGAGGGCAGACCATAGTAGGCCGGCGCTCAGTAGAAATGGCGCCTTCTTGGTACCCGTAAATTTAACGAGCCATTCACCAACGATGCCGCTCAAAATAGCCGAGACACTGCTAACAATGCTGGTGGTAGCATAAGTCCTAGACAGGTCACATCCGTCTTCGACGAGTTTGCGCTCACGAAAGTTGGTCACCATCCAACTATCGAATACACTGAAAAGGATGCTTGTGCTCACTCCACCGAGGATCCGACCTAAGAAGAGGAGGGGAACAGCTGGTAGGATGGTAAAAAAGCAAGACATGGCATAAAGCAGGCAAAAAACCATGCAAACAGCTTTCCGGCCATGCTTGTCCGCTAAAGCGCCGATGAAATAGGCACTGACGGCACCTGACAAAAAGCCTGTGGCGAAGAGGGTAGACACTAGACGCTCAGATAGGCCATGTTCATCGCGATAAAGGGAGTACAAGTATGGCCCCTGTGATGAGCTCCATTAGTCGATCTGGTATGGTATGATATCGTGATATGTTGAACGTGTGTGACGTACTTGAATCCAGTCAGCGCCCATGACGAGGGCGTAAACCTTGTACCAATTTGCTTCGGGATGTTTGTCATCTCGTGATACCTGTTTGCGAGCTTCGGCCTGTTTCTTCAACTCATTCCGCCTCGTGGGTTGAGATGCAAGAAGACCTGCGCAAAGGGCCAGTAAAGTGTAGAAACTATTCTCGTAATAACCCATGTTGATAATACTTGGAAAGTTAACTTGCCGCCTGCAAGGCTTCTACTGATAAGCTGCTTGCAATTTGACGTCAATTCGAAAGAGTGAGATCCGGGATATGTAAACAGGTGATATTAGAAGCATCATTCTATTTAACAAGACAGCATCGAGAAATAGTAATGAAGTTGACACTTGTCGTTTGATATTACCCGGGTGAGGGTCGAGCGCAACATGCTGCGACAAGACATGTTCGAGGGAGACGAGAAGACGTTCCATATTAGGGAACATGCTGGCCAAGGATTTACAGGCAATATAGTATAACCGTGATCACATTTAAACGATTATACAGGGGAGGACGATGCGTAGTGCACAGGATCGTAGATCGTGTATAAAACGAGCTCTATTCAACCGGCTGTCGTGTGTTTGGTCTAAGAAACATCTTGGAAACAAACAATTCTCTAAACGTTGTAAAGAGAAGACCTGAAATCCAGTGACCGAAAAAGGAAACACGGGGTAGTTCCAGGATTAGCCCCACAAACTCTTTAGGTAATGTATTGTACCTGCCGTGTTGAAGTTGAGGTGCCACCATCCAAAACACCCTTGAATGTTTAATTCATGGCAACATCGCCTAGAGAGATGTTGCGATCTGTTTATACTTGCTCACCTAGTTCCTCCCTCTACTTAAATCATGTAGGACGTACTACGTAATCGAAGGTATCACATAACCCCGCCACTTGCGCTCGGAGTGACCCGGACCTCCATCTCCCGTTATCACACGTGGGCATGTGAATTTAGACTCACCGCCACTTATCGAAAACCGATTTCTGGACATCCATTTGTTTGCATACTACCTAACAGACAAAATTCACCAAATTTTTGTCATTGATACTTATATATAGCGCATGTATTACGGTATCTGTATTGCGCAGTGTTTGCTTTGTTAGACTAGGTAGGTATTTAGGTCTAGGTACTTCCAGGCGTGGATAGCTACGGGCGATACTTCCGAATCCGATGATCGGGCCGGATGGAAAATATCTTAGTCTCCAGCTAGGAACAACTCGAACCTTAAACTCTGTCGTCGCTGCGAACAGTGCGTCGCCGTTGCCGTTATTCATTATTCCCCATATCTTGTAGACATCAATCTTACCTAAGGTAACTAACCAATCTTGCCAATTCAATACTTTCTTCATTTCTTTTTCGGCGATCACCAATTCCTTCAACAACACCTCGCGCATATCAACATCATCGGTTCTCCTTTCGCGCAACGTTGTCGACAGCTACCGTAGTACTGAATCTAAAGCTAGCTGCGAGCTGCCTTATATACCCTTACACTTTAACTCCCTAACAGCTGAACAGAGCTGCATGGCATGTCCTGCAGGTTGCTCGATTCTTCATTCTACATATTAATACATACAACCATTTCGTAATAGCTACTTTCATCCAAACGAGCCGGGATCATCAGCAGTCCAGTCAGAAAGAGATCTGAGACAAATTTCAAGCCACTCATCCAGTCCCCCGCCGACACATCTTTCTTGTCATACCTGACTTGCCTGACCTACTACCTACCTAGGCACGGTACAGTACAGTACGTCTCTGCGTCGTATCGTATGTACAGCACCTCCAGGATTCTACGGTCCGATACTTAGCACACTGCGATATCCTGTCCTCTTTCTCCTCATACCCATCTTTTCCCCAAAAAGTTCCAAGAATCCTGACCTCCAAGACCTTATCCCCGGGGTCCCCTCCCCCAAGCCGTCTGGCTGTACACCGACGGACACGCCCACGCCCACGCCCGCTTGGGCAGCTGAACTGTTCTGGCTGACAGACGGACTCTTTGTCTTAGGGGTGTAAATTAGCAAAATTACAGGTATTATGGCTAAGGACAGCGATAATTCCGCCGCAAATGCCGCCCAATCAAAACGACCGGCAGTAAATCGCCATAACAGCGACTCCCAAGTTAGCGACCATGCATCCCACCAACAGCACCGGGCTAAACTTTCAAAACACGTTGTAGGCGGAGGAGCCACAGCTCGTCATCACGCCCGCGTACCATCATCTAAAGGCTTACACAAAAATCACGCCTCCTCCACTTCCAAGTTGACACGAAAACCTACCTCTCCCTCACCTGAACATCCCCCTATGACAGCCCAATCACACCGTCGCGCCACTTCAGACGTTAAGCTGCAGCGCGACCCATCACCCGCCAGTCTCAAGAAGAACTCTTCCCAGTCGAGCTTAAAGCGCAATCGTTCCCATGCCGAGATAGCAAAGCGACCCAAATCTGCCACGAATCTCAAGCGATCTTCGTCCCACAAGGAAGTCAACAAATTAAAAGGCGCAAAGGGTCAAGTCCATTTCGATCTTGGTAGCGACCAGGAAGACGAGTGGGTGGACGCAAGCGCATCCGCCTCGCCCTACCTATCAAGACGCGGATCAGCCGTTAGTAGTGAACCTTCCCCAGGAAAGACGTCGCGTAGCCGGGATAACTCGCGACCTCAGACCCCCCACGAAGAACCGCCGGCCCGTAAACAAGAGTCTCCACTAGACCGCGGAACGGCCCAACATAACCAATATTTGACGTCGCGTCTACTGCAACGTACGCCATCTTCGAGCGCGCCGCCCCAAATGTCTGCCGAAACCGTGTCAGTACGCCATAACTCGGGTTCGCCCGAGTCTCAAGCGAGCCGCGGTCCGTCAAGTCTATTCGGGACACCCAAAAATGCCGCTATAGTAGGTAGCGGAGGGGAAGAGCTCACGTCGCGCTTTGTCAACGGCGGTTCGGGTCCCGGCTCGGGTCCAACGGCCGAGAGCGGTTCATTCTATGCATCGGCACGAGCATCAAGCCAGCGTGCTGAGGGTATACGCCGGCCCCAGTCGCTCGGCAACATGAACCAGAACTACCGAGGATCGGTAAGTGACGATGAGAGTGACAGTGCTCTAGCTCCTCGAACGAGGAGATCGGTTTATAAGGCCGCGCCGGCGGAAAAGTCGCGGACGCAGCAGAAACTTAACCTTCAACGGGCCAGCTCATCCATCGAACCTACTCAACCGGTTGGCGGAGTTGGCGTTGTCGGCGTCAGTCCTTTGGTTGGTGGTAGTGGTTACGACAATAGGGATCCGCGCATAGGTAAATTGCTCGAGCGTACGGGTATGGAATATCTTGTTGTTCGGCGTTATCAGAACCCCATCGCTCGTTCCATAGCAAGGCTGTCGAAACTCCCTGGCGCAAATAAGAGCCAGCATATACCTAATCAGAACGGAGCTAATGGGACGGTAAATGGGAAGAGGACGTCGGCCCTAGGCGGCACGGGTCGCCTTGATCTCAGCCAGAACTATACTACAGACAAGGCAAAATCGAGGCCTACCACGCCACGGCAAGGGACGTCAATACGGGTGAACGGGACAAATTCTAGTTTCGATGGGGAAGAGGAAAGGCTCCACGACCGGATAAGTGGATCCAGTTATGCAGATGGGGCAGACGATGGCGTTGCAGCAATTTTACGGAATCTTTGGGACAAGAGCATGGATCTGAGCGCAAGTCAGGAATGAGTGAGTTTATTGAGAGGCGTTCTTATTAGGGCATGATCGAGTTGGTTGGGAACTCGTGGGTCCGCATACGCATATTAGTGGTATAGTCATACGATACGAAAAGTGAATAATAATTGGTAATGTTTTTGCGCCATGTTGGTTGTTCTGTTCTTGGATACCTGTATTTGATCTTATTGCATGCGATATACGATATTATGCTAATTGTTGACATCCCGTCTAAAGCAGATTGTCGTAGCTAACACGCCCAATATTCATTATCGAGTACGAAGTCTTAACAGAGAGACAGGATGTCAATAATTTTCTGGTTTCGATTATCGTAGCTGTATGATACCGGACATTTAAAATGCACCGAACGAACAGGAAACTAGTCGGACTAGCTATTAACTTAATATATTGGTTACAGGTAGTCACGAACCTATCATCAAGTCAATGGGTACTTTGAGCACTGGGGATATCAAAAGGGGTAGTATAATGAAGGAGACAACTGAATCTCTTGTGATACTTAAGCCTACGACGAAGAAAGATGGGAGTTTATTCATTATCCTCAAAAGCCAGCAACAACAACTAACTATGAAGGCAGATGACTACCGCCGGGTTGGTTCAGTGGTGCTTTTGATAGCCCACTCTAAATGAAACTATCGCGAGAGCTACCGTTGGTCAACCCGGTATACCCACTCCTATGAAGGAGCTCATCAACTTGGTTTTTAGGGGTCAAGATATCCACGTAACGCCGTAACTCCTCGCGACACCTTTATCCAGCCTTATCCATCCGAAGCCGGATACACCTAACATCATATACACCCCGACGCCTGCTCCCGCCTCGTCGCCCCTCATCACCCCACCCAACAAAAGGCGCTTCGTTTCAATTCCTAATAGTCTCCAACGAATGAAACCGTTGCTATATGCACCGCAAAGCGGCAGATGAGCGTAAGCCTCCACTCGATCACAAATCCAACCCAGTACCACGCCCATCCCGAGGCGATGGTGCCGAGCCCCGGCGGGCCCCAGTGTATCGCCACAAATAGCCCCCACAAGGCCGCCGCGACACATCCGCTCAAGATTCGGCATGTACATAAAGAACCTTCGTACATAGTGAAATACGTGAGAAAGATCCCGGTGCCGAACATGGTTATACCGTCCAATCCGAACATAACCGTGTTGTCTGTTTCGGGGTCGAGGGTAGAGAGGAAGTAGAATATGCAGACAGTGATCGCGTGTACCGTTCCCACGCAAATGATTACGATTACAGTGTCAACATCCTTCTTATAGGGGAGACGGGCCGGCGGGGATTGAGATGTTTGGGGAATGGCTGTGTAAGGGAGGCAGCGCGAGTCGTCGTTGTCGCTGGTCAGCCAGTGTACGTACCCCATGAAGGCAGCGACGGCTGCCATCACGAACACAAGGAAAAGTCCGATTTGTAATATTTCCCAGGCCATAGATAGTAATTTTGGTGTGCAACTGTACGACTTTTCGCGTGGAGACGTACAAATATGGTTGTGAGGTACCCTTTATATTAAGATGGTCTCGACTGAGGTAGATGCGTTCCTAAGCCAACGACAATGATATTCGATATGCTTCGTTAATTAGCCCTGGCTGGAAAGTGCTATCGTTAGTTATGTGCATGTATGTCCTAAGCGTTCTAAGTTTCCCCTATTGTCTGCCCATGCTCTTGAGCGTCGAGTTTACTTAGCCACTCAAGTAGTAGTAGGCGTGTATACAGAAACTTGACGCCATCGACGCATTTCCACATAAGCGCTCAGGCCTTCGTGGAACTATATCAAGTAAACAGTAGGGAAGTTCAGGGGACCCTTCAGGTCAAGCTTCGTGGCGTAACTTTGGCTTTGTTCACTTATGATAGCTTGGACACTACTAATCTCGCTGACATCTCATATACAGCCCAAGTAGTCAAAAACGCGCCCAGATGAGGTGATATAGAGACCCTTCACGAAGAGGCTATCGAGTTATTATTATTACTCGTAGCTACCTCAACCTCAGCAGTGCCACCAAATGTAGATATGAAGTCTCCTAGGTAGCTATCACCTTAAAAGATCGCTATAGCTTTCTTTCCTTGTAGGCGTGTTGTAGAGAATCTTCGGTTTACTTGTATAATACCCAGGTAGCTGTTCGTGTATAATATAACTGGCTTTATTGTTCGACGTATGAAATACACGGCCGGTAAGATTGGATATACAGAGTCTAAGACACTTACATTTACCTACCCGCATTATATCCCAATACTAATTCTATACTGAGACAAGATGGTCCTTCTATATGAAATGGCACGCCCAAGCTATCCAGAGGGCATCATCTGTATCGATTATCATAGTATGAGGATATGGGTTTCCCTCGTGCTGTTTCTGTTCCATCTACTTTCCCTGTGTACAGTATTTATCGCGGCCGGATTCAACCACCGTGAGCAGGACATGGCGTTGTCATCATGTCAAAGACCATGGTCGCCATCGGTGGCATCTAAGCTATCCGCGTAACCTAGGCGCCGATGATCTTTCTCGTCTACCTGTTAAACCCCGGAATGGGGCAGGCGACTACGGGCTTCGAATTCCTGTACGGAGCTACGTAGGTAGCTTTCTGGATTGGATGGGTGCGTGAGTGGAACAACCGGCCTTCCTAGAAAGCGGTTCGAGGCGGTCCGCCCGGGCGTTACGGGCGTTACGAAATCGAGCGTGTACTCGTCTATGAAAGCTTAGATGGCTATGAACAGGCTTGATGGAACGATTTTTGGATTTCGGGCGTTGTGGTTCGGCATAACTTGACAAGACGTCTTGGGAGAATTGTCTGGTTTACTCTGGGACCTTGGGAGACTAGAGTAGATACCAGTTAGCAATAGAGATCGGGTTCAGGGTACTCGCTAGGTTTCGTCTTGTATGCCAATGTGCAAAAAATAACTATTCTTAGCGAATTTACTTGAGCGGGTTATATCATAGATGTCCTAGCTGCACCTATATCACTTCATCCTTGCGTTGATCGTGAATAGAATGTTCAGGAGACACCGGGATAAAAGCAACCAAGCTCAACAGCATTGTTTCAACCATTATGTCAGCAATGTCAAGTCCTAGGGCTGAGTGTCATAAGGTTTAAGCACGTTGTCAATGGTTCGTAGTATGATAGAAATATTGATATCAAACAAATCATGGATACATTAATCCAAGTAGTTTTATTGCAGAAGGTAGCCCGATTTGATATATGTACGATGGGCTCCCCTGAGCTTATCTTTTCACCCAGGATCATCATCGGGGATATCGCATAAACAGCTATCTTATCATGACCTTCCTTCTTCATAGCGTGGATCTTAATTAGGTACTTACATGTGGCTTCGATAAGAGGACGCCTCCATTTAATTTGAATTTCCATTACCCTGGTTGACTTGGTAAAATGTTACCGTGGTCACTGACAACATTAGAAATTGTCGTGTTGCTATTACGAATCCCTCACGAAGTTCCATATCCATGGAACGAGCACATAGGAGCATGATGATACATTTTGTTCAAGAGGACGTGGCATAATATAATTACCTATTTCTCAAGTGTTTCATAACTTTTCTGTAGGACTTGAACTTAAGATCCATACTGACAAGGCTCTAATATGAAGAAATTAGGATGGACGATTTTTTTTGTGTGTACGTACCTAGATATGCTTGATAATAATGTTTGTGCCATTTACAAGAGGTCTTGTGTTGGCAATCAAGGAGAACCCATCTCTAGGGGTGCCAATAAGACGATATCATTCAGCCCAAGCAATCACCAATTCCATCATGTTAGAAGAACGAAGAAATCAGCCTCGCCTAAAGCCCGAGACCTGAATATTGTCAAGGCGTCTCAGCTTTACGATGCCTCACTACGCTTGGCGCCGTAGTCAATAGCTATTTTAATCCGAGATCAACCGTATTGCTCTCGCCATGTTAGAGCCTGTGTAGGTAATCGTCCCTCGAATGAAGGTTACGCAATGAGCTTGATAACGATACTCATAACTGTTCTAGAAGGTAGCTGCTAAATTAAACAAAGATGTCTGTGTTGTCATCCAATTAATGAAACTTCTTACTCATATGATTGATATAGTAAGGGAGACATTATCATGATTCATTGTTATGTTTAAAAATACTAAGCATGGTTTGGGGTTGTGGAAGTTTGTTTCTCGTGTTAATATCATGATTGCCGAGTGAGATGGAGGGAAGCCAAGAAACCTAAGAGATAGCTCAGCCATCATTTGGTACATATCTGCAGAGCACGCATCGATCGAGGATATTGGTCATGGCAAAGTCATTATGTCCGAAGATTTGGAGACAGTGCTTGTAGGTATTAGAAGCTTATAGGCTGGCCTTAACCAAGGTTAATATGCAACCCCACGAAGATGACCTCCAGGAATTCAATCGTGGTTCGATAGTGGACGCATTCTCACCTTGGATGTGAGAGAGTATGTATAACGGTATCCTTGCTGACCTTACTTATACCTCCTACTGTATGTACATGGTCATCGTTGCCAATGCGGGATCTTAGTCCGGCGACGATTCCTATAGGTGTTGCCGTTAGTACTACCCTTTTTGCACCAATTCGCGGCCTGTGCCGTCGCTGCGCGTCTGTGTTGCACATGTAGCGAGCCTCTTTATTACATACTTTTCGAGAGCTGCACAGAATGATTCCTCGCCTTCGCTTGGCCTGCTTGGCTTCTGAGACTTGAGGCTTCTCCGAGTATCCACAAGGTCACAGCATTACCGCGTCGCTGCATCGGTGCCTTAGCGCCAAGAGGCTCTTATTGTTCTTGCCGGCATGGGACCATGGGTTGAGTCCGAGGCCGTGCTTCTTATTCAACAACTCGAGTCATACATAGTGACAGCGCATCACGAGACAGCGCGAAGCTGTCTGGTATTATGGGAGAAATGTAGGAAGATGGAGCGGGGATCTCTTTTGGGCATTTATGTCGCATGTCAAAATTAACCCTGTCTCTCTCACCTGTCTGTCTGTGACAACCCTGAGACTGGGGCAGGGATAGGTTAAAAGTAATTCTGCATTGGGGACCAAGGCCATCGCAAGGACCATCGCAAGCCACGGCGGGATCGCACCGGCTCTGACTGGGTTCGACGCCGGGTTGGCACGCGGGGAGTGAGATCATAGGCGGGAGATAGATGGTGGCTGATAGCGGATCGTGGGGGACCCAGAAAATTGGTCGAATAATGTGGAATGGGTGACAGGGCTACCTGACAGATAGATCAACGAATACCTCGATACCCTTGATTTTTTTTTTCTCTTTACCAACGTTGCGGTGACGTCCCAGTCTTGTCCCTAAGAAATGCCATGCCTTATTAGGACCGAGACGGTGACATAATTCACTCTGCTTGTAAGACGCTAACACTAAGATCATTGGCTCTTCCGAGAATGCAACCGAATCCTTCGGAACGATATTAGTTGAGTTGCAGCCGATGGAAACTTGGTGATGCGGTAAAGGCAAGGAAGAGGGAAAAAAAATTAAACTGGGTGGAAGAAGAAAAAATCAGATACGACATGCATCTTGTTATACCTAGGTATGTACATAATACCTACCTAGAAATACATAATATTAGGTTTTAATCTAACCCTTTTTTTGGTTATCCAAACTTGGTCGTTGAGTCGATGTTTCCTAAGTTTACTTGTACTGTATTTACTAAATGTTCAATGATATATGTAATAATGAGTCGTTAAAAATTAGGTGCTCATTCCACAATTGAATCTCTACAACCCTGCCCCAGACGACCCAGATATGTACGTAGGTACCTTGCAAATACCTGATAAGAAATGCACGTGCTCTTACATTTAAGTACCTTCCTAGGCACAAATAAATTTTATACTGAACTGACATGACGATTTGTAATAAACATAACAATTACAAAAACCGAAAGAGAAAGCGATGCGCAACTGGGTACTCAGATCCTCAAACTCCGTATGCGGACTCGAATTTGAATTGCTGTACGTTCACAATGGATACTTGGACTCTTCTCGCCATTAGGTACCCGAGATTGACGAAACTACGAGACTACGAAACTACAAAATGGCATTTCACTATTCTAGGTGCTTAATTGATCCCATTGTCCCACTTCTATTTCGCCCTTCTCTGCCCAAAGAACACTAAGGAACCCTGCGCGATTCGGGATAGTCGAACGATTACGTTAAATATATTCGCGCTACTAGCCGTATTCCACCAAAGACATACTTTCTATTTGGTAATGGAAGCAATTCTGTGCAGGCTTTGGCTTGTCCCTGAGTCCCCTAATTTATCATTTCCAACCCAAAGTCATAGATTAGATCAGACCGCATAAGTACCCGGTACGGACACGGTACTCGCTTCTCCGATCCCGTGCTCTCTTCCCCTAAGGGATCCGGCCTACCCCATTAGCCACCGCCCCCGTCTCAGTTGAGGCTGTCTCTTCCCCGCCATGTCGTCGCGATGTACCCTCGACATTGCACGAGCTAACACGGGTAAGGTGCATACCATACTCTGATCTAACTTCATGGAAATGTTTCCCGAAACTCTCGTTATTACAATTTATTTTCTGTCATTATATCAAAAGATAAGATTATCTTTAGGTTATCAATTACTCCATTATAATTCGCTCGTTTCGATTTCAATCCCTTTTCGTTCCTAAGCCAAATGACATGTCATTTGCTTCTTCCTCGACTACCGCCTGCACAGTTTACCATGTCTAGTACTCTAAATATCGATATCATTATCATTATGACTACCGGTATTCCGTACATCTTCAATTAGTATTACCAAATCCATGTTTTAGCGGTAAAGGTCGATCATAGGCGACTCTCGATCGACCCCCTTTTGCCCCCCTTTGGGACAAGGAACAAGAGAGAGAGAGAGAAAAGAGTACAACAGAGTTAGCCGCAGAGAGCAGAGAGTCCCTGGCCTCATCCCTTGAACCAACTGGCTGTCGTCTACCTACCTAGGTTGTTGGCCTGACCCGCCTTGTCCGTATCATTATCGCTCTTCGACTTCAGTCTAAATCTCTCTCTCTATGCATCTCACTTTAAACTTACATGGGCTTTATTTACCTACCCATTACCTACGTACTTCACTTCTCCTCCTCCCTGTAGATATACATATCTAGCTTCCCCCCCAATCAGCTCTCCCTTAACTGGTACATATACATTTCAATGACGACGATAAGCCAAGCTTATCTTATACTTGCTTCTATCATTACCTAGTGTATCTCAGCCGTCGGCATACGGAGCAATTACAATATACTAACCGTGGTTTGGCCTATCGCGGCGTTATAATCGCGATTCTAGGCCTGACCCCTTGACCGGAACAATCACGAGCGCATGCGCCATTTGGGTCTGCATGCGGCCTTGTATCTGACGGTGGTTATTTACCAGAAACGATAGGACAGCAGAGATACAGGACCCGGGTTCAAGGTATATTTGATTTCCCCGGCTTCAAATTCGATAAGACAGATCCCACCAGACTGGTCTGGGTTGGTGTTGAAACACGCGGCACAACTCGCGTGGTCATTTTACCTGCGTCTTCCGTTCCTTGACGCCTCCCGTGCCACTTAACAGCCTTATCATCCCAACCTTCCTTATCAAGCATTCCACGAGGTCCCATAGGGAGTTCCTCGAAGCAGTGGAGAGTGCAGAGATCTGCGGTTCTCTGCTACGATTCGACGTTGTATTGCGCCAGCGGGCCCTGTTCCTTCAAGAGGCATTTCCAGACTCCCTATTCGGTAACCCATCATACCCCCTCTGTCTGGATATAGGCCCATTACATCACCTTGTCACCTTGTAGCCCGGCCCTACCAGGCGACCCGTCATTTGGCGTCTACCTAAGCGGACCCGACAGTGATACGGCGAAGCCGACCTCAGCGAGCACACAGCTAGCGGTGCTGGGCGCAATCCGCTTAATAATTTTAGCCATGACCAGTCTTAGCACTCTTCCTCGGACGGCTCCTATTGCTATTGCTCCTAAACCCTTGCAGCTATTTCCTAGTCGCCCGCATAACCAGGACGCATCTTTGAATAGTATGAACAGTAATGATTCGACAGACTCAGACTCAGCTGTAAGTGGAGGCGGATCCCCTTGTGAATCTTGTCTGAGAAGGCGATTTAAGTGCGTCATCGGGGACGACGAGGAGAGCTGCATCTCTTGCCAAGTCCACGGAGTCCCATGCTCTCTAAATCAGAGCCCTCAGCCTCGTAAAAGAAAGTTAGCGCGTGACTCTACCGAAGAAAGTAACGGGAAGAGAGGGTGAGTGCTCACCGATTCTTTCATTCGTTGACCCCCATCCTTACGTTATCACTTGCAGCCCATGGTCGACAAACTCTTGGACAGAAAAAAATCGCTGACATACTATTGGCCAATGCAGCTCACCCGGCAGGTCTGATAACAGGAGAAGGCGGCAACGTCAGGCCAGCTTGTCAAGTACAACTGCTAGCACTTCTTTAATCGAGGAGATGGCTAATTTTGGTGGCCCGACTTTACTAAAGCGCTCTCTTGGTCTCCAAGAAGATCGCTATAGCCAATACATCGGTCCTACTACCGATTTTGAGCCCTCTTTGATCAACCTATCTCCGTTCGACCCTCAAGATGAGAGCTTACTTGCCCGGGGAACTCTCAGGAAAGTGAGCGATAATGATACGTTCTTAATGTTACCTGACAATGCCACGCCTGGCCACGAGCATCAGTATGACGACACCGACGAGATTCAACGGCTGGTGGCGCCCTACGGCCGCAAGTTAATCGACCTCTATTTCGAAGTCGTACATCCGGCTTTTCCCATTATTCAAAAATCCATCTTCTACGAAAAATACGATCGAAACTACCGGGAGTTTTCGCCGGCGTTGTTGGCCGCTGTTTACATCCTCGCTATCAATTGGTGGGACCACTCGGAGGAGCTTTCGAAAAACCAGCGACCCAATGTGCGGGAACTTGAGAGATTAATACGGTCTTCTCTGGCCGATGCCATGTGGCGCCCGAAACTTTCCACCGTCCAGGCCGGGCTCTTGCTCTCACAGCGACCCGAGGGGGACCAATGGGCCCCGACCGCCCAGATCGTGGCGATCGCCCAAGAGCTCGGCCTCCACCTAGATTGCACGCATTGGAAAATTCCGCCTTGGGAGAAGGGTCTGAGGAAGAGACTTGCATGGGCTCTGTACATGCAAGATAAGTGGGGAGCCCTTGTTCACGGACGGCCATCACATATCTTTAGCTCCAACTGGGTCGTGCAACCTCTAGCACCGAACGACTTCTCTGAAGCCGAATTAGACGACCAGGATCCAGAGAAGAAGCTTGACATTGAAAGAGGCCGGACGCTATTCGTTCAGATGATCTACCTCACGCAAATCCTGGCCGAGATACTCGAAACATTCTACACGCTCGAAGCCATGCAGAACGTTAGCAATGCCGGTCCACAAGGTACCCATCTTGTTTTGGGTATGGCAAAGCCTATCCAGCTGAAGCTTAAAGAATGGTACGCTGCGCTTCCGACCGCGATCCGCATGGACTCTTCTTTCCAGTCCGGCAGCGTCACGTCCACTCGTTTATCAAGCATCGGGTATCTCCACCTGGCTTACTTCGCAACGGAAATAACGCTGCATCGTCGAATTATCCGGTCTCTCGAGACAGAATCGCAGGCTGTCGACCCCTATGTCCAGCACATCTGCCGTAGTGCTGCGAAGGCCCGTCTGATATCCGCTATGGATTTTGTCAATCGCCTGACACCTCAACATCTCCGGTCCTTCTGGTTCTTTGCCTCAAAAACCAACTTCGCTTTGATCGGTACCTTCGGGTCGCTTTTGTGGGCAACCTCGCCAGGTCGCGAAGAGGCCGACTGGTATCGGCGCAGGCTCGGAGAGTACCGTTGGACATTAAGTGTCAGTAGCAAGCCTGGCGAATCCAAGGGCTTGACCGAATTTGCCATGGGTATGCTTGACATATCGACCGGGCTGTTGAAGAAACTCCCTGAAAAACCGGAACTGAGCCGCAGCGGAAATGCTATTGAATTTGATCCTAGAAGACGACAGAGCGTTCTATCCATGGGTATGGGTACTTCTGTCGGAGAGCTTTATGGCGGGATGGGCGGTGCAGACATCAACAATATCCAAAGCCCTGAGAGCCCGATAGATAGTAGCGACGAAGACTATGACACATTCGCCCCAATGGCTGGAATGGCCTCTATGGGCGACTGACCGAGTTGTATGAAGGGTTCTTTTCTTTCCCCTTTTTGGGGGTTTTCTTTTGGTGCATAGTTAGAATGGGGATTGGCGAATGAAGTAGGAATAGAAAAGCGATGGGATGAGGCAAGGTCACGCCATAGGCACGAAATCTGACGACTAATCGGGTGCATGAAAACATCCAATATATATCCTTGGGTATGGACAGTATTGCGAAGGGGTTGGCATTTATTTCACCGTTTCACTTATTCCTCATTCATATGTTGTCATCTCGAATACCCCATCTAGAGGTCATCTGCTTTGCGCTTGTCGGCTATCTAATGTTGTCGATACTGGGTTGCATGCATCGCGAATAGTATTTGTTGGCTGGTTGAGGATACGTTCGTCAGGAAGGGCAAAAAAAGGCTTTTTTTTTTCGAGTCGCATGGTTGAACGGATGCATAGCGCTTTAAGATGAATGTTGTGTAGCTACGAGCAATCAATTGAACACGTTGAGTTTATGTATCGTGCTTCAATGAGTGCTTCATGTGGTGAGTCCAATTATCTTAGAAACCTCTGGTCTGTTACTAACTTTTATTTTCGAGATGATCAGGTCTGGAATACAGGGCAATTCTAATGATAATATTGTGGTCATTAACATCTATCCTGCTCTTTATGGCCGTTGATTGAAGTTTCACGTACCATCAAGGTATCCTACCCGACAAGATGTCACACATAGATATCTTCGTATGAGCACGCCCTTTTGATCAACCTGGTATTTTGAACTATATACAAAAAGGTAAAAGATTTTCAAATATGCTACCCGTAGCATGACGCACGCTTACTACACTTCTATATACCATAGACCGTTCCGACATCAATAGTCATACACACATACCATATTCCATCCAGCTTTCATACCGAGATAACCACCCAAGAGATTCTTTGAGCTCAATAGTAGAGCGACAAGGAGACTAACAGGGCGAGGAGCAGATTCAAGATCCACCCCTCTACCGGGATTCAATGAGCCGAACTCAGCGCCGGGACGCCGGCCGCGGTGCCTAGGTCGAAGCTGCAGATGTTGGCGGCCGCGCACTGCTTGTAGCTCGAGGGCTCGGCCGTGTTGTTGTAGATCAGCTCGATCCACTGGATCTGCAGGTTCGCGCTCTGGCCGCTCGCCATCGTGCCGCTCCAGCTGCCGCCGTCGGACCACGCGTTGAAGAGGAGCGTGGTCGGGTCCACCGGCGCCTGGTACGTGATCTGCGCGACGTGCGCGCCGTCGACGTACCAGTCGCTCTTGCCCGGCGTCCAGTCGTACCGGTGCACGCGCCAGTTCGACCATGAGCCGGAGATCTTGACCTCCTTCGTCGCGTTCGGCCGCGACACCCCGCTCACCGTCGCCGGCTGGTTCGTGTAGTGCACCTGCGTGGTGGCGTCGGACGTCAGGAACTCGGTGTCGGCCTCCTGCACGTTCGCCTCCGAGGCCGCGTCCCGGTACGTGAACATGGCGGTCACGGCGCCGGGGGCGCCCTTCGTGCGCGCATACATGCGCATCGAGACGTACTGGTACGAGGAGCTGATGCTCTGCAGCTCGGCCGAGGACTGGAAGTTGCCGTTGCTGGCCGGGTGGCGGTAGGTGCGGAGGGAGAGCCAGGTCTTGGAGTTGGGGACGGAGTCGGTGTTGGCCTCGATGTAGACGTCGTTCTTGGAGTACTCGTTGAAGACGGCGCCGCTGTCGGTCCAGGCCTGGATCGACCAGGTGCTGGTGAAGTTGGTCGTGTTGAAGTAGGCGTGCGTCACCGGCGCCGCGAGCGCCTGCGCGCGGTTGTTGATGGCCGCCGGCACGCGCGGGTTCGCGATGTTCCGGAAGTCGAAGAACTTGTAGTGCGCGAAGTACGCCGGCGACGTCCCGTTCGTCAGGTAGCACTGGCACCGCGAGGGGTCGACCGCCGTGGCGGCCTGCGCGGTTTGGGCGCCGAGGAGAGCGGCGGCGGCGGCCAGGAGAGAAGTCGCGGAGACCATGGTTAGGAGGTACCTAGGTAGGTAAGACACTGCTGGTCTTGGCCGTGGGATTCCTCAGGAGTGGGGTGGGGAGGGTATTTGAGAGTTGAGAGTGGATGAGATGGGGGGAATGTGTGATCTGGGTTGATGATCTTCTTTTCTGGTGTAGGAATAGCTACCCTGAGACACCTTTATATAATGGTCCTGCTAAGCATGCGATCCGTCGTCTCTGGTGACGTTTGTTCGGGACTGAGCCGCTTGCTGGCCACCTCCAGGAATTAGACCGAGACCTCAGGCGAAACAGATGCCACCCTAATCCCGATTGGAACTGCCTACGCTGGTAGGCGTGCAAGACAATATTTTTCCTTCACCATAGCCTCCTCCCAGCGAAGTTCGGTGCGCTCCCATGACATATGGACTCCATATGTGGATATGGATGATGCAGTATCGCGAGTCAGTCGCCGGCAGCTGATCCAAAACCCTCATGGCTAACTTCGGTGCACTAGGCCTATTAGCTTGGAGAACGGCTGCAATTCACAGATTTGAGTTCATCGCACCCCTAGGCCGATGAGAGGGACAGGGAATCGATCTCACTAATTCTCATAGATCATAGGGATAGGATCCTGATCGTTCATCTTCTCTTTGGGTAAGTAGGTAGTCTTTGCCATTAAGGGGTTATGTTGGTAGTACGTAAAGGGCATTGAACGTCCAGAAAGGGGAGGTAAGTTGAAGTTTAATATCCATGGGCGTTGGAAAGTAAGGGCATCTCTCTCTCGACTTTGGCGACACGTTGGTGGCACGCGTAGGCGAAGTTTCAAAACGCGGTAATCAAATCCTCCTTCACTTCCCCAGCTTACATGCTAGAGACGAGCCATCCCCTACCCCTGCGCCGCTCAAGGTCCGATTACTCCGCCCCCGGTCCCAGACTTCTGGTTACTTACAACTTTATTATAATTATGACCATATGCATAAGGCTTAACAACGTTACGTCAGGCACACGGTTATCACAACGTTGAGTTGTGACCTGCCGTACCGGGCTATGCAACTGGTTGCATCTGCTTTATAAAGACTTGATCCCCAACTACTACATACGAATGACGTTATGGCCTGACTGGTCACTTAATTTGAGGTTCTCAACTTACGTTGGTAATCCTTCGTCACGGAGTTATTGTGTTGCACTAGATTTTACATTTGATTTGAACTAATGTGTTCATGTCTGGCCCAAGTTAATTAGGTCTCAAGCTTGTTCCTGACGATCGTAGGCTTCTTGCGCTATCGCGGTCCAGGGTCCTGTCGTACGCCAGTCGACCCTCGGCACAGCTAATAAGACTAAAGTTGACAATCTTGTGAGCAGGACTCAAGCGTTAAAGGGTTTTCAGATCGCCTGAAGATGCCTAGTTACTGGATACTCGGCCGAGGCCGGAAAATTCATAACGACTTGACACTAACACTGGATTGCGCGTCTAAAAAGATGGCTTTGGTGGAAGGAATATTGTAGGATTTCCTTACAACTATCCACTCTTCAGCTCTTCTTAGACTGCGGAGGCTATAAAAGCCACCGAGGTTTAATATGCTAGCTCTCTTCGTGGCCATTACCTACATGTACTACCTACTCACCTACATAGCTTCAATGTTTGAATGGAATATACAGCCTTGATTGGTAAGCTCTATCCTAACGATGTAGACTAACGTTAAGATCTATGCCTAGTCATCTACTTAGAGAGATCACGCTTATTTAGTGTTCGGGCTCTATACTATCCACGATACTAATCGGGGATAACGTGGAGAGGGAAAATTTATGCTTGGACCTCCATAACCCCGGAAAATGGTTATATATATCTATGGATATAGGATACGTAATCGCTACTATCCCAAGAGCCTCATAGAACTGTCCGTCAGTTAAAGGTGTCTATTCTCTATAAAGTCCTACTCCATGATGCATTTCCACTCAAACCTATAACGTACCCCGGCATTTCGAAAAGTCCAATTGCAAATCTGTGGATATCTTATTCTTGGCGAACCTTGTATTGACTGCCGTCCTTGGAAACTGGGATTTGGGAAACTTGACTTGAGTGATTGTGTCGTCAACAGTGTCTAGCGTACATGGATATAGCCTTGAACTCGTAGTACATAGAACCCTGTTAGTACCACACTACATAGACTACCTAGGCAATTACTCAGCGCTTAGTACTACTGCACTTTTGGCGGTTATGTTCTCTAGAACACATAGGGACTCTATATATCCTCTCAAATGTAGGTACCTACTAACTCCTTCCATTGAGACCAAAAAAGTCTTTCACATCTTCTAATCTAGTTCGCAAGAATCGAGACTACTTACCTACCTAGGTATGTAGGTACCCGTCTATGCCATATGTGAGATCTGACTTCTAGTTCAACCCTAGCGTTGTGAACATATTGGGACTCTTGTATCATCGCCCTAAAAGAAGAAATATGCGGAGATAAACTTAGCAATGCTTAGGTAGTTTCTCATTTCATCTTTCTTAAATAGCATTTTTCATATCTACTATTAGGTTACATAAACATCACCCCCTTTTATACAACACCATAGGTGGTAGACCCTAGGTAGACCCTAGGTACTTCAAATGGCACATGGAAGCGTTGTTAGTCAAGATTTATTTTGATGTATTATACACGTGTGTTAACTCATCCAGGGACTCCAGTTAGAGACCATCCTAACTTTGAAGATTGCTACTTAAGGGGCTCTTTTCTACCTACTAGGTAGGTAAGTAATCAATTTCTTCCTCGGTCGAACCCGAGATCACGATCTATATTCCGACCATCCAACGCTAGTTTTTCCTCTATGTGAGCAAGATATTTGTTAGCTAATATTAATCATCTTTACGGTGAAGGAAACGCTACCTACCGCCCATGACTTAGGACTTAGGCATTTACATACCTAGTAGCTTACATATACGCTAAACTTCATGACTCAGGTAGGGGAGAATCTACTAGAACTAGCCTCGCTAAGTAGGTCTACTTCCAAATGTTTAGTTGAAGGCGCGATAAATGGCCCAGAATTCAGGCACAGAGCCGCTTAGTCGATGGTCTAGACCCCGTCAGATTATAATATAAGAAAGCACTTAACCTCCATGAAGCCTGTGAAGTTGTAATCTCATATGATGTGTTTTTGGATTGATTTTGGTGTATTCGGTGTTGAAAATCTAGGTAAGCTATGATGATAGATGATAATAACAATGCCATTCTACTTAGCACTCAATACCATGAAACCTAGGTAAGTATTCTCTTACATGAAAAACAAACAAATTTCTAGGATGTTCAATATAGTCAGCAGCTATTATTTAATGGCGCCCAGAAGTCTTAGCCTTCCACGTATGTGTTGAAAATAGTATTGTATATAATTCAAAATGAAAGCTTAGGACCTCGTCCTAGGAAATTATTCTGTCAGATACTTCATAAGATCTTATGAATGTAAAGGATTGCGAATCTTTCATGACAAAATAGGGACTATACATTTGCAGGAGATATTCTAAGGATTATTTATACTTAGTTACACTACCCATCTACTTTAGGCAGGTTTGCTTTTACCTGAAAGCTGAGAGATGCCTGTTTGACGAGAACATAGCAATCTTTGTAACATTGGAGTACATTATCAGAACTATTCATACAACCTATATTTGAGTAACATATATATGTTTATCTTGAAACCGCGGCGAGTTAGAATTAACGAGAGAAGTAGTCGGATTACACCCCTGAAAGCTAGTTGCGCTAGGATAACTGGCCCCCCTTAATAGTATCTATATCTTCAGTAAGAGTCAGCAGAACGACTTAACAAAGTTGTAAATGCCGATTTTATGAAATGTAGGTGGTGTAAAATAACGTAGGAAGAATCTTATGTGCTCATTATGAAGAAATATTCGAAGGATGCCGGTTTTGTCCTAGATCATTACATGAAACGACGTCTTCGTGTATGATTACTCGAAATACGCGCGTTTGACCAAATTTATCAAGTAAGCCATACGATTATAAATCAAAAACCTGACGATGGAAAGTCGACTATACCCGTTATATATATTGTCGGGGTCGAGATGAGGAGTGTTACGGGCCGGCACCGGCCCAGTTGGTATTGCGTGATTGTCCCGCAACTGTCGCCATCGATATCAATATACGATTCGCTATATCATATACCTTTATAAATAACCACATCGAAGGTCATAAAACCGACCCAGGTTCTAGATAAACCACTTACGTATTATCTCCGGGAGTGATCATCAAGATGCCTACAGAATTCATTAGCTTGACCTTCCCGAACCCGTCTACGGACATTAACCCAATCCCTAATGCCTCCATTGATCCGGATTTCCTAGAAAGGTACGCCCGGAATCTGGATGACTATGCCTTCAACTACACCTTAGTACCGTACGACTCGTCGTACTATGACCCCTGGACCATCGGCGCCACCATCGCCGCAAAGACAAAGAATCTCAAGATCATCATCGCGCTCCGCCCCAATACGCTCTACCCCACCGTAGCAGCCAAGGCCCTCGCGACCCTAGACCAGCTCAGCCGCGGCCGCGCCGTGGTGCACTTCATCGCGGGCGGCAGCGACGTGGAGCAGGCGCGGGAGGGCGACTTCCTGAACAAGGAGGAGCGGTACGGGCGTCTCGAGGACTACATCAAGATCCTGCGGCGCGCGTGGGCGTCGGACGAGCCCTTCGACTGGGACTCCAAGTACTACCAGTTCAAGCAGTTTTCGAACAAAGTTCGCCCCGTCAACGCCGCGAAGGGGATCCCCGTGTCCGTCGGCGGGTCGTCGGACGAGGCCTACCGCATCGGCGGCAGCCTGGCCGACATCTTCGGGCTGTGGGGCGAGCCGCTGAAGGAGACCAAACAGCAAATCGACCGCATCTACGCGGAAGCCGCGAAGGCGGGCCGTCCCGACGGCGACCGCCCCCGCATCTGGGTCACCTTCCGCCCCATCGTTGCCGAGACCGAGGAGCTCGCGTGGGCGAAGGCGCACCGCACGCTGGACCTGCTCAAGGCCGCGCGCGCCGATAGTAAAGGGCGCGCCAAGCCCGACGCGCCGCCCGCGCCCCAGAACGTGGGCTCCCAGCGGCTGCTGGAGATCGCGAAGAAGGGCGAGGTCCAGGACAGGGCGCTGTGGTACCCGACGGTGACGGCGACGAACGCGCGGGGCGCGTCGACGGCGCTGGTGGGTTCCGTGCAGACGATTGTCGATTCGCTGCTGGATTACGTGGATTTGGGGGCCGAATTGATTTCGATTCGTGGGTACGATAACTTGAATGATGCGATCGATTACGGACGCTACGTCCTGCCGAAGGTGCGGGAGGCGTTGAAGGAGAGGGAGGGTAAGGCTAATGGAACTAATGGAACTAACGGGACTCATTAGTAGGATATGGTGCCTTGTATGTAGGGGATTCATAGGTTTTCCTTAAGAATATACGTTAAATAAGATATTCCTACTTGTTTACTATGAGATGTGTCTGTGTGGAGAAGAATAGGGGTTAGGGGTTGTGTAGGTATTTTGTCGGCACGAACACATAACATTTATTCCACAACTCACTTTTAGGTGAGCGATTGTGCATGCCAGGAATTCATGAATAAGGAGTGGAAATTCCGACTATAGCGGTCGGATACTGTCAAGAAATCACATGTTGATTGAACGCCTTTCCAACCATCCTAGTCCCATCCATACGATCAGGTATTCATAACCTTTACTCTATCGGAGCAACCTTCACCACAGTTCGCTCTGGATGTTGACTATCAAGATCTTTGATAGCTGCTGGTGCTTTATCAGTGAGACTCGCATTCTCATCTTTTATTGGAAACCTTTTGCCAGCCAGTTGTCCCTTTGCGAGGTCATAGAATTCATTTCTCTTAGAGTCCTCAGACACCAAGTTAGAGATGTAATGGGTAGCTTTCGTTGCCATGAGGTCCCAGAGGTCTTTGCAGTCTTGCAGATCTCGTTCGAGGAGGAGGAGGACGATGACTGTGTAAGTAAGGAGGCCTGCCGCCACAGAAGCACCAACAGTACCGCTTTTCATCACATGGTTTTCTATTTCCTCGGCAGTTTTAGCCAACGACGGACCTAGAAGAGACTTCGTGTCGGTATTAAAACTCCCGTTGAAGTTTTGGTACGAGAGAAGTTTCGCCACAAATTCCCTGTGGAGACCCGCCGTCTTGTTGTTGACTTTGCTCGCGTCTAAGTTGGACTCTGGAACTACTGGCGTCGCTGGATCCGTAGGAATCTCCGCATTTTTGATGCTTGTCAACCTGGCCTGGAGTGTACCCTTGGCGTTAGAAGCCACTTTCCTCGCCTTCGCCGGCAGGCTATCTATCAACAGTATCAGCGACTTCCAACCGAATACTGGCGCCATCGCCATTCTCGCTTTTTTTGCCTGCTTTCTAGCATGCATGGGCTCACCGAAAATTTCGTGGTTTTCTGCTGCTTCGACTCTCGAAGATAATCGATAAGCGGCGGGACGGGACCTCCCACTCTTTATTCGTGCGCGTGGAGAGCTGTCCTCGGTCAAAGGATCGTATATTGATGCTGAGCTGAACTCAGCATCGAAATTCGCAGTGTTCGAAGCCCTGGTACTAACGTGTGCCGGGTATCGTTTAATTTGACCAACAGACTCCGATATTGTATCTCGTATGGTGCCCCGAGGTTGAAGTAGATCATCTAGGCCGTTGAAATCATCATGTACTATGATGCCTTTGCCGTTACCTTCGGGTTTGGGGGTTTCCTGTTCAAGGAAGAAGCTCGTCCACTTAGACGCAAGCGAGAACCGGCAAGCAAGTTCGGTTGCTTGAGTTGATGAGAGGACCTGTTTTCCGGGATGTCCTACCTCGTCCACGATAGCTTGTACACCAAGATTATGAATTATCGTATCGGGTTGCGTCAGTGTCGTCACTGGGATGGTAGTAGATTCTCGGTCGCCGTTAGACTTGATTGTTTCAATGACAACGCTTCTCAACTTGTCTAATGGCGAGTCCGGTTTAGAGAGTAAATATACCCTGTTTCCTTGGAAGGGATTGAGATCCCCAAACATAGCTGGCGATGCTAAAAATTGGTCATAACTGTCCTTTCCGTTGAGCTTGACTCCTAGAGTGTTAACATGGGTTGTGAGGGCCGCTTTTAGCATAGCAACAACGCGGTCTTCCCAACCACCTGTACTCGCTTTAGGGATAACTTCAGAATAACCCCCGCCCCGAGATGCGATTCCTTGTACCAGCGCATGTGAGACATGGGCACCGATTCCTAGTGAAAAGAATCGCACCGCTCCCCGCGAATCGGTTCTGGTATCCTGGATAAGCCTCAAGGTTTGGTCGAGTCTCCATACTTCTCCATCTGTTAATACGATCATGTCGCAAGGGCAAGATTTATCTCTGCTGGCAATCATTGCAGTGAGAGCAGGTAGTAACTCGGTACCTCCCATATCTGACTTTAGCTCTTTCACATAATCAAGCGCTAGCTGCAGAGACTCCGAACTGTAAGTTCGTGATTTATCCCAGAGCTTTTTGTAGGTTGATCCAAAGGACCAGATATTGAATTTCCGGCCAACGGGGATCCCCTTGAGGAAAAACTGGAGGGAAGATTTCACCGCCTCAATTTTGTCTTCCATGGAACCGGATCTATCAACTAAGAAGATGACCTCTCCTGTCTTAGGCGTTTCCTTGCTCTCCAACATGAGCGAAGAGGGGATGGTGATCATCATAGCCTTTTGATTTTCAAGGGATGGGTGCGACTCAAGCCAGGCGTGAGCATGATCCACCGTGCTAGGGCAATTTGTTTCGATGGTAAGAATGAAGTCTTCGTGTAAAAATCCCAGATTAGAGTCTAACTTAACCACGGCGGCATCTATGCGGGACCCCTGATTCTTCCTCGAGAGATCTACCCAATTCGAGGCTTTGCATTTGTCGAGGCCGTGATCTAGTAGAACTTTATGGGTGTCGCTTTTGATTTGGATGATTTTCTTGGACTCCATGATCTCAAGTTGGAGGGTGAATGAGCTTGGTGCTTCTCCGGAGAGATTTCCACGGATATCTGAAGGAGCACTTCCATATCTACTCGCAATAGCTGTTGGTATGGAGAACTCTGTAACGTTCTTCTCCTGTGAGAATTGTCGTTTCAATAGAGTAACGTATGTGAGCTCAGCTTCGAGTCTCGTGTCCACAGGAATATTTCCTAAAGAGGCTGTGAAAAGTTCAGGGGTATTCTGCTCTAGCAAAGCAGCAGTTCGCTGCGCCGCAACCGCTTTCCGGAAGGCCTCTCGAGCTTCAGCCTTGGGTTTAACCTTGGCTCTTATGGTTTTATCCCGGCCAATTCGACAGCTGAAGCTTGTGACTGTACATCCATTGGGCAAGGGGAATACATAGGACGCTCTGGGTATAGGGATATCAGCATTGTTCCAGAAAACCTGCGATACTGTTACTCGGGCCGCGTCATCCACAATACGGCCGTTGATCGAAACAGACAGGGGCGATAATAGATTTCTTGTGGGCTCTTTGAGAATATTATCCGGGAGTTCCTTGACAGTTTGTTTCTCGGACAGCGTGTAACTATGATACGATCCGTCCACATGGGATTGCCTCTCTATGTCGGCTGGGAGGGGCTCCCGTGGATCCCAAACGATACCTGCAGAGAAGACGGTCATGATCAACGGATTGAATTGCAAATAATTGTGCCTGGGTACTAGAATCGTTAATAAGGGCGACAATTAGATGAATGTAAAGGAAGACATTGAAGTGTCAGTCAGTTATGTATTTAATCTTCGAGGGGTTAATGAGAGACAACATGACGCCTAGATTAACTGAATCCTCCAGGCTGCAGTGCAACCCTGCCACGAATGCAAATAAGCCATCAAGAACGCCTTAAACACTGCCTCGGAGTCAACCTTGTTGGAGGATCTACCACTTTTTCATGATAGATAGGACTCCTAATTTATTCTCTTATTAGATAGATACTTTGCTCTTTGACTCAAGTCTCGTACGATCGTATGTGTCAAATGCGCATTTGAATCAGCCTTAACGATGCCATTTACACCATCTATCGGAGACGTGGTCATGATGGCCCAGATTGCTTGGAAGCTCGCTCAGGCATTCACCAAAGGTCGCAAATCCGCCCCTGCCGAGTTTTGCGAAGTCGAAAATCAGCTATATTCGCTTAGCGCTACCTTAGAAGCTATTAAGAGGGCGCAAGAAAAGGGTGACTTCGAAATTGGACATATGAATCCTAAAGCAATAGCATCGGGAAGCCGAGAAGAATCATACGGCTAAAGCACGGTGAAAAATATCCTTGGAAATTGCCTGCAAACATTAACGCACCTCGAAAATATTGTGAAGAAGTATAGAGTGATTCATCAGCCGACCTCATCTCCTCATAGAATTGGTTGTTGGAGCCAGTATGTGGTTAAAAATTGGAGGAAGATCGAGTGGACGACTGAGAAAGGCGACCTAAGTGCCCTCAGGAATCAAATCATTATCCATACCAACAGTCTTAACCTCTTGCTCGGGGTTGCCACGAGGTATGATGCTTTATGAGATTGTTAACCTTCTAGATAAATGCTAATATCCATTAGTTCTCAAGCGGCTAGGATTCGGAAGACTGTTGAGACATCCTCAGCCATGATCAAAGAGTTGTACGAATGGTACGGGGACAACATCAAGGGCTTTAACACGACCGGGAATGATAAGTTAGCTCAGAGTCCAAGCCCGCCAGCCTATGCATCGACCTCCACGCTGGCCACGGCACCCTTATATACATTCGAACTTTCCATTCGAACAAGTCGTGAAAAAGAGACAATCTGCCCTCGAGCCCATTTTAATCGTGATGGGGATCAGACCTCATACTTCAACTCATCATCCTCGGAAGCGGAGCCTATGCTAGCTTGCGCGTGTCAAAATGCTGGTGGCGCTGAGTTGCATAAGTCTGTAGTGCAGCGATATAAGCGTAGGTAAAATGGGAAACCTACATGGTGAAGCCGTCTCTAAGGATTCACAGTGTCTCATATAACTTTCCCTGCTCGTCTTGCGGATGACAAGCGCTCCTGGATTCTCTTCAAGACTACTGACAAAGCTACGAATCAGCTTGTCAGCCTTTACATCACCGCAATTCACCCTAGTTGTTCGTGAACTATACCACCCCTAGATCTTGGTGCTACTTACTAAAAGTAAAGAAGACATGCGAACATTAGAAGAAGCCATTCTCCAGGATCTCGCTATTCGACGAGCAGATGCGATTCTAGAAAAAGGCATCGGTAACAGCCTTTGCTACCTATCAGTTGATACTGGGGAAGAGCGTCTTCTCGCTTCAATCGGGTAACTTACCCCCTATCTCGAACCCAACAATATCAAGTATCAGCTAAAATGAGGTTCTTATCGCGTAGAGAACTTAGAACTGCGCATGAATCAATCGAATCAATTACTTTCAACCATGGTGGACGCACTTACCGTCGTAACTACGTGGAGAATATCCAGATCTTGCAGTACCAGACCCTGAGCCTAGACTCGTTAACAAAAGGGTGCCAGTCAGAACCATTACGACCCCTAGACTATGCGGAGGTCCTTATTACTTACGGCCAAGACGACGAGGCGCGGAGTGATGTGGTCAGCAGCACGCTTCACTGTAATTCCAACTAGGCAAAATGCTAGGTGCATAAACCCGCTAATTTGAATAAATAGTGAAGCGAAACACCGAATTAAAGCTCGACGATGGTCATGCTCTTGTACAGATAGAGTCGGTTGAGACAATGGGAACATTCATGGACGAGCGCACAGCGTGCCTTGGCGACGTGGGCATAACGATTCAGCTTACAAGTAGACAAGCAGCGAGAGAGCTTCATGGGAAGTTGGAAGATATGCGTATGGAACTGTTTATTAGAGGTCTTCGATATCCACGGTCGGACGAATCGGTGGCCCTTCGCTTGTAAGCATCCAAACACTTTTTATTCGGGGAAATTAGACCAGGATTCTGATTCTTTCTAGACAGTTTGCCAATATCGAGTGCGAATACATGTGTGTTCCTGATGCCGATGTAACGGTGACTGTCGACACTCAGAGAAGGCACAGGCTCATTATTGAGAGTCGGAATAAATGCACCATCATGAGTCAAGTTCTTGTGGACGACTTCTTCAACTCGGTATCGGGAAAGCCGAATTATACTCAGCCGACATACGTTGTTCAATACGACGAGAAAGGAACTCGGAACGTCTATAAATATGAACGTGGGTTCAGGTGCTTGAATTTGGGCGGCCAACAAGGTATATCAACGTCCGTCTCGTTCGTTTTCGCTCATAGCTTACGTGCTCTGTATAGCCGACCGAATGTTCAAACTCGCCTGGGATACCATGTCGATGGAGTTGCAAGCCGCTGGAGTCCATCTGGATCCATAAATTTGAGAAGACAAGGTATGCGAATATCTACGATAACAGAAATTTCATGATATCAACATTCGCCGTGCTGACTTCGTCAAGAGGGGAAGGTACCTTCGTTGCATAGGTATCTTGGGATGGTCATCGCAGTGATTCATTTGCCGAAAGCCGAAGGAGATTCCGCGGACCGGCAAAAGATCTTGTAAATTCTTTTAGTCGATGACCTCTCCTGGAGGAACATTGTATCCTCACAAGCCTGGCTGGTAGAGATGAAATAAGTGGGGATAGGTAACCCAACCTCGTTACTGTGTTCTAGCATTCCACTACTAGCGACAGCTTCCCGGCATTTTGGGGGAAATGTATGCTCCTAGGAAAGAAATGCTCCTATGAACATTCCAAAACATATCAGGTGTATTACTAGATGTAAGTGAGGGCCGCCCAAAGCAAGGCTCTTCTCGGCTGCTGTTAAATGGTGGTGAATCCGAACATAGGCTCGATAGCACGGCCATACATGGTAAGTTCCCAACGCCAGTGCCAATTGTCGAGCCAAGTCAGAAAATCCTGGTTCGGTGACGATAAAAAGGCATATTACATTGGTCGACAGGAGCAATCCTCCGTATTGGCGTAGAATGAGCTTTGCGGCCAGATTGCAGCCAGGAAGTTGTAGATCTGGGGCAAAAATAAACGACACAGCTGCCGCTGTTTCAACGAGAAAATGGATGACGAAGGGTAATTTTGCCAATATCATCGCTTCGAATTGTTGATAAGGATGACACTACCTCAATAGATGAATCTTTCGTTATGAAGGGCTATTAGGACATTTAATTACCAAAGAGAAGCTTTCAACTTACGATGTTATCAAGTTGGGAGAGCTGATTAGAGTGCCTTTGCCTTGAATGGTGAAATAATGCACGTTGGAATGCATGTGAAGAGGGGCTCTAGCGAGCCTATGCCCCTTGCATAAACCCATAAGCGAATGGATACTAGTCGACACCGCATGGGCTCTTCAGGGCTAGAACACAGCCTATTTAATACGTTGATAGCGAATTTCGAACTCCGCTGACGCCACTGTAGATCTAGGTTCACGTAACCTTGTCTAGGAATCAAACCGAATTCAGGTAGTAGGAACTCGGCATCTCAGGTGCCGAGTCGGTTGGGGCCTCACTGAGTTACCAGATGATTCATGATTTCGTCGATGACGGAGTTGGGACCACTAAGACAGACCGTATCATTGATGGCAGTAGGTACTCGAAAATAGAATCCACCCTTATACAGACCGGACAGGGGATAGCAATCTTGTACAATTGTCCATGTACCATGGATCCATACATACCTCATACCTAGATAAAGTAGGTAGGCTGGTAGGGGTAAAAAAGATGATGCTTCGAAGTTTGGAGCGCTCTACATGAAATAGTACCTGAACTGCCTGAGTATCTGGAAATTCAAGTACATTTAATCTAGTGGCGGGACAGGCCTTGATTGGAGGGTCACGGTCCTCTAACTGATAGGAAACGGCTGCCCTGGTGCCTGAGCTTAATTACGCTAACAGCCGCTAATTTTCAACGTGGGTATGTGCGGCTGGAAGTACAGTACTGTTCACATTAAGTAGGTAGGTACCTAGGTACCTCCTTGTGTCATGATTGTTTCAACTCTCGGTCGTCATACCCTGATCAACGACTGCGGTCGTGATTGCAACCTCGACTTTGGCAATTTTTATCATAGAGTACTTACCCGAAACACCAAGTGCTTTGGACTTTCCTATCAGCTTTCTTACCAAGTGGTTGGTTCCCTCTTTCCCCTTTCCTTTCAACCTCTAGATCTAGTTAAGAGTCTTGGCATTTCGCCATCTCGCCTTCAACTTACTTCCTATCAACTCTGTTCAACCAGAGATAATATTGGAACTTGATAGGTATTGCTCTTGTATACAACCACGCGTATCGCGCAGTGCTGTTGCCTCGGTATCACAAGCACGGCACCTAGCCTGTATCAGTCTTTACCTAGATATTTCACATAGCCGTCAAGTTTCTATATCATATTCCCACCGGGCGTTCGAGGCGGGGAATATCCTCACTCATTTCAAAGATTTCCTATGAGCCTTCAGCTCATTCACCGAGTCTGAATTCTCATATAATCACTTCAAAGTCAAATACTGCCAAGAATAATGGCGTCATCAGACGCGTTCGGGGAGCTGGGCCTCTCCATCATCGGCTTAGGATCACAGTATCCTCCATACTTACTCAAACCAAGCGAAGTGAACAAACTCGCTACCAAGTACTACCCAGATTCGCCGGCGTACGTAAACCTCTATTGTCATTGGCCTCATATACTAACAAGTGGTTGCTCTAGTATGCAAAAAGTACTCGATATAAACAAGTATACAGGTATTGACACGCGCTCATCTATTGGAACTTCAGAGCATCCTTTAGTGAATAAGGAAGATGCGCCATCGATAGCTGAACTACATAAAACCTTCACATCAGATGGCGTACCGCTTGCCATTGTGGCCTCAAAGAAAGCTATCATAGAAGCCGGGATAGATGTATCTGAGATTACTCACATAGTTTCTACAACTTGTACCGATAGCGCCAATCCCGGATTTGATCATTTTGTTGCGAAAGGACTAGGAGTCTCTAATAAAGTGGAAAAGGCCTTGCTACATGGCGTCGGTTGCGCGGGAGGATTGACGACACTTCGAACCGCCGCCAATTTAGCTTTGGGCCATTCCATGAGGCGGAAACCTGCCAGGATCTTGTGTGTGGCCCTCGAGGTGAGCACCACCATGGTTCGTAGTGAACTTAGTAGTGTCAACGAATTGCAAGAAACGCGCATTGGACCTTGTCTATTTTCCGATTGCGCCTCTGCCCTAATCCTCAGTAATGGAATTGGGCAGCCGACAGCCGAACCGATTTACGAGTTGCTCGGGTGGGAACATCAAATTCTACCAGAGACCGAAGGCGATCTTGGCTTTGATGTCGACCCTGTTGGCTGGAAAGTTGTGCTTACGCCTCGAGTTCCAAAGTTAACAACCGACGCGCTCAAACCGAGTTTCCTTGATTTGCTGGAGAGTGTTCCGGGCCTTCCTTCCACATATCGGGAAGCGCCTGATTTTGACTGGGCAATGCATCCGGGTGGTTTGACTATCTTAACTGGTACCGAGAGAGCGATGGGTATCTCGCCGGAGCATATGCGCGCCAGCTATGATACATATATGAACCATGGAAACTCGAGTTCGGCGACCATTTTCAGTGTGATGAACCGGTTGAGGAGTAAAGAGATGGACGCAGTAGCCCCCGAAGGCCGGGCTCGAGATTACGTGGTCGGATGCGCGTTCGGGCCAGGAATCTCCGTCGAGATGTGCTTGCTTAAACGCAACATGGGGCGTTTGGGACTTCATACTCCTCCCGAGACCGATAGCGAAGCCAGTAGAAGTGAAGCCGGCGAAGACATCGACTGGGCGAGCATAGATCCAAAGGAATCGATTCCAGGCACCCCTAGGTCCGACGTCCGAGGCGACCGGAAACTATCGCTCGGCGATGATATATTTATTAGCGAAGCAATTGCTAATGTTGAATTGGATTAAGTGGCCGGCATTAGACCAGCATTAGACCAGCGTATGAGATCGAAATATACCCATATCGCATTTTTGTTTACGTTGAATATATCAAATTATTTACTGCTGGAAATTGATGTTTCTAAGAAGTCTGCGAAGACTTGGATTTTGTACTGGAACACTGGAGGTGATTGGAGTTCTTTTTCTCAGCTGCCTTAGCGGGTTAGCACGGGTAACATTACCTACAGCACAATCCCTATCACCGCTGAATGATAAGGAATTGGAGAAACTTGGCTATTGAAACGTTGATGTCCGTTCCAAGGTAAACACAAAACACCCAAACTAACATGCTTCAATGCTCATGGCATTGTTCTCTACTGGAGCCGCTTCGCTTCTGAGGCTTCGGTATATCCTTCCGTTAGCTTTATTTGTCATTATCACAATGGAGTATCTTCGTCGGTTCGGACTTAGTTATCTCATACTCTGGCTGTCGGTAGGTGTTAGAAGCACGAGTGCCACAGAGAATTCGCCCGGCTTACCGATAGTTATTAATACATGGGGCGGGTCGTTCACCGCAGCCACAGATGCAGCGTACCTGTCTCTTCTGAAGCCTGAAACATCGGCTCTTGACGCTGTCGAGATCGGCTGTTCTACATGCGAGGCCAATCAGTGTGATGGGAGTGTAGGCTATGGTGGCTCTCCAGACGAGAACTGCGAGGTGAGATGGGACACTTACTCCTTAGTCCCATGGGTAAGGGACGAGGTAATTAATCAGCACAGACAACCCTCGACGCAATGATAATGGATGGCACAACTATGAAATCCGGCGCTGTCGCTGCGTTACGGCGAATCAAGGACGCGATATCCATTGCTCGTGCCGTCCTTGAGCACACAACGCACACGCTTCTAGCCGGGGACTTCGCAACCGACTTCGCCCTGCAAAACGGGTTCATAGCCCAGAACCTCACCACTGGAGCCTCGGCATTGTCGTGTGCACAGTGGCACGCCGCCAACTGCCAGCCTAACTACCGCATCAACGTTTCGCCTGACCCGGGATGCTCCTGCGGTCCGTACAAGCCCGTAGCTCTGAATTCCAGTGATGAATCATCCTATGCGCAAGAGTTGAGGCCGAGAGATAGAGGGCCGCCAGAGGGCCATGATACCATCTCCATGATTGCGTTACACGCCTCGGGCACCATGGCTGCGGGTACATCGACAAATGGGGCTAGCCGAAAGATACCTGGACGTGTCGGTGACGGCCCGATCACGGGTAGCGGATCGTATGTTGATGGGGAGGTGGGCGGGTGCGGGGCGACGGGAGACGGAGATATCATGATGCGCTTTCTGCCGTGTTACCAAGCGGTCGAGAACTTGCGGCAGGGAATGACCCCCGAGGAGGCTGCGGAGGATGCGGTGAGAAGGATGCTTAGGAAGTATCCGGAGGTACAGAGCGGGATAGTGGTTGTGAATAATAAGGGTGAGCATGGCGGGGCTGGGTCCGGCTGGACTTTTACGTACTCGTATCGCGGAGGCGCGATGAATGAAACTGCTGTGGTAAGTGTGCCGCCTATTGATAACGGAGCAGTACGGCCGCGGGAGAGATTGAGTCCTAAAAGCGTTGGTTTCTGAGAGCGAAAATATGAAGAAAATCGGTCAACGTGGAGATTTTATTTGAATATCCTACATCTCAAATGCATTCACGCTACTTCAGCACACCGAAATCCCATTTCTCGCCCCCTTTTTGAAAATTTCCTAAGCTTGCTTCCGCCATTCCCTATGCACGCTAGAAACCAAGCTGATTTTTCCTATCCCTTAATGCTATGCTGTAACACTAACACCCTTCCTCATCACCATTCAAATACAGTCTCCTCAGCTCCCTCTTCCACTCTTCCAGCGCAATCCACTTCTTACCCTTCTCGCCATCAGGTAAAGGAACAGACCCCCTCGGCATACCTTCATACTCTTTCTCATCCCACTTAGGCAGCTCGATGAAAGTGTGCTCTTTCTTGCAGATTAACCCCTTCTTCTTCAGCTCCCCCTTGAGAAGCAAAGCATGGCAACCTGCGTCTAGCTGCGTCGCGCCCAGGCAATCCACACACGTGTACAACGGCTCGTCCGTCACCATCCACTGCTTATAGCATCCATCGCATGACACGAGCCAGCTTGGCTCGATTGGGTCATCGTTAACCTCGACAGGTTCCGGGACCCTTGGCTCAGGCGTCGGATCCCTTGTAGCCTCATTTGAATGAGACTTATGCTCGGCCTTTCCGCCAGCCTTCGGACTCTGACTCCGGCTCCTGTGTCCATCTCGTACGTTCTGCACACTCTTGTTCGCAAATCCGTTGCTATAAGGGGCAACCTGCTGCTCCTTCTCCTTCGGCCCGCCGTTGACCGCGGCAGCGGTAATTGTGCCGCCGGAAGATTTGGCAACCCAGTTCTCCCACGCGATCAATGCGTCGCGCTGGGCCGCATTACGCATCGTCCACGCGATCCGCGTGTTTTTCGTGTCCTCGATACTCGTGAGTAGTCGCGCCAGCAACCAATACGCAGTCTCGTCGTTCTCTTCGTCTTCATCGGACAAGAGCTCAATGATCTCCCTAACAATTCTCTCGATCCAGCCGCGCGCTAGATGCGAATCGGTCTTACGGCGGTGGTGATACCGAATCAAACAGCACACAGCAACCGTGCCAGTCCAAAGATCGAAGCTATCACTCGCGTCCGGCTCCGGGAGCAGGTTCGCGATAAGCGAGCCGTAAGAATCGACTTTCTCAATCGCTAAGTTTGGCTGGAACGCCTTGTCCAAATACGTACGTGCCAGGACGTTCGTCATGTCGTCGATTGAGTGTCGCAACAAGCTGTCGTTGCGGTGCAGCCGTATGTCCTCGAGCGCCGCCTCTTGGATCGCGACGATCTTTTCCTGATGCGCGCCATTGGCGGCCGCGGCCAGCGTCTTGGCGAAGCCGTCGCGCAGGATGAAGAGCAGGTCGTGTGTCCCCTTCTCGACGCCCACATCGATGGCCAGCGTGAAGAATTCCTCGATTACGTCCCACCGCTTCGTCGCATCCGCGGCCTGCGCCAGGATGTTGGTCTCGTTATCGGGGTCGTCGATCTGCACGACGAACTGGTTGACCAGCTCGTCAAAGTACGCGGCCCAGGTCGCGCTCGTGCTGTTCAGCGTCTCGACAAAAGCGATCAGCTCGTTCCACGCCCCGCTGCTCTGGTACCGCGCCATGACCTTCGTGTAGTCCCGGAAGTGCACGTAGTCGTACCGCAAGCTCTCCCTGTGCGTGGCCGCCGCGAGCCCGAGGTCCTGGCCCAGGTCCCACAGGCGATCGCCGAGGTCGAGCGTGATGCGCGCGAGCAGCGAGGAGTTGGCGCTGTCGCGGATCCAGAACTCGTTGCGGGCGCGCAGCTCGTCGATGTCCTTCTTGGCCTGCGCGAGCAGGCGCACGGCCTCCTCATTGCCGGTGTCGGGCTGCTTGGTCAGGAAGTGGCAGGCGTGCCAGTTCTTCGGGTTGAGCTCCACGGCCTTGCGCACGCGCGCCTGGTAGATCCCCGTCGCCTCAGCCTCGGTGTGGCACAGCTGGAAGATGATGAGCGCGCCGTGGATCTCCCAGCTCGACTGCTGCTCCGGCGTGTCGTTCGTCTTCTCGAGCTCCTCGGCCGCCCAGTCCTCGATCTGCTTCAGCGTTGCGAGGGTAAATTCCCGGTTTTCGAATTCTTGGAAGGCTGGGTCGCCTACGTTCCTGTACGGGTCTGGGTCGCTGGGCATCTGGGAGGACTTTTCGGGGTTGAGCTAGACGAGGTTGTTAGGAAAACGGTGTGCTAGGAATGTAGATGAGGAGGATTGAAGAAACTTACTCGATATAGATATCCGCGGATGAACCAACATGCGCACCAGAATTGGCGAGGGGTGAATTCCACACGACGGAACAGGTGAGTTGCCATATGTCTGGCTGCGTAAGAAAGAATCGCTCTATGTAGATTGGCTGAAGATGCCTTCACGGCCGCAACGAACGAGATGCCCGGCTCGTGAGTTATGTACTTCGTCACGGAGGAGTCGCGTAACCAGCGGGATATCTCCTGGACACCAGACATGGAGTATAGCCATTCGGCTCGAGTTTCTCGGAGATCGATGTACTCGTCCCAGTCCCAGGTATTCAAGCTTACGTTAAGGTTGAAGGGCCAGAACATAGAGTCGATTCCGCATTCCTCGGTAAAGAGCTTGACGAGAAGTGGGCCGATCTGGGCCTTCAACTCTCGGTCGGCAGCTGAGAGGTCGACTTCTTGCAAGTGGTCTAGAAGCCAATACATGGCGTACTGGCGAAGTCTCGTGTTATTCCTCAGCTGTTCCTCGGTGAGTATGATCAGGCAGGTCAGCGCAATCTTGATGTTGGCATTATCAAGGTCAAGGCTGATGTAATCCTTGTACTTTGCACCGAGCTTCATGTCGAAGAACTGTTCGAACTCCAGCCGTTGGTAGAGATCAGACGGGCACACGTTGTTGAGGAAATGTCGGACGATGGCGATCTCTGATTCTTGGATAATTTTTGGGCCGGACGTAACTATACTAAGCCCAGCATCTGTCTCGAAACCTTTTAATGGGATCCGGTCCTTGATTTCGGAAGAACGCCAATCGACGAAGCCGGAATCTGTGACAGTGAAGATGGGGTACTTCTCTGCGAGTTTCTGGGCGAAGGGAAGAAGAGATATGGTTAAAGTCACGGGTGCTGCCTCTTGGGTGATACTCTCGATATCCGAGAAGCCCGTCTTTCTCCTCGTCAGCGAAGGAGTAGGAGGTGGTACCACGGCGCTGTTCCGATGTTTTACAGATAGGAGTGCTTCCATCATGTCGACTGGTAGCCATCGTCGACCAGCCTCAATCCATTGAATAATCTCGTTGATCTCCTGAATCTCCTTGACGGTGCGAATATTGTTGAGCCGTCGAATTTCAGCGTCGATTTGGTCAGCTCGTGTCTTGTCGGCATCTGCGAGCACCTCTTCTATGTCGTCGATAAGGTCGACCTTCGCAAGGGAATTAAGACTCGTGTTCAGTTTGAAGTAATCGCCTGCACACTTGTAGCGCAGCGTCTCGAGGATCTTGCCTCTCCACTCAGATATTCCAGGGCGGCCGTCGTTTTTAAGGATCGGCATGTTATCCATTCGAGAGTTGATATACTTATCAATATCATCTGCGTTATGTTCGGCTATCGGAATGGTGTTAAACTTGATTCCTTCGAGCTCCAAGATCATCTGTGGTGGAGCAGTCAAGAAGATGCGGACTATCTTGTTGTCGGTTATCGAAGTCAGCCTCTGAAGCAGCGGAAGAAGTTCCTTGTTGATTCCATCGATAAACAGGAAGAAAGTGGTGTCTGGGTTCATGCGCTCCCTGTTATTGATGAATATTTGCTGCCAGAGATCGACTGAGCCGTCAAAGTCGGGGTTCTTCTCGAGAATTTGGAAGACGGCTTTGGTCATTGCTTCGTAAGCGGTGCAAATCTGCCAGAGTAACGTCCGCGAAACTACCTCTAGCCTACTACTTCCGACCTCTTCATCATCGGATTTCTTCTTTTCGCCATCCATGAAGAAGTAAGCAGTGACGGCTCGAGACGTCGGGCCAGCTCGGTTCATCTTCCTAAGATATCTCAGTGTATTGGCCATCACGGACGTCTTTCCTGAGCCGTTTCTGCCACCTAACACTAAAACGGGCTTGGTTGGGATGGACGATTTTGACCACTGTACGAAATCCTCGTGATCTAGGATCCACTTGCCAGTCTCGGCGACCAGCGTATTCTTACGAGTGTCGAAAGCTCTTTGCCAGTTTGGAACTGGTTCACCATCGTTATCCAAAGTATTTGGAGGAAATCCTAGTGCCTTAGCGATGGTCGTGCGCCACTTCTTTGCTTCCTGTTCTTTCTTCTGTTCCTTCTGGCCGTCGAGCATTAACTTGATATCGCCAGCACTGTCACTCACTAGCTTGTATGTCTGTGCGTTGACTAGGAGGGATTCCTTGGTATTAAGCCTCTCCATCATGCCAAGCAGGTCACTGATGCCGTTGTCGTTGAGGAATAATTGCTTCGTGAAAGCGAGGAACTTGTTGTGTTTCCTACGCAACTTGATGGTGCGATCGCAAATCTCGACGAATAGTCTAAGGTTCTGAACTGCGACTCGTTTGAGTCTCACGTCCATCCGTCCCTGATACGACTCGAGGCGCTCAAGGAACTCGGTGCATTTCTCGAGAAGCTCAGCGAGATTTTCGAATATGCCCTCGTATCCTTGCCATGCTTGTATGACGAAGGTGAGTGCATTGTAGCACATCCCCGCTGGGGCGAAGACCTGTACCGGCTTTTAGCAAATCGTGGATGAGGATACTCGACCCACGAGTCCACTTACGGTCGAGGCGCCTTCGGCGACTATCCCCCCTACAGTGTTTATACATTGTAATGTCTTGTTGACGACGCTCTTGAACGCGCCAAATTTCTCGGATTTCTTCTTGTCAGAGGCTTGGACATTGTCGATATATTGGAGCACGGAGTTGATGTCAAGCGTCTGAACCTTTTTCGGGTCTCCGCCAGCCAATTCGATGACTCTGTTTTGGACTTCTTTCCACGTTGCGTCGATTTCTTTTTGCTCGGCTATCTCCACAGCTTTTTCGTTGGTGGAGCTTGCACTCAAGACGCTATTAGACGTTGGTAACGTCGGCGGCGCCATTCTGGCCTGTGTTATCTTCGTTTTGGTCTGGTCAATAAGCGTGTCTCATTCAATTGCGACTAGAACAATTTTTATAATCATAACATCCTTCCAAGTTCACCATCCGTGACTTGCTATAGCCGGTCCGAAACCCTTTAAAGGGATTGGGTCTCATGCACATCTCGGGTAGCCACATCATACCGCTGTCATACAGTCAGCTCAGCTCATCCAGCCGCTTCCAATTTAGCGATTTTTATCGGAGCTTCACGACAATGATTGGAACGATAATGCTTCTTGCGTACTGCCCCGGTTCCGCTTGACGAAGGATTCTACCCCACCAGACCATATCTATGGGTCGATCCGAGCGTCTAACAGACCGCAGGGCTTAGCTTCTCCATAAGACCCTTTTCTAGTGCAGCATATGAACTCCTGAACCAATCCCTTCAAACAGATTGTGAGGAGAATCAAGTGGTTATTTGCCATCTCTCAGCCCTTCCTACCAATATCGTCTAGGGTTATGTGAATCCTCCTCAAGGATCGTATCCCGCAGATGTGGAAACGTTCGAAGTCTGAAAAGAGCAGTCGATGAAACGCAACCGTTATTCCCACCCCTGAACGCGGGTAACGGCAAGGGCGGAGTTAAGGCCCAAGCATAGGGCAAAAGGTACCCATGCGCGACCATTCCGGGGTGTCCTAGCTCGAGGTAACGCCACCACGCACGAGTGATACATTTTTAGCCTGCCACCTTGCTAACAATAGCTCTCAGGGAGCACAATAGCCATCACGCGAACCCTTGTGAGTCCTACTACACTACGTAAATTGAGCCGAATAAGTCATTCATCGAGTCGCGTTATGATTTGCATACGTTAACTTGTACAATAATAGGAACTTTAATATCCCATGTACCCCAGATCAAGTATCGAAGAAGAGAGCGGATATGTACAAGAATTGCATGTGGTCAAATATGCGACCATGCTGTGATGACATCTAATATGTCGTGTAACCACCCATGGAGATCGATATATTCACTTTTAGGACCAATAGGATTACTCTTTGACGTTGCAAACAGCCCGATCTGGCAGCCCTTTCGGCCACTTAATAGGGCTTCAGCTAGTAAGCTAACGAACCAGTTTAGAAGGCTTTCCCCTTTCGTCCACTATCTCTACCTAAAGTTGAGAGGTAGACACAGCTCTGTCGAGAGTGGTATCTGGTTTGAACTACAAGCGAATCGTTGAATGAGTTAAATTCACCTTTTTTCAAGTTATCGATCCAATTCACTCCCTGTTTTCCACTAGTTCGTATCAAGAAACACATTTGGACGATCAAAAGGCGCGTTGGAATTAGCTATGAACCTGCGAGGATAGGCGCCGCGGGAACCAACATGATTTCCAACAGCCACCAAATACCTAGCCAACTAACAGCCAGCCACCCCCTCATGATCAACAAACACTGGCGAATCGTGATCAGAGGCGACTTCCATCCCTTTCCCAACTCAATCATCTAGCATTGGATAACAGGGACATTACCAGGAGCGTTGTAAGCCTTGCCGCCGTTGTCGGGCTGGCCAGTCAAACCGTAGATGTTGACCACGATGCTAGCGTCGTTCTTCTCGTAGGCGCCGGGGAAGCTGACGGTCGAGCTGGGCTCGAAGGTGCCGCTGCCGCCGACCCTGATCTGGGCGCAGGACATGTAGAACTGGGCGCCGTTGGCCATGCGGGCGGAGTGCAGGGCGAGGATCTCGACGCGCATGAGGTAGTCGCCGGGGGCGACGCACTGCGGCAGCGCGAACTTGACCCAGCCCTGGTTCGCGATCATGTTGTCGACGCCCCACTTCTTGCTCGCCGTGTCGAACGTGTCCTCCCAGATCTTGAACCACTTCAGCCCCGTCTTGCTCGCCGTCGCCGCGTCGTCCACCTTGGCGAGCCACGCCGTGATCGGGCCCTTGTGCGACGGCGCTATCGGGTTGTCCGGGTCGTTCGGGATCTGCGCCCCGCCGATGACGTGCCCGAAGTACGCGCCGAGGTCGTCGCCCGGCGAGACGCTGATGACCTTGTCGGAGGTCGTGCCTTGCTTTTGGCAGATGATGTCTGGGGTTTAGAGGTTAGTAGTTTTTTTTTTTCCTTTCGGGACTTTCGATCGGTCTTGATATGTAGGTACCTTGCGAGGTCACATCGTAGACGGGGTTGTTGTCACTGGGCGCACGGAGACCGACGAGCGAGCCTTGCTTCTGGCCGTTGACTGACACTTCCTACATAGGTACGTTATGATCCATTAGCCGTGGTTCTGCTTAGGTACCTGGATAAGTTATATCCTAGGAAAGGTTACCTGGAAGATGCAGTGGGCCTCAGCTGACAAGGCGAATGCCGCCGTTGCGATCAAAGAGAACTTCATCTTGTCTGTAATAGCCGCAAGCCGTGTACGGTGTGATGTGTTAATGACCTGGTTTGGTTGGTGTCTTGGGTTCACCCTCGACGTCCAAGGTTCCATCGCACATATATATACATGGTAGACGATTACCCGTACACCATTACATGTCACTGCATATCACGACTTGCCGAACACAATATAATAAGGGTACATAGCATGAGCCCTAAACTCTCAGTTTGATTAACAGGCCGCAATCAAGAGTTCTCCGAGAAATATTAGACCAAGGTCTATGCCTCTTTTCAGATATTAGATGAGCTGCCTATGTGTCTCAGGGCGCCCGGTGGATTCTGGGGTAATATAGCCTGTAAAGGCAGAATTCACATCCGGGTTACAGACGATTGGCTACAGGCCTATTGGAGTCTAAACGCGAAGCTTCCGAAGCAGGAATCCTAGAAAAGACGGGAACCGATTGGAAAATGGGTATGGGGAAGCTTCATTTATATCTGCACAGAAAATCCGGGGCGCATGGTGAGAGTACGGGACGATAGCCCTATGTTCCGGGCGCCAAGCGAGTGCACTAGACCATATGACAAGATTAAAGTGAGAGATGACGGTTTCGTGCACCTACGGACAGACGGTATTGGCTCGGGAAGGACGTTAAGTACCTAGGTAGGTATATGAGTAAGTTGGGTTGTCATACTAGTGTAGCTGAACACCATAACGTGTCCCCCTAATATACACCTATTGAGGAAAGGACCGATTCTATTTGGAATGGTATCTATTGAGGCTTTCCAAAATTGATATGACCATGCCATCGTCAAGGTCAACCTACTATGGGCCTGAGCCGACTTCCGAATCTTTTACTAAACCCCTACTAATCAATTTTAGTACCTACTTTTAAAATGATACCAAACATTAGTAAGGTAGCTAGAATGAAATCTTCTGTCAACGACGTTCATCTCCTTATATATTATCATGGGTATGTAGATTGGGAGATTTTTTCACCTCTTTAGGTACGCATAAGCTAACACTCAAGGCCATTGGTAGCATAAAGCATCCCGCAACATTCTATTGGGTTTGATATTTGCTAACGTCTGTAGAGCCCGTCTTTAAATAAATTGATACACACTACCTGCCTAGATATCATATCGCCGCGCGGAACCAGTGGGAAGATACTGGCATCGACAATTTGCAGATTCTCCGTCTCGTACACGACCAACCTCAGATCCACCACTCCTCCCTTCTCCTTACCCAAGGAGCATAGCTGCTAAGCTACAGCTATGGTACGCAGTTACCGCCGTATAGGGAGTGTGCGTATTAGCCCCGTCCGGGACTCTATCCAGGTGATTTTGCTTCCCGTCGGGCTCGAAGAAGGCCGCTCAAGGCTCCGAGGGATGTAGCTGAGTGTTGAGCGCCTGAGTATGGCGCGCCATGATTTCCCAAGTCGGCGGCGTGTGAGAAATTGATGAATGGACCGGCTTTGTGTGCTCGACATAGAGCTTCTGAGCTAAGGCGAGTGCTTCGGGTTCCTGGTACAAGAGTGGATCGCTGCCGCAACGATAAACGCGACCGATCATCTTGTCACCGCCCTTATAAACGGGCAAGCCCAGGTACCTCTTTAAAGGTTTCATGAAGACGCGCACGATGCACGCATGTCTTTCCTCTTGGCTGTAGGAAATCGCCAAATCTCCATCGTAAAGGCCGGCCCGTCCACTAAGTAACGACGGAATCTTTGATTCGTTTTAAGCATGATCATCAATTTAATTATTGCTATTTCTCATGTCTGAGTTGCCTGTAATCCAGACACTATTCGGTACCGCATCGGCTCTGATTGAGTCTTGGCTTATACGGAGCCTTTACCGTTGGACTTAGGTGTTCTGTGAGATTTGCCCTTTCCCACAGACCAACCGCTGCGGTGGCTTGGTGAGAGAGGAAATGATGTGTTTAAGCCTAAGCTTACCTACCTTAGTACCTAGGTAAGTAGATGTTCCAAATGGGTGTAGGCATATAATTGTTAGTGGCTTAGCTAACCCTTTGATTGCTTACCTACATTATAATTATGTTTATGCAATAATGCTTGTATAACTCGACGTCCATGTTTCTTTCTAGGTATTTAAAGGGGGGTATGTTTAGATGATATGCAACTATGCATTACCTACAGCCCCTCCCATGACGGCGCTAATTCATGGTGGGCTAAGTATTATCTACCTGAAATGAAGCTGGCAGTTGGATTTCTCTTCTTTACAACGTCAATATCAGCCTATTGTCTTTGTAGGGAAGTCTCATTAAAGCTAACGTGGAACGTTGCCCAGATATATAACTCATTGGAAAATCTCCTTAGACTGAATTGCCAAAGAGCCATGGTGAACAGGTCCACAACTGAGGTCTCCGACTTGACCGAAAACGGAATTCATACAAATGAATCCGAAAAGAATTATAGGAGGATAAGAGCATGCATCGCATGCCGGAACATGAAGATCAAATGCGTCTCCGTCCCGGGTTCTAAAGATTGCGAAGGTTGTTTGAGATTCTCCCGGCCTTGTCAGGATCCTGGGCCCCCGAAAGCCCGCGTGAAGACCTCCCAGAAATTTTCCGAGCTAGAGAAGAGAATCGACGCCCTTACCATTGCATTGGATGCTGAAAGAAGGCTAAACCAGCAATCCCTTAAACAGGTAAGGACAGAAGCACTATGGTCTAAGACACCAGATACCGATGCCAATGATGCATGGTCGTCTGCTGGGCGACAAGATCAGATTCAGAGAACCGCCTCCAACAATGATGGAATCAGCGCTACTCTAAGCGACGATATCATCGATACAGGCTTGATAGATATGGATACTGCTTCTCAGTTATACGACCACTGGCATATCTACATGCGTCCGTTAATGCCTGTGGTCCAATTTTCGGCTGAGGATGACGCACACACCATCAGAGTGAAGAAGCCCACGTTATTCTTAACTATTATGACGATAGCTAGCACTTTGATAAGGCCTTCCCTTGTGCCTCATCTCCTGACACGGCTGAATAACATCTTGGCTCAAGAAGTGTTTATTAAAGGCACAAAATCTCTCGACTTGTTACAGTCTCTCACCCTCTTTTCACAATATTACATACAGCCACCAAACATCAAAACTTTTGCACTCCCACAGCATATGTACAGCGCGGTAACCATGTCTCACGATCTTGGCTTGAATACAGTCTCCAAACCAAACGGGGGCAAGGATAAAGAGATTTCTAGGACTTTATTGGCCATCTACTTTGGTTCATCGTGGTCAGTACTTATTTCATCCCAGACATAATTGCAGGTATATATTGACTGGTATCGCAATTCTATAGTACTGCAACACTTTTGCGTCGACATCAACCCCTCGTTTTCACCTCTTCACATAGAGCTTATATAGAAGCTCTCACACGAGATGATGATAGGCGGGATGGTGATCAATGGCTATGTAGCTTGGTGGCTCTTCAAGAGATATTCGACGACGCCTCGAAGACGTTACATGCCTCACATAGCAGTACGAATGAACCATTCGATGACTTTGGAACGCAACATTTGCTTGGGATATTTCAACAGAGGTTAGCAGACTGGAAGTTATCCCCATCAGGGGACATCGACCCACGTAAGTGCTGTATTCATGATAGGTTATTCGGTACTCTACTGATATCGGTCTGTTCCAAGGGTTGAAAAACCACGCAGCATCGATAACGGATCTCTACATTCATCAGGTGGCTATCCGAGCCTACGTTCACCAAATGCATGCTTGGGTCAAGAGCAAAGAGACGAATTGCTCAAGCCAGCCACTGCCGCCACCGTTCTTTACAGCGACCCATACAAAGGCACTGTGCCACTGTCTCAAGGTCGGCGCTGACGTTATAAATATTTATCTATCGCTAGATGATGCAACTACCTGCTCTCTTCCCAATATCTTCCTCGTCTGGAATTTGTGTGCTGCGATTTGCCTTATCAAGCTAGGCCACTTCTCCGAGGGGCTGCCTCAGATGAGCGACAGCGTTGATAACGGGCTGCCTTCTCCGTCAGGACTCCTTGAGGCGATGATCCAAAGACTCACGAAACTTTCTCAGCATGGATACTTCCCCCAATCACGACCATTTATTGTCGCAATCGAGAAGCTCACAAGATGGTTTCAGCAGAAGAAGATCGTATGCTTGAACAATAATGGGAGTTGTAGTGAGGCGGGTAGCGGACCTGTTCATGGCGTCCTAGGAACGCAAACGCCCCCGGCTTCTCCACCCCTTCAAGCTCGAGTTGGTGATCAAAACCACCTAGAAAGTCTTTTCGAGCTTGAGTCTAAATGGAGTTCAATTACACTAGCTGGAACTCAGTACATTGATGAACAAAGTATTGATTGGAATTCAAATCTGCAGGAGTTAGACCATCTCAAGGATACATCGACTAATAGCACAACCGCTACGGACGCTTTTGGCACTGCTGAGTACCCCAGTTACTTCAATATCGATTTTGGTAATCTTGGGTTTGGTTTCGATGATATGACAGATATCGATAATTTCATATAGGGAATTACTCATCAGCACGGTTGTGAGATTATTCCAATTTTCATGCGAAATCGAAATGATGAGTCAGGGCCCGGGTGAAGGTGATCCCGTGACATCCTTTAGATTCACCACATAACGCCTTAAATTTTCAATCGTAGCCCGTTGCAACAACATTTGTTTTATGTTACTCGACATAACATACTTCGGCTTTCTTTAACTGTGATATCATTACAATTATTATCCGAGATACAAATGTACAAGTCAGTGGTTGTTATCACGTGAGTACCTAATCCATTACGATACCTAACTTCGGTTTAACAGCCTGGTCTAACATTTCAAAATGAAGGAGTAAAATACTACGGTACGACAGAATACATACCACCTGGATACTCTCAGAGAATATGGGAGACTAGCGCTGAATGAATCCCGTAGATGGAGTGTACCTGCTGGGAAAGTGCGATACACACTGCAGGGGTATATTAGATCCCCGCTCTTAGATTCAGCTTCCAGCTGTTTTAAAGCAATACAACATTCTTATCCCCCTAATACTGATCTCCCGTAGGGTCTAGATTCGGAATTCTCCAGCGATACGCACGGATACATATTTTGCATGATACGCGGCTTCTGAACCTGCATATGTGCCTTGTCATCACATATGTAGGTAGGTACATGGAGCATATGCTCTGAATTACAAGATCCACTCACTAGAAGGTGGGTAGCACGGCAATAAGGCGAACGAACTAGAGGATATCCCGCACTTAGCCTCGTACCTAATTGTGATTGCTGGATAATAGGTACGCTTTGGATAGGGCACCAAGGGTCTCCAAATAAACACAAAGAGTGATGTTACATTCGATGATCTGCAGTATGTAAGCTGATGGCCGGCCATAGGACAGATGCTAGATTAAACCTCGTCTCTTGGCTTAAAAGTTACTTGCGCCTATACCCTGAACGGCTAGCCCTCTGGCAGGTCAACTCTCCACATCTCCTCACCGTTAAGATATAAATACCTTAAACTTCTAATACTTGCCTTACATATACACTCTTCGTATGGTGTCTAGATCTTGTTGATACATATTGATAGAATATCATCGAAAACCTGAGCTACGAAGCTATCATGGCATCACTGGCTTCTACTTTTGTGGCCGACGTCTTCCTCTCTACCCTCTTGATCTTAGTAGCGGTGGTGAGTGCTGTCTTGCGTACCCGTGTCAAGGTCGAATTGAGTGACTTGCTGACCTTACGAAGTCAGCAATCTACTTGCTAGGCATCCTAGTGTATAATATATACTTCCATCCGTTGTCTGCCTACCCTGGGCCGCTGCTAGCACGATGTTCACGCATATGGTATATCAATTCCCTGCTTCGTGGGCGGCTGCCTTTCGACGTCCACACGTTGCACCTGTGTTACGGGGAAACTGTGAGGATCGCCCCTGATGAGCTTTCTTGCATCAACCCCGGGGCATGGAAAGACATATACGGTCATCGAGTTGGCAAAGGCGAGGTCCCAAAAGACCCGATGTTCTACACTTCAGCCGGGGTAGACAGTGTTTTTTACGCTCCTGGTGAGCGTCATGGTCGATTGAGACGGCTCCTGTCACACGGGTTCTCCGAAAAAGCGATGAGAGAGCAGGAAGCCACCATTCAGCAATACATTTCCATCTTCATTCAACGTCTGCGTGAGCTGTGCCAGCAAGGGGATGAGCCCGTTGACATGGTTAAGTGGTATAATGTAAGCATCATGTTTTCCCACACTGTGCCTTCTTTGACACCATCTTCGAATAGTTCTTCACCTTTGATGTAATCGGGGATCTCGCGTTTGGAGATTCATTTGGCTGCCTCGCAACCTCCACTTACCACCCGTGGGTATCGTTCATCTTCAACATCAACAAAGTTAGTTCGTTTTTCCGAGCAGCCCAGTATTACAAACCATTAGCGAGCCTATTGTCGCTGTTGATACCGAAGCGTTTCAGCGAAATCCGTAAGAATCATTGGCAGATGACTCGGCAAAGGGCGTTGCGTCGATGGGAAATGCATACTAAGAGAACGGATCTTGTGACACGAATGACTGATCCAGACAGTGGTATAACAATACACGAGTTCATTGCTAACTCGTCGACGTTGGCTATTGCTGGAAGTGATACGACAGCGACGGTTCTCTCCGGTACAACTTACTATCTCGCCAAGAATCCGGACAAGTTGCAAAAGCTTGTGCGAGAAATTCGGTCAGCCTTTTCCTGCGATGAGGAGATAAACATGGGATCAGTCAATCAGCTGCCATATCTACTTGCATGCCTCGATGAAGGGATGCGCATTTACCCTCCGGTGGCGGGTAATCTACCGCGTCGGACGAAGGTCCCTGAGGAACTTGACTGTGGCTTTGTCCCTGCAAATGTAAGTGAATTTACGCTGACGGGGTCCTACGACGGGCTAATTAAGTTCTGGTAGACGACAATCTCGGTCTTCAACTACGCAATGTGTCACTCGCCCCAACACTTCGCCCGACCTGACGACTTTATACCTGAACGTTGGCTGGATGACCATGATCTCGAGCCAAACAATAAATCAGTCGTGCAGCCGTTTTCTGTTGGGATGCGTAATTGCCTTGGTCGAAAGTGAGTAGTAACCTGTCTAGGCTGTTCTTAAACTTGCTATGAACCATCCTTAAGCTGACTTGATTCATAAGTCTCGCTTATTTCGAGATGCGACTGCTGTTAGCTCGCCTTCTTTTTCATTTCGACCTGGAATGGATCCCCGAGTGCGAGGACTGGGAAAAGCAACGAGCATTCAATTTATGGATAAGAAAAGCCTTGCAAGTGAGGTTGAAATTGGCGCGCCCGTCGGATAAGGTATAAAGGAAACGCTTATTACGTTGAATTCTAAGAAGCACAATGATGACATGGTGGTACTGAAGGAAAGCTGATAGTATGATCTATTTGTCCATAGTAGAAAATGTTGAAAACAGTATTAAAAAACTCGAGACGCGTTGATTTGTTGAAAGGATGAATAGGCGAGGAAATCGAGAACACGAGATGATATGGGCGCCAGCGAATCCATAATGATTTTGGAAGCCCCACCTTCCGCATCTGGGTATCTCGAATGCCGAGTCTAGCGCGACAAGGGTTGTAGGGCACTTATGCAAGGAAGATCAAACTGGCGACAAGGTACAAAGGTGGAAGGTGCTACTCGCACCGTGAGGGGTACACAAGAACATTTCTCGACTTGCTTGAATTCTAGAAACTTGGAATAATACATCATCTTATCCTCTCCTGCCATTTACGAGATAGCAAAATCGAACTTACCTACCTAGCTACCTACCTAGGTGCTCATTCCATGACTTTCATACACTGCGAAACCAGGACTTTCACGGTTTGACGATATTGACTAGCAACATCGCCAAGAGCTCAATCAAAAATAGCACAGCCTCAAGGTACAAAGCGCATATATAACAAATAAAATAGTTTCAAATTTAACTACCTAGGTAATTATGCGAGTGGGCAGCTTTGGGGCAGCTGCGGAGCCGTTGGCGGGTGGGCCAAAAAGTAATCTACATGGAAAGAAAAAACACCAATCTACACCTAGCATCGGGCCGGAAGTGCTCTATAATCTATATCGGGTTGGCTCGACGACTATCCACTACATGCTCCTTACAGAGGCGTCTGTAAGGCAAAATAACTTTCCAGGAATTTCACCTGCTCGCCATTCGCAATCGGCACCATCCCCCACCCGTTACCGACATGCATGGTGATAGTCTCATTCGCCGGCGACGGGTAATAAGGAGTCAGGGTTCCATTCCCTGTGTAACTCGACCCCTTGTTCGGGTCCCCTGTCTTAGCAAAGTTGGCCCAGTACGAGCTCAGGCGTTCGGCGATATCATAGTCCTCCGCCTGCCACGGAAGGTCTGTGCCGTATAAGTTGTTGAGCGCGTAGTTGATCTCGGACTCGTGGTGTGCGCCCATGTCCTGTCCTGGCGGGGCATGATCCCAGTAATAGGTGTATATCTCAGACTTGGCGGATGATCGCCAGCCTTTGGCGAAACCCCAGGACGACACGAGAGAGGTATCGCGCCACATAGCATTGTACGACATGGAAGCCTGAGTGTCGTTGGAATAGGGGTACAGCTTGAGTGCCTGAGATGTTAGATTTCCGTATTGGTCTTGCATCTTCTCAAGATAGTCCGCAACGGTGATGTTGAGGCCATAAGCTGCGCCAGATTCATCCTTAGTGTTGCCAGTCATGAATGGAACATCATTGCCGGGCCCCGTGTGCAGCTGGTCGATGTACTTGCGCGGCATAGCCCAGTAATCAAGGGTCGGTCGGAAGTTGTACGAAATAGAGGTGGGGCCGACAGAAGAAGAATTTCCGTCTAAGAGATCGGCAAGCGGAACTTGACGAAGTTCGTCGATGGTGGTGAGATTGTTAGCGGCTAGGTAGGCGATACCCGTAGACAGGGTGTAGCTCAAATTGTTGTAACCTTCCGCCAGCGAGGTGGCTAAAGGATCCCGAGGATCACGCACGCCAGACTCGGCAATTGCAGCGAATATCTGACCCTTGGTCAAGTCGCTGTTGACAGTGTGGTAAACAGCAGCAGATCCGGCAGATTGGCCGACGACGGTGATACGTTTTGGGTCGCCGCCGAAAGAGGCGATGTTGTGATATGTCCAGTTGAGGGCTGCGAATTCGTCAAGCAAACCCCAATTGCCTGAGGAGTTGGTGCCGAACGTTGCCATCATCTCCTCGTTCAATTGAGGGTGGCCTAGCCAGCCCAATGGGCCGTCACGACGGTTGCAGTTAACGAACACGACACCCTTAGATGCCATGCCGGCGCCGTCAAATAGAGGATCGGGGCCAGACCCACCGGCCGGGTGGTGCCATAGAATAACGGGAAGGCCATCGGAGGTCGACTTTGCCGCAGTCCAGATGTTGACACTCAGACAGTCCTCGCCATAGGCATACCCTGAGCCCGATTCACCGGGGCAGGTAAGACCAAACTCCTTCGCATCGCGCGTAGTGTTCCATGGTGTCACCGGCTGTGGTGCTTTCCATCGATTCTTGCCGGACGTATCTGCTCCATACGGGATGTTCTTGAATACGGCGACATCAGCCCAGTTAGTGACAGTATTTCCCGCCGGAGAGCTGTTGAACGCGGGATACCCTTGCACCGGTCCGTAGTTTGTGTTGAGAACTGATTTATACAGGGCCGCGGCCACGCTGTCGACCCCCATCAACGACACAGCCGCGAGCAACGGCTGCATTGAAGATGTCCGCATGATTTCGAATAGTAACGAGTGTGTATCTTGATGGAAAAATGACTTGGTTGTCTTCCAACCATCAAAATGAGTAATCCTACATACCTACTGTCGCCAAGAGAGATTATTTATACAAACACTTGTTCGATGCCGCATAGCCTAGCAATTTCCAAAGGACCGATTTAGAACGCGACGTGGGTGGAGAATCGGGCAACTACCGATCAAATCAACAAACTAGTATAGTAGAAATCGGTATATACCTACCTAGGTACCTTGCAAAGCCACGTAACAAGTTACGTAGAGTAGCACTGAATTGCTAGACTCTAAAAGTGATCTGTTGATCTGTTCTCCTAATATGGAAAAGGTTAGCAAAGGGTTGTGAACACTAGAACGCGACGTTAATTTAAATTACGCGTTCGAATGAGCCCCATACTCCGCAATAACGAGCGTATGGCACGACGGCGCCTGCTAACCTGCCGGAATAGCGTCAAAATAAATGGAGCATGTGCGAATTAGTATTAATATTACTGTAATGCACTGTAATTTCAACTGCACCCTCATTACTTAATTAGCTTTTTCTAGCAGGTCAAATCCATGTAAGCTACCTACCTACCTACCTAAGGAGGTAGTCAAGGGGATCGATTCTTCATAGCGCGAGGCAATACTAGTCGTAATACGCACACATATACTCCATTTACTTTGACGCTATTCTCCGGTCCGTGAAATCAGACGGACCTTGTAATATCAGACGGGCCTCCACTCCACTAACTTGATCAAGCTAAGTACATACGTAAGAACATAGTCCCCCATATAAATCTAAGTACCTATTGAACCTTTGAACTTGAAACACTTTCCTTATTACATATTAACCTTGTCTTAACAATAAGGTTCTTCCCGAATTACATAATACCTTTATCTAAATCCTTTCACAGCCTCCCTCTCAAGGCTGTGATAGGGCTGCCAATAAAGTTGTCGGGAGGCTTATACCGAAGCTACCTATGTACCATGCGCGTTACACGTATATCGGAATCATGGCTGTGTAAACCCGACGCCGCCGTCGTCGTCATCATCGTCAATAAAAACTGGTAACTCATCCATGATATGGGCGCGGCTTCGCAAGGGCGATGGCGAACAGGTGAAACTTTTTCCCTTCAACAGCAATAGGTATATGAGGGATTATACTTTAAAAATGCCTATTCCCCTAATGCTAGCTTGGTTAGGCTTAGTGGAGTGGAGGCCCGTCTGATGGGGTTTCTGTTCGGACCGCTACTAACTCAACATGGCAGCATAAGACCCGAGGAAACGGCAACCCCGCAGTCTAAATCCCAGCCCGGGGCCCCATTCACTCGCCTATTGCCAGCTAGGAAAATGACGTAGAAACAAGGCAGTATGCCCTATGTTTTCTATACTAAATCCCTTGGATAACCCTTACACTTAAAAAAAATCTCTTCTAAAAGTTTCATATATTATCCGATTCCTTGTTGACTTGCGCAGCTTTGCTTGCGTCACGAGGGGCTATGTCAGCTTCAGACAACCCTCCTGTAAAATGCTTCATATCTGGGATTATTTCTTGATTAGTCTGATCGAATACCTAGATTAGTGCGTTCCTCGGTCTTGCGATTAGCCACTCAGCATTGCCTCCCTCTTGTCTACTTTTCTTTTTTCCTGCATTCGTCAAGGAAAAGACGGTGGCTCTTAGCGGCCTACTAGGTTAGGTAGTAGTTCCTGAGCGTACCCCCTGACTAAGGGTATTACCCGACCTAGATCTAGAAGGTGCCTCAAAACAAGGAAAACACCAAGTACTAGGTACTAGGTAACGATACTATCAGACTGGTCACTGGATTCTTCGTAATGGATTTAATTTATTCAGTCTCTGAAATTTATGTGTCTACAGACGACAAATTCTTCTATCAAAACAATCTTGTCTCAAAGGAAATCACGTGAAGAACCAAACATACGGACTACCTGACCTTAAGATAGGACCTATACTGAAGCACGTGATGATAGAGTATCTATCCATAACCGTGTTTGTCAACACCACAATCAAGGCTATAGGTGTATGGGCCTTATACGAAGGTAAAATCGAAACATCCACTCCAAAAAAGGAAGATCATACTCGCGGCCGATATATTTAATATGCCTAAGCTACTTCTCTAGAATCGGGGACAGGAAGCCATTAGAACTTTACGAAGTCCTAGTCCACATCAATCTTCTAGTGGTTAGAGAAAGTCTTCAGGATCACCTGATGACACAGGAGTGGGCTACGAAGTAGTCGACAATGCCGCCACGGCGGTAGCAAAAGGAAGTCGAGTCCGGTCTTTTCCATGGTGAGGGACGGCTAAGAAGACAGAATCCTGGTGCTTTAGTCGTTGCTGAGGAATTCCCCGCAAAGCTCCATGAATCGGTCTCGCTCCTCAAAGTGAGTCATATGTGATGAGTTCTCTAACGTCACCCACCTAATTCGAGGAATGGTGTTAAACCAGGGTTTGACGCAAGAATCTGTAACTTCGTCATATTTTCCATTTATGAGCAAAGTCGGGACGTTGATGTTGTGGGCCTCTTTCCAGCCCTCCCAGTCCTTGAAGTTGCCGATGATGGTAAATTCGGACGGCCCTTGTCTTTGTACAGAAATTAGTTTCCTGCGCATGCCTGGAACATTCAAAAGACTTACATTGTCAGATACGCGGTGGGGTCTTCGTGAAGGTGCTGAAATGCCATCATGACTGGCTCGGGGAAGGGATCAAGTCTGCAAACATGCTGACCGTAGAATACGGCACTCGCCTTTTCGTACTCCGGACTTTCAAAATCTCCCTTTCTCTCGCATTCCTCAATTGTCTCACGAACGTCCTTTGGAAGCTGAGATAAGAGATCTCTGCAACCTTTTGCGTAGAGTGGGATACTTGCAGGCGCGCCCGCTAGCACAAGTTTTCTTAGTCCCTCCGGGCGACTGGAAGCGTAGGCGCCGCCAAAAACTTGAGACGTATCTATTAGTATTTTTGAAATATGGATAGGCAAGAAGGAGCCAGGAATAAATGAGCAGATAGAGTAAGCGGGGGGCGAAGGTGGAATAATCCGGTGGCAATATATACATCAGCCCAACTAAGGAGCAGGATAGAGTCAAAGAGATGATCGTGACACCTACTGCCGCCCCAGCTCTGACCGAGGATATAAAACCCCAACTGGTGTAGATTGAAGTGCCTGACGAGGTTCTCCAGCTCCTGGATGAATAGATTGAACGTCCAGAATAAATCGTCTCCTGTCTTCTCTGGGAAACGAGTAGAGCGGCCACATCCGATTTGGTCATAATAGATTATCGGGATTTTATACTTTTCGTGCAAATCGGTAAGGCTGGTAAGGTATTCATGGCCAGCACCTGGACCGCCGTGGAGCGCGACGAGAGGCGGAGTCGTCAAGTCTCCAACGACCTTATACCATGTCTTGCATGGCTTCGACGTACCAGGAGCGTCAAAGGGGATTTCACCTTCTATAAAACTCGGAGGTGGCATATTCTAGTTTGATTCACAAGTTTGGTAAAGATCACCTGAGAATATGATATGGTTAGGGAGATGGGGAGGTGACAACGAGGAAGGCGGATCCGTGGAGGTTGAGTATCTGGCTGAAGGGGTTTAAAAATGGTATATAGACGAGCTCTCTACCCTCCGTACCCCCTCTTCTATTGCGACCTGTTGGTCCTTATGGATGACTTGGTCAGTTTGGTGTTAGCTCAGACAAGTATCACAGTTACATTGGGGGCTGCGTTAGGCATGATCAGACCGTTCCAACAAACATTAGTACTCAACGGTTAAAGCTATAATTAATTATAAGGGGATTTAGTACAGGAGACCTACGAGTTATAATGTGTCTTAACAGTCTGCACCAGGCTTAATCTAGTACATACCTATGGCGTGGATCCTTGCTTTTCGTATAGAGACTACCCTGCTAATTTGGTGGCCACCATCGGCTAATAGGCTTAAGGTATATCTTGAGTCGCCACGAGTGAACATGGAGGCAGTTAAACAGCACTGTTAGGCAAAATATGTTGTATGATAAAGGGGTTTTTGACAGTTAAGTGAGCTTAGTTATGATACGTACCTACCTAGTATGTGTAAAAAGCGGTGATTATAATAAAATATGTTTTAACTAGGTAAATTACCAGAGACGAGATATATCCAGGTACGTAACTAATGGAAAAAGTTATTCGTATATAGGTACGGTGCAATAATCAAGATATTTTCCCGCCGCAACAGTCTGTCGATCTTAGTATAAAAACCAAGTACAATCGAGGTGATAGCAATAAGAAGCTACGTCGTTACCTAATTGAAGAATCGGATTTTGACCCATATCCGATACCGAAGCGGCGGCATCGTTAAGAATTCGTGGGTGGCAAGGCGGCATACTGAGAAGTGATGAGTTATGTTGATAATTGCGGTTACTTGGTGGTGGTCTTCAAAAGTAACTTGGTCGCTAAACTACCTACGGATAATGCATATAATATGTTCAGTGAGGCGTCACAAGCCAGCGCTAGTGAGATGCAATGCTGCGTCTGTGTGCTAAGGCTTGCTACCTAGGTACATGATGACCTTAGCCAGGACATAAATAGGTACGTCACGGCAAGCTTCTATGTTGGTACAGGTTGGACGCCAATCAAACCAACTCATATTACCCACTGCGGCTCTCTTATCATTGTTGGCTTGAGGTTACATACCGATATTCGTATCCGCTGGGCAAAACTAACTGGCTGCCCAGGTGCTTATACCAACACGACACTAACATTCTTAGGATATGTGTCATCCCACCATTCAACCAGCTATGCACAACCAACCAACCCCCTTGCACCCCTTTTAGCTCCAACTACCCAACAATATCATCATTGAGACATGTGAGCAGCTTGACACTTTGGTGCTATGATACCTAGATACCTAGGTATCGAGCTATATCCCAAGATCCTTAACGATAGCGTCGCTTCTACCAGTGATTTGCGCCTTTTTTCATTTTTATTCTGGTTCACAAGGTTCCCAAGTTGACCTTTTCCTCCTAGACCTAAGTTTCTCTCATCTCGCCCTCATAAATTAGCTCCGAATATATTCCATTCTTATTTATATCTACCTACGGATGAAATTGAGCTCTAGTTTGTTGGGCCCACTTATTATATCGGTGTATTTGAAGCTGTTTTCCCACCTACTTAGACATAGAATTAAAAAGAGGTAGGAATGTTGTACTAGTTAGGTCCTTTAGAATTTGACGAAGCCGAAGAAAGTTACGAAGTGCCCCTCATGGTGCAAATAGCACTTTCCCTCATTGTACCCTCCATTTCTTGATTACTAAGATCAAGTTAAGGGTCAATCAACGGTTAAAAGGGACTACATACACTTATCAATGGGACAATTTGCGATTGGCTGACTGTAACTGAATTGAACGTTGTGGGATCCAAAAAGCTGCAAAACTGCTAGATCGAGAAGTCTTACTCTAGGACTTGCGGTTATTATGTCACGAAGGGCGGCCTCCAGTCTTGTCTGATTACCGAGAAATCACACTCGACACCTAATTAAGTCATGAAGAACGAAAATGTAGTAGTCTTAAGCATTGATGAAACAGGGTGTTCCAGCGTACGCTACTACTGTCTTCTGCCTAGCGACCTGGTACCAAAAAAAGTAAAGGAAACTCATAAGTTATCTATATGTAGGCACTCTCCCTTTTCAAGACTCCCACATGGCGCAGTGGTTAAAGCGTCTGGCCGCGCATTAGCGTACGACTACGCATTGCGAGTGGGTTCGAATCCCGCTGTGGGCAACTTAACCAACGGTCCGATTTTATTCAGGTTTTTTCACCCCGCTTTAGGGTTCGCTGGGCGTTGGAGGGTGGTTCTGAAAGACGTTAGAAGAAGGTGGATCCGGAGTAGGGTTTTTCCTGAATATATCGGCTAGCTAACGCCGTCGCCAATTAGCTAGAGTAATGCACTGGAGGCAGGAGTGGAGGATAAAAATTTCTTATGTCAAGCGAAACTCTAGCTCTGTCTCTCTACCTAGAGAGGTACTCTAGACGTCCTATGCGCTAGTAGTGCGCGTTGATGTATATACCATACTTGCCCGTATGTAGTATATACGTCCTTCGGACGTAAACACGCTCATCATCATCCCTTTTCAAGACGCCATTCTTCGGAAATGTACTGGTAATTATATAGGTCCTACGCTTCGAACTAATTCAAACTACCTATCGTATCAACTCTTGATTAATACCGAAAACGTCCTATGAACAATTAGTATAACCGTGTCTAGAAAAAGTATTTGTTTTAGTTATCTTACTTGTAGTGCTTGAAGTCTTTCAGGTTGCATGTCTTTTCTTTTATTAAATCCACCGCCGGCTAGTTCGAGCTTTCTCTGTTGCCGAGATAGAATGTTGCTCTACAATTTTTAGTGGCCTAGGACTAAGATGATGGGATGCTGAGCTCATACTTCTTCAATAGTTCCAATCATGATGTATCGAGTGATGACGACTTCAGCAGTTTGGCCAAGTCGAAGTGCTCGTCCAATTGCTTGAGACTCGATGGAGGGGTTCCATTGCGGCTCCAAGAGATAAATGTGCGATGCAATGGCAAGGTTCAATCTGAATATTACTAACGATTAATAGAAAGAAAATCGCGCGATGGGCATATGGAGAAAGTACTTGCCCTACTGCGCCTGTCCCTAGTGTCATGAGTAAAATGTTCGCTCCACTTAAAGACCGAAAGTCCTTCAGCACTTTGACACGCTGAGCTAACGGAAGCGAGCCATCAATCATGACGCATCGTATGCCGTGGCTGTGGAGGAGTTTTTCCACAAGACATAGTGTCTTCTTCCAACAAGAGAAAACAATGCTAAAGATTTCAAATGGTCAGCGAATTTGATCTAGTACTAAGGGTGCCTAGACATGTGTAGCTACCTCTTGTGTGCGGAATTTTTCTGGATGTCAGACAAGAGAGCCAGTAACTTCGACGGATACTGGTCAGTCCGGCGTACTTTGTTGTTTTCGTCGCATATGACTGGACCGGTATGCACACTACTCAATGGCAAGATGGTCTGAGATATCGATTCGTTGTTGGTAGTACAAGTTGGGCAATGCTGCTTCATTGCACGATGGTGAGGGATGCAATTATGACAGATCAAATGGTGACAGGATGATATAAATATTCCCCCATCAGTTTCAGCTTCTTCATTGATGAAGTATATCGTTCCAGAGCAGTAAGCGCAAATATCCTGATCATGCTGTTGGAGATAGATTAGTGCCTCGTCTGGGTTTACCGGTAAGCCTGTAGGCCCAGCTCGCAGAACGGCGTCTGTGCGGCCATTATTACAGAATAGCCGTAGTTTGAGGATTGATTCGAGGAATACAGAGTTGATGTTGCTCTTTCCACGCCTACTCACTGCCATGTCAATCTCCGTTCTTCCCTGTGCAAGCAAATCTTGGTATTCCATTTGTTCCGAGTATGTGAAGGGCAATTTTCGGAGCTTTGGTATAGGCTTCGGTAGATCCAAGAGGTTACGCGTTCTTCTGAGGCAGACAGTCCGGAGTAAAGTTTGAAGATTTTGAAAGCGAGATCTAGATCTTGAGCTTATGGGCTTCGTGATGAATTTCCGAAATGTTGGAGGGTTTTCTAATATCGGTACCTTGAGAAAAGAGACCAGTGCCCCGAGGTCTTCGAGGCTGTTTTGAATAGGAGTGCCAGTAAGACACCAGCGATGTAAAGCTGAGATACTAGCGATGGCCTGAAACTGTTTCGTGGACCGGTTGCGAATTTCATGGGCTGAACGCGGAATTAAAACGCCAAATCAAACACCATATGATCATCTTGATTTGATGGACTTACCTTCATCTAAAACAATCCTGAACCACTTAAATTTTGCTAAAGCACTATCGCCGCGATGAAATTCGGCCGCCATAGTAGCGTAGGTAGTGAATACTATGGGTTGCTCGCGAAGCTGATTGATTTCTCTGTGTCTTTCTGGTCCGAGATATTTATAAAATGGAAGAGTTCCAGGATGGGTATGTCTTGTTCGGCCGTTAGTCAAGTGCTAGAAGGGATCATAGGCCAAGTTGGCCGTACTTGCGGATTTCGTCAACCCAATTGTCAATCAAAACTAAAGGTCCGTTAACATAAGAAAGTCCTATAATAATAGGCGAGCACCTACGCGAGGATGGTGCTAGAATGAGCGTCGCTCTAGAAGCTCTTTTTTCAAGCGGTTGAGATGGTCGCTGCTGATCCTCGGTAGCAACAAAGTCTTCTGCACGACCAGTAGAGCCAGCGATTGTAGATAAGATGACGAGCGACTTCCCTAACCCCATTTCATCTGCAATAATGCCACCTTTGGCCTCAGTTGGCTGTGGTTGTTTTGCTCCAGTAAAGACGTGCTGATAACTGTGAATTGATTATAAGAGTTAGTAGAGAATCTATTCAAAAACGAGACAGATATCAATGGATTCGCACAATGGTTCGTCAGCATCTATGTCATTGTATTCCCACAGACTTAGTTCAGAGGATATTTGTTCCATCTCTCGCCGGAAGACGAAATCAATCGCTTGCTTCTGATGGCTGTAACAAGATACGTCAATTTGAGTACCCTACATGGACTTTTGACATATCTTACGGTAGAAGTGTGCTTTTTATACCCGGAACGATCGTTATTTCCTGCAGGATATTGTGATGTGATAGTGACCAATCAAGAATCGAATCAACTCCAGCAGTGTCGTTGGTTCGCGTTTCTTCGGTTCTGTTTGGGCTTTCCGGGGACCCAAAACCAACCTTAGAGGATGACGGAAGTGGTTCAATCGAGGCTGGTGCTAGATAACCTTCAATCCTCAGAATGTGTGGGTTATAGTACTCGACACCTTCTAGTCTGTGCCGAGGCATTTGAAGAAAGATGTTGGATTTTGACAAGAGATCGCCAATATCCTTGGCGTCTGTTCTTGCGCCATAGATGCTGATGTCTACAAGAAGATGGGTTGGGGATTGGCAGCTCGGAGAGCTCGTTTCTGCATTATAGCCGTTGTCTAATTCGCATGCTTGAATGCAAACTGATTTCATGCTGACGAGTTCATGGAGATGTCTGCATAGACCTTTGTTTAATCGCCCAAATTTGTCCCCATCGTGTTCTAGGGTGAAGTAGTCGCCTTCTTGCACAACTGCGAAGAATCCGACCGAGTCATTCATCCGGGATCTTGACTGACTGGGTCTGCGCATATTATATAATTGCACTTTGACATCTATAATCTAGTACGTGAGAATTAGCTTGATTAATGAAGGCGTTGAGGAAGTCAGGATTTACACTGCCAAAACATGTATTTTTTTCAGACACGGAATTAATACAAGTTTCGTTGGCATGCTGAGCAGCTGACGGTGTGGACGAGGCCGAAGTATGTGGATCGTTCTGTTCCTCTGTTCCGAATGGGTATGCTCGTTTTAATGAGAGAACGCTTGATCTTGTTGCCGCAAAGGCGTCCGCACCACAGAGATCCATTTTGATGACAACTGAGAATATTACCAAGCTGTGTTGAGAGAATTGATGCTGTCGAAAGTGGCCTTGTAAATATGGAAAGTAGAGCAGTGGTAAGAATAGAGGTGTAGGTAGTAGGTAGATGCAATTGACCATTCTTAATGGAAGCTTCACGTTAAATCCGAACCAAAAAGAAAGCAGATTCGCTATCTTTCCCTACTACATCACGTCGCTTACAACAGGATGCAGGCGGGTTTTGCTCACGCGTGAGCCTGACCTCTAGGTACTCTTATCAGTACCTACCTAGGTATGTTTCGTTGTATGCCTTACGTATGGGAGCTGCGGTAAGGTACCTATGTGTTTATGGTAGCAGTGATAAATACCTAGGTACCTAGTAGCTTTAGTGGCTGTGTAGCTGTACGCTGACTTCATAGGTATCTGCCTAACGAGGCTGTGCTGCAGAGGAAAGGTACCTACATATCCTTCTATGAGAAATGGGGTTTCGGTTCCTGAAAGCGACAGATTTAGCAGCTTCCTTCCTTCATGATCTAAGACATACTGGGGTTCATGCCTTATTATCTCTTCTGATTTTAACATCAAGTCCGAAGCAAGACTAAAAGATCAAAAGTCAATTCATGGATCGCCACTCTCGCCAATCTCCATTTGAACGGGCGCTCAAGGAATTCCAGAAGGGTCTGGGAGGACGCAACATAAAAGATTTCCAAACGACAACACTTAGAAACTTGCAGGACAGTATCGTGGAATTGCAAGCAGAACAGCATTCACAACGGAAACTACAAAACCTAAACCGGTTACAACCATTTCTAAAGGCGATTGAGCAATATGGAGAAGTGATTAGGACATTCTGTAACAACAGTGACATTGTTGCATTCATCTGGGTGGGTTGTTTTCAGTTGAGATATTTGGACGCAAAGGCTCACCTTTTCACAGGGACCTCTCAAGTTCTTGCTTCAGGTAATTATAGCCTTTCGTAGTTTCAGAAAGTTTCAACGACTAAAGCTGTGAACAGAGAACGAGTGTAGTTACCGAGGCCTTTTGTGAGCTCCTGGGGGCTTATGAGGGCATAGGGGAGAGTCTCCCCCTTCTTATGCAATATCGGGATACCTTCCGTATCAAGCCGCACATGATCAGAATCTTGTCAGACATATATGTGGATATCCTCGAGTTTCAGAGAATCATTTTGCGTTACTTTCAACAGCCAGGTCAGTCTTGCGTTTTATATTCTTAAATGCTCTTCATCGTTCCTATTAACTAGGTATCATTACACAGAATGGCAGCGAATATTCGTCGAATCGTGGGGCACATGCAAATCTCGTTTCCCTGGCATCATCCTCCACATAGCCCAGCGTCGAAGCTTAATTGAGGATCAAGCTTCCCCTTACCAAATTGAAAAGGTTCAAGAAGAAATCCAGCGGTCCCGGAGATCCGAAGATGCGAAGTTGGATGAGCAAAATTTACAGCGAATACGACAAGTTAACAATTGGCTCAAACCAGCTTATGTTCATATCGACCAAAACGATTTCTCCAAACTTCGGGCGGAATATCCTGGAACTGGACGCTGGCTCCTGGAAAACACTTTCTTCAAAGAGTGGTTTGACCCACGATTTCCTACAATCCCTCCCTTACTCTGGCTCAGTGGTATACCTGGAGCAGGTAAATGCTCCTTAATACTTCAACTTCCCGTCTAACTGCTCTGACATCAAGACAGGAAAAACAATCCTCGCTTCTCTGGTCGTAGAAGAAGCGCAGAGGCTGGACCCGGCGCCAACGGTACTGTACTTCTATTGCAAGCATGATAACTCGGAACGAGATAATTTCGTTGCCCTTGGTCGGACTCTCCTTGCACAATTCCTCAAGCAAGATATTGGCTTATTGCCTACGCTTTACCAGAAATCTTGCCGCAGTGGTGAGACGATGCTTACTTCACCAACTTTGGTGGAAGAGCTCTTGACTATTGCTTTTGGAAACTGCAAAAGCGCATACATCATCCTTGATGGTTTGGATGAGTGCCCACGAGAACAACGAAAATCCATTACTCAATGGTTTAGGAAGCTGGTCGAAGATCTTCCCAATAGTGAGCCTGAGAGGTTACGTTGCCTCTTTGTAAGTCAAGATGACGGTCCTGCTCGAAAGGACTTCACTGGAATTACCAGCATCAAAATCGGATCCAAAGAAAACAGATACGACATCGAAGAATATTGCCAAATGAAGGCTCGTGAACTTAAAGAAATCTTTCTATTCCCTGATGACAAAGCGAGTGTCATTGCTAGCAATGTAGCTAGTTCTGTGCAAGGCTTGTTCCCTATCTCTTGTGTAAATTACTGATCGATCTGTTCACTTACTAATGTACAATAAGGCCTGTTCCTGCTAGCAAAGTTGATATGGGACAATATTCTAGGCCAATCATCCATTGCAGCATTAGAGAAAGAACTTGAACCAACCGCCTTCCCAAAGACTATCAACGATGCGTAAGTTTTGAAGTCCACTGCAAAATTCATTCACTGATCCCACGGTAGATACAGCAGAATCATGGATAGGATAGTTGAACAAACTCCGCAAGCAGCAATGGATGACACCTTGCACCTATTAGGATGGCTTGTTTGTGCAAGAAGGCCGCTTAAATGGCATGAGATACAAGGAATGAAATCCGTGAACCTGGACGAACAATGTGTTGATTATAGTCGCCAAAGTTTTGTGAAATCCCCTAAGGATCTTTGTGCATCCTTTTTAGAAACTCGGTCAGATGGAACCATTGAATTGATTCATCTAACAGCCAAGTTGTGAGTCCCTGGACATTATCGACCCAGAAAGTCATAACTTAAGGAGGCTAATCAGGGGCTGTTCAGTTTCTTGATTGATAAAAGCAGCGATAGAAGTCCTCCAGTTATCGATCCATCAGCTGAGGAGCTCAAAATAGCTTGCTTTTGTATTGACTATTTGAACCTTCCTGCGTTCGTAAGCCAGCCTACCAAGGAACGGGTGTTGAATGGGGATTACGGGTTCATGAACTACGCTGTTCTATACTGGCTTCAACATCTGGAAACAGGACTCTCTCTACAGATTGGTAATCATGAACAGCTAATGAACCAGCTTGCGGAATCTTTGGAAATCTTTATCGAGAAGCATTGGAACTCACCAACTACCACCTTTACGTTGGCAAGGCGTCAGAGTGATAAGCTGCAATTCTTCAAAGCCTTATCTTTTTATGACAGACTTGAACAAGTGGTTGCCTCAACTAGGAGGCAATTGAAGGATTTTGGGAAAATGAAGAAAGAAGAGTTTGCTTTAAACCTCGTCGACGTTGTTGGAAACGTTCGTGAGGTACTAGAGCACACGACATCTGGTGCAGACTGGGCAAAAATCAACAAAATATATGGTGATGATCTCTTCAGATGTCCTAGATTCAGCTGCAGGTTTTTCACGATAGGGTTCTCTTCGGCTACCGAGCGTGACAGTCATATTGGGAAACATGAGCGGCCATTTCGATGTTCTGAGGAAAACTGTTTGGGGTCCACCTTTGGGTTTTCTTCGGCGTCTGAACAGGAGAAGCATATGGCAAAACACCATTTCACAGTTGCACTCGAAGATGAAGAGTTTCCGACTGACCACGATATCAACCGCAGCAAATCGAATAGACTAACAGCTGCAAGTCAAAACCAGGATGAGAGTACTGAAGATACCACGACGACAGTGATAGAGAAATCAAGGTCTGAGTCAGAGTCGGAATCTGAACCACAGTATTTGGCTCAACACAAACGAAAACGACAAACAGAGTTCAAGTGCTCACAGTGCCCCAAAGTGTTCACAAAGAAATACAATCTTCAGTCGCATCTCAACAGTCATGGTAATGAGCGGCCTTATAAATGCATGCGCTGTGGCCAACAATTTGTGCGCCAAGGTGATCTCAACCGTCACCTTAACAAGCACACAGAAAAGAATAAACGAGTCTGCCAAGGATGTGGAAAACCATTTGCTCGTGCAGATACTTTGGCAAAGCACTACGAATCCAGGGTTGGTCGGGCGTGTTTTCAACGTCTGCAGGGGCAGGATCTGTCAGAATAACGTGATGCTTGATAATTCAATTATTCTTAGAAGGAAAAAATCTATCTTCTAAATCTAAGAGCTTCTAGCCAAGACTAACTGCAAAATCTTCAAAAGTCTCCATATCGTGTCTCAGAAGAGATCACGTGAAATCCAGAGATTTGAAGGCATCAAGGCATCAAAACACACAGACCACCTGATAACACTAAAATTATGAAAATGTATCTGACAGGATCTTGTTTGAAGACATATACACCAAAAAAAAAACCCCCAATCAGGGAGTGAATTAAGTACCTATGTCGAAATCCGTCCTCAAATCGACGTGGTCGTCAGTGTGTGCAGCAGTAAAGTCCCGCTATTCCAGGCAGCACAGCCACTGAAAGAAAAAAGTCACACGGTGCGAAAGGAGCCCAATTCACGATCACAGCCCAATTTGAAATTATTGGCCCACAACCTTCGTACGGCTTAGCTTTTCTCTCCTCATAGATGCACATAAAACTCAAATAATTGCGAAGGTGCGGGCTATCTTTGCTCTCATTGGTTGCAAACATAGATTTACGACTTTTTATTATGGGGTAGGTTGCCTCGCTTGGGAGGCGGGCGGCAAGAGTGCCTTAACTGGCGCTTTGAATTGCAGAAGTGTCGCTTTCTTAGGCTCGTCTATCATAGGTATCATAAACATTTCCTCCTAGTCCTCCCAAAGTGCTCTAAACTTCCCACAAGCAGTTAGCCAATTCCATCAAACATGCGGCTCCTGAGAACAAAACAGTACAGACTCATCGAAGCAGATGAAGTCCCCGACCCTTTCCCACAGTACGCCATTCTTTCTCACACATGGATATCACCAAGGGACGAAATCACCTATCAGGATTTCAAGCACAGAAAAGGAGATATAGATGACGGTATCTTCAAGCAGAGGGGTTGGGAGAAGCTCAAAAGATACTGCGACCGCGCCTCAAAGGACGGTTGGGAATGGGCTTGGATGGACACCTGCTGCATCGACAAGACCAATCCTGCTGACACCCAAGAAGCCATCAACGCAATGTTTCGCTGGTATCAGAACGCCGGCATATGCTACGCCTATCTCAACGATATTGAGGTGAATAGGGTCATTGCTCGTCCGAATCTTACAGATGTGAATTTTCCGCTGGATTCGGACCTTGACGACATTGCTAGTAAGGACAATGTTGCCGACCCCGACAGCTCCCTCCGGCAGGCTCTCCGCCCCCTTTTAATTCAAGCCAAGTGGTTTACCCGAGGTTGGACATTGCAGGAGCTTCTCGCGCCCCCTTATTTGGTCTTTGTGGATAAAGCGTGGCGTCGTATGGGCACCCGAGAGAGTTGGGCCGTTGAGATCAAGGAAGCCAGCAGAATCGAGGCACGGTACTTGACAACTTTCAGCCCGACGGATTTCACATCGTGTTCTATCGCCATGAGACTTTCTTGGGCCTCTCGTCGTGAAACAACTCTAGAAGAAGACGAGACGTATTCATTGCTCGGTCTGTTCGGTATTAGCTTGCCCCTGATATATGGCGAAGGGAGGTGGCGGGCCTTCAATAGGCTTCAACGTGAACTGATAACAGTCTACAACGATGACTCTATATTCGCCTGGAAAGCTGAACAGTCATCGAGTCAATGTTTTCATGGGCCACAGCGGAAAGGTAACAGACCATACAGAGAACCACTTAAATACCAAAGGGTTGACTTTTGCTTAGACTCCAACCTAGGATGGGGGATCCTGGCACCATCAATTAGAGAATTTTGGGACGCATCCAACGTCAATGCTTTTGGCTTTTATGGATACAGTTTCTCCATGACAAACCGAGGATTAGAAATAAATGCCAAGCGCTGGAGACGTAAAGACGACCCAACGATATGCCTCATCCGTCTGAACTGCGGTCTTGAACCTTCCAATCATATTAGCATTCCTCTAAACCATGATTATGATTCTTACAACAGGATACACATTGAAGAGCTCTACTATACAAAAACAATTAATTATGACGACTGGGAAGAGGAACGTGGAACCGAGCCTACTCTAATTCGAGTTAGCAATTATTCAAACCCCCTCGTTTCCTCGATATTTGCTCTAGAATATCCAGGACGGATCAAAGTTGGCCAAAAGTATTTTGTCGATTTCGGGACTACCCCTAACCCAGAGCTGCAGCCATTGGATAAGAGCTTTTTAATTCAAGGTCTCAAGAAGGATGAGCTCATAATAGAGCCCAACCGACTAGTATTCGTCAACATTGAACTACAAGGCGAGAGTTATAAGTCACAATTCGACGCCGTAATCAATCTTGCTGGGAACGGTTTCCCTTCTGTTGGTATACTGCCAAGAGCTGAGGAGCCGTGGGAACGTGTGGGAAATCCACTAAAGGAGGGGATTTCTGGCAAGTACGAGCATTTGGCGGATCACCTTCACTACAGCGTGCCAACTGAGCCAGCATATCCCGTGGTTGCCTTTGAAGAGAGCGAGAATCTTGTCGTGGGTGTATGTCTTCTTCCTAGACCCCTGATGGCAAGTAGATTCGACCAACTCTCCCAGAATGTAAATGATATCACGCTAAGAGAGTATGTGCTTAAAATTACTGTTAATGGGGATCAATCAGTAGGACAGGATATGTCGAGATATCCTAATAAAAAACGGAAATTGAATTAATCTGTTTACAATGAACTAGCAACTGTTCTGCTTGCCTATCAGTTTGGTTATAGTATAGTACGAGACCAGGGTAGACCATATATAGGATGCGCAGCACCCTCGAAGGTGCTTCGAAGGGCAAGCGTTAATAGTTCATTAAACTACACTACTACCTAGCATTCACTCTATGTATGTCATCCATCAAAGGAGCACTACTTTTCCAGACAGCAACAGTCTAACGTAAAGTTCCTCGACTTGAGTAGCCATCGGAATGCGAATTACTACGGCTTGTCACGAGGCGGAACCAAGAAGCTAGGGAAGAACGACGTTGTTGCGCGAAGAGCTCTAACTAACCCCTTCCAGGGAACGCGGTATACATACATGAACCTTCCTTTGTCTACAGCTAAAGGCCAGCTGCCAACAGGGCGGCCTCGTACAGGCCGACTCCCGATACCTCTGACTACCAGCTCTCGTGGAGGAAGCTTCTGACACGGCTCGGAGCGGGTAAGGAGCGTTATGGCTTTATGTGGGCTACAGAATGGCGCCATCGAGGAACAAAAACGCCGGGAATCTAGAAAACATATCATAGTCTCAGTTTCAGAGATGAAGGGATCATTTAAAGCATAGGTAGTAATACGATCGCCGTTTTACCTCATGCCTAAAGGGTCTAGATAAGCTGTTCGTTGCTGACGTTCGGAAAATTGTGGTGAGTCATAAGTAAACTAGCTAAAGCCTCACAGTTATTTTTATAATACTGACCAGATTGATACATGGAGCATGTGCAGAGGGCTATCCGTAACGACTACACCAACCTAATCTCAACAGCGCTTTGAACGAGCATTCCCATCATAGCGCCATACAAATAGCAATCTCCAATCATGTGATACCTCATAGATCCGCCTGCGCTTTTCAACGGCCTGAAAGTGAACGGCACCTTAGACCCATACACACCCCATATCTCATCTCCCGCCGTTGCCTGTGGCACACAGAGACCCATTCGTCCATTATCCGTCAAGTAAAGAGCTCGGTGGAATAAAGAAGCCACTACAGCGTTACGATAGGCTTCATGGGTTAGGCGGTACAAATCTCCGCTCTCAAAGAAGCCATCTAACTCGTCCTGCTTTGGGCAATCTTCCTCTAGTCGGAACGGTCGCCAATGTTCCATCCAGGCCATTTGCTGAAACGCAAGCTCGATCAACAACCTGACTATGTTTGTCTTACCCATCTCGGATAGGATAAACCTGCGCTTCAAGAGTGTCTGTTGTTTATCCGTTACATACTCACCACATACCTCTCCACAGATTGTTGCGGTTAGTTGTCTGTAGCAAGTTTGGGCATCTAGCTTCTGAGTAGCGCCCCATTTCTGTATCATAACCTTCCACTGTGACAACGTCGTCTTTGCGGATGTAGAGTCATAAGGGTCTATCATTACTGGACCAACTATTTGAATCCGATCTGCTAGGAAACCTTTTAAGCGAAGTTCATTCCCTTTTATTTTGGCTCGGCCCCTTGACCAGCCCGATGCTCGATACATTCTTGAAATAGCAAGTCTATCCAAGTTTGCTTCCACAGTCCGTTCGCTCCAGCTTTGAGAAAAGTCGGGAACCCAGGTAGGCTTTTGGTTGGCTCCTTTTGCGCTAGGGCCAAAATTCAACCCCTGAAACACGCGAAAATCCATCCCAGAGCTGAAGATAATATTAAGATGGCTCCGCGACTCACGCAACATGCCTTTGAAAACTGAGCTGAAGACTTCCTCTTCGGGAATCTTATAATTGGGTATGTGACTCTTGTAAAACTTTCCGGCTGCGCTCCAAAGTGAGTAGATACGGTCCCTGCCTTGTTGGCATTGACGTGCGGCGAACGTAGAAACAACGATATAAAAGTAATCTCTTCCATCTGCAGAACGTGTTTTCAAGTAAAGATCACGACGATGTGACAACTTTCGAATATGGTGAAAGAAATCCCATACGGCTTTATACTTTTCCTGTGGGAAGATATCAAGAGCTTCTGCGCAGCAGGGCGGCCGAGTATCGCTAAAATAACTCGTCCGCCCTATCGCATGATGGATGAGTGGCAGATCGCAAGGGTCTGCAGCATTATGAAGAAATCGAACCGTCGGCGGTAAAAAGGCTTCTTGCACAGTCCACCCTCTGGTCCACCAAGGGCTCTCTGCCAGCAAAAGAAAATCATCCCAGAGAGCACAGAAATCCTCCGTTTCCTCAAAGGTTTGTTTTCCGGTAGTTTGGTTTACTCTGAACCCTGGAATGTCATGGAAATGCTCGCCGATAAGTAAAGACAGCAGACCTCCCAAGTTAGCCGTATTCCTATCGCGAGGCCTTGTTGTTTCCGTTGGGCGCGGCAGCCAAACATTAACAAGGCTGCATGACTGGTAGATATCGGCCATAAGTGCGACCTGGTCTGATTTTTCGTCGTAATCATTCTGATTGATGCAAATTCTATCTACCCAGACGCGCACGTACTCGTCAACCAGCCGAAGGTGGTGGAGGAAAGCGGCCAAGTGTGTGGTGATTTCAAATGGGATGTCATCAATCAAAATGGTGGTCGTAGGCAAGTCTGGACTGCCCCAGACATACGACAATGCTTCAAAGTTGTTCCTCTCATGTTCAAGAGTTGACACAAGGAGAGTTCCTCGAAGGTTGGTGTCAGGAGGATTCGCTGTGATAGGGTGGAGGATTAGAACGCGAAATTGGCCAACGCCTGGGGTGAGAGGACGGCGTCGATAAATGGCATGTTGCATCAAAAACGGTGAATCCATTATGAGTTCTACACAGCTATCGTCAACTCAGAAATTATCAAACACGTAACTTTTGGGATAGGGGGGATATCCCCGCTTCAAACAGAGCAAAAGCGGCTACAGGAGGCAGGTGACATAAAAACCGTTACCCCCTTGGCACCGCTTCAATAAGCTAGCAGAGACCATATTCCGAAAGCAATTATCAGGTTGCGGGGTCAATCGCGCCAAGGTTCAATCTCGGGAGGCTGGAGAGGGATTCCCCTAGAACATTAAGTACCAAATTAGCTAGGGTTTCGAGATTTTCAATGGATTATCAACTGGAAACGCTGTTTGAATTAGCAGTGGCCAGGGAATTGCGGTTCAACGAATTGATATGGTCTGTGTAACTTCGATTGCAACGCCCCATCGAGATAGAGCGTCTTGGCGCTGCTGAGCCTTGTAATCATCTATTACTTCACTTTAATTTCAAGTCCTAGTGCCAACCACGCCTTCTTCAAATCTTTCTACCTATTATAACTATAATGAATTTAATCGTTGTATACATTTATTAGATCCGTTCGAAAGGTCTTTTAAAGCTTTATAACTATGCTGGGTTAAATTACGGGTTTAAAATTAATAGTTAAAAAAATACACAATTTAAAAGAATTAAAATACTTGCCATCAATGTTAGTATCACTTAGGAATTGCGCGTTATGTAGAATAGGTTGGGGTGTTTAATTGATTGGTTGTAATGTACTTATTACCTAGTTAAGATTAAAGCTATGGATACGGTGGGGTGGATTAAGGTAATCTACCCCAAGTGGCACAAGCCACACAAGTTGTGGCTTTGTCCGTTAGGACTACGTGGCGTAGTCCCAACAATCGAAATAACCAATAAAACTGAATATAGTTTGCACCTTCGCAATTATTTCATTTTTATTAAGGCGTAATAAACAAAGGCTCTGAGCCGTAATTTTTAAGGCTAAGTGGTTCTAGCCAAAAATTTAGACCATGGGCCACATCCCTTTACTTAATGCGAAATGAAATAAATAATATATTAACACTATATTAATTTCAAGCTAAGCTCAGACCTAATAGTGATCTAATCATTATATTTTAGGGGACAGCCACTACAGTTTAAGCAGTGGTTTTAAGTAGTAAAGCCACTAAAAAAGGACGCCACACAGTGTAAAACTCTTCGATTTACACGGTTTTAGCCCATTTGGCCCATCAGCACATAGTCCAAATTTTTGGCCGGAACCTTCGTACCTAGGTACCCATGCTAGATATTTCACGAAGACCCGTCGTCAAACCAGCCGATACCCAACACATTATTACAAAGTAGTAGCGAAATCGATCTTTGTAGCTAGCATATTTGGCGCTACAACTCCCGTCAGAAATAGCCATCCTTCTCTTTTGCCGTCATTGGTTGCCGGATCAATAGCGACGATCACTGCCGTCGTCACGCCTCTCAAGGAGCTACCATCATCTGAGAAGACGAGTCGCGCCTGCTTATCGCCGCCCTCTCCCTCTTTCCTACCCGCATTTACTGGCACGTACCAGACAATGCTTGGAATAGGGGCTTGTCCCGTAGGGTCCTTGTAGTTTGTCCCGAAATCGATCGGACGCCCAATGCCGGGTAGAAGATACCCGCTATAGTCCTTGCCGTCAAACTGGCTGTACGGATCCGAGAAGAAGCTGGGGTTATCGACGACGCTGTCTACCGGTACATGATGGGAAATCGACACGGTCTTATTTTCCGCCTCCAATCCTGCGAAATAAAGATTTCCGCCGGTAGCGTCCCCGATGAGAATCTGCCCGTTCGGACCCCAGCCCAAGCCGTTGTTAGTTCCGATCGAGTTGAGGCTGACTGTGGCAGTGACGTCGTGATCATCGATGCTCACGTGCACGAGATCAGTCCACGGTATGTGGCTTATATCCTCCACCAAGCGCATCAACCCATCGCGGTAGTGGTGGCAGTTAGTCACGAGGAACTCCTTTTCGGATAACGCGAGCAGGTCATTAGGTGTCCTAATCAGAGGGTGCGAGATAGAGCGTAGGTGCGTTGCTGTATCGCTTCCAACAGCATGCGTGAACAACTCAATGCGCGAGGCTGCCTTGGGCTGCTCCGGCGAAGCTGAGGTCTGGAGTGGGTTTGGATGATGATTTACGGCGAATATGAAAACAGTATTGTGGTCCGAAGGATGGCTGTATATGCTAATTCCGTGGGTCACGAACGCCGTTGCTGGAAAATTCTCTAGGGAAAGCTTCTTCGTCTTCATAGTCTAGAGAACGTAAGTAAACCGCCTGGCATGGTGGGAAATGCTTGCTCATGAAGGATAACGAGCATCTTAAGGACTTACCTTTGGGTCAATTACCACCAGCGTCCCCAAACTAGGGTTTTCGGGATGATCTAACGTGCCAGATCTGTATTTGGGTTACATTAATAATCGGTTCCAATCGAATATTTAATTGGGCTGGCATACCCCGGAAACCAACCGGCTGCTTTTTCCATATCACCCATGCATGCCGAGTATAGCATATCAGACGGTTCATGGTAATGTAGGTCCTCACAAGCTACAGTGTCCCTGATCACGCGGTTCTCGATACCGTGGATATTCTCCCATGAGTTCAGTGGTCGCAGAAGTCCTATAATTGTGGCCTGACGCTTGAGAGGGGTGTATAGAAGTGCGGAAAGGATGCCAACCACAATAGTGGTTAGATATAGGAAGACAGCCATTCTTGGAGCAACACGACTTGGACTATCACGAGGCTGCACGTATGATATTTGACAAACTTCAGTCTGGTGATATTCTACCTATAATAAAGAATGTTGTCATGGAGATTAGGAAACTCGCAAGATCGGGGCACTGCGAATTGAGGGGAAATCCAGGGAGCCCTGGGGGAGCCCTGGGGGAGCCCTGGGGGAGCCCACGGCATCAGCTACATCATCAACGTCGATCATTTTCATATTTGCGGGGGATAGTCCGGGGTTGAACTAGCCAAGTCGTAAGAAGGGGGGGAGGACGGCGTAAGTGTACCATGTAAGTGTACCTAAAGGGTAGGCACAGAATTGGGGTAACTCGAAATCCCATCATAAGACTGCATAAGATGAGCTATCACGTTTCACATACAACTGCATCAATGCACCCAGAACTGGTGATAATAGGCCAGGCCTTCAAATTATTCAGTCAACAACCCCTCAAATCAATAGTAATCGTAATACCATACATGTATCACCCATCACTCATCAATCACGCAGCATTAAAGCAAGAGTTGAACGGCGCGCTGAATCAATGATCAATATCTGACTCCGTGACTCTCACCAGCAGTCCTTTATCGATATAAAGACCATAGCTGGCAGTAGTCATCGGTTTCTGAGGGTTTACGAGTTGAAAGTCGAAGTTTCGTAGCAACTACATCGCAAGTAAGCCATACTCTAAATAGAATAGGGGCTGGGACTAAACGAATGGGGTTAAACACGCACCTCGAAGAAAATCTTATTCAGCTCCATAAGCGCAATAGGCTTCCCGGCGCACATCCATCGGCCATAGCCGAAACTGAGCTCAACGTTCCGCTCCATTTCGGCGCAGGCTTTCTGGTCGAGTTCTAGGTATCGCTCCGGTCGGAAGACATCGGCGTCTTCGCCGAACAAGGCCTTCGAGCGCAGGAGCGACTGGAAATTCGAACCGACTATCATGCCTCCCGGGATGAACTTACCGTTGATCGTGTCGCCCTCGCGAGGTACCTCCTTGGCTATCATACTAGTCGTTACCGGACGTATTCGTAAGCCTTCGTAGATGACACCCTGTTAATTCACCTCGTTAGCTTATGGGGCGTGACGCTGTGTCTACACTTAGGTAGACTAGAGGCTGGGCGAGCTGGAGAAGGTCTCACTTACTTGGAGGTACGGCAACTCTCTAGCCTCCGCCTGCGTGATGGGGCGCGACACCCTTCCCTCCTCAACAGCTGATTTTATCTCATCCTTTAAACACTGGTATACCCGTGGTGTCGATAAAATGTGTAGTAGCGTGGCCCGGATCGCGGAAGCGGTTGTGTCAGAGCCGGCTACGAACATGAAGATGGACTCTACTTCACATTGAGCCTGTGTGAGACCATGTCTAATAAACGAGGCCTTCCGTGGGGGCAAATGTCAGCCATGTACCTATGTACTTCAATCATATAGGAAAGAGAGATTATCGCATTGCTATTGATGACTTACCAGCACAGCTTTCTCATCCTTATCCGCATCCGGTTCGAACCTCTTTCGCACGGCTTCATTTGCTATGCTGCAAGTACGGTTCAACACAAATACGTAGAAAGCTGCGGATCATATAATCTGGAAGATTCAGCCGACTTACTGCATGATTTTTCCTAGTCCTTTTTGATCTGTTTCCTTAGGTCCCCAAATTTTCAGACCAAGTGTAGAGTACGCGATATCCCGGATCAAGGGCACCTCTTGCGCGATGGCTATCAATAGCAGCTGTTTATGCGTGGCTTGTATGAATCCATGTCGATCCGATTCGGTTTCTAAGCATCCAAACTCTTGCCCTGTTGACAACTTGGAAATAACATCTATGGTGAAATACGAGACAGCTTGAGCCAGGTCAAAGGGGCGATATCCCCCTGCGCCGGTTGTTGTGATGTATCGCTTCCGAATGATGTCGATGAAATTGGTAATTTGAGAATCAATGTCAGACTCGTAATTGGGATTGTCGCGACCGCTATACCCAGGCCAGACCTGGGACTTGGTCTTGTCGTGGGCTACCGGATCCAGCGTTATGAACATAGTCGGATGATATGGGTTGAAGCGACTCCCAAGGTACCATGTCGACTTCTTGTACTTGCTCTTCGCGCTTGACAGGGACTTTATGACCTCTGGGTCATCCGATAAGAGCACGTTGGGGCCGAGCCGGATGAGCGAACCGTATTTCTTACCGATATAGTCGATAATCTCAAGTTGCTTGCCGCTCAAAGCATAAACAGCTAGCCACAGATACGAGAATGAGGCCAGGAACGGACCGGGCACATGTCGAAGGCGGTACCACGAGTAGACCGCCGAAGTTACATACCAGGCAAGGACAAGAAGAAAGAAGATCTTCAGGGGTCCAATCGAATCTATAAGATCTGTTAGGAGTGACATGGCTTCCACCTGAACGAAGTAGTGGTATCAACTGTAGTAGCGATAGTACAGCAAAGATAAAAAGGAGACGATATATACGCCGGCCAACCACCACTCCTCGTACAGCCCAGCATCCTTTATAGTCGGATATTGAACTTGAATTGATGCTACAGCCATAGCCTAGGTAGTAATGGCATGCGGTGTCTTACTTGAGTCTTTACTGTAACTCCAGCATGGTTCCACGACGTCAATATTTAAACGAGCGTTGATTTGATAGGCGTACAACCGCCTAATGAACGTATAGTTGCTCACCAATCGCTCAAAAGCCGGACGTTACCCGCTGGGCTTACTTCTACTATTTCAATCAGCCTGCATGATTCTGTACCATTAGCAACCAAACCGCAGCATACCGATAGACCTGCGTAGCCATGCGACGCCTTCGATTCGATCTATGATCCATGTATAGGCACTTACTAATGCTACACAACACTATTTCCGCGTTGATTCCTGCCATCGTAAAACAACAGAAGGTATATCTAGATTTGCTCAGATGAACCAGCTTAGTCATCAGCCCCTGAATCGGACCCCTCCGAGGTCATATCACTTCCGCGATAGGTCTCGACTATTGATAAAAATGCCTATCATAAAACAGGCGGGTGAATTTCCGTTCGTAAGCTGAAGTCGCTGTAAGCCGATACATTCCAGGTACCTATTCATAGGGTAAGTACCCGATTTCCACTGGAGATGTTTTACCCATTGAAGCCCCTGTAGCTCGTCCCCGCAGTAGGCCGGTGCGGTCCGTCGACGTGCCGCCTCCCCGCCTGGAGCCGCGACCCTGGATTGTCGCTTTATTTCGACATAACCTTGACACGAGTGCGCTCCTTTTGTTGCAATGTTAATGTATTTTATCCCGGAAATCTTATTCTGGTTGGATTCTGCTGAAAGTAACCTTACAAAGTGACATATGTCAGTAATAGAGTCCAAGTGCATATGAGTATCTGACCGAGTACCTACCTAACCACTACGCTGAGTATCGCTTGCATCATAAGCCCATCCTATCCGATAGATTCCATATGAAAATGCAAGGTAATCCATTGACAATTGGCATGGCTGTGATGCTGTGCTACACTCTGCCTTCCACTCCGCCTCGTTAGGCTGAATACTTTTTCCTTGCGTTTTATTCAACCCATTTCCTACCTAAAATTTCCAATCCATTTAGATATTCAATAATTACCGTGCCTCGGCCGGAGCTCGACTAGCAACAAAACTCCCGAGTTCCTTAGGTCTTATTCGATACGATGAACGAGCCGGAGGAGCAATATTGGCGCGGGGCTGTTCCTGAGACTGGACTAACAGTCCTCTTTGAACCTACCCAACCGTCCCTCGAGTGAGTTCCTTCTTGTTCCTTTTAGTAACCCCATACGATTTACTGACTAAAAAAGCATCGTGTTTATCCATGGATTTACTGGCCACCCTGAGCGCACATGGACCTCCAAGAAAGGGAATGCCAAACCCCGCGACGACGGCACAGCTGACGAGTATGTCGAGCCTCCTCCAAAAATTCGAAAACTCAATCCCTTCTCGAGCTCCCGCCACGCTAAGAGGAACACCCTCCCTGCTGTCTATTGGCCACGAGACTTGGTTCCAAAGACAATCCCGAATGCGCGTGTCTTGACATACGGCTACGATACCCACATCAGACACCGTACTGGACCTCCTGTGAGCAGAAACACGGTCTACGATATCGCGGGGGATCTTCTAGTTGCCCTAGAGTCTAAACGTCGAGTAGAGCCGCAGAGACCAGTGTTATTTGTAGTGCATAGCCTCGGAGGGATCGTCGTTAAGGAGATGCTTCGGCGATCGAAAGGTTACCATATGTTTCAGACTCACCTTCGCAACATATTCAAGTCCACAATCGGTGTCATGTTTTTCGGCACTCCACACGCCGGCGCTGACCCCCGCGGATTTCTCCAGCATATTGCCGAGAATATATTCAAAGCCGTCGGGTTTTCTGTAAACCAGCAAATTGTCGACACCCTCTTGCCGTCTGCGGAACGGCTTAAGGAACTCAGAGACGAATTTGGAACCATGGCTCAAGAGCGAAATTGGATCATACACTCCTTTCAAGAACAGTTTGGCGTCCAGAGTCTCGGTGGCCGGAAGGTATGTTTAATAGCATATATTTTCATTCGATATCTTGCTGACCATTACTTAGGTTGTAGAGGATATGTCATCTTACCTTAATGTTCCAGCCATTGAGATAACCGAGCATATTGGGCAAAACCATATGGAAATGTGTCGTTTCAGGGGATTGGACGACATTGAGTACGAGAAGGTTTCCGCCGCACTCCAGAGGATGACAGATACAGTACCCAAGAAGCCTACAAGAGATATGAGGCTGTCGCTAAGTGAAGCGCAGAAACAGGTGCTACTGGACTCATTGAGATTTGACCAAATCGATGCTCGCCAAATGACTATCAAGAGTGCACACGCCAAGACATGCAAATGGTTGCTGAAAAAGTCCGAATATATCGATTGGCTTGATCTTAGCAAGCTCGGTGAACATCACGGCTTTTTGTGGATCAAAGGGAAACCTGGTGCCGGAAAGTCAACGTTGATGAAGTTCATATTTGCTAACGCCCGGAGAAAAATGAAAGACAAAATCATCATCTCTTTCTTCTTTAACGCGCGAGGAGATTGTCTGGAAAAGTCTACAACTGGGATGTATCGGTCACTGTTATTGCAGCTTCTTGAACCGTTTCCAGGACTTCGGGACGTCTTTGATTCTCTTGGGTTAGCAACGTGGAACGGCGGACGCCACGAATGGAGTGTCGAGGCACTAAAAACACTCTTCGAACAAGCCGTGCAGGGTCTCGCAGAGTCCTCTCTGGTGTGTTTCATCGATGCACTAGACGAATGTGACGAACATCAGATCCGGGACATGGTCACCTTCTTCGAGCACGTGGGCGAACTGGCCATGTCAACTGGTATTAGACTCCAAGTGTGCTTTTCAAGCAGGCACTATCCTTATATCACAATCAGAAAAGGACTCAGCCTAGTTCTCGAAGGACAAGAAGGGCATAGCCAGGATATAGCCAACTATCTAGACAGTGAGCTGAAGATTGGACACAGTAAGCTTGCTGAACAGATTCGCACGGATCTCAAAGAAAAGGCAGCAGGGGTCTTCATGTGGGTTGTCCTAGTGGTCCAGATCCTGAACAAGGAACATGACAGTGGCCGTATCCATGGGCTTCGAAGAAGACTCCAGGACATCCCTGGGGACCTGCACGAGCTGTTTCGTGATATTTTGACACGCGATCGCCACAACAAAGGCGAATTACTACTGTGCATTCAGTGGGTCCTCTTCGCAAAGCAACCGTTAAAGCCGGAGCAGTTATACTATGCTATCCTTTCTGGTATCGAATCTGAAGCTTTGTCTGCGTGGGATCACGACGAGATTACAGCAGATGATATCCAGAGGTTTGTACTCAATTCCTCTAAAGGGCTGGCCGAAACCACCAAGTCCGAGACTCCGACGGTTCAATTCATTCACGAGTCAGTGAGGGATTTTCTATTTAAAGAAAATGAGTTGAAGGAAATTTGGTCTGACCTCGGAGGACAGTTCCGAGGAAGAAGCCACGAGCGATTAAAGCAGTGTTGTCTCAATTACATGAGCATCGACATCTCTAGCTATGTGGACATCAACGATTCACTTCCGAAAGCATCATCCCAACAAGCTGCGCGTCTCCGTCAATCAGTGGATAAAGCATTTCCGTTCTTAGAGTATGCCACACGAAACGTTCTCCATCACGCAGATGCAGCAGAAGGGAGCGGGGTCAGCCAGACTGATTTTCTTCAGACATTCCATGTTGCTGACTGGGTTAAGCTCGACAACCTATTTGAAAGAAATCAAATACGCCGACACACTCCAACTGCGAGTCTTTTATATATACTGGCGGAGCATAATATGGAAAATCTCCTCAGAAGTCACCCTTCCAAACTAGCCTGCTTTAAAATAGAAGATGAACGTTACGGAACACCAATTTTTGCAGCGCTGGCTACCAACAGTAGTGAAGCCGTCCAGGTGTTTTTACAAGCCCAGGCGGACACTTTGCCCCCAACGTCCCCATTTCACGACTTGTGTGAGCGGTATGACCAGGAGGGGCACGAACGAATCGGCTTTGGACGCGACTTCATTTTTTCACGACGAAAAAGTATCCTTGCTCATCTCATAGAGCATTACGATGAGGCACTACCCCTTGCTTTCCTCCTCAGTTCAATCGAGCTCGACACCAAGTTGAGGAATAGCTACGACCAAACGCTATCATGGGCTGCCGCGAACGGGCACGAGGCAGTAGTCAAGCTATTACTCGAAAAAGGCGCCGACATCGAGTTTAAAGATTGCCTTGGCCAAACACCGTTATCATGGGCTGCCGAGAAAGGGCGGGAGGCAGTAGTCAAGCTATTACTCGAAAAAGGCGCCGACATCGAGTCTAAAGATAACAGTGGCAAAACACCGCTATCATGGGCTGCCAAATTCGATAACGAAGCAGTAGTTAAGCTTTTACTCGAAAAAGGTGCTGATTTCGAGTCTAAAGATCACAATGGCCAAACACCGCTATCGTTAGCTGCCGCGAACAGGCGCAAGGCAATTATCAAGCTATTGCTCGAAAAAGGCGCCGGCTTCGGGTCTAAAGACCACAGCGGCTAGACACCGTTGTCACGGGCTGTGAAAGAGTTGAAAACTGTACCTTACTGGAAAAGAAGTGAGTACGAGATGGTGGTAGAGTTACTTAAATCTACCTCTGCCAAATCAAATTAAAATATCGGCATTGTCGGGTATATGTAAAGTGCTTGAATGCACATTAAATAATTCAATGTGCGTTCGAACCAGAAGACAGCCAGTTCGGCCGAGGGCATATAAGTGATTGATTATGAGGAATTAATGTACTGCCGTCTTGAGGGGACGAACTTAGCGATATGCAGAATGAACCCGTAATGGGAATATATCAGCTCATAATGGATACCCAGTGCTGGTGATGGTTTACTTGGGAGGCTCTAGTTGTAATGGCTAGGTATAAGGAGGTTCTTAACCCTGAGTATTTTAATAATGAGTCCGTGGCACTCATATTTCTCGGCGGTTTGTGTTTAGATGCGGACCTACGGCCGTATTGTCATCGGAGCATCGGGCTGAGACGGTATTGAATTAGCCCGATCGACAACTGAAGAAGTAATACATGGGCTCTGGAATATGAGTAATAATGTAGAGTTCGAAATAGAACAGCTTAATGGAACAGGAGGTTTTACCACGACAATTCCAAATTGAATAATATTCTAATAACACCGAAACCACGTGCAGAATTCGCCATGCAGAATCGTCATACTAGACGCAACTGACCCCTAGTTAACTCATCCAGGATGACGGATCTGGATCTAGGTATAACCCGTTGACCATCAGATCTTGGTTATAAATACACTGACGATTCCTTTTCGGGTTATATCTTGTTAGCGGATCATCTTAGAAGATCAGTAGATTTATAAGCTGGAGATAGAGCTTTTATGTCCGTCTACACCATCATCTGAGACTGACCCGCCGCGTATTCTTTGTCCCCACCGACGATACAAACTGCATAACAGGGCTGTTTTCATAAAGAGCCAGGACGGACTGTTCCCGATCCGGTAGGTGTTATCAGAAAAGAAAATTAAAATAAAATAAAAAAAAAACCTCGTCCGCTACACAAGCCTAACGCAAAACGACTTCGACGCTATTATACAGCTATGGGGTATTTGGAATGCTCTACTCGACACAACCGACCATCCGAGCTGTATCCGCTTACACTATGTAGGTACTTAGCTAGTAATCTTCACCATGTATTCGCGTTCATCCGACTTGGATCGCGGTCCCATTCCATCATAATTACTCAAGTTTGAGCCGCATAATGTTTATGCTCTCAATATAGTCCAATCCTACTGACTCATAAATGAAATACCTGCTCTGCCCAGACATCATAAAAATTGCTTTCTTTCGCACCTAAGCTTTCATTCCAACGGTTGCTAGACAGCTTCCGCCTAGGTATACGATCAACAAAGCGGCCATATCCGACAACTTTTTAGTTTTTGGTCTTAGTTGTTGTTTTTTGGGATCGCCAAAAAAAATTAATACCGATCTGGATAGTGAGAGAGGGGAAAAGATGAGCGTGACCTTGCCTCGCTGGCGCTTGGTCGTCGACCAGGCCGGCATCACCCCCGAGGTAAAAAACTACAAGTACGACGGTTCCGGAACAGAGAGCGACCCGTATCTGGTGAAATGGATCCCCGACGACCCTCGTAACCCGATGAACTTCAGCGCGTTCACGCGCTGGTCCATCACCATCGTCGTCGCCGTCGCCACCCTCGCCGTCGCCCTCGTCTCCTCCGCCTACTCGGGCGGCGTCGCCGAGATCATCGCCGCCTTCCGCATCAGCAGCGAGGTCGCCATCCTGGGCGTCTCGCTCTTCGTCGTCGGCTTCGCCGTCGGCCCGCTCCTCTGGGCGCCGCTGTCGGAGCTCTTCGGCCGCCAGGTCCTCTTCTTCGTCACCTACGGCGCGCTCACCGCGTTCAACGCCGGCTGCGCCGGCGCCCGCAACGTCGAGACCCTGCTCGTCCTGCGCTTCTTCGCCGGCGCCTTCGGCTCCTCCCCCCTGACCAACGCCGGCGGCGTCATCGCCGACATGTTCCCCGCCTCCGAGCGCGGCCAGGCCATGGCCGTCTTCGCCGCCGCCCCCTTCCTGGGCCCCGTCCTCGGGCCCATCATCGGCGGCTTCCTGGGTATCGGCGCCGGGTGGCGCTGGGTCATGGGCTTCCTGGCCGCCTTCTCGGGCGCCCTGTGGATTGCGGGCGCTTTCCTCGTGCCTGAGACGTACGCGCCGGTGCTGCTGCGCCGACGCGCCGCCAAGCTGTCGCAGATGACGGGGAAGCATTACCTGAGCATCATCGACCGCGATCAGGGACGTGTGTCTTTAAGCGATTCGTTTAAGGTGGCTCTTTCGAGGCCTTGGATCCTGCTCTTTAGAGAGCCTATCGTTTTCCTTATGTCGCTCTACATGGTAAGTAGCGGGATACATACCATGAGATTGGCCTTCAGACATTCTAATTAACAATTCCTAGGCGATTATATACGGAACCTTGTACATGCTGTTCGCCGCCTTCCCTATCGTATACCAACAAAACCGAGGATGGAGTGCTGGAATAGGTGGCCTTGCTTTCTTAGGAATCTTGGTCGGCATGATATTCGCGATCGCGTACACGTTTCCCGACAACAAGAGGTATATCAGGGTCCAGGAAGCGCACGGCGGTTTTGCCCCTCCGGAAGCTCGACTTGTGCCGACATTGGTCGCGTCCGCGTTCCTGCCTATCGGGCTTTTCTGGTTCGCGTGGACCAACTCTCCGTCGATACATTGGATGGCTAGTATCGCGGCCGGCGTTCCGTTCGGTTTCGGAATGGTTCTCGTCTTCCTAAGCGTCATGAATTACCTTATCGACTCCTACACCATTTTCGCCGCCTCCGTCCTCGCCGCCAACTCCGTCCTCCGTTCGCTATTCGGTGCCGCTTTCCCCTTGTTCACGAGTTACATGTACGCCAACCTCGGCATCCACTGGGCGTCGTCGATACCCGCGTTCCTAGCGCTCGCCTGCGTTCCGTTCCCCTTCCTCTTCTACAAGTTCGGCCCGGCCATCCGCAAGAACTGCAAATACGCGGCCAAGTCGGCCGCCTTCATGGAGAAGCTGCAAGACGCGCAGGCCAGCTCCGGGCGCGAAGATTCCGAAGAACAAGAAGAGAAGACGGAAGAAAGAACGGCAAGTACCGGGGAGTCTGAGGCCGGGATACAGACGGAATCCATCAGGGTACGCAGACGCACGAATTCGTGGGCCACCAGCGGCCATCACAGTCTCGCCCAGACGAGAAGTAATACTTACGAGGGCAACCCGTACGATATCGACAGAGTTAACACAAGGGAATCTTTCGCTTGAAGCACCTAGGATGTCGGCAAAATGCTCGTACATATTTTTATACATATAGCTCATGGCCATAATCTTTTTAAAACTATTCGAAGATCGAGATCTCACGACAGCGGATGAATACCTACAGATGATACCTCGAAAATGGGGCATAGACGATGCATAGGATTGATTATTGGAGTAATCATGGTCATAGTTATTGATGAATTGCATGTAGATATGAACTTGGTATTTATAATGCTATATCTCATCTTGGATGAATTTGCTACTTGGAGATCTTTGACAGTTTACTTGGAGTGAAGTCTTTTATGTGCTGTCAGTTATAATAGTAGTCGAGCGTATCATAATTGCTTTTGCCAATGTTGGTGGTTTATTGGGTTGGTGGTCATGCAAGGGATGGATCAAATGCACAGTGATGAAGTGGCGCACGGAAATGTGACAATGCAGTGAGCGCATAACAATATTGAAGCTATTTTCATTCCAGTCTCATAATTTCACGAGATTCTCCTCGAGTTACCAAAGCAGTTTCAAACTCTTTAGCTACCTTAGTATCCCGCTAAGACATGTGCCTCGACCTAGCCGGCATTGTGTCTAGATCCGTTGAGCTCGGCAACCAAGATCGTCCATGCCCACGATGATTTCAGCCATACGGATATTGTGAAAAGGTATGTAAGACAAATGAGTACGTCACATTGGTCGCAGAGGCCTTCAACAATTGCGGCTAGAGAGTTGGGGAAGTTCGCTCTAATCTAGTTGGAAAAATCGGAGAAAAGTCTGGGGCGGGTTGGCATGTGAATGAGGGATGCTATCGAAAATACAACGCTAAAAAGGAAAGCAAGAGCTTCCGACATGTGCCTCGGCCGGTTTATAGTGGGCCCTACTGACATCAGTGTGAATGGTTAGCGCATTTGGAACGTTCGACTGGTACCGGATATCTACAAGCGCAGCAAGACCCATGCATCCGAGGTAACTCAGCTTAAGCATGCCCGATGTAGCATATCGGATTACATACCTATTCCTTCTTATTGTAATCATAAACTCTACGAACCTTCCAACTTCTCTTCCTATAATACTACAATAAAATAACATATATCAACTCGCCATATTACCATCATCTTAATACCATTATCACCGAATTAGGAGCTGAAAAGGAGAGAAACAGCCACAATGGGTGGTGAGTACTTGTCTCAGCACCAACAGATTCGGTGGCGGGAATAAGAGCTGACAGAACGAAACAACAACAGCAATCGACCGATTAACACAAATCTCCGGCCAGATCTCTGGCTCCAAATCCGCGCGGGAGAAGATTCTTCAGAAGAGCCCAGACGACGTGAGTTCCAATCCAGACGTTCCAACACGGCCAAAATACCACATAAACAGGAGCTAATAATACCGGGCGAATATAGATTGTGGTAACAGCATGTCTCCGAACGGCCTTCACGAAGGGTGGCAAGGGCGGGTTCAAGGACACGCAGGCGGCTGACCTAATGGCGGGTGCGCTAAAGGGTCTCTTAGAGCGCTCCAAGATCGACCCGGCGCTCGTTGAAGATGTCTGCGTCGGCGAGGTCCTAGCTCCCGGTGGCGGCGCCACCGAGATGCGTGCTGCCGCTCTTGTCGCCGGTTTCCCCGAGAGCACCGCTGTCCGCACACTCAACCGCCAGTGCTCTTCGGGCTTACAAGCCTGCGTCGACGTTGCCAACCAGATCCGCGCTGGTATGATCGAGGTTGGTATCGGTGCTGGTGTTGAGAGCATGAGCTTACAATACGGGTGAGTCGCTTTTCCTACTCCGCCCCCCTTTCCTCTCTATTCCCGTACCGCTCTCCTGATTCGCCGAATCCCTTCCGCTAACAAGAAACGGAAATAGCCCTAACGCCGTAACCGAGTTTTCCGAGCTTCTCGAGTCGCACCCCGAAGCCGCCAACTGCAAGGTCCCTATGGGCGTCCTATCCGAGGACATGGCCCGCGACCGCAACATCAAGCGTACCGACCAGGATGCCTTCGCTGCCTCCTCATACCAGAAGGCGCTCAAGGCCCAGCAGGCGGGCCTCTTCGACGAGGAGATCCACCCCCTAACGGTGCAATTTACCGATCCCAAGAGTGGCGAGACCAAGACCATCACAGTGTCCAAGGACGACGGCGTGCGCCCCGGCATCACCGCGGAGTCGCTCGCCAAGATCCGACCCGCGTTCGCGGAGAACGGGTCGATCCACGCGGGCAACGCGTCGCAGATCTCCGACGGCGCCGCCGCCGTGCTGCTCATGAAGCGATCGACGGCGGAGCGCCTGGGCCAGACCATCCTGGGCAAGTACGTGGCAGCCAGCATCGTGGGCGTCAAGCCGCTGCTCATGGGCATCGGGCCCTGGAAGGCGATCCCCAAGGCGTTCGAGCTGGCGGGCGGCCTGACCAAGGACGACGTCGACATCTTCGAGATCAACGAGGCCTTCGCCTCCCAGTGCCTGTGGTGCGCCAACGAGCTCGGCATCCCCAAGGAGAAGATCAACCCCAAGGGCGGCGCCATCGCCTTCGGCCACCCGCTCGGCTGCACCGGCGCCCGCCAGGTGAGCACCCTGCTGTACGAGCTCAGGCGCCGCGGCCAGAAGGTGGGGGTGACGAGTATGTGTATCGGCACCGGTATGGGTATGGCTGCTGTCTGGGTTGCCGAGTAAGGCGCCAGCTTTGCTCGGAGTGGGAGATGGGATATTTGAAAAGTACTACTGTGCAATATCGATATGTACTACTTACTACCAATTTGGATATGGGAAGATTCGTCTAAAACCTTGATATGTATACCATCACGTATATAAAATCATGGACATGGATATGGACAGGGTCATGATTGGGGAGGATAGCTCAAAGGGCGGTTTAAATAGCATTCGTGTACATTATATCCGCACGGCGTTTAGTATATCGTATCATGCCAAATACATATATGCCAACACGGTCCTGTCTTGTTTGTCTTCCATCTCTAGAATACATGCCATTTATCTTGGTAAGTGCTTGCCTACGTACCTATGCAGTCTAGGTACCAAATGCGCTCTCCAGAACTTGTTCCCAAGTTTCGTGGTTAATCGAAATCAATGTGTCATTCGCCGATGGCGCTGACTCTTGCCCTTGCTGCAGCGACATACCTCGGGCAACTCCAGATCACTCATCATATGCGCCATCAGGGGCCGAGCGTCCTCTCCGCACTACGAAGAGAAACCCTCGACGTGGCTGCCCAGACCCTTCTCCTGCGCCAGCCGCACGATTTCGAACCCCACTACGAGGTCCATGAGCCCTAGCCCCACGCTCTTGTATATGACGTTGCCGACCGAGAGCCAGCGCGACAGATGGTTGTCGCGGCCGTGCGGCTGTTGCGGTTGTTGCGATTGCTTATGTTGTCCCAGGTCGTCGGGGGCCAGTTGGCTCGAACTGCGTCGGCGGAAGGGGAGCGAGAGACCGCTGCTGCTGCCGCGCCGGCTCGGGCTCCGCGACGAGGAGCCGGAGACGGTGGACATGGCCGTGCTGGACGACGCGATGTCGAGTTTGTCGAGGGAGTCGCTTATAGACGACGTTTCCGTGGAGCTTTGTGAAGCCAGTGGTTCCTCTTCCTCTTCCCTAGCTAGTCGGTGGATCATGACTAACTCACCTAGTCTAACTTTCTAGTTAGTTTTTTTTCTTCACTACATTTGGGGGATGATTGGGAGGTAGTATTGAGGGGGAGGGGGCTTGCTTACTCGACGAGCTGCTTAGGCTCTAGGCCGGCGTCGACGATTTCGCCCGCCTCTTTCAGTGCGCCGTCTAGTGTGTCTACGACGATGACTCCTCCTTCCGTCGCATGCTTGTGATAGTGAAGATGACCGGGCATGTGGCTTTTGGTGGCCTGGAGGAGCAATTCTCGAGGCAGCTCATGCATCTGCGGCGTGTAACTCCCGACCGCCACGATCAATCTGCCCTTCCTACGTCCCTCGTGGTTTGTCAGGATGCTCGCGTCAAACAAGTCGTCGGTGCTTGGCGTACAGCAGTAGATAACGTCCGCCGCCCTCAAATGGTCTCTCTGCAGTCTATCAAATTCGCCATAGCCGGGAGTTAGGAGGCTGAACTGTGCCTGGTCCCATCCTTCACGCTGCTTAATCTCCGTAGGAATACCGTAGATTTTCTTGAACATGTCCCTTGCCGTCTCGCTGAATCGACGGTTGATGATGTATATCTGGCGAATGGTGTCACCGCGCAGCATCAGTGCCAAGCGGATATGCCAGTATGCTTGCAGGCCCGAACCAAAGACAGTCAAGGTACGGACTGAAGTCCGTTTCATGAGGAGACAAGAGGAGGCCAAGGCCGTACGAAAAGCAGTCAAGGTCTTGGCATTGAGGAAGCCAAGAGGTGGTCCCAGAGGAGAGTAAAGAGTCACCGACCCCGTAGGCGTGATAGCAGGCAGTGTGGGATCAGATGATGGTGACGATAGCGTTACAACTATGGATTCGTTAGTTAGATTGGTCAAACGCAAGGCTCGCGATGTTGGGTTTCTATGTTTGTTTCCGATTTTGATAGACATACCCTTCACTGCATGGCCAAGAGCACTATACGATGGCATGAACAGTGTGGTGGCACCGGTGGTATTAGAATGCACTGACGTCCGCTCGGGTTGGTGGACAACGCCATCTGCAATCGACTGCGTGCCGGTTGAGTACTCATGGAGAGCATTTCTTAAGGTATAAATAAAGCCTTCTGCTTCTTCACGGCTTAGATTCTCCAGTAAACATCGAATCTGTTCGTCGGAGAGGACGGTCAGAGACATGTTTCACACTTTATCGGTGAAGATTCTATATTTATAGATCAAGTTGTGAGATGGAGGCTAGATAACTGGGTCCAGAAGTAGGTACGTAGGTAGTAGATGTTGTAAAATAAAGATACTGGTATTAGTCATTGATAGCCTCGTCCTTGTCTTTTGGTTGAGAAGGTAAGTATATGTCAAACAGGCAAACCCTCAGGGAAATCTCGAGATAGGTTACCTAGTGTCGAAGTAAGAGAGAAGATCGGACCCTCGATAGGCGAGACGAATGCTTAGCCGAACGCACGCTCTTCCACTACGTAAACCCTCCATCTTTAGGCAGGATATACGGTAAAAACCACGCAATTCTATCGAGACGCCACGCACCTTGGCGTTTGCACGACATTCCTATTCCTTTTCTTTGATCTCCCCCAAATCCGAGAAATGGAGATGGCGTGGTAAGGAATAGCCAGGATGGCCAGGATGGTCAGGATGGTGTGGTGTGACAAAGAAATACCAAGACAATGGATAGCAGTAGAATAGCACATCGTACCTACCTCGCTATAGACTACCAGCACTGCCAGCCTACCAGCAGTAGCCAGTAGCTACCCCACTGTCGTTAGCACCTTTGGCGGCTGGGCTGCGTAATTGGACCCTCTTGACGAACTCTAACGAACTGGAAGTGACGTAGGAATGTAGAGGGGTAACCTTGGCATCTTACGAGGATTGACTCTAGATTTGATAGAAACGGCGATATACTGATGACAGATTAGCAGATTAGCCGTTAAACTTAAGCCAACCAGCAGGTGCGCTTCGAATCTAAATTCGGAAGAAAGCGGCATGCTTTAATTAGAATTACTGTAACAAAAACATTGAAACATCCACTGGATCTTGACATCTCCAACTGCTAAATGCAAATGCAAATGCAAGATATATGAATTCCTCAGAATACCGAGTACCTAGGCCTAGGTATACCAATAAACACTAATTCCCCATCGCCAGAAAAACGGATGCGCACGCAATGCAGCACACATACATACATCCCATACATCCCATCGCCATCGCCATCGCCATGCTTGCCATGTAGACACTTTGCTCGAAACGCCGCCACTGAAAGGACCTCCGTGAGGTCAAGGTATCGTATCGTAAGGACCAACTAGACCGATTTCACCGTATTCACCAATGTCACCAAATTCACTAAAAATCACTCGCCCGCCGATATGCTCTTCTACCGTCGCAGTCGCCGCCGCTGTGCCGAGATCCATGGGTGACCATTTTCATTTCGAAGCCTGGAAGACACCAACTTTTTTAATAACGCCCTAATCCGACGAGTATCACCGCCCTTACAAATCCTTTAGCGAGCTTGCATACTTCCTGCTCCGTCTGACCGGAACACGAGCATGGCATGCTTTCCCCTTACCACATCTCCGGCATCGCCGTTCAATCCCGGAATTCCGTGATGTTCCCCCTTCGTTCCGAGGCCCAGGTCTCGGATCCGACCTAAGCCGATGTCGAAGAACGTTCCATGAACCTGGAGGCCCCTCTCGGCGATAGCATCCTGGATCGCCGCATTGGCCATGAGCACGTTGATGCCGGCCTCGACGTTAAGCTCCGCAATTCGCACGCCGCGCGTCTTGTCGTCCGTGATAGACTCTAGCTCTTCCTTGTTCGCATTGCGAATCGCCTTGAGCGGCACCAGCCACGTGTCCAGCACGCCGCCAACCCGTTGGTTGCTCAGCGCCGCCGCTGCACCTCCGCACGACGAGTGACCGCATAGCACCACATGCTTGACTTTAAGGTGCGTAACCGCGTACTCGATCACGGCAGACGTGTTGATGTCCGTCGGCGAAATGATGTTGGCGATGTTGCGGTGCACAAACACGTCGCCCGGCTGCAAGCCTAGGATCGTGGTCTCCGGGCAGCGAGAGTCGGAGCATCCTAGCCACACTGTTGTCACACGCGCCGTTAGCCGTCTTATCCGTCTCCTCATTCTTGATTTGCATAGTACATCGCATGTAAGTACCGTCATCTCCACCTCACATGGAAGCTGACAAGTCACCTATCTTGCTATCCTGGCAAGGACCAAGGGTACACAGTTCCGAGACCGAGCTAATGCTCTGTTGGGTGGGTCTTCGCTTGACAGGCCTCGCCTCGCATCTCAACAAAGGAAATGAATAATACGTATTCGAGATTATGTTATGACCAAGGAAAGAGGGGATGATTATACGTACGAATTGCTGGTGATTGTCCCGAAGCTAACTTAGGGAAGAAGTCGGGGTTCTGGTGACCCTTATAGCCGGCCCAGGCTTGATTCGAGCTCAGCGCGTAGGCGAAGGCATCTTCTGCGGCCATGGTAAGCGAAACGGTATTTCCAAAAAGACGAAGTTACCCTCGCCAATCTCGGGGATCTCAAAAATAAGTTTAAGCGTATTATTTTTGTACGAGATGCCAATATCCACCCCTGCAGATCCAGATCCAGGAGTACCGTACCTCCTTTTTCTTGGCGGGGTAAACTACCGGATTTGGGATTAGGGAAGGATGAAGGGAAGAGTAAACGTACGCGGAGGAGCAGGCATTTCTCGACAGATGTGAGCGCCCGGGTTGCGCCCTTTTATATGTAAATGCGACTGGGAGGTATAGGACGTGGTATGTATGTATAATGACCACGAGCGGCACGCAAGATCCCACCCAAAGGGGACTGAGACTGGATGCGGGATGTAGGATATGAGCGAATTAGGAAGTCCCAAGCCCAATCAGATATGGTGTTCGCCCACTCGTCCACACACCACTAGGAAGCCCTGGGAGGGTATTTTCGGTTTATCTTCAAGTTGTTTGCTGAATAACAACTTTGACCGAGAGATCCTAGCGTTCTTTCTGACCTCAAAATCGCGCTCTCGGCTGGGTCGGTGATCACTCGGAGGAGGCGGTGATCGAAATCGTACGGTGATGGTGAACGGGACGACGGAGCCCGTGAGGAATAACCTAGGTAAACAAATAAAGCGGCTCACAGACGAGGTCTTCGATAGGTTAAGTACGTAGGCAAGGTCGGCCCAAACGGATTAGCGGAGATACGGATCTGCTAATGTATGTAGGGAATGAAACAAGATTCATGGGATCATGAAATAGGACACGTAGGTAACGCGGAGAGCGGAGATATGAGTAGGAAGAGGCTCAGTAAGAGGTATTAAAAAGATGACGAACTTGGCGTCAGCAGCAAGACAAGACACAGCATAAAGGCAACAACAGCGCAAGCTCAAAGCTCCTATGGTTTCCGGAGATTTTCAATCTTATGTACACGACGACTCGAAACTATCCATCCTTCTTTATTACATTCCAAGAATCCAACATGGCACACACCTAACATATAAAGACAGGATCGGCCTGTCCGGAGTCCGGGGTAAAAGAGGTAACAGGCCTCAAACCGCAAAGCCGTGCATCATTTCTTAACCTTATCTTACATAGATATTACCGTCTTGTTTGCCCAGAGTTTGCCCAGATTTCACAGATTTCGATAGCTTAGGCTTCGCCCCCTCCATCTCTCGGCGCCAATACTTTCCATTACCCGTGTCACTTTACCATACCTGACCTGGCCGAACGTGGGATGAACCGTATCTGCGTTTGATATGAAACCTCCATGTCACAGGGTCCGGCGGAAGCGCATAGATTTGAGATTGGGACGAAGCAAGCAATCAGGCATAAGAGGCTTCGCTTGGAAATGCGGAACATTTGGTAAGCTAACCTTCTAGGTACATATCGAACCTCCTATCAAACCTTGTTATACACTCATTACTTACGTAGCTAGACTGCTAGATGCCTACCTAGCAGGCTGGGTAGCATAGCTAAGCAATACCGCGCAGCAAGAACGGAGCATCTAATGTGCCTAGGAACCAATACCCGGACCTCGACCCCCCAGGGCTTATGCGGTACCGTTAGCCAGTTGAGCCAATGAGCCAATCACAAATACAACGTGCCCATGTGCTGAAGGTCACCTACCCCCTGTCAGGTACTGGACAGGGCAGGGCTCGCGGCATTGCGTTAGAAAGCGGTGAGGAGCTAAAAGGATTGCCTCTAATGGAGGTACATAGATACGAAGTATCTCAAACACAGATACGATTGAAATACCTCCTGATCGCCCTGCATAATCATTGATATATAATTATTAATGGTAGACTGCATTGTTATCAGATTGACTGACTGGTCTAGGCCTTGCATTGTTTCTTCTTCTTCTTCTTCTTGTTGGAATTGTTGCATACGTAAGCTTGGATGTTGAGATGTGATGTGATAGATGCCAAGTTACAGACCCAACACTCAGGAACGCTTTTTGTTTGAATGCCCGTTTTGGCCTGAGAAATGCGATGCTGCAACGAGGCTTGCTTGGCTACTTGGGCTTGGCTCGGCTCGGCTTGACTATCCTCATACGGCATTTAGTAATCAGCCAATAAAATAGTTTAAATCAACCTACGGACCCCGTCTAGATCCCGCACTGCTTACTGAATACCGAGAGATCCATCTTCTTTAAATAACTACCAGACTACCAAGGGATATCGTAAGACTTGGCACTATTAATTGGTATTGGCATACGGCGCAAAGAACAGACGTCACCAGGCTGAGCCGTTGTTTGTTAATCATTGTCACATTGGTCCTTGGGTCAAATTCTGGAGATGGAGTAGGCTTTCATCATGCAAATCCACGCGAATCCACGTGTTTGGTATTCCATTTTACCACCTCCAACGCCTGAACCGTGCTTATCTAGAAATCATGACCCGTGACCGACTCCGATGCTTAGTTCCAAGCTTTAGACCTTGATAGCCTGCTCGAGAGCCTTCTTCTTCTTCTCGATGCGCTTGTTGGCTTTAGCACCCATGATACCACCACCCCACTGTCGTCGGGCGTTCTCAGAGTTGGCCAGGTAACCATCCTTGACAGCGCTGACGAGCTTGGAGAGCTCGGACTTGTCCTCAGATCGAACCTCAGTAATGGCAAGAACAGCAGCAGTCTAGGCTTTGTTAGTTTCATCGCATCAAATATAAGACTAATTTCACGCATACCTTCTTGTGGACAACGGTTCCGAGACGGGCCTTGCCCTTGATGATGGCGTAGGGGACACCCATCTTTCGGCAGAGAGCGGGCAAGAAGATGACCAACTCGATGGGGTCAACATCGTTGGGAATCAGGACGAGAGAAGCCTTCTTGTTCTCGATAAGGCCGACGACGTGGTTCAGACCGTACTTGACAGCGTAAGGCTTCTTGCTGACATCTTCCTTCTTCTTACCCTCCTTGATGGCGGTAGCCTCCTTCACCAATCGCTCCTTCTTCTCGGCCTTGGACTCGGGTCGGTACTTGTTGAGGAGCTTGAATGCCTGAGCGGCGGTGTTGCGGTCAAGGACGTGCTGGAATTGGGAAATGGCAGGCGGGACCTTCAAGCGCATGTTGATGATCTTGCGCTGACGTTGAAGGCGGACATACTCGGGCCACTTCACCATGCGCGAGAGGTTTCGCTTGGGCTGGATGTCTTGGCCGACACCGAAGTTGCGGGGTCGCTTCTCGATGAGGGGGTTCTACATAGCATGTCAATATCGCCTGGGGCCTGGCTGTAGGGATTGGGGAAAAGGGAAATCGAAGTATTGGTACTCACCTTAGGGGCCTTCTTGGAACCCGCCTTGGAGGCGAAGGGGGCCGGGGCGGCCTTCTTACCGGACTTAGGAGGCTATCATTGAGAAGAAAGACATCAGCAAATGTATTCCATTGACTGTAGTCATTCTTGAACTCTAGAGAGATGATCGCGAGTAGCATTTCTGCACACCACGCGAAGATCTCAAGCCAGTTCTTCACCTGCGTCCGAAGACGACAGGCGGAAATCAAGCAACTCGGCAAGCGAGCGCCGTCAAATAATTTAATTGAATGCGCAAGCGCATATCAATGTCGGATATCAGAAGCTTACCATGTTGATTAATTTGTCGAGTGGTCGTGTTGGGTGAAAGAAGATCGACCAAGTTTGAGAGGTGTGAGGAGAAAAAAAGATGTTGAAAGTCGCGAGCTTGAAAAACTAATGTAAAAAAAGTTGTGCGTAGGGTTTCGTAGCGTAACGGGTAAAAAGTCGGCAAAGTGTAGGCGGGTTAGACCATGATTAGACTAGTGCAAATTGCCCCTCCAGTGCGACTGATGTACCTTTGTATCTATCTTTAACCCCACCATGCGATTCTTCATTGAATAATTGAATTTGAAGTCTTCAAGCAATCATGAATAAGTTTGAGATGGATGAGTTAACACCAACGAAACTTTAATTTATCGCTATCTACTATTTTATAATACTACCATATACCTATCTTATATTCACTCCTTCACATTTCAAGTTTACTCACCATTAACCCCAGACACATAATATAAAGATGCCACCAGCACTCTGCGCCCTCTGCAAAACAGAGCGAGCACTAATCAAGCGGCCCAAGAACTACCAAAAACTGTGCAAGGGTTGTTTCATTCAAATATTTGAAGATGAGGTGCATCACACAATGATCTCATCACAATTATTCTTTCCGGGCGAAAAAGTGGCGATCGGGGCATCAGGCGGCAAAGATTCTACCGTTCTAGCCTCAGTTCTCAAAACTCTTAATGAAAGACATAACTACGGGGTCGACTTAGTACTCTTAAGTATCGATGAGGGTATCAAGGGTTACAGAGATGATTCACTCGAAACAGTCAAACGCAACGCAGTCCAGTATGACATGCCCCTAAAAATAGTAGGATATGACGAGCTCTATGGTTGGACAATGGATCAAGTCGTTGAAACTATTGGCAAGAAAGGAAATTGCACCTATTGTGGTGTCTTCCGGCGCCAGGCTCTTGACCGGGGTGCAAAGATGTTAGGGATTAAACATGTCGTCACCGGTCATAATGCTGATGATGTCGCCGAGACTGTTCTCATGAATCTACTTCGAGGAGACTTGCCGCGCCTGTCAAGAAGTACAAGCATCGTTACCGGAAGCGATGCCAGTGAGGTCAAGAGGAGCAAGCCGCTCAAGTATTCATATGAGAAAGAAATCGTATTATACGCACATCACAAGAAGCTCGACTATTTTAGCACCGAATGCATTTATAGTCCAGAGGCCTTTAGGGGGAGTGCCAGAAGTTTAATCAAGAATTTGGAGAGGGTCCGTCCCAGTGCTATCTTAGATGTTGTTCGGAGTGGCGAAGATATGGCGAGACTGGTTCCTGGAGCTACACCAAATTCTTGTAATTGTGATGGGAAGACAACATCCCATCGAGCTCCAACTGATGAAGACAACATAGGGGGTTGTGGCTCAGCAAACGGACGAACGAATGGCGGCGAGATGGCAGCTATGGAGAAACAACTCCGAGAAACTGAAGCTGCTGAGGCTGCGGGACTTGAAACAGAAATCACAGTTGCAAAGGTCGAAAGTCAACATCGTGAGAAGTCGAATCAATCAAATGGCCAGCTCAAGACGGCAGGAACCACTGTTCCCATTAGACTGAAACAAAAATTAGGTACATGCGAGAAGTGTGGCTATATGTCGAGCCAGAAGTTATGCCAGGCTTGCATGCTTCTTGAGAGCCTGAATAAAAATCGGCCGGAGATCACGATATAGAATTGGAATGGACAAGGCGTTCCGGCATTCTAGATGTGTTACATTGATATTGGGAAGATACCCGAGTAAAATCATGGTTAATAGATATGATTGCGACGAAAGGTTGCAGTATCAGATGTTGTATTCTGTGGGCTATGTACAAGTGATTTCCCATGGCATAGCATCTTTCGATACCCTGAACACGTATTCTTCATCTAAATCAACCAATACGGTTCTCAACCTAGATATACTGTCAGTATCGCGAACGTATTCATAGCTTCGTAAATAGAGAAACCTACCTTCCAAGGGTTGTTCAGCTCAAAGCCTGGAGGGGCGATGGGACCGTCGGTCTGTCCGCGTAGATGACCTGTTAATCGGCGATCTCGGTCCATCACTGCAAAAACACCAAGTCAGCTTTCCTGGAATCAAACATATCCCATCCTATATTCGTCGTACTTTGCCTATCCCACATATCTATCGATCGTCGTGGTCTCTTGTTACCGTTGTACCAGTGTTTGAACTTCGAAAGACCCGCGCCAGTGGCGCCAAACATCTAGTATGTCTTAGTATCCGAGACTTTAAAGGAGGAACTCGTCGTTGTTGTCGATTGAGAGGTGGAGGGATCTTACGGCAAGAATGATTCCATAGGGAATCAATGCTTCGAAGGGAACGGCCATTTTGAAGCTATAGGCCTACTCTTCAATTGAATAATTAGTATTGCGCTACGCAGCTGATTATTAAGATTTGAAAGACTCACTATTCTTGTGTACCAGACGTTTTGATTTCAACTGTCCTGAGAACGTCAATCGGCAAATAGCTCTCAGTAAGTATGGACTGGTGGGTGAGGTCGGAGTTTGGCGACCAATGATGTCGACTCAATTATTATGGCCCAAGGCTGAGAATATGGAGGTGACAAGAAGTACCTACGTACCTAAAGAGCTCCGTCGGTTTAGTTTAGGCGAGTGAATTCAAGGTCAGTGCATACCTGTTGGTCTTAGCGTGGACCCGCAATGGTTCGAGTGACTACGGAGATTACATAAACAAATGAACATTGGAGTTCAAAGTTCAAAGTGCAGCTGAAGCAGGTGCTGGCTGATCTGACTAATTTGTGGGGCTCGGCAACAATTGCACCACCAACAATGTTAACTTCGCCCATCCAAAGTACGTCGCGAGGGGAGCTACATCTTGTCGCAAACCCTACTTTTTCCCCTTCTTAACACTTATTTCATGTCTCTATTTTTCCAGCAATACGCGTCGATTGCCTCACCAATCCTTTCTCTCTTTCGTTAATTCAATAATAAATCACCTTCGATAGAATCCGGCGCGTCTAACAGCTTTTGAAGTTCGCTTAGTAAACTTCCAACAATAGACTCAAATGTCTCGCGCATCGTCCATTCTGAAGCCCATAACCGTCTCGACTTTATCTACCGTACAGTCTCGACTTTTCTAGCCCTGACTAATATTTTGCGACGGGCATGCGACAAGACCATTCATGACGCGAAGTGGTGCGACCTGGAGGTTACGGAACACGCCTTCGCCACCGTACGTATCCTAAGCGCAAGGCACCCGATACGATACCTTTAACCATACACGATTACTCGATTACTCCACACCCACGATCTCCTTCCGACCCATCCAAGATCTTCGACCCACGCCTTCATACCCATGAAGGCGATGGCCAATGCTCAGCTCATGCAGGAGGAGCTACAACAAAGTGTAGTACTGTCTGAAGAGGATGCTGAATTTGAAGAGGACTTGCCAAACCAAGTAACCATGGCCGGTGGTAGTATCCCCCAAGTTATTGGCAATTCAGGCCCTTCCCGTCCTCCTCATTCGAATCTCGTGCATTCGCTCGGAGATGACGAACCATTTTCTAAATATAAACCTGAGGAAGTGGATGGCTATGAGATACAGGACGACAATGAGGTCGTTCAAGTAGCCGAAGAGGATCTGGTGCCAGAAGAGGACGAAGAGGACGAGTTGGGAGACGAACCAGCCGAAGAGGATGATGCAGATCAGGACGAGAATGAGTCTAGCGCTGACGATGACGTCCATGATGACGACGATGCGTTCGATGTCGACGCCGAGGGCGAAGATGATGATGATCTTGGTCTGCGTCAAATTGATCCGAATCTAGCTTCTAGTGATGAAGGTGAAGCCGAGCAAGAAGATGACGAGAATGAGGGCGTCGGCGCTGTGAAAATCAAACCTGGTGATACCGATGACGAGGAGAGTGATAGTGACGACGAGGTCAGTTTGGCGTCGGGTTCCAGTGACCGGGAATCCGCAGCAGAATGGGAAGATGCCGTCGATAATGATGAGGAGGAAGAAGACGAAGAATCTGACGTAGCTGACCCTAATACGTGCATTTTCTGCAAGAAAGATGAGGAGCACGATCCGGGCGAAGAGTTTGAGTCTTATCTCACCTGCAAAGGTTGTGGTGAACACGGTACGTCATATGGAACCTAGCCAACACGTCAGTCAACCGTCTAACAAATGTTGCTTTAGCTCACCAACAGTGCGCCCGAGATGAAGGAGCTCTTGACGAGAAAAAAAGTAAGTTTGGCGCAACACTCGTCAGTCTATCGTCTAGTCACTCACCTGACCATTTAGATGCCTCGAATTGGAGGTGCCCAGATTGCGCTCGCGACGAAATGGGCTCCGATTCAGAAGCAGAGTTTGACCGTGAGAACGCAGAAGGTGATCACGACATGGAGCTAGACGGTGGCGTGGATAGCGATTTATCTCCTACGTCTACCAACCGATCAACCGCTCCTAAACTTGCTCGAGACCTTCTCCCTTCTCAGCGCGGCATGAGCAAGCCAGATTCACACTCCGTCTTTAATCAACTAGTTCTAGATGAAGATCCTATGGACGGCTCGCGAGTCTTACGTAAGAGGAAGACGTCGTCAGCCGAGGCAGAGGAAGAAGAAGAAGTGCTATCGTTGCGAAAACGAAGAAAGAATACTTCCGAGGGGTCTGTCCAAGATGAGGCCGGCCAAGATAACTCGAATGCGGCGGAGTCATCAAGTAGACAACGGTCAGGGCGCTCTTTGCGACATAAGGCGTCAAACTCAGAAGCCCTATGCACGATTGTCAAGAAATCGCGTTCCAGTCTAGTAGTAAAGATGCGAGTGGGTGCAACGGAGTTAAATAAGATTTTACAGACCCCACGATCGAGGAGGAGAAAACGAACTGGCCGGGCAGTTGCATCCCGCTCGTCGCGATCTGCCAGAAACGTCGCATCAACACGGGCTGCTGCTGTTGCGGAGCCGCCTCCGATGGCTCCCTTCTTCCCGTCCAGCTACTCACAGCCCTTCTACTCATTCTATGACAAAGAGCCGGACGAGCTTAAAGGCAAACCGTATGGTGGAATCTTGACCGAGGAACAGGCGGATACGACCAAGACATTGCCTACGAAAGACGACCGACGCCGTTTCGATGAGGCCAAACAGAAAGCCGAGGAGGAATGGAGGAATCGGTTACTCGCTATGCAAGCGGAAGCCGAGGTGCCGGTCAAGAAGTCGAGGAAGGCTTCCGGCCCCGCAAGCCAGATTGAGTGCATCGAATTTGGGGGCTGGGAAATAGACACGTGGTATGCAGCTCCGTACCCTGAAGAGTACAGCCGCAACCGGGTTCTATACATCTGCGAGTTCTGCTTGAAGTACATGAACTCGGATTACGTCGCGTGGCGCCACAAGCTCAAGTGCCCTGCAAAACATCCGCCAGGTGACGAAATATACAGACATGGCTCCATTTCCTTCTTCGAGGTTGACGGTCGGAAAAACCCAGTCTACTGCCAAAACCTCTGTCTCTTGGCCAAGCTGTTTCTCGGTTCCAAGACTCTTTACTACGATGTCGAGCCGTTCTTGTTTTATGTTCTTTGTGAGTATGACGATATGGGCTACCATTTTGTCGGTTATTTCTCCAAGGAAAAGCGTGCGAGCAGTCAGAACAACGTCAGCTGCATTCTAACGCTACCTATCCATCAGCGAAAGGGATACGGCCATCTGCTTATTGATTTCTCTTATCTCTTAACGAAGGTAGAAGAGAAGACTGGATCTCCCGAGAAACCGTTGTCTGATATGGGCCTTGTTTCATACCGGAATTACTGGAGACTGATAATCTGCAAATACCTCATAGACCATATGCCTGAGGAGAAGACACAGAAGAAGGGTCTGAGCATCAGGCAGATATCCGACGATACAGGGATGACTCCTGACGATGTCATATCAGCCCTCGAAGCGCTACGTTTTCTTGTTCGTGACCCCGTCACTCAAGTGTACGCTTTCCGGGTCGATTTAGCATACTGCCACAAAGAGGTTGCGAAATGGGAAGCAAAAAATTATGTGAAGTTAAATCCTAAAAACCTCACCTGGATGCCCTATGTCATGGGTCGTAGCAATGCTACGAATTTCGAATTAGGGCCAGCCTTAAATACGATTGCACCTCGCGAGGAAGACGAAGACATCAAAGCCGTCCAAAACCTCGCAGAGAGTGGCATTGCGACTGGAGATTTTGCCATCACCCAGCCAGTAAACCAAAAACCGCCTCCTGGAGCTGAATCGTCGGTTCTCGAATCCACGGAACCAAACGACAACGCTATTGTGGAGAACAAGGAAGACGCGAAGCTTAATGGAATTGGCAAAGAGAACGCGGAAGCATCTGGGGGCCATTCGGAAGACCCGAGAGCGTCAACTAGTGCCGCCGCGAGCGCTCCTGATGACGAGAATGCCTGGATTAAGGCCTACGACACGATTCCAGTCAGTAGATTCCAAGTTTTCCCTGCTATCAATAATAGACGTACAGCTATATCACGCCTCAATTCTACTATATCTAGACCGGCACCATTGCCACGCATCCCGCCTCCCAGCGCACGACGAATCGCGCGGCCCAAAGCTCGTCGCTCGACCGGTAGTGCCTCGGTACGGAAGTCAGCTCCGAAGGCAAGTAATGGCAAACGTAAGCCTGGCGGCACCGGTCGCGGTCCGGGTCGTTGGCCGAAGGGGACCAAGAAGAGCGATTACGGCAATGCAGACAGCGGGCCAGGCCTACCTCCAGCATGGCTCGAACGACAGCGTCAGCAGCAGGCGGTGGCGACTACCTCCACGGCCGATGAAAATACCCAGGATACTGTCCAGGTGCAAACAGAGGCTAGCAAAGGCCAGAAGGGCAAACAAGTGGCTGTCTTATCATTCAAATCCGAGGTCGTTGCCGAGGACGGTACCGTTTTGACGAACGACGCTAACGGCGATATCGTTATGGGCGGGACCAGCAATCAGGAAAACGCGACTGAAGAGGCGTAACCGGCGCAGAATTGCTCATCGAAGAATCGCTAGGGGCTGGCGCTTGCAAGCATTGTGTAGAATTTGTGTATAGCTTACTCACGGTGCTTTTCTGAAGGGGCCCCGCGTAAAGGGATCGAGGGACCCTTGGGGAAGAGCACGGGATTTCGGAGGGTCGGCGTCAAGGCGAATAGCAAGCAGGCAGTTATGGGATTCTGCTAGATACCTAATTGAGAGCTTGATTTGTGTCATTAATGAGTGTTTTTGGTTTTCTATACTTAAGAATTCCGCGGGGAGGGTATGAGTGGCTGAGTTTTATGATTAGAGAAGTTATTGTCTCATTGAAGTCGGGTAGGTAAGTCTTTATATCTTGAGAGATATGGATGTTTAGATAATTAAACGAGATGTTGAGGAATGTCTTCTGGCTTTGAAAATCTAATAAAGGTTTGTTAGGTAGGAATACATAGGAGGCTAGATGGTGTTGGTCCTTACCCCGACTAACAAGTCCTTTTTAAGGAATGGTCAGGTTATTCTTGTATATCCCCAAGGCATGGATTCGTACTCGGTCTCTTTCTCTCAATTATTCTGATATGGTTTACATGGTGTAAAAGTGTTGAGTAAACTTTCCACTCAGGTTTTAACTACTAAGAAAGAGATATCCCAGTTATTAAATGAGCTACTTATACTCGAACTTGTTAGTGCTTGTATGAGGTCAGCGAACTCTCTGTGTAGCAACATACCTATTAGGTGCCACATTTAAAAGGGTGTGGTTTGTTATTATTGATGGCATTGTATTGTTGTGTATATTGGTATTTATTGAGTTTGAGTGGCAATGCTATGTTATATCGAACGAATAAGATGGTTTCTTAGGATTCATCACTATTGCTGGAAATATACACAATAACCGGTACTCGGGAGCATTAAGATATGACAGAATGATTGTCATTCAGAGATAATTATATACTAGTACAAGACAAGCTTTATATACATATGTTCACTTAGTCTTAAGATTGATGCGACTGTTCTGACAACTTGAGAACTATTTTTAAAGGAGTTTAGGTTCAAAAACTGGGTACCCAGCTATGGTCCTTTATAATGGTTCAATGTCTAACCAGTTCTTCGCGCAATTACCTCTTTACTTTCCTAGCCATAAATAAGGGGAATACTATTCGGCAAATTTCTCAAGTACAATGATGAGAGTTGATATGACAATTCATAATAACCACATTAGCTGTAGAAGCACTTTATGAGTTATGTTATTGCTCAAATATTTTAATAAGAAGTTATTTTCGTAATATGTTAGGTGTTTGGACGTAGAAGTGTCCTTCAAATGCTTAACAAATTATATATTCATAAAAAGGGGTATGTTTTAACCAAGATATATCTGGTTATGCAGAAGTATATGACGTATAGATGCATAGAATTAAAACGGCTAAGGACACATCTTGGCCTTTATTGTTTCAGCCTTGCAGGTAAGGGGGCCAATTATTATAAACACGGCTAAAGTTGAACTTATCAAACTGTCCATTTCCTCAGTTTCAACAATTTCCAACGCCTTAGCTGGCGTCAACCTTTCCGCTTAAACAAGTCAGGTGTATGATGGCCTCGCTGGTCCGAGGTAGCCAGCGAATTGGGCAGATATGAAGTGCCATAACTCAAACTTACTAATGTCGGGCCACGTAATCCCAATGCTGCTCGTCTTGGCCCTGCACCATCTTCTCATCTCACCCGTCATCGCCTACACGGCCTTGTCGGATCATTTCCTCAAGCTAGTACCGTCCGGAGGCACAGACTTCGATATTGACAATGGGAAGCTCTTAGCGCCCATCTTAATACCGCGAGTTGCCGGCACGCCCGGCCAGACTGCCGCTCAGCAGCATTTCGTGAACTTCTTCGCGAATGAACTGCCGAAATGGAGTATCGAGTGGTTCAACTCGACATCTACAACTCCCGTCACCGGCGATAAACAGGTGCCATTTGCAAACTTGTTATTTAAGAGGGAGCCACCCTGGGTTCAGCAAGGACAGTCCAATTTACTCACCCTGGTGGCTCATTATGATAGCAAGATCTCCCCTAGCGGATTCATCGGCGCTACGGACAGCGCCGTACCTTGCGCTATCTTGATGCATGTCGCGAGGACCTTGGATAAGTTCCTTACTCAGATGCACGATGAGATGGCTGCACTTGGTGAAGGCGGAACTGTCCCGATGGATATGGGCGTGCAGATTCTCTTGCTCGATGGCGAGGAGGCATTTAAGCAATGGACAGAGACGGATTCGCTATACGGAGCTAGGTAAATTTATGATCTGAATATTGTTGTGAAATCATATAACTAACAACCATTTAGAGCGTTGGCAGATCTTTGGGAGAACTCGGTTCATCCCGCAATGTCATTCTATCGCAACCCGTTGGATCAGATAAGCATGTTTGTGCTGCTGGACCTTCTTGGTTCTGCTAACCCGACGGTGCCGTCCTTCTTCCAGACAACCCACTGGGCGTATAAAGCTATGGCCACTATCGAGGGTAGAATGCGCAAGTTGGGGCTCCTGGAGTCAATTCCGCAGCGTCCCTTTCTGCCGGATTTGGAGAAGGCGGCGACTACCTTCCATCGCGGCGCCATTGAAGATGACCACAAACCCTTCATGGCCCGTGGAGTTCCGATTCTACACGTCATCGCATCTCCTTTCCCTCAAGTGTGGCATACGATGGACGACGATGGCGCACATCTGGATATGCCGACTGTGCGCGACTGGGCCAAGATCGTTACGGCTTTTGCGCTCGAGTGGTTGGACATGATGGAGGTCGAGCCGAAGGAGGATGCCGAGACGCCAGTGACTGGCTGATGTCTTGGTATAGTCTGGCTAGCAAGACTTGTGTACCTTATTGGAATAGTGTTATATACATACATAGCGTTTAACTCGGAGTCATGGCCTTGGGATACTTAATCTACTTCAGATATTCATGTTTGACAAATGGATTATTTAATAAGTTTATTTCAACTTGCTTGTTTACAGCCAATGCGTTGAGGCCTCTTACTTTAAAGGCTCCAAATTAGTTTTGTGTTTGAGGACTTGGCTAGCTTGCCATATGCGTACATAGTATGCATATCAAGAAACATCACGGCGATACCTTGTTTTTTGTTTGGTGAATTTCTCGATGATTTTCGTGAACCCCTGATTCATGTCCATGTCCTTGATAGTGCATCTGTGCATTAATGGAGCTTGTCACAAATAAACCACAGACCTCAGACGGTCATTACACAGGCCTGGGTATGTAACGTTTATGAGATCAATGGGATCAATGGGATATATGCACTCCATCTCTCCTGACTGTGGCTAACCGTCACTTTATTAAGTGCGGAACCCATGCTGCCGTGGAAAGCACAGAAACCAGTAAGCAGGCAGTATGTATGAAGATTTTGTGCATATGAACTGCATAGGATGAACATCTGGAGGGTTTAATTGAGATTTGATGACTCCACCTGTTACGTCATTTCAGACTCAATGAATGGGGTGACAACCGCATGCTAAGGTACCTCGGTATTTTCTTACAGTTACAACCCGGGCAATGTACCTACATACGGTAGTAATGCAGAAGAATGTACAAAATATACTTATGGCTTGTACCGGGCGTCTAACGGGCGACGGGCGGTCGGGAAAACCGCAAGCTACCAGCCCAAAAAAGCCCCATAGACGTGTCCAGTCCTGCTGTTGGTCAGTGCTCAACACGCTGAACGCTCCTGCCGCGTCACAATGGCCACCCAAATGGCAAAATGGAAAGGAGCAGGTGGACGGACAAGCCAGGCACTAAGTTTACTAACAGGCAGGGTTCACTGGGATCCCTAGGTTCACTGCGGTACACTAAGGGTATCTCGCCTAGATAGCCCATTGAAGAAGTCTCTTTTCGTGTCTCTCATCATATCAACTCTTTTTCCCCTTTTCGCTAATCGTTCCAGAAACAATTCCAGACCAACGATAAATGATAATAATTTCTTACGAGTGACTTTTTGTTGTCGTTATTATCAATATCGCCCATACTAATTTTGCATTCTATATTTCATCATTAATTAATAACTTTTTTAGACGTTAACAAAGAAAAAGAATATAAAAAATAAGAGAAAAATAAAAGCTGACTACCTGCCTAGGGTCGTCATCCTTTTTAATAAGTTGCCCAGCCAAGGTCCATTCAGTAGACCAAAAGAGAGGAGGCGCTCAAGTTTGTTGCATGCTTGCGTCTCGGTGCCAAGGCCACCATTACGCCTGTCTCGATTCCTGGGTCCATACAACGTGTACTGGCAGCTTCTTGGGCTCCCCTCCCCAACTTCATCGATCCATCAATTAAAGTTACCATAATCAACCAACCTCTTTCTCCCTCCCTCATCCAAAGTCCTCCTTTAATCGCAGTCGAGTGTCGGAGGCCTTGTGCTCGTCACTGCCTGATTTTCGGTCGAGGGTAAAGTTTGCATAGGGACAGTTCATTCGGACCATTATTTGACATTTCGTTGTTCACGAGTTCAAGTTTGCGCCATCGCTGGCCCTGCAAATACCGTACTGAGAGATAATCCACCGGCTGGATTGCGCTTTCATTGCGCCGACCATTGATCACTGTGATCGTATCATCTTCGCTCCAGCACACAACCACATACCTCTCCTCTTTTCTCTTCCTCGATTAATTGTTGCCGACCTACAACCCAGATCTCTCCTCCGCCAAACCCGAAAATACCGCCAAGATGTCTAAGGTTATGAGAAGTGTGAAAAATGTTACCAAGGGCTACTCAAGCGTCCAGGTCAAAGTGCGCGAAGGTCCGTACATAGCAATCCATCGTCGATTTACCGCGAATCATCTTGCGCCCGGCGTAACTTGAATACCCGAATATACTGACCCCTTTTCTACAGCAACGAGCAATGACCCATGGGGCCCGACCGGAACTCAGATGAGCGAGATCGCTCAATTAACTTACAACTCGTATGCTGCCGTCGAATCGCCTAACTTCTTGTATTGAAATGGACTATCTAACTGATCCCCAGATCAACCGAGTTCTATGACATTGTCGATATGCTCGACAAACGTCTAAACGACAAAGGAAAGAACTGGAGACACGTCTTGAAGGCTTTGAAGGTGTTAGATTACTGCCTACACGAAGGCTCCGAATTAGTTGTTACTTGGGCACGCAAGAACATCTACATCATCAAGACCTTGCGCGAATTCGTCTACATTGATGAGGATGGGCGGGACGTGGGCCAAAATGGTGCGTAGCCGTAGTAAGATTCGAGGCTGTGTTGATGCTTACGAATGACCAGTCCGAGTTGCCGCGAAAGAGTTAACAGCTCTGATTCTGGACGAAGAAAGATTGCGCGCCGAACGTAGCGACCGGAAGACCTGGAAGTCTCGCGTTACCGGCATCGAAGAATTCGGCTCAGATGGACCAACGGTCCCACAACAGCGACGCCCGCGTCCCAGACGGCACAGCGACGATGAAGAAGATGCCGAATACAGGTTAGCTATAGAGGCCAGCAAACAACAAGAGGAAGAGGACCGACGGAAACGTGAAAGTCGTCAGGGGAACGAGACCGATGACGATCTAGCTAAGGCTATCAAGCTCAGTAAAGAGGAAGAAGAGCGAAGGAGGCGAGAGTTGGAAGAGACTAATGCCAGTTCACTCTTCGACGACGACCCTGTGCCGAGCACCGCGCCTCAGCCGACAGGCATGAATATGGGATATCAGCAGGGGAGCAATGTCGACTGGCTTGGAAACCCAATCGATCAAAACCAAATGATGCAGCCGCAGCCGACTGGGTATATGAACAACGCCTACACCGGGTACCCGCAAAATGGCTATTCGAACGGTTTTAACAGTGGCTTCAACCCTCAGCCGACGGGCATGTATGACCCCTACGCGCAACAGCAGCAAAATACTCTCCAGCCTCCCCAACAGCAGCAATTTCAAATGCAGCCTCAACCTACCGGCTATAACCCCTACGGCCAACAACCTCAATTTCAACAGTTCCAACCTCAGCCGACAGCCTCTCCAGAGCCACCTGTCCAGCCTGGCAGCAACAACCCCTGGGCCTCTAATAACAACCAATCCCAGTCGGCGCTCAAGCCGATGCCGACCGGCTCGAACAACCCCTTTGCCACTGGCTTTGGGCGACCCCAGACGGCCAAGGCTCCGCCAATGCCTACGCTTGGTAGCTTATCAAGCCTTCCCGAACAGAAGTCGCTTCAGACGTTTACACCTTCACCTCAACCTCAATCTCAACTACAGCCCCAGCCTTCCTTTAACCAACCCCAGCAGCCTCAAAAGCAACTTAGCGAGCACGAACAGAGACTCAATGCTCTTCTTGCTAGTGGTGACGGCATGGACACGTTCGGAAACACTGGCGAGCTCCGTATCCCTGCTCAACATACAGCACCCGGTACATTTGTGAACTCTGCTGGTGCTAACGCAAACAAGCTCACCGCTGAAGCTACGGGAAGCAACCCGTTCCTGCGACAGCAGTATACCGGTATGCCTACGATATCATATGGTCAGCAGCAGATGCCCGCGGCCACCGGACCTGTCGGCATGAATGGATATGGCGGAGCGGCCAACCCGTTCGCCGCACGACCGCAGCAACAAAACAACAACCAGGGACAAGACCTCATCCAATTCTAGACTTTTCTTTTGTGAAGGCACTTACGATGCGGACCGCGCGCTCTTCATCTGCATTTCGCACTGCCTGCATTCTTCTCAGAGTTGGGTGATACCCCATCCTGGTCCAAATTTACCCGTTAGCGTTCTCTAGGCTCCTCCGCTCGACGCTATGATGGTGGATAGTGGACGTAGAGTCGGCTGTTAGAGGGGTCCGTATTTGATCAGCAAGCAAAATCTTAAGTATTCCGATTTTGTATGGTAATTCCCTGTGCTGACTCGTGTACTGTTCTTTTTTTCGGTGGAGGGAGGCTGGGTTGGGATGGGATTTCTTCGATTGATGGGCCATAAGTCCATAGCAGGGAAACGATCAATATAGAAGGCGATGATTTGAGCCTCCCTTATATATAGTGTCACAGTACATATTCGTAGAAATTCTGCGGATGATTATCGTAATGCTTTTGAATGTCAAGCCTAAGACGCCCTTTGCTTTAGCATATATACATGCATATTCCACCTGCTTTTTCCTTTGCCCGAACGCCGATCTCCCAAAATACTCCCATGCGGAATAGACAAACGCATACCAGGTAAACTCCGCGCGTGATTAGAGCCAACCCAACCCATGATAACGTAGCATGCCCCGTATACGCAAGACGGATATAGGGTATATACAATTAAAACCCCTTCCTACCGCTCCGCCTAAGGCGTTTCTCGGTATGTCCGAAGAGAGATATGGCGTAAATTATTGCAAACTGAAGGTAATTCTGTGTAGGGTATCCCGCAGGCACGCTTTCTTCACGACCCCTTTTGCTTTTGATTCTGTTGCCCTGCCGCCCGCGTCGGCGGCGCCGTACGTCGACTGTTCGCCGCTTAATCCAGCGGATTGTCGTGCTTCTTCCCCTCGTCTCATCTCGTCTCGTCTCGCCTCTGTATTATCCATGTTCCCGGCCCCGCGGCCTGGGACTCTTCTCGGCTTGCTGCTTGCTTGTGTCCCCTTGTATTAAAGCATAAGGGTGAACATGATCGAGACGGCGGGATTTTTGGCTCAGGTAGGACATTCGGGGGCTGGGCTCTGCTCTGCTCCGTCTGGCTTCGATCTGGTCCGGTCCCCACCGCCTTTTTTTCATCCCCACCCTCACCGACGCCGTCGTCCTCCTTCCTCCCCAAGGCCAGCGGAGCAGACGGCGCCGTCGAACATCTCAGCAACCCTCATCTCGTTGCACACACGGCACTTCACGTCTCATCTCGCGAGACGGGAGGGGTGTTTCACCTGTCGAGGAAGATGCCGAGGAACTCCTCGCGGCTGACGCCGCCCTTGCCCTCGACGTCGAACTGCTCGACCATGCTGTGGAGCTCGTTGTCGGGGACGTCCTCGCCGAGCTCCTTGACGACGCCGCGCAGGTCGTCGACGGTGATGACGCCCTTGCCGCCGCGGTCGAAGAGCGCGAACGTCTTGAGCAGCTCCTCGCGCGGGTCGCGCGCCGCCACGTACCGCGCCGCCACCGCCTGGAAGCCTTCGCGTGATAGTCGTAGGTCGACGACGCCCGGGGCGGTCGCGGGAGGAGGTTGGTTGGGTAGGGACGGGAGAGGCGTCCAGCCTGCGCGCGGCCGCGCCGCGGATTTGAAGGCTGCGATTAGGTCTGGTCGCGATAGGTTTGAAAAGCCGAGCGCTTGCAGCGCGTATCGGAATTCGGAGAAGTCGAGTTGCTCGTCTTTGTTCATGTCGAAGAGGTGGAACTAAGGGCTTGTTAGTCTGTCTGTCGGGACCCTTTCTCCGGCGGTAGATCTCTGGTGCTCGTTTCGTTGCACGTGTTGTGGAAAGAAAGGGTACTCACGCAATCATTTATTTCGTTCCGGTGCTCGTCGCTTATTTGCTCCCACGGATCCGTCAGTTCGGGATTCCGTATCGGAGGAGCCCATCGCGTGCCTGGCCGCGCCGAACCCGGACGCGCTGACGCGTTGTACTCGTTCATGGTGCTGCTCGCGTAGTTGTTCATGCTCTCTCTTGTACGTGGTGCTCTGAGCGCGCGGCCCTGTGAGCTTTTGCCTTCTTTTTCTTACGCGCGGGAGTTCAGAGGTGTGTTGAAGAGGTCCACCTCGTTGTTGGACTTGTGATTATGATTGTGATGGTGTTGGCGCTTCGAGGTGGACTCGGCTAAGGGAGAGCGGTAAGTGTGCGGATTGCCCGTCGGTGTGCAGTGGTTTGCGATGGCCGCTTGCGTCGGACAAGAAATACGATATCCAAATCGGCAATTAGAGCACTGATAGACCTCTTCGACGCGAATTTGCAGTTCGTGGCGCGTATATCGAGCAAAGCCAGCCGAGTGAGACAAGAAAAGTCCAGCGATCGCGAAGCTTGAGAGCTTTCGAAGCCGTTAGCCCGGTGACGAAGAAGCGGAATGGTAGAATGTGATTCGCGCACGGATTGAATTGAATGCGCAACGAATGTAGAAATTTCGAATGCAAAAAATAAAAATTTGCCGAGCCAATGGATTATACTGACTGTTTAGTGACTTGAAGGGGGGTATTACTAGGGCGAATTATTATTTATTATTTTTTCTCTCCTTTGTATACTTGCAACTCAAACTTCGCGATGTTTTTTTTTCCTCTTCCTTGCTGCATATCGAGAAGTCAGGGGGTTGGGCGCGGTTCACGAAAATCGGTACACGTAGACGCGCTTGATAGGTACATATATGTACCTACAGGCTTTTAGCTGCTTACCCGGGCAGGTACGAGACTCTTCTATATTGGTGCTAGCCTTTGTCCCACCAACAACAAACTTAGCGGTCTTGAGCCGCGCACCTTCGGTTTTCAGCATTACGATCCTTACAATATTTGGACTTACCCTTCTCTATGATTATGACATTTGATTCCATACAACCCTCTCTTAGCACTTCGAAAATTTAGGTCACAAAATATTTTTGGATAAATAACTTTGCACTTATTACTACTAGTGTACGCTTTTAGTACCGAATATCTCTGATTCATGAGGTGATGGCCAACAGTTTTGTAAGGTTTACGTTCAACACGAATGGTGGCTATGATGATTTCTGAATTGTGTCTCCTAATTGGCTTGAGAAGGATATTCGAAAGTCGGGTGACTAGCACCGAAAGCTTTCCATTAGGAGTACCTACGTACCTACCTGGTATGGCCCAAGCTCCTTTTAGTCGGCATCATCCCGGTCCATTCCGATTACATAATTCAACTTCTTGGCAACCTTTTGGTCCAGTTCGCGCGTTTGCCTGCATTTTCCAGTACCTACAATAAATTGTACAAAAATCAATTTCTTTAATGAAGAATAAAAAACTAGGCAACTACAATATCATACTATGCACGTGACCGAGTATGTGTCATATGCTGTGACTTTATTCTCTGCTTCTAGATTGTTACAGTCGCACCGAGGCGAAGTACGAATACCGCGTGACTACTATCAATTTAGGCAGCATAGCAAGTATAAGTACATATAATTGGATAGGTTACCCGTGGTTGGCCTGAGGCAGGTACAGGCCCCGTGCAGCAAACCTATTGTTCCACTTTTATTTTTCTTACCACCAGTTGAAATTCTTTAGTGGGAAAGAGGTGGTCCGGCCTTCTCCCTCCTTGACCTGGTTCAACCCAACCGTGTCAATTCTCTACCTTACTACATTTTCCCTTAAGCTACTGTAACAACTACGCACTTCACATCTTTCTACATCCACGCTTTTTTCTTATTCCCTTTTTCTTAATCAGGCATCGTACCTGCGCACGTAGGTATTTCCGCCATTGATCATTTTCCCATTCTAATACAGTCATTCCACACCCTTTCCCGCATCCATATTCCTCGATTCTCTACCGGAATCGAGGCATCTTTGTACGTCTAAACCCTACCGTCAGTTCGCCTCTTGGCCCCAGCAGCGCGGATCGCAGAAAAAAAAAAGTTGAACCACGGTTCGCGAATAACTTTTACCTGCGCATCATAGCCCTTCCAACGCTTGTCACTCTTCCTCTTACCATCTCGACCGACATTTACAACGGCGACCGACCCGTCCACTTTCCATGCCTTCCTTTACTTAATCTCGTCGCACTCCTTTTAAACTTTCACCTACGCGTCAGACGCGGTCTTTTCGTCATCATATCACCGGTCGCGAACATCGACTTAACCTAGAACCCGCATACCATCTAAAGCGCCGCCCATCATGTCGGCCTTTGGCGGGTTCGGTAGCGGTGGAAGCGGCTTCGGCAGCACTAATAACAACAATACCACCACCGGTTTTGGTGGTTTTGGTAGCAATAATACGAGCAACACAGGTACGGTTTCCCCCTTTCCTCGCTTCTCGAACATCTCAAGTTATTCGATATTCAAGTCCTATTATCATTTTGCGTAACACCCAACAACTGACCCGGTCTGGTAACAAAAAGGCTTCGGCACAGGCAATAACGCCGGAGGCTTTGGCGCCTCCAACACAGGAGGTGGCCTATTCGGCTCCGGGAATACATCATCCGGCTTCGGTGGAAACACCGGTATGTGCCGTCGCCACCCAACCTTCCCGCGCATTGCACGATTGTTTTTGTATTGTTTTCAAACGGATACTAACATATTATGGCTATAGGTGGATTCGGAGCATCAAGCAACACCGGTGGGTTCGGTCAAAAGCCAGCCTTCGGAGGCACATCCACGAGCGGTGGTTTGTTCGGTGGTTCTACCACTACGACTTCTGGCGGTGGATTTGGAGGATTCGGATCCAATAACAACGCCTCAACGTCGAGCCCTTTCGGTGGCGGTGGAGGCACCGGCGGGTCTATCTTCGGAAGCAATGCGAACAAGCCAACCTTCGGTGCAACGAACACAGGCTCGACTGGCGGCGGTGGACTTTTTGGGAGTGGGAACACGACCAGTAACACCGCTACTTCGACTGGGTTTGGTGGATTCGGCAACACGTCGAACGCCCCAGCCAGCACAGCGTTGGGTCCGGTAGGTGATCCTCCCGGAACTGCCAACGTTACCAACTTCGCACCTCTGGTCGAGAAGGAGAATACCACTAGTAGTGCCCAGAACTCCTACCAGAATATTCTTTTCCAAGACCCGTACAAGAAGTGGTCTGCCGAAGAGCTAAGACTTGCCGACTACGCTGCTGGTCGTCGTTTTGGAGGCACTTCTGGTACCGGCACTTTCGGCGTCGGATCCGGATTTGGTAGTGGATTCGGCTCAAACACCCAAACCTCCGGCTCTTTCGGTAACACGAACACGACCACAAATACCGGTGGTGGCCTATTTGGCAATACTTCGTCGTCTGGCGGCGTCTTTGGACAGAACAACAATACCGCTACGACCGGGTTTGGCAGCAACACTTCTGGAACCGGTGGTATGTTCGGAAACAAGCCGGCGGCAACCGGCGGTCTATTTGGCAGTTCCGCAACAACTCAGCCAGCACAGTCGGGTGGTTTATTTGGTTCCGGAAGCACTGGTTTTGGCAACACGGGAAACACCGGTACCGGATTTGGATCCACAAATACCAATACTGGAAGTTCTCTGTTCGGAGCCGCCAACAACACTAACCAGCCAAAGCCTGCTGGCTTTAGTTTCAACAACACGAACAATAATGCTGGCAGCAGTGGCTTTGGCACGAACGCTGGAGGATTTGGTAGTGGTACTGCTAACACGGGCGGCGGCGGTCTTTTTGGTAGCAACACGAATACCAATCAAAGTTCTGGTGGTGGTCTGTTTGGCAACGCGACGCCGCAGAATACGGGTAGCGTGTTCGGCGGAGGCTCTGGCGGCTTCGGAAATCAGAACCAGCAGCAAACCGGGTCATCTCTGTTCAATAACAATCAACAGAAGCCGGCTGGCACAGGCATATTCGGAAGCAGTACCAACACCAGCGGAACTGGAGGCGGCCTCTTTGGCGGTTCAACTAACACCTCTAATACCTTTGGTCAGCCAGCTAACAATCAGACTGGGGGCGGCCTCTTCGGCAACAAGCCTGCCACCGGCACCGGCGGCGGATTATTTGGTAACACCGGTGCAACTCAGAATACCAACACTGGTGGAAGTGGTTTGTTTGGCGGCCTAGGACAAAACAACCAGCAGCAGCAACAGCCCCAACAAGGCTCTAGCTTATTTGGGTCCCTTGGCCAAAACCAGCAGAAACCATCTATGTTCGGAAGCACTACGCAGTCGACCGGTGGTGGTCTTTTCGGAAATCAGAACAATCAGCAACAGGGCTCATCACTCTTTGGGACGTCAAGCGCGCAGCAGCAACCGCAGAATAACAACATGGGTGGCTCTATGTTCGGAAGTCCGCAAGCCAACCAATCAACAGCATCGTTCACTGCAAGCATCAATGACCCTTCAGCATATGGGTCTCTATTTGCTAGTATCGGCAACAACGAGGTCTCTGACCCCGGTCCTCTAGCAACGCCGACGAACAAGAAGCAGTCAAGACGGCCTTCTATCTTGCCCTACTACAAACTAAACCCTGCGTCAGCCTCTCGATTCGTGACGCCGCAGAAGCGTGGGTTTGGCTTCTCTTACAGTACTTACGGCACCCCGAATAGTCCCTCAAGCGTAGCTAGTACTCCGGGTACCATGTCGCAGAGTTTGCTAGGCGGCAGTTTGACTCGAAGTGTTGGTAACTCTCTTGCTAAGAGTGTGTCAACAAGCAACCTCAGACGCAGTTTCAATGTCGAAGATAGTCTCTTGGCCCCTGGCGCGTTTTCCGCTGGCTCTGGCTCAAGACTCTACGGGGGCGGCAGTGTCAAGAAACTCGTCATCAATAAGGACTTGCGCAGCGATTTGTTCTCGACCCCCACAAAGGACAAGTCTGTGCCTGAGACGCCAAATAGCTCTCGGAAATTAACGAAGCGTGTTAGTTTCGATACCAGCAACGTAGATGCTGTCGAAGACGGTGCGACTACTAACGGCTCTACTAACTCTACACCAAGTGCCGAGCAATTGGGTTACGTTCGACCGAAAGCTACGAACGGGGTCAACGGTTCTAAGTCGACTTCCATCCCCGAAATGGAGCAGGTGAAGGGTAATGAGTTAGCAGTCGTGCATGAAGAGGAGGCTCCCTCTCCCCAAGGGCGCAGTTCAACGACTGCCCTATCTGATGGAGAACCCGGCGAGTATTGGATGTCCCCGACTAAGGAAGAGATTCAAGGACTGAATAGAGTCCAGCGCCAGAAGGTTTCTGACTTCACCGTTGGGCGTGAGAATGTCGGCTACGTCAAGTTCAAGGTACCCGTTGACTTGACCTCGGTTGATGTCGATAACATATTCCATAACATCGTCATCCTGGAGCCGCGAAGCGCGACGGTTTACCCCAACGCTGCTAAGAAGCCACCTGTTGGCAAAGGCTTAAACGTACCAGCAATTATCAACTTGGAGAATTCTTGGCCCCGAGCATCCAAAAAGGGCAAGCCGATCTCGATCTTAAAGCACGTTGAGCGTCTGAAGAGAATCCCAGATACCAAGCTTGAGAATTACAACGAGCAAACTGGGGAATGGACATTTTCCGTTGAGCATTTCACAACATACGGCCTCGATGAGTCGGATGATGACGAAGACACTGAGACTAGACCCTCCGAGGCCCCATCAGCTTATGCGCTAGAAAAGAGAGTGTCTCCATCTCCATCTTCTGCCTCAGAAGATGTTGCTTCTGATGTTGGTGATACCCTGGATGGTAAACGAAGTTACCCAATACTTCCAGGTGCTTTTGATCCTAGGGATGATTCTTGTGACGAGGAAGCAGAGATGACGGAGGTTGCTGGATCTCGACCGTCTTTTTTAGCTAATCGCTCCGCGGGTTCAAAATCCAACGCGCTCGTCCCCATAGAGCAGGATGAGTCGGATGATGAATATGCGATGTCCGAGGTACACGAAGATACGAGTACTTCCCTCGGACAGCATCTCGCCGCGGAGCAGGAGGATAACTCGTTTGATGGCTCCCAGTTTGATACCGTGCCCGAGACACCTGCCGGTATCATGAGAGCCCGAATGCGCGCAATCAAGGGCTCGGCAACACCAATGAAAGTTCAGGTTTCATCGGGAGATGACTGGATGGACATGCTTAGCAAGACAATCAGCCCGCAGAAACGTGATCGAGCACTTCTAAGGACCATCAATGAAGCCGATCAACAACGTGCGGCAAATGGAAATTCTCGGGAAGCGTCCCCGACGAAAAAACGAATCGTGCCGGACGGTCGTGGCTTTGCAACGAGCATCGATTTAATGAATTCATTATTCGAGAAAGCTCGGACGCCAACAGAAAATCTTCAAGCTTCGGTACGGCCTAAAGGTGTTAAGTGGCCTTATAAACGACAGACTAAGCACCTTGACGAAAGTGATATGGACGAACAAGACCGAATCTGGCATGATACTATGCGGCCTCGTTGGGGTCCAAATGGCACTCTCGTCTTTTCTGCGACACCGAGCGGCTCGGCATTTGGGAGATCGAGTCGTATAACTGACAAGAATGCACTTATGACTGTACTAAAAGGTGGTATTGTGTCGGAGACTCAGGACATCAGGATAGCCAAGTTCACCAATGAGGTATGTCCACTAATCCAAATGCGTCAAATAGATACTAACAGACTTAATAGATGTCAGCCAGAGCAGTTCATGTGCACTCCAAACTAGCACAAATCGAATTGATCAACGGCGTACCATCCGTCAGACTGAGCCCGAGGGCAACCCTCAAAGACTTCTCTGTCGGAACCAATGGTAAAAATGTCGCCGAAGAGCATGAGAGGCTTGTATGGGAACTTGCCAGCGTATTATTCGACAGCATTAAAATTCCCGTGGATCTGCAGAACGATGCAGAGGCCGTAGAAAAGCTTCGGCGGGAGAACCTGTCTCGATTCTGGGAGCGCATGGTAGAAGAACAAACCAGCAAGACGGCCGCAATGGCCGGTTCGAGTGAGGAAAAGGCTTTAGCTTCTTTGTCCGGCCACCGAATAGCTGAAGCTTGCAAACATCTGTTAGATGGCAAGAATTTCCGTCTGGCTACTTTGGTTTCTCTCATCGGTACCAACGACGCCGTCAAGAAGGACGTACGAGAACAGATGAAGGAGTGGCACGAGGCGCATGTACTTTCCGAGTTCTCTCAGTCGATTCGCGCACTTTACGAAATGCTCAGTGGCAACGTTTGTGCTTGCGAGGGTACCAAGGGTGCATTAGAAAACCGGACTGAGTCGTTCCTCATCTCTAAGAGGTTCGGTCTCAATTGGCAACAAGCCTTCGGACTAAGACTCTGGTACGCGATATCCTCGGAGGACCGCATCGCGGATGCGGTGGAGAAGTATAGAGAAGATGTGGAACAGGATCGAGAGCTAGCGCCTGTCACCTGGTTTACGGAGCACGGCATCAAGAGCATCTGGAATGATCCGAATCAGGATCAGCGGGAAGATCTACTTTGGGGATTACTACAATTATACTCCAACAGCCAGGTCGACCTGGAAGCGATATTGCGACCAGAAAATTCTCAGCTCTCCCCTCTTGACTTCCGACTTTCCTGGCAACTAGGGCAAGCCTTGACATCCACCGGGCGCGCCTCGTTTGGAAAGAACGCCGCAGAGAAGGCTGATGCTGCTACCGTCTCGTTCGCTGCACAATTAACTAATGAAGGCAGCTGGTTAGAAGCAACCTTCGTACTCCTACATCTCGCGGATCCAGATGCACGATCCAAAGCCATACAAGATCACCTCTGTAGGCATGCTGGTTTCATTGGGAATGAGGACTCGAGCAATTTCAAGAGGCTTACGGCAGAATTCAAGATTCCGAGAAGGTGGATTTGGCATGCAAAGGCCTTATACATGCGAAGCGTCAAGAAAGATCCAGCTGCTGAAGTTCAGTGCTTACTTCGCGCAGAGTCGTGGGCTGATGCCCATCGTACTTTCATCAAAGAAGTCGCCCCAGTCACCATAATTGAGCGTGACTACGACGCCTTGGCCGACCTTCTCCACCAGTTCGAAGGCCACCATTCACAAGTTCCTGATTGGAACGTTGGTGGTGAGATCTATAAGGCATTCCTCCAACTAATGGGTTGTCAACGACGAGCCGAATTCCCACCCCCTATCTTAGTGAATGCCCTGCTGGAAGGATTACCAGCGATGCATGGCAATACACCGGAAGCTGGCATTACAGAGTATGCTGCATTGACGGACATGGCCGCAGAGGTGGCAAAGGTGGTAGCCAATATGGCAAAGGCAGGAGAGGTAAGTTATTTGCTCATTCCCTCGTCACTTACCGAAATACTAACAGCATCTATCAGATGGAACATGAGCGCGTCTTACATCTTCCCTTGACGGAAGATGTCCTCCTAAAACATTCCCGTGATTTCGCTTGGTCACATTACTCAACGGTGATGGCCGGGTTTTAAGCCCCTTGCGTCCTGATTCTATTACGAAGTTTGAGGTGGAGATGGATTGTGAAGATATTGCAGAGGATTAGTAACATGCGTTTCCGCGAAAATGACACTTATAGTAGATAGTTCGTTCCCCCTTAAGGTTAATCGCCTTCCATGCTCAGTCTAGGATGAAAGTTGGGAAGCAAAAGGAGTCAGTCAACGGTGGGGTAGGTGATATCTGGCACATTGTGTGTCGTTGCGACGACACAGCAAAAGAATTGCCTTCATGTAGCATAATAAAGTAGTTAGCATAAATTGCTGATACCCGTGCCTCGTTATGTGCCGTGAATTGTATGGATCATTTTGACATAGACCAATATCTGGAAAGGTTTTAACGTATTACCTAACCAATACTGGTTTTGTCGTCTCGACCTGAGTATTCATGCCATATATTAAGTCCATCTTTTCGAATAGAGTTAGAATAATATCGTTCCTCTATTTTTTCTATTAATACATATGCGACGTAGTCTCTAGATGGTATAAGCCATCGATCTTCCCATATAGTAAACTTGGCATAGCTTTACATATGGTGTCTCATAGTTACCTTTTTACTCGTTTTCAAGTTGTGTTTCCTAATGTGCTCCGAACAACCCCAAAAATATTTCGTAACAACATATACTTTTCTCATTAGATATATAACATGGCTACCTACTGCATAAGTAATGCTTATAACTATAATGCTCCGGTCAAATCACATCACTATATACAATCAAATGGTAAATGCGTTCGTTAGTCCTCCACAACCCTCTCGAAGCGGAGATACAGTGAGTTACTCTTCGGGTGCCCCGTATACGCGTCGGTAGGTTCTATGCCCTCGTCGTCGACGATGTGAGTGGTGTAATTAGAGTATATGGCCGCAATTATAAGTTTCATGTCTACATTATCACAAAATTAGCAGAAGCGTTGGAGCAAGATACACATGGCTTCAGGGTGCAAAATGTAAAGGGGAAGGGATCACAGACCATGCATGGCAAAGTTCGACCCCAGACACATTCGTCCACCGCTTGAGAAGCCCCAGAAATGTCGGTTTAAATCGCTCTTCCCCTCGTCCCCGCTAGAGTCAGCATCTTGGTGGCGCAGCCATCGTGTGTGATCCCATTTTTCGGGGTCCGGGAATACGGTTTCGTTGCGGTGTACGTTATACACCGAGGCGGAGACTCGTACGCCGCCGGGGACTTCGTAGGGTCCTATACGACAGGACGAGGAGTACGGCGTCACACGCGGCTCCGGCCCGCCTGCTGGCGCGTATCGCCGGACCGTCTCCGTGATCATAGCGTGCAGTACGGGCAAGCTGTCCAGCTGTCTCGAGTCCGGCATTTCGATCCTAACACCCGTGTCCCCATATCCATCTCCATCCATGTACCGCATGCTAGGCTTCAGCGTCAGCAGTTCCCGCCGCAACTCGCGCTGCAGGTCGAGCGACTGCGAAAGGTGGTACGAGAGGTACGTCAGCGCGACGCCCGTGGTCTCCTGCCCGGCGAGCACGTGGTCGAAGATCTCGGACGCGACGCTGAGTTCGCGCTGCCGGATCGTCGTACCGTAGAGCAGGGACTCCGCGCCATGGGTCTCAGCTTCCTTCTCGATGCCCGCGAGGAGCGCGCGCACGACGACAGGATCGTCTTCCGTGTCCAACACCACCGCGCTTTCATCGCCCGCGCCTTGCTTTTCGCGGTCCACGACCCGGATCGCGGCGTCGCTGCGCTCCTTGCACCAGGCCTCGAGCTCGCGGTTCGCGGCGCGGACCCAAGACGGCGTGGGGTCGAGGCCGAGGCTAGCGAGGGCGCGCGAGAGCTTAGGCAGTTCCTGCGCGAAGAAGCCGTGGCCCTTGCGCACGGCGTACAGAGCGAGCCAGTGCTCGCGCTCGGGGCGCCGCCGCACGAAGTCCGCGCTGCGCGCGAGCCCGAAGCAGTACGCGGACACGAAGTCCATGGCCGCGGCGCAGAAGAGCGAGTGCACGTCTACGCCGTGCGGGGTTTGGGAAGCGCGGGTTGAGGAGCGGAGGAGCGGGAGCAAGCGTGTGTTTAGGATGGCGCGGGCTTGCGAGCGTAGGGCTGAAGAGGTGTGGATGTGGGATTTGGAGTACACGTGCGAGACCATGCGTTTGCGCAGGGAGTGGGTTTTGGAGGGGAGGGAGGAGAATGTGCAGGGGACACTGGGGAGGTTTGTTAGTATGTGGATGTTTGCTATCGGGTTATGGGCGGCGTGTAGGATAGGGGGGATAGATATACCCGTAGTTGTTGAAGACTGAGTACCACTGGTGCTTGTCGAAACCGCCCTGGTAGATGGTCTTCACATCCTCGATGCTGTTAACGCTGAGCTCGTTGGGACCGACTCGCACGACGGGCCCGTGCTGTTTGTGGGCGGCGTGGAGAGTTCGGTTTTCACGGCTCTTGAAGCGAGCCCATAGAATCCACGCTGGTGAGATAGAGCAGGACCAGTGAGCGGTTGGGATTTTTGAGAGAGGTGATATTATGGTCGGATATACCACATATTGGAAGAATAACGCTGTTAGTAAAGTAACTATAGCTGATGTATAGAAGTCGGAGATGGTAAGTGAAGCCATGATAGGGGCCATGATAGGGGTGAGTGTGGAGTGTGAGTAGAGTACCCCCTAGATCAGATACTGGCTTTCTCGAAGGGAAAGTCCAAATATTAATATATATGAATGAGAATTATATCATATCTGTTATTATATCGTCCAGATCGAACCCTACCAGGTAGATATTGACTCTGTTCCTATTTATGTACAATCTATTTCATCTCATGTTAAGTCCAAGAGCGTCGTTATCTGAGCTGCCCCTCCACAATCGACCCGGCAATGCTTAATGCAATATGCGAGGGTTTTATCTGCTTATCTGTTATGATAACATCTTAAGTATAAGCCTAAGAACATTGGAATCTAGGTAGATAATCCATTCGATTCTTTAAGTTGAAGAGAGGATCTGTAAGTGAATTTGTCGAATGCCTGCTGATTGTATGACCAAATGAGATGAGTGAGGACTGTCACGATGCGGATATTAGATAGCTGCCTAGTCCCAGATACGTATTAGGTAATTAAGCCTTATGACGATAGTGGACAAACACAAAGCCATGATTGGCTACTAGTGAAAAGTACTATGACTCAGTAAATGCATGTAGCCGTACATGGATATACTGTCTAATTTTCTACTCAACAAACTTCCCAAGTTATAAAGGCATCCATCTACATACCAAGTAACAAACCTGTTACTTCAACTCATATGATTTACCTTTGGCACTATTCTCAACATTCGCATTGCCATTCCGTCAGACCTGTAATAGGTATTATAGGAGAAATACAATCCTACCTAGAGAGGCGAGAGTTGCCACGGACGTACGTCATAACCACCAAGCTCAATTCCATAAGCATACCTAGGTCCTAGGTATTAAAACAACCTACAACATCACATTACTTAGCGAAATATGATAATTCCTTCTCAAGTGTCATATATGAACTATGGAATCCATAAAGTCTCTCAGAATCTCTGACGAGGCTCCAAGCCTCTTAGATTTGCCTGCCGATATTCTTTACATCATATTAGCCTACCTAGATACGGCAAGGAGTGTTGCTCATCTGGCAGCAACTTGCAAAGGGCTATACCATCTCGTCTCTGAAAGAGGATGGCAAATATTTGTTACCAACCGCTTCGATACCTTTACGCTTTCCCAAATCTCGTCTGCTGATGAGTGGAGGGCGCGGGCTCAATCACTAACTTCGCAATCGAGGGATTGGGATAGACACGGCTTTATCGTCGACTCTTTTACCCCTGTGGTCCAGCAACAAAGGAGGAGTGGCACTGCCACCCAGTCTATTCCTAGTAATATCATAGTCGACGCCCACTACCGGCGCGAAGGGAATGATGTTCAGGACCTCATATTCTGGGGCGCCGGAGAAGATGTATTTGGCTTTATACGGCATCAGAAAGGACCCAAAGCCCATACCAACGAATCTTTCGCTAGGTTGGGTGAGCTGTCTGGGTATCATCCTGGAAAAGACGACGTCACTTGTGTGTCCATACTCAAAGACAGCAAATATAATTACGGCCAAAAGGATGGGCCCCAAGTCCTAGTAGGCAGGGCTGATGGCCGGCTCCAACTCTTGTCCATGGATTCTAAGGATTTTGGCAAAGCGCTCCTGAGTTTTGAGGATCTCAATCCAATACGCAAAGCTAAAGTTAAGACCGAAATCCAGTCCCTTGACGTCAACTATAAACAAGGCCTTCTCGCGGCCGCAACAAAAAACTGTATCTTAAATTACTCCCTCGACAAAGACCGACAGACAATCCACAATGCGACCAACCAAAGCCTTGACTCTTCGAATTCCGTCTATGCCGACGATGACACCGGATTAAAGGGTAATAAAACTGTGGGCACTTTCGACTTCATCCGATCCGTCAAGTTCGTAAATGACAACACCCTAGCGGTTGGCTTAAATAAAGGGCCCAAGCCGCTTCAGTTTCTGGAATATACGCCAACGGGAGCTGTCATATCTCACCCAACTAAGACGAAAGTGCAAGATAGAATATATCGTAATCAGCTCAAAACAGTCCGGGCGATTTTGCCTGTAGATATCAGTTCGCTGACCAGCGGGGGCGGAAACGCCGTGCTCAGCTCATGGGATGATGGCACAGTTCGTCTCCAAGACCTCCGTACACCCTCCTCGACCGACACGATCTTCCAGGATAATTTCGAAGTCACGACCCCGATCAATGCCCTGCTAACCCGCGGTCTGGAGAAATTCATTGCTGGCAGTGCCCACAGCTCCACGTTGAAGGTGTTTGACTACCGCTGGCCAAAGGGCTACTACCATACTGAAAGTTTGCCCTGTGGCAATGACGCTCCCTACCCGATGCCTCGTTCACCGTCTATCGTAGAAGAGCCGTCTTTTCCTAACGACAGAGCTACATGTGATCATGTGGCTGGTCTACGGTGTCGTTGGCACGCGCTTTCGCGACATGACTTTTACCGTCCCAACTTTAATATGTGGCTCCCTCCATTCAGGCGTAGAGATAACTCGCCAGTATACTCGCTCGCGTCGCCATCAGACGATTCGCCAACGGTGCTCGCAGGACTTTCAGGTATCCTAGTCGAGATCACTCCCAAAAGTAGCCCCGGGTCGTCGGCGTGGCCCTACATCTGGTCTACCAAGGACGGCGTGCACAAACGACATAGAGAGCGGGTAGCCCTTATTGAGACAGGGTCTGGGTTCAAGGTAAATGACGTGGCAGACATACAACGCATGCCCGTAATCCACCAACAGAACTGCGAGAGTGCGAGGCACCTTCCTGGGAATGCAGCCTGGCGAAAGCGGCATCGGCTAGATGTGTGGTTACAATAGCTTAGCGGTGAGATACAAAGCAACGGGTTCTTTTTCTCCTCTTTAGAAGAGATGACTATGTTACGGAGATGTATAATATTCCTATACGTTAACGCTGTTGCTAGGAGGTGCTAGAGGGCCGTATTTGTTCTTACGGTGGATTTAGCAGTTCAGGCTACGGAAGAAACCACCCATCTCCTACATTGTAGAGTTAATAATACACCTATAAAAATTAGTCCCATGGAGGGATCGACTATAAACATGCCTTGCCCGTTAGGTATTCTGATAACCCGAACCTGCTTCCGATATAACCATTCCCTTTCAGCATAACCCATTTATACCTACCCATCGTCATCATATGAACAGCTTAAGACTCTTATAAGATAGAATACCATCCACGTCAATAGTCATCTACATGACAAACTCGGCATTCCGTGCCTTCCAAGCGAAAGAATCTTCACGCCTTGATATCAACACCTCAACTGGGCATATCGGTTCTAGGATATGAACCGGCAAGACGCCGTCGTTCTTCCGAGGAACCTCGATCTTGTCCCCGCGCGCGGGTTTCACATCAAATTGTAGCACTACTAGCGCGACGAAAGCCAGTATCTCGTTCATGGCGAAGTGCCGCCCGGGGCACAGCGTCTTCCCCCCACCGAAGGCCCGAAAGGCTGCGGGGTGGAATGAATTGTTCTGTTTTGCTTTCGCCGCCACACCATTTCCCCCCTTTGCTTCTCCCACGTCCCCTGCTTGGGCGGCTAAGAAGCGCTTAGGGTTAAACGAATCAACGTCTTCACCCCAGATCCGGCTATCGGCGTGGATGACGCCGCCTGCGATCTGAACTACCGAGTTTTTGGCTAGGAAATACTGGTTCGCGAGCATGTGGTCCTGCTTCACTAGGCGTGTGGAATAGGTGTCGGAGCCGAGGCGCAAGCACTCGCGGTACACGGCCACGAGAATGGGGCAGGCGTCTCGGAGGTCCGTGAGGTGTAGCCTAGACTGCCCTGAAGACGAATCGAGTCCGGGGTTCTCGAGAAGAGCTTGGACTTCCTCTCGGACGCTGGCTAGCAGCGAGGGGTCGGCGTATAGTTGCACTAGGATCCAGAACGTGGATGTAGTGGCGTTGACAATGCCCGCGAATAGGAAGGAGAGCTCCTCGCGCGCGACGGCTGGCAACGTCCACCCGTGCCCGAGCGCGATCTCCACGCGCTGCTGCACGATCGCTGATCCCGTCTTATGCAGGCCCGCTTCTAGGTACGCAAGCAACGCTGTTGATAACTTCTCGCGGCCCAAGTACGCCTTGCGAGCCGTGATCGAGGGGAGAATGTTCATCAGCAGGGCGCCCAGCCCGTGGTCGAAGTCCCAGAACGAGGTTTCCAGAGACGGGTCCACGGCGATGGGGTTCTGCGGCCCGTAGAGGTACTTCGCCGTCGAGACGGTGACGAGGTGGCGCACCCAGGAGAGCAGGTCCGTGGGCTCGGCGGGGTTTAGGGGCACGGAGGAGATCTCGTCGCGCATCTCGCGGGCCGCGGCGAGGCTGAGCTCCTCGAGGTAGGAGCCCGGCCCGAGCCAGGCGTACACCATGTCCTGGATGTCGGCGAGGAAGCCCCGCTCGTCGCCGGGGGCCGGATCGAGGTTGCGGCGCGTGATCTCCATGGTGGCGTGGTCGAGCCCCAGCACGCGCTCGGTCACGTCGGGCACGATGGGCGTGAAGGAGAGGACCTTGGACGCGCGCTGCACGGCGGCGGCGAGGGACGGGTCCGCGACGACGTAGATGCGCGACCCCGGGACGGGAAGCGTGAAGATGGGCAGTTCCCGGTGCCGGATCCCCAGGTTCTTGATGTACCGCCCGCCGAGCAGCGCCATGCCGAGAAGGTGCCCGATCACGGGGACGGGCGGCGCGAGGACGCGGGGTTCCCGCGGGTCGAGCTTGCGCTGGGAGAGGTGCTGTAGGGTGAGGACGAGGGTTAGGATGGTGATGAGGATGGTGGCGGTGGGGGAGAGGTTAAAGGATTCTAGGAAGAAGCTAAGAGCCATTGTGATTTAAACTTGAGGTTGAATTAGGCTCCGATAATCTTGTCTAGGTTTATAAAAATCATAGCGATTTTCTTTTGAGAGTGGTGGGCCTATCGATTGCGTGTTAGCCAAGTTTCTGATGTTGAAGGTTTAGTAGGAAGTAAGGGGCGAGCAGTACCGAGCTCCTTATGAGCTCATAGTGTCCCTTCCAGACATATTTTCTATTAGTACTAAAGCTGCTTCCTCATATTCAAATTATCTCACGAGTAAAGCACGCCTCGTCATATTCCAACTTTTTCTTTCTCTCATTCTAAAATCTTATCTGCGTAGGTTACACATCTATGATAAAAGAAAGAGGGAAACGACTTACCAATCTGATACCACCCTGCTATTACCTATTGGCAACTAAACCAGGGGGAGATGCTATAGTCTACGCTCCACTTAGTCTCGTTTCTTGTTAGAATATAGGTAAAAATCAAGACTATAGAAAATACTAAACAATTCAACGTTACCAGGTATAATTTATTCAATAAATATTTTTTCGAACTCGCCATCATAACGTGACATTGACAAGGATCCCCCGCAATTGGATTGGTGAAGCTTTAATGAGCAACTGCCACTTGAACCAACGATTCTTCTGGAAATACCCCCATTTGAAAATATTCCCTCATAGGTGAATGTGTTAGCATACTCCTTGAGGATATGCAGAAAAGGGGTTACCCCTATTTATCACCAATTTGAGTTTATGAAGCCTATTCTTGGTTTTAAACGACTTTTGGGTCTTGACGAGATTACTTTTCTGTTTGTATTCCTAACGATTAAATGGTATCGAGTATCTGGTGATATAACAGGTCAACATGGGATGTTGACGGTGGTATGAATAATATCTAAATGTGGTGGATGGTTAGTACTAGCGAGGTAAAAAAGACGATAGAGCTCAATAGTAACTACAAAACTGGATATCTTCGAATATAAACCAACCGTTCATTCATTGGAAGCATCTCATACTAGATTTGCTCGTAAGGATTGATACATAGGTACCTGGATCAGGGAGACAGCTATAGAAACGACAGTAGCATTCTTGTATGAGGAAGTATGGTTTAATCTTCCTCACTGCAAACCGGACTGACTCTTTCACTACATGTGAAGTTACGGCTTACCTGTGGCGTCGGATATTATAGGAAAGCGGATTTTATCTTCTTAATCCCAGGATTAACCGTTGCCATATTACCTCTACGAGTAGTTTAACTTGGTGGCCTATAGCTAGACTAGAATTGGCAATTAGGTACTGTCTGCCTAGGGGGGTTATGATGAGTGGAAACTTATATGTTCACGTATATCTATGTATGTCAAGTAGCTAGTCTACAATGTATTTCCTACTATTCTCCTTTTAACTCTTAAAAATATAGCTAGCTACTTAGGCACCTACCTAGGCAGTGACATCCACTTATGCGTGCATGTATAAAGTTGCACCATACAATACAAGCACACTGAAGTCTCAGAGATTAATAACAGGTTCCCCTTTCTCCTTTCTTCTTTACTTGTTCCCAGTTCATCTGTCGCATGTCAGCTTCGGGCTGCTATCTTTAGACAAGTAGTTGTGAACGGATTCGGTTTAAGACGTGTTAGAAGGATTTAGAACAACTAAGTTATAATGTTGATACCAATCAATCGCCCAATTTGTGACAAAAAAGAAGTTGCCTAATGATCTGACTTACAAGTTGTGGTGTGAAAGGAGTAAAGAAGTGATGCCTACCTAGGTAGATTGTATTCATGTAAGTACTTGACTAAGCCTCTTATTGGCCTAAACGGGTGACGTTGCTATTGTGGCTTGTAGCGTAGACCCACGTTGGGGAGGTTACGTAAGACTGGTAAGAGCGGTTTGCGCCTCAGCACCTGGGCAACCGCTGGCGGCGCTGGGTAGTGGCCAGGCTTCCAATTTTGCGCTGGAAGCTGCTACTAACAGACTAACCGGGGAGTTACCCAGATCCACCGGAGCTCCTAATTGGACAGGTAATTGGATGTTGTACATCTGTACAATACGAAGTTCGTCACACAGACTGCACAGACTGCACAGACTGGCCCAGACTGGAGTCAGCCATCATCAAGTTCAACCTCTCTAAAACATTTCATGTCAACACTAACATAACACATCTTTGTTCACGCCAATCTCGCTTATTACTCTGCGCCATACAATTCCCTTGCAAACCTTACCATCTTAGCCATCCGACCTCGGTGCGATATAACTATCACGGGTGAACGAACGATAAACATAACCGATTTACCAATATTTCGCTGGGCCTCAAACCATCGAATCGCATATCGTCTCTGTGCCGTCAGTCCCGATTTATTTAGTCGTCGTCAGCACATTAGTCTCTGCTCGGGCATTCAACCGTACTACTCAATACCAACACTTTATCGACAGAAATCGTCAAGATGTCGCTAAAGGACGAGTTTGCGACGAGAAACTTCAGTAAGTCATCCATTCCTTTCTCCCCCCATCCATCTATCTATCAGGCTAGTGTAGCCGCAGCCGCAAGATACTTTGTCAAGATCAAACAGTGGCTGACTATTGTGCAACTAGGTATTTACGGACAATGGTAAGCGTCTGGACGACATCTATGTGATGCCCCTTGCGACATGGCCAACTTCTTCAACTCATTTGAGGGTGGATAGCCATGTTGAATTGCGAAGTATTGCCCTTTCGAGCTACGATCATGATAGCTAACAGCATTTCCCCAAAAGGCTCGGCATTCTGTCCATGATCCTTTGCTTTGCGCTGGGTATTGCGAACCTCTTTAACCTCTTCGGCCACTTCCTCCTCATCATCTTCTCCATCCTCGCTCTGTAAGTCCCTGTCCCCCCTAAAAAAAAATACGCGAAGGAGAACAAACTGGAAACTAATCTACATTGTCGACAGGATCTCCTGTTTCATCATCCTCTTCGTCGAAGTGCCCCTCCTGCTCCGAATCTGCCCTACTTCGGCCTCTTTCGATGCTGCCATCCGCCGAGTCTCGACTAACTACATGCGTGCGGCCGCTTACGGCGTGATGGCTGCCGTGCAATGGATCAGCATCGCAGTCGCTGTCAGCAGCCTGATCGCCGCCGCGGTTGTTTTGACCTTCACGGCTCTCTGCTACGCTCTCGCCGGTGTCAAAGGCCAGGCCTTCGTCGGAAGCAAGACCTTGGGTGGCGCCGGTGTTGCGCAGATGATCGTATGATCAAGTCACGATGCGAACGAGTCAACGACCGAGAACGCTCGAGAACGGTACGCGCGTCTCTCGCTTGGGCAGGAATAGTTGATGGGAGGTTTTCGTTCTCGATGTGATTGACGAGTATCAATGGCCTAAAAGGAGTTGTACCCCGTATGCGAAAGGATGTGTGGTTTCCGGTCTTGTTATCCTATTCGGAGGAGAAAAGGGATGGTTTGCATGGTTTTTTGATCGTTAGGAACGGCGTAACGGAATATGACAAACAAGACGGCTGCGGAAGTTCTGGTTTTTTCCTGACTTGTTACCGCATCCAGAATGGATGAGATACCCCAGTCTGAACCTGGTGTTTTGAATCTGACATCTTTCTAAGTTCCTACTATTACCGCAATACCTTAAGACCTCAGTTCTAAGGATATTGATTGGACCAGGCTCTATACTGTGAATTGTTTATGGTCTAACTGATGATATTCACCCCGGTTACGTACCTGCTACGCAGTAGATACGGTTCCTCTGGCACCATTATGCTAGCAATAAGGTAACCGTCAGAGGAGCAGCTAAGTGACAGACAGTATCGTAGGAGTAGGGCGCATGATAGACGCTTTCGAAGAGACCAAGGCCATATTCATGACTTCTATCGATCTGAATCACCCCACATAACCCCCACCATTTAATTGTCTATAGACCCTGAATATCCGGAACATTTCTTGCCACCTGTTGGGCTTGATTGAAGAAGTTTTTCAACTGACAAACACGCAGCCACATGGGCTAGGTTACGTACGTATCCACATGTATGCAAGTATAGGGATATCTAAATCGGGGAATAGCTTGACTGACTTGTCTGAAACTCAATCGAGAAGTTCCGTGCTCTCGCCTGAGTTTTAGGACCACTTCGGGAAGTCTGGAAGGAGAGGAACTTTCAACGATTCATTTCGAGCTTAGGTAGATGAAAAAATGAGTAGGGAAAAAACGAAGCCTTTCCCAACGAATACTACATTAGAAGTAGGTACATGCTCTGGTTTGTATGTAATGTACATAAGTAAGGGCCAAGACCGTGGGGAAATATGCTGCATGCCGTCATTGCTACTACTGCGGACTAGGGGGCTAGGTGATGGATTTTCACGATAGCTTCTCTCGCCTTTCTTATGAGGGATTCATTTCCACTACTTTCTTACGTGGTATTTGAGGTTGTCTGTGATGTTTAGATAAGATGAAAAAGACTGTAGAATTTGCTGAAGGTGAATTGATATTACTGACTTACTATGTATAATTAAAACGCCACCGCACCTAGAATATCATCGGCATGGCACAACGGGAACGACTACCGTTCATCGAGCTCTACATGGTGCATGCAGTTGAGCCCCCCGAAGCGGGGGCATGGAGCGTGACCACGATGATGCGTCCGTTTGGCGTACCAAGCTTGGGGAACGGGGTTATACTGCGCTTTTTTCTCATCGTTGTCATGTCCATTAAAGCGGCCTCCGGTGTCACACTACACATCACATTTTTATCAATTGCTTTGCGTGATGGTCTAGATGTACACGAGTTCCTCGCCAGACCGAGCTGTTACCGAAAAAGAGGGCCTTATAAGTCTATACTAGTAGCGTTACCGAATTAGCTAAACGGACTATACGGTGCTATATAGAGCGGAGAGCTAACAAGCTCTAGAGTCATACCTGGGTACACCCATATTACCGATGTACATTTGTCCTGGCGGGCATTTTCGGTGATCGTTCTGTAGGTAAGTACTAGCTTTGCTTCACCGTAAAAACTCTGATGTATCATGTAGCGTTAGATGTATCCCACCTCACGATCAGCTGACTGTCCGTTTTGAAGGCTAATACGGATTTCGGAATAGCTGTGGATATTGATGTAGCTTCTAGCGAGAACCCAATGATGAGGCTCATGATGGCTTATTGGAGTATGTATATACTTGTACTCTGCCCCTTTTACCCTGGCTATTTACGGTAAGACATTGGAGATATTGGTCCCCCACGATCTCCCTTTGTGTTTGAATGTCCAGCCCGATATAATATGCTTCAATTAAGGAGGCACCCTTATTTTCCTCTTTCCCGGGTCCTCATCAAAACTTTAAGAACGATAACCAACTTGTATGTATGTATTAAACCGAACCGTTATGTAAGTTCCCGTTTCTTTTACTGGCAATACTCTATCACCTGCATTAATCGAACTCCATGTGGATGCTTGCGTCGAAACATAATAGCGCTAAAGGAGCATTATGCGTTGGAGGGGCGGCACTTCCTCCACTGAAAAGAGCTCCAGCGCTACTAGCATTATGTATTGGACCATCGCGATTGGCCAATATGATCTTTCGACCGCCTGCATAAGTTGAAGAAATGGATCAATAGGGCATTCGCGATGCGTGTACCCTGAACGTAGCCTGAACGTACCCCTCACTAGAGGATCGTGGTTGCCAGCCAGGAGCTTGTGACCCGGAAGAGAATGTACATATAGTTGTGTAGCACCGGCGGGGTACCTTAAACGGTAGCTCATCGAGGTCCGATTATTCGACTATTCGACCTTTTCAACAACCTTCCATCCCTGTCATCGAATAGTTATTGGTAGCTAATAGGAACCAAGATTGTTCCATGACATCGCCAATAGCTTCAGGTACACTGTGCTTTGCATTGACGAACTTGAGTATTTAAGTCATCCGAGTCCCTCTTCAAGTTTCATCATCGTGATTTTAGTTACAGAATCAAGACCCAATCATCTTGAAATACTTATTCAACAAGAACCCCAATACGAGACCCAGGTCACTTGCTTACGTACCTGGTCTAGAAGGCCTAGAAGACCTAGAAGAACTGGAAACTCCTTTGTCCACGAAAAAACTCGTAACTGGACTGCTTGGTTGCGCAATTGTAACCGTTTGTTACAATTTCTCATCGAATTCTTATTACGGCTAAAGCCGTCCGACGTTTACATCATCGTTTATCGACCAGACGTTTTAATCCCCGGAAAGCTATTTTCGTACATTTTCTTTCCTTTTCTTTAAAACTTCCACGGCTCTCATATTTGAATCGAACCGAAGCGAAGCGAACAAAAGATCGACTGCTAGGAATACAACCAACGCCAATACTACCGACACTGCAACACTGTCACCAATCGAGATCCGGCTAACGCTGCTGACCTGGCCGAGTCTGACATACATTGCCCACTTCGTCCCTCTGACCAATCAATCATCAAACGTGTAAGTGGCCGACGCACAGCTTTGGAGAACCCCTCCGTCGCTGAACCTTCCCTACGTTCTTTGTCTAGCCCTGCTGGCCATCTTAGCTTTTGCTTCCTTTTCCTCTTCTGTCTTGGATCGAGCAAACATCCGTCTCGTTCCCATTGCCCTTAAGAAAGGAGTGGTGTAAATAACAACCTACAACCCATCTATACTCATTACCCAGGTTTTCTCGTCAGGAGAGACGGGAAATATTAGACCTACATTCCAATGGCACTTTGATAGGAGGAACGTGGCATCTCGCCGGGTCCGTTTCTATTCCCACAACCGCATCACATTTCCTATCAAGACAAGACAAGACATTGCAAACGCCCACAGTGCCCACGCCCTATCCTAGACTATCCCGCTACTCTCTTCCTAACTTAGCTTATCGACCTAACCGCATATCTTCAAAATAAATCCTTTATTTTTTCTCTTTCCTTTTTATTATTTCTTCACCGCATGATCGTGACAGGGGACTGGATCTAACGGATGGACAGCTAGACAAGCTTAAAACTTGGTCTGGCCTTGGCCTAGTGTATCTGATAAACCCACGATCCACTACATAGGCCATTACCGACACACACGAGATTCCTCAGACCAGCCCTATTTCAACCCATAGGAGTCTTGCGCTATTAACTCTTTCGACCTATACAATTATCTTTGAAGCTCATTGGTATATATGTGGTACGTATAACCATCACCCTACAGCACATGCTTAATCCCATCCCTACAGTAAACTACCTACCCAGCTATTTACGCCGGTGCTCGAGCGTATAATAGCTGAGCCCCCATCCGAGCAGTGCCAATATTCTAGATATACTAGGAAATCGAGTCATTACTCGGCTCTTTTTGATTCAATTTATTTTCTACTCGTCACACATCACAATTATTCTTGCTAATATTTAATTGATTTGTCTAGGTCATTTTGTTATCGACCGCATATTAATTATAGCTGTTTCGTACATTTGAGCTAACAGCAACTGAGTTTTTGTTTCTGCTTTGTTCAAGATGTCTACCGCCACCGTGCAATCTAATCCGGCGGCCCCTCCTCGCCCTACGAGGGGTCAGGAGAAGGAGAATGGCTCGTCCGCTCCTGTGATCCCCCCGCGTCCTGCCCGCCGTTTGAATCGTTCGCTCTCTCCAAATCCGGCTCGATTTGCTCCTTCTCCCTTAAACGAGAGTCCTTTCGGTGCTAAAAGTCCTGGTGCTGCGAGACACAGCCAGACCCATCTTGGCGAGGAGCTAGAACGTCCCACCAGTGTTGAGATGCCTAACGTGGGTGAAGAAGGCCGGGAATATGCTGTGGCCATCGAGGGATTGAGCACATCCCCAGACGATCAAAGTCGTCGGTCGTCTACTTCGCCTGAGCAGACTCGTACCGTTGGCGAGGACATCAAACTTTATGCGCCAAAGCCGACGATGCCCGCCCAAAGCGCCAAGCAGCGGGTTGCTCAAGTCACCCGTACCGATTCCGAGAGAGCTGCTACTTTTGGCATTGGGCGCTCCTCTTTCGAGGACCAGGCGTACTCGGGCCGTAGCCTGAAAAAGAAGGGAAGCACCACGAGCCAGCTTTCCCACCAGAGTGAACCCTTTGCTGAGGATGAGCATGGCATCCCCGAAATTGGACAACGCGTTCCCATGTTGATCAATGCCGGTGATGTCCAGGCGCCTTCACCCGCCCCCCCTAGAGCTGCGAGCGTCGACGGGACAAAGTCCGCTCGAAACCATACGAGGAAGACCAGCTCCCGAGGTGGTTTTGGCGATCTTCCATCGGATGTCTATGGTCTCCATGGCCACGGCGTTGCGAGCACCGACAAACTAGAGAAGGCATACTACGAGAAGCATCCGGATGCTCTGCAGAAGGAGCGGTACAACCATCTTCACGACCGTGTCAACGATTACTCAATGAGTAGTGAAAATCTTAACAAGATCGTCCGGGATACGGCCAGCCGTGGCGCTGGTTTTGGTAACGCAAGATGCCAGCAAGCTTTGGAGTGTTTCTAACCAATCATTATAGGTACTTCCGCGGAACATATCGGAACTCCTAGTGAACAAGTCGGCTACCGAGCCGCCGATGAATATACTTCGCGTATCTCGTCGAGGCCGCCTTCCACTACCCCTAACCATGACGCGAACCTCGCATCCCCCTTAAAGTCGGGCTTCACTGGCGCCGAGGCGACTACTGACCACGCTGATACCGCCAACAATGACGAGGTGATCCATGTAGACGAGCCACGACGTAAGGAGTATGCCAAATTCGGCGACGAGGAATCCGCCGAGGGCGAAGGCGCGGATGAACCCGAGTATCCAATTCTCGCACCCGACGAAGTGGCTAAAGATCCATCCCCTTACCAGAAGCATCCGGCGGTGGAGCCTCCTTCGGAACGACAAGGAGAGTCCAAGAGTCGTCCCACAAGTAGACCTGCAAGTATATATAGCCCCCCACCTGCTGAGCTGCATTCCACTCCGTTGGACGACGTCGCAGAGTACGAGCCCTTGTTCCCCGAAGATGAAAAGAGTGGTAAGAAGCCTACAACCCAAGCTGAGAAGCTGAAGGAGCACCGCCAGAGGTTCCCTAGTCAGGACATCTGGGAGGATGCCCCTAACAGCGTGCATTCTACCGCGGAAGTCTCGACCCCGGAGCTATTAGAAGCTCGTCGTAAAGAGCGAGCTGCCTTGGACGTACCAGCGCGAGAGGGCGAAACCCCCGCCCAAGCCTTTGCACGGAGACAAGAGGAGCTGGCCGAAAAGGAGGCCGTCACCCCCGATAGCTTCCTATATCGACAGCAAAGGCCCCCGTCATGGGTTGGAAGCCAACCGCATTTAGCTAAGGAAATCAATGCCCGACCTAATCCGACTCAAAGATTTCCGAGTCGTGATGTATGGGAGGACACTCCTGATTCTCTGCAATTTACTGCCACTGTTTCGACTCCGGAAACTCCTGATGAGCCACAAACAGATGATGTGGTAAAGCCGGCCGCCGAACACGCGCCTCAAAAGCCCGCCATACCGGCGCGTCCCAAGAAGCAAGGATCGGGTGATGATTCAAAACCCAGTATCCCCGATCGTCCGAAACCTCAAATTCCTATCCGCCCTTCGAAACCAGCCATCGAGTCTAAGGGGCCCGAACCTGTAGTGAAGACGAAGCCAGCGGTACCCGCAAGGCCCGCCGGAGGGAAGATCGCTGCGTTGCAGGCAGGTTTCATGTCGGATCTGAATAATCGTCTACGATTAGGCCCCCAGGTCCCTAAGAAGGAAGAACCTCCCACCGAAAATCCTGTCGAGGAAAAGGACAAGACTCCATTGTCTGACGCAAGGAAAGGCCGTGCTCGTGGTCCTCAGAGACGTGCTCCTACCAAGGTAGCAGCCTCGAGCGGGACGGAATCGGGACCTCCTCCCGTGACTAACGGCAAACCTACCCTAAGTTTCTCTATGACTCGTACGCTGTGGAGTATAGACGAGGAGGGTACTATGACAGTAGACGGCTTAGGGCCAGCTGTGCCAGAACCAGAGACGAAACCCAGCGAGACAACGAATGAAGAACCTAAGGAGGCAAAGGAGGTTCCGTCTCCTGTGTCGGCAGAACAAGAGAACTCTGAGGTTAAAGCAGAAATTGAACCTACGGAAATGCCGTCAAATAAATCAGAAGAAACTCCAGTCGATTCTAAGCCGACAGAAACGCAAAATGAGCCTCAAGCAATCGAGGAAACCAAAACACTTGCTACTAACACGGCTGGCGAGTCTATATTAGAAGAGACCATCGAGAAGCAGCCATCCGGAGACCAAGTCCAAAAAGTTGAAGAGGCCAAGGATGAGGTGACAGAATGATTGTAAAGCGACCTTTTCTACTGTTAGGGAGTGCAAATCCGTCTTGTTTCGTTTCCAATCCATTCCACATTTCCTTTGTTGAGAAGGGTGGTACGGAATGGATTGAAGACGAGGGATATTACACATTTGCAAAACAGTGCAAAAAGGTATCAAGGAAGAGAAAAGAAACAGAAAACAAGCAAACCGTAGATCGCGGCACATCTCGGATGTAGCCTACATAGTCATTTTGTCCTTCGTTCGCTCTTCTTGATTGTACTCCTTTTCCGATACTTGAAAGGCCTCTCTCTTAGGCTCCGAATCATGTAGTTCCGATTCGTCATAGAATTCTTATATAAAGACTTTGGATTGTCTGGTTTCTCCCAGACTATGACCAGTATACGCATTTTACCTATGCTAGGTCGTATATATACACTCGAACAAGCTCTTACATCTAGACTAAACTGTCTGGGGTTTTGATTTCACGAGGCAGTGGGTTCAACGCGAGGATATCAGGACATCCTACCTATCTACCTTCTACCGTTAATTTATCGACCCAGGTGAGGTATAGCATGCGAGATGCAATCCAAAGGCAATGTGCTTAACAGGGACACTGCGTTTCTTCCTGTTCCAAGGTTCTCTAACCATTTGGACCAACATCATGGGTGGTTATAATCACGAAAGACTAATAGGTACAACGAATATAATCGGATTCCATTCAGACCAGTCAAGCAGGCCAGACCTAAGGTCCCAAAAAGTCCTATGTGAATTAACCCAGCCCGTACAAAATAACAGTGGTAGCTAGCAGATAGCTTAGATATTCGGCCCTGCCCTGCCCTACCCCTACCCCCTTTCCTACCTATCCCATCCCATCCATCCCTTTCGTTTCGCCCGTACGCGCGCCCACACACACGCCCCTTCCCTTTGCAGAGTCCGATCTACTATTTTTTAGGTTTCCCTCGTTCTCTCTTTACTCCGATTTTTCGCCTTAGTCTGGGTCTTGTCTTCGATACCGATGCTCGTACCATGCCGTATGCACAGGATACAAAAGGAATTTGGGATTAACGTTAAAACGGTTGGGGGTTATGTATGTATGTTAGGGGGTATATAAACACCTCATCTTCACTTCTTAGCTCCCTCTCTCGCCCTCGCTACCGAAGGATCTCCAACTCGTCATCATCGTCATCGTCGTCTAGAACGACCACCCTCCTCTGCCTGCTAGGCTGGCTACCCGCGGATTTGGCATCCATTTTGGCGAGGGCATCGCCTTCAGCCGAACCCAGCTCGCCGCCCAGGCTCTCGCGCCCGGCCTCGCGAATGCCCTTCTCGGTGACGAACCGCGTCTTTTTGCGGGCGGGGGAGCGCATGGAACCGCTACGGCCGCGGCCACCACCACCCGCGTCATCGGTGCCGCTCGCGTCCCTGTCGCCCCCTGCCACGCTACTAGAGTTCGGGTTCGAGAAGGAGAAAGAAGAAGCCGAGGTCGCGGGCCGCAGCCTCTCGCCATCTTTCATGCGCGACAGCTTATCCCTTAACCCGCCGCCCCAGCCGAGCGCCGGTTTGCTGCCGGTGCCGGAACCTGTGCCGGACCCGGACACGGATACGGACCCGAACGAGCTGTTGTCGCTGCGCTTGCGCTTAACGGGGCTGAGATGCATCTTCGGCTCGCTGCCCTTGGGACGGACTAAGCCGAGGGCCCTAGCATCGGCGTCCTGTCTCGGCTGGTCTTCCGTCGTCGACCCGGGGAACGACGAGCCTAGGGTACCTTGGGTGCTGATGACACCGTTCCTACTGGCAGTAGCGCCCGTGCCCCCTTTCTGCATGTACTCCTTGCCGGCGCCGGACCCGATCTTGCCTAAGGTCTTCATGAGCTCGCGCTCCTTCTCCTCGGTCGCGAGCCGGCGTCGGAGCGCCTCGCCGCGCTCCATCGTGTCCGCGACGCGGCCGCCTATGATCTCGTTGTCGAGCATGCTGGCCGCGCTCTGCTTGTTCATGAACAGCTGGCTCCCCGTCGCGCGGTCGAAGTTGCCCCGCCCCCCCTTCTTCTTCGGGTCGTTGGCGTGGCCCTCCCAGTCGTGCAGGCGGTACGAGTTCTTATGGCCCCTCCCGCCGCCGTTACCATCTCCGTGCCTGCGGGGGCCGAGCCCGGTGTTGAAGGCGTTGACGTCCTGGCGCGCCTGCCGGTGCTTGGCGAGCCCGAGGTTCATGTGGAACTCGCAGAACTCGGTGCGCTTGCGGTTGACCCAGCCGTTGCACGGCTCGCCGTCCTTCTTGATGGACTTGCAGAAGCCGAGGTCGCGCGCGGTCCCGATCTCGAGGATGGTGTCCTGGCCGCTGTTGATGACGAGGCTGAAGCGGCCCGTGTCGGTGCGGCCCGGCGGCGGCGGCATGATGTTCGGGTTGAGCACGGCGAGGAGCGTGCCCGGCGTCAGCTTCCAGTACCGGTCGAAGCCCGAGTTGAAGAGGAAGAGCTCGAGCTCCCATTGCAGGTCGACGAGCTGCAGGACCATGTACTTCCCCTTGGCCGGATCGGTCTGCGTCTTCTCCTTGAGATTGTTGTTGGATGTCTTGTGCGAGCGTGGGTCCGATTTGGAGGCTAGGATCCCGAAGACGACTATGTCTTGCTCGATTTCCGGGAGCTGAAATTCGGGTGCTTTGACGTGCTTGAGGAGGTCCTTGATAACGTATGTCTTTTTTCCTGCTAGATTGCGCGTGAGGACCGGGTGCGGTATCACCCGTTTGGAGAGGTGGACGGCTGAGTAGGGTTCGAACGCGGATGCTTCCTCTTCCGGCACCTCGGAGGGAGATACTTTCTTACTCTGACTTGCTTGCGAATCGCTTCCTCCTCCCAGGCTGCTCCCTGAGCGATTCTCATCTAACGTAGGTCGTCTCAGACTTGGCATCGTATTACTGCGTCTGAGTTGACTACCGGCCATGACCTCTTCGTGGCTGAATTGCTCCGGCTGTACTGGTAGATCGGGAATCTCCTGGGCGTTGCTTTTGAACTGCTCCATCTCCTGTCGTCCCAGTTCGAAAGCATTGGTTCTTACTTGTTTTATCCTCTCCCGCCTCTCCTGTCGGCTTTGCTCCTCTGACCTGGCTGCGGCTAACCGCTCGCTGAAAGTCATTGGGCGTTCCTGCTTTGTAGGTTGCTCGGCATTGACAAGAGAGGGCGTGTGTGCTCTTCGAAGATAGCCTCCCTGTGATCCATTGCTGTTCTCCGTAGTCTTTCTCAGACTTGGTGCCCTCTTCAACGATACATCCTTCGCTTTGATTCCTTTATCGATACCTAGACGTACTCTGCTAGGTGAGTTGTCGGGTTGCGGTATCGGCGCTCTCCTTACTGGTGATACTGGGACTTGTATTTCTGCCTGCGACTGTGACCGTGGCGCCGGTGCCGGCCGTGACAATTCTATTTGCGATTGGGCTCGTCTGCGTACTGATATATCTGGTATAGGGTTCGACTCGGTCCGTGTCGAGTTCGCATCTCCTCCAGACGCCTTCTTTGCCTTGGCGCTTTGTAGTTTCTTTAGTTTTAGTTTTGCCTGGATAGCCTCCAGTTTCAATTGTAGCATCTCTTCGTCTTCCTCGTCATCTTCTTCATCTCCGTCCATATCTATATCCATATCGTCCGCATTGTTGCGCCGCGGATTTATAGACCGAGAGGCGAAGGATGGCGTTATTCGACCTCGCTTACTGGGGGACGGTGAGGGTGATGCCCGCTCGGCCATGCGTCGCAATCGTTCGCGTCCCTTGGGCGTGCTGAGGAGGACATCGTGGGGCGATCGCGGCGGCCATTGGGCTTCCGGGTCGGCGCCCGACCCTGTCATATTTGGTAAGTGATTCGACATGAAAATTGATAGTGGTTAGATGTCGCCAACATATTCCGTGGTAAATGTGTAGGTTTGATATTAGAACCGGAACATACTAGCAGGCATCATAACTGTTGTTGCCGTTTCCCATCCGTCGTGTTGATTCGGCAGTGCCTCCGTCCCCTCCACTCAAAATCTGCAGGGGTCCGGCGCCTTGTTGGATATTATATCATGCAGCGGATATATGTAGAACCTGGGAACAGACGTGGTAGAGATCGTCCGGGGTGAGAACAGATGGGCAGCTAGTGGTTGATGTCGTGGTTGAAGCGCCAATGATATATGGATTCCAACGCTGTGGCCTGCACACCGTACACCATACACCGTCTATTCGTTTCCCGACAATTGAAATGCCGTACGAATTGTGAGTTAGTTAAACGTCGTACTGATCACGAGGCTCGAAAAAGATGTTGTACATGGTAGAAAGTACCTGGATATCGATAAGTGATGATCGCATAACCAAATGGAAATGGCGGCTTGCGATTGGTTTAGTGGAGACGCGTATCCCCTTTAGCAGGACGCGACTTACACTGTACCTGGACGCGTTGACAGGGGTCCTGGATATTGATACTTAGGTACTTTGGATACCTTTGATTGTTAACACAGCTCCCTTAAGTTGCACTAAAACAATAATTGTTCACGATCTAAATTATCGACCTCGACGTTGCTGTGGAATATCAATTGACGTAAAATAGCTTGGATATCCCACGGTTTGATGGAAATATAGCAACTTCGGAACATGGCGAGGACAACCAGATCGAAAGCGAGCGCATCCGCCGCAAAATCAGATTCCAAGACAACGAGCACCCCTAACACCAAATCGAAATACACATTACCTGCAGAGTCCCTAAACCCACCAAAGCTCTTCATTCTACCTACAAAAGCTACCAAAGACGCCAGAATAGTCTCCCTCCCAAACCCAAGATACGGAAAGCCGACGAGGTATCTCGTATGTCCAGAGACAGGAATATATGAATTCACGAGGATAGCCGCGCCCAAATCAACCCCTAAAAGCTGGTTAATAGAGTGCGAGAATACGGACAAAGTCGAAGAAAAGACATCTGAAGATGGCGCAGAGCTTCGCGCTTATATCACGAAAGGAGCCGATCTATACGTCGCGACGCCAGTCGACCCTATATTTGTCCTCCTGCCCGCTTTTGCAGACCAATCGGCCAGTACCAAGGATGGGAAGCGAATGTTTGTGACTAGCGACGACCACCTCGACTCTATAAAAAGCGATTCGTCGCATCTGTCGGAGATATTACGATGGGGTAAGGTACGGACGTTACTAGAGTCGCGAATGGCCGCGATATGCGACACAGCAGAGGCAGGTGACGAGACCATGTTCCGCTTCAGCGAAGACAAGCTTCTAGCCGAAGTCCTAGGCAAGGCGCAGAAGATGAGCGAACAGCCATTACCGAAGAGTATGGAGGATAAATTCGTGACGAAGACACTGGAAGCGCCAGTCGTGGGCGTGAAAAGGGAGGTCACAACTACATCGACTACCGAGCAAACAAAAGCAGAAACACAAACAGAAACATCCGCACCAGCCTCAGGGGCGTCAACCCCCAAGCTTGAATCTAGCGATACCCAGTCCTCCGCCTCCTCCACCGAAACCAGCACAACAACCGCCTCCGACGCGTCCACGGCCGCAACCTCCGTCGCCGCCGCCGCGGAAGAAATCCCCACAGTCCAAGCCTCGGCCGAAGTCGTGAAACTGCAAAGACTGCGCACGGCCTTCGCCTTCATCTGCTCGGCGTACATCGCGCCGGCGCAAGCCGCGCCGCTGCAAGAACGGCTCGCGACGAAGGTGGACTTCGCGCCGCTGAACGCGTACCTAGCGCAGATCAACCAGCTACGGCAGGAGGCGGCGGCCGCGCGCGGGATGGGCGATTACTCGCGCAAGCGGGTGCTGGACGAGGAGGAGGTGGCGGAGCGCCGCGAGAGCAAGAAGAGGAAGGAGGAGGAGGAGAAGAGGAAGAAGGCCGGCGAGAGCAGGGGCGTGAGGGATCTGAAGAAGGTGAATACGGCGGGGATGAAGAAGATGAGCGACTTCTTCAAGAAGAAATAGGTCATAGAAATAGAAAAAGAAATAGATTTGGACCGAGGGTTGGAAGTAGTAGGAATAGGCGTTAAGTCACAAGGCGGGATCGTCATCTGTAAAGTATTTGTGCTACGTAACTCGTAGGCTACATAGACGGGCTAAGTGAGCCCGGGATATCCATCATCATTCGTAAAAATCGGCAATGGCAGGATGCAACTTTTAAGCTTATCAAGGCCTTCAGCCATAATCACATTTTACCCTCGCAGTTGCGCCCCTAATATCCTCGAGGCCCTCGCGATCGTCCCCTCAGGAACCCCCGTCCGATCCCCGACGCGCCTCGCGCCGTACTGGTCGAGCTCGTATCCGCCGCAGACGTAGGCCTACTCGTCGTCGCACCACCACTAGAAACGCTCCTCGTCGTCGTTCCCGTGCCTCCCGTCCCGCGACCTCGCACGCTCCGGCTCCTAGCCAGGCCGGCGCCGGCCCGTCCGCGCGTGCCGCGTCCGGCCGCGCTCGCACTACGCGCGCTGGGACCGGAACCGGCTTCTCGCTGGCGCGCTTCTTCTTCTTGCCTACGTCGGGCCTCGGCGCGGCGGCGCTCCTCGGCGGCGGCGCGCTGCTCGGCCTCGCGCTGCTTCTGCAGGGCCTCGGCCTCGATGTCGGCGAGGTCGGCGGTGGCGCCGCGCCAGGTCGGGTTCAGGATCAGGCGCTGGTTGTGCTCGGTCTGCGAGAGGATGCGCGTCCAGGTGTTGAGGAGGGTGGAGGCTGTGTTCACCGTGTTGGATACGGTCTGAGGAGGTGAGGTGGGTTAGCTCAGTATGGAGATGGTTTGGGTCGCGTTGCGTTGTAGATGTAGAGATTTGTGTGAGGAGGTGTGAAGAGGGATGGAGAGGAGGGATATAATTGTGTAGGTTACTGAATATGTGACTGACTAGGAAACTAGGGGGTGAGGAAGGGAAGGAAGAGGAAGGAGTAATGACGTACATGCATATTGCCCTTTGCTCGTTCGAGAGTGCCGATGACACCTTCGATTAGCTCATTGATGTTCCGGACGCCTTCAAGCTCCCGCCGCAAATTGGCGTCGCGATTTTCTTCAGTGTCATGGTAGCGGGCATTGGGAGGAGCCAACGGTGTCGTGGATCGCGGCGGTTGTTCTTTAGGAGTAGTAGACTTCTTGGACGGCGAGGCGAAGAGATCCTCGTTGTATGAATCGTCGTTGTCAGACATGGCTGCGCTGGAGATATCGAGATATCGTGAGGATGAATACTGAAGATTGATTGGCGGGGTAGCTATCCAGGGCACGTCAAGGTCTAGAATCCAATGATCTTTAGAGTACCGTCCCGGCTCCGGATGATATTTTCCGATTAGCGAAGATTAGTGATGTAGAGTAAGCTAGAAGGGAACCTTGCAGCTGCCTTGGAACTTTCTACCCTCTCACTTCTGTTGACATGCGTTGTCGTACATACAGCACTGGGAAGTGTGTTTTCTATTGTGGGGTTGACGATGTGCTGGCTGTTGAAAATTGGCCAATGAAGCCGAATGTTTCCTTTATCGATATGGCTTCTCCCATTCAATTCATGGTGGGTCTGAGTGGAGTCTTGACGTGCGACGCGTACAGGGATCTCTTTACGCGTTTTAATAAAGGTGCATTGTTAATATTGGAAGTCACGTTTGTTATACCGTGCGCTACTGTGCGGGGTACATCTCGTAGTGCACAAATTAGTCACTAACGTGAGTACTCCGTAGTAATTAAAATACGGTAATCAAGGCTGATTGGTCGGAATGTCATAATTTACTTAGCGACCGCCTGCACGTTCCACTTGTGCTCTTGGGATAGGAAAGGAGCCCCCAAATGTTTAGGTCGTAGCAACTCTCAGCATCTCCCAGCTCCAGCTTCCCCGATACCCAGCCACTTTCAAACTTTCCCACTTCCCACTTCCGCTTTCCACATTCAATATCCAGTCCGTCCGCAATTCCTACCCTCCCGCAGAACCACCCTTATCCCTAACAATAACCTAATCAAATTTCAATTACCGCTTTATACCTGCTCAGCGGCGCTTGACCCTTAAACTTACATACTTACAACTTCTTCGTCTTCGTTTCATCGCCGACAGTCATTCGTACTTTTCTCTACGCTCCTTGTCGTCGGATTTGTTCGTTTTGGCTCGTCGCGTGAAACGCTAAGGGTTATTATCACTTGGAATAGGAATATTCATTTTCTGGATCGTTTTCTTTTTCTTTTTCTCTATTCAATTCAATTTCGATATTCAAGTAGATTACGAATCGACGGCGACATCGACGAGGGCTTCAAGGAAACGACTAACCACCCGTTTTTTTTAATCCCCACAGATGCTCTTTACGCTTCCCACTTTTTCCAGGTCTTAATCCGCGTTCACCTGCCTTACAATTCTTCCCTCCTTCAACATTCAACCTTGACTCATCCCGAATCTCAATTCCCGGGCAATAGTCAATTGAGATCAAAGCGCGACAAGGACATCCAAGGATTGATAAGATCGGGTGCTACTCATTTTTAAGGACTCAATTGTCTGCCAGAATTTTAAGATCAAAATTCTACCTGGGCAAACAAGATGAGTTCCATCCTGTCAGCCCCTTCAACCCCTTCGCCTCCTTCGCGAGTGCATACACCCACCACTCCGCGATTCGGTTATGGTGATTCTTGGGAGCCTTATTCTCCCAGAAAATCTTCGCGTATCGCGCAACGCCTATCTCAACGCACACCTTCGCCTCGTGCATCTTCCCGCAACCGCAATTCGACACGAATTTCCTCTTCATCTTCGGACATCGTCACGCCAGCAGTGTCTCCACAGAAGAGACGTCAACCAGCGATGGATTCAGTTCGACGCGCATCTAACAGCTTGATCGCCGACGGCGCAGCCCACGCTGCCGATTCTCTTGGAATTGATTTATCGCACCAGAAGCCGAAATCAATGAGCAGCAGCACAACCAGCGGCGCCGCGATGCTTCCTACCCCGGCAAAGACTCCCGCGAAGCAGCCGAATGAGAAGTCAAAAGCCAACGTCCGCGCGATCGCGCGAAACTTATTCTCTGAACCTGAGGTTATGTCTTCTCCCAAGAAGAGAAAGGCAAAGAAGTACACCGGCCTTACCCTAGACAGCTTTACTGCTGAAAACATTGAGGAGCCTATTGAGATCTTCACCGACACGCGCGACCGCATTCCTGAGGCAGACAAGACTTCGCAGAATCCTTTCTATGAGCAAGCCGTACCCAGTACGGATCACGACCAGTCGACCAGACAGACTCGCAGCAAGCAGGTGTATGTGCAAGGCGAGGGTAAGATCTCGATCGAAGAGGCGCTCCGACGCGAGGACGGAATTGTTTACGTATTGTAAGTTATCATCCCATCTTCATATCCTCATCTTGCATCAACCGTTAACTAACCATTCTCCCTATATAGCCGAGGAAAGAGAATTTTCCGCAAGTTCTCTCAGGGCGAGGACGGACGCGTTGACGAGCACATCGATGGTACCCCGATTCATGCTAACACCCGTTCGTCTCTCAAGCCGCGCCTCTTATTCCCGTCGAAGAACAAGGAAGCAACCAAGGCGTCTACCGATGATGAAGAGGCTGTTACGGACATCGAAGATCACGTGCTCCATGGTGCTCAAGACGACTCTGCTGAGGTTCCCGGAACCCCTACGGCGATGGTAGTAGAGAAGGCAGTGACTCCCGTGGCACCGAAGTTCACCACGCCTGCATCCCCTCCTTCGACGGTCCGAGCTACACGTGCTAGCACTAGAATGCAGACTGTGGGATCGTCGACGAAGCAAACGAAGCCGCGCAACCCCTTCGACGGTTGGCGTCGATCTAAGAGTCGAGCCAGCACACAAGGCCAGAAACGAGAGGGTGAGCCCCTAGCCGGACAGGACGAGGCCTCTAAGCGTCAGCGTGTCTAGTCAGCAGGCCAGGAGACGCTTTGAGGACACAATTCTAACATCAGGAAGTTGTAATGGAGTGAGGACTTGAGTTTTAGCCTGCCTCGAGTTCGTCACTTTCCCTTTGTGGATTTTTATTGAGGCAGGAATTGCAGCAGGCCATGGAATCACAGCAGACTACGGGTCATTCGGATGAAAAACATGGTTCCACCAAAAGGTATTTGGCGTTGTCAACGAAGGGCAAGGTCCTTCATCGACATAAGCCAAAATGTGATGGGTAGTTACCTGGTCGGACTGGATGTCCCTCACTGGGTTAATCCATAGTTGCAGGGACTTTAGCTTAGCACCCTTAGTCTAGCATGCCGCAAAACGAATTGATTTTTATAAAATATGAAAATATAGTTTTCTTGTATTGTGTGAATCGTAGAGGTTTTCTATTTTCGTAACAACTCAATGGACTATGACGTCTAGGAATAAGATGTCTTGAGTTAACGGATTATACTGTTCCGTGACTAGCTACTATAGGCACCCGTAACCCAGATAAATCGACTCCAAGACCATGGCACTTACTATATAGGATGATGAGGGATCAAGGTAGTAAGCAGCGGATGGTTTTCCCTTTAAGACAGATCACCATCCAATTTACAGATACACTTACGTATACGTATAAATTCCGACATATGAGTATTGAGCAATAGCCTGAAACTATTGATTCTACAGATTCTAGTGCTAATCAAGGGGTTACACAGACTGGATCATGACATCTACGGATATTTCTTTAAAGCATTACTTAGATATTCAATAAAAAAACAATTAGAATTCGTATAATAGGTACTTACTTCCATATCCATCGTCGCGAGTGTTGGTGAAATCATTATAAAGAAACTTCAACGGTCTTCTCTCAGTGTTTGTGGCGGCTTCCCTCGCACAATCATCCATGGGATCGTTAGCAGGAGACTATCACGTCATGCTATATTTCACTACTCGCTACCTATAAACAGAAGAAGGTGCAATCCTTGGAACCAATTGCCCGAGCTGCCCCGCCCCCGCCTAAATTTACTTAGCCAAACTCGATATCCGCAATTCGGAAGCCACTTGGAAAGCATTTGTACTTGTACTTTAACTCTTGATCTCGACTCCCTTCACCTCCTTGATACATCCATCTATCGCACCATATATTCTCCAGTCCTTATAACACCCCGTTCACTCCAACAACCACCTACAAACTTCCCTAACTCCAATTGACCTCGGAGTCTCTTCTAGATCCGCTGTAAGACCCTCTTCAGCATGCACATACTAGTAACGAACGATGACGGCCCACCATCCGCTACATCTTCTCCCTACGTCCATAGTCTAGTCCGTGAACTTCAGAAGAGGGGACATGATGTCTCAGTCTGTCTACCTCACACCCAGCGTTCCTGGATTGGGAAGGCCCATATGATTGGCCAGACTGTCAAGCCACTATATTACCGGCCGTCCGAGACATTCGATCCGTCCCCTACTACCGCCTCCCAAGCACAAGGTACCACAAACGCACGGCCGAGCAAGAATGGCAAAGACGAAGAGTGGATTCTTGTAGACGGAACACCCGCAAGCTGTGCTCAGATCGGCCTACATCACTTCTTCCACGAGAAGGGTCCGGTCGACCTTGTAGTTTCGGGTCCCAACTACGGTCGAAATACAACAGCCGTATTCGCGCTGAGCTCTGGTACGCTTGGTGGCGCCATTGAGGCTGCGGTGTGCAGAAAGAAGGCTATTGCATTAAGCTACGCCTTCTTCAGCCGCAATCACGACCCTCTCGTCATCAATGCCGCCAGTCGCCACAGTGTGAAGGTTATCGAGAAATTGTATGCCGAGTGGCCAGAAGACAGAAGTGTCGACTTGTATTCGGTCAATGTACCTCTCATTGAAGGTGTTGAGGGACAGAAAACACTCTGGACGGAAGTACTGCAGAATTATTGGGGCGAGAATGGGGCTTGTTTCGAGGAGGTTGAGGGGAGCATCGGTGATGAGGGCGAAGAGGAAGAGAGAATACGCGAAGGTGAGGAATCTAAATCATCAGGGCCCCCTGATTCGAAAGCGAACGGCGACACAAACGGAGAGGGCCAGACACGATACGCACATAGGCATTTTAAGTGGGCGCCGAGGTTTACGGATGTTTATAAGAGTGTTGACGAATCGACACCGGGTAACGATGGATGGGCCGTTAAGGAGGGCTTCACCAGGCAAGTCTGACCTTAATCCTCTTATACCCGCGGACTGTCGTGCCTACATCCCAAGACTGACTTATCATGCAGTGTAACACCATTAAAAGCGAATTTCTGTCATGCTGCAACGCATTTGCATGGGGAGGAGTTGAAATTGTGAGTTGAGTCTATTGCATTGCATTTGGTGTTTAGATGGGGATGGCAGCATTATAGACAGCTGGGGTATGCATGACCGCAAAGACGATCTGTCAGATAGAGAAGACATTGTCGTTTCCTAGATCATACGAGAGGTTTGCTAGGATGAAAGGATTGTCAATTACTCTACGTACATCGAATGCTTAAGACTTGTATTGTATCCTAAGCCGCGGTTTCTCATCTTTATTCTTCCCAGGAGTACTTCGGACCCCCAAACTATGACATTGTCCACGTCGACCCTAATCTACCGACCTAAGCAACATTTCTACGCTTTGATCGCCTACGAGGACCCCTATGTCCAGCCCCTCATCCTGTCTGCTTTGAAGAAGTTATTCTCACCAGAAGCGTATACCCTGCTCTCAATACCCGAGACCGCGGCCTCGGAAGAGCCAGTTTCGTTAAGCGATTTATTGCCAAACAATACCAGTAGCCAGATCCTACAGATCACGCCGTATGAGGCCATCGACTGGGACTACGTAGATGCGCATCCGCGCACGTGCCTCGTGAACAGCTACATGCTGCGCAAGGCGCTGATTCGTAAACACTACCTCTCGGCAACGGTAGAGCAGTGGGTGGCCAAGAGGCCGGAGAGCGTGCTGGCGAAGCATGTCAAGAGGAGCGAGCACTTCGAGCTCGACTACGCGGAGTTCCTGGACGATGCGCTGGTCGAGGCGTTTGATCTCAGGGCGAGTCTAGAGGCGAACGAGGGCAGGGAGGAGAAGGAGAAAGAGTGGTGGATTTTGAAGCCCGGGATGAGCGATAGGGGACAGGGAATTAGGTTGTTTTCGACGATGGGAGAGTTACAAGACATTTTTGATGGGTGGGAGGTTGATAGTGAGGATGAAGATGAGGATGGCGGTGAGGACGGAGATAGGGGTGAACGAGATGGCGGTGATAGGGAGAATGGTAGTGCTGACGCGGTCTCGCACCGCAGCGCGAGCGAGAAAGACAACATTACAACCTCGCATCTTCGTCACTTCGTGGCTCAGCCGTACATTCACCCACCGCTCCTGCTGCCCAACGACGGCCGCAAGTTTCACATCCGCACCTACGTCGCGTGCGTTGGAAGCCTGGACGTCTACGTGTACAGGCATATGCTCGCGCTGTTCGCGGGGAGGGAATACGCCGCTCCAGGGGCTACTCATACATCTACGTTCACGTCTACTACAGCTACGGCTACGGCTACGGATGGACCCGGGTCTTCGAATACGAAGGAAGCGGGCGATATAGATCTAGAAGCACACCTTACCAACACGTGTCTCCAGCGCTCCGTGAGCGACGGCACAGTCCAGCGGTTCTGGGACCTGGAGCTGGGGGAGGAGAGGAAGAGGGACGTGTTCGGGCAGATCTGCGAGGTCACCGGCGAGGTCTTTGAGGCGGCGGCCCGCGCGATGCTGATGCACTTCCGCCCGCTGCCGAACGCGTTCGAGGTGTACGGACTGGATTTCCTGGTCGATGCCCGCGGCACGGCTTGGCTGCTGGAGGTCAACGCGTTCCCGGACTTCAAGCAGACGGGCGAGGAGCTGAGGGGCTTGGTCGCCGGGCTGTGGGAGGATGTCCTGAGGGTTGCGGTTACGGGATTCTTTGGGGCTGGCGGGAGAGATGGGGAGGGGAGAGGGAGGAGCTATGGAGAGGGTGGTGAGGGTGAGGGTGAGGGTGAGGAGGAGAGGCTGGTGCATGTGAGACGTGTGGATTTGGGACGGTAGTCTAGATGTTGAAAAGGACATAGAGCCTATGGTAGAGTCTGTGCTAAGACATCTCGTTACGATTATTTTTAGGTGATGTAGAGGAGTGTCTCGTCACCTCACGGATACGACGAGGAGGTTCTTCTCCTTGACTCAAGTGAGGATTTGAAAAGGAGGGATATCAGATGCTTGGTGTTATGTTATGTACGACCGATATCCGCATCCGGGTATAGGGAGGTGCAAAGCTTCGGCACTGGGGCTGTTGCTCTGCATATGCGAGAACGAAAAAATTCATACACAGATAGCTTAGACATCGGATATCTAGGAAAGTAGCACTTTGTTTTACATTACATAGGCAGTCTACGGTGAGCGAGAACGCAAGTGGTACGGCAATTCGAGACGCGGTGGAACTTATGGATCGGCATGGTTCACGCTGTCGAACGCGATCGAGACAGTACGAGCGGCGAATATAAGTTCACGAATCAAATAACCTGCTTACATCACGATGACGGAACTCTCCTGCCCAGGTGTGAGAGAGCCGGGAAATTCGACGAGATTATATTGTGTGGCTATGTCGTCGATCCGTGAGTTATATATGGTCTTTTGATTTATGGGCTCTTACGACCTATGTGGAGTTATATCGTATCGTGGGCGCTTTGCCCAGAGGGATGCTCACACGTATGTATCTGCACGCACGCGTCTTCGTGTCTTTTCATTTTCTCTTGGCTAGTAGAACCCGGAGTCTGATGAGACTGGCTTCCTTTCTGTATTGCGCCGAGCATGACGGAGTCTAAAAATCAAGGTTGGATACCTCTTTCAACCTTACGCTCTCCACTAAGGAGAGTGGGCTTGATAGCACTGACTAATATGAATGGGTGTTATCGAGAAACAATTTTTTATGAGGTTATGAAGCCAAGGGCCGAGCCGTATCGAAAGGGCTGTTGGCGTGTTTCCCGACGGAGCTTGGCTATCTTGGTTCGCACGAGTGTGAGCCGATGCTTGTCCTAATCTGGTCCTTTGGATTGCCGAGATACTATCCCTACTTGGGTAACTGACAAGAGTTTGATTTGGACGCTCGTCTGGGCGGCAGGGCAGAAACCGGAGTGTTTTCAATATTCTCCTTGTATCTACATGCATATGTGTGTGTGGTATGTAGTAGGTATGATAGGTATGATAGATGACGACGGACGGTGAATCTAGTTAAATGAGCTGACGAGAGACTATCGAGCACTGCCACGCGGATGTCACTAGCGCTAGGTATTTGGCAGACTCTTCCTGTCCCAATTGGGCGGTTGGATGCGTACCACGTACATGATGCTCGAACCCGATACTATGGTGAGAATGGACTGCAGAAGTTGAGGATGGATTGTGCGATGGTGGACGGCGCACGACATACATAATATAATGCACAGCCACACGGATGTGTTTTGTGTAAGTTTCTCTCGACCTGCCCACCTACCATCTATTAGATACTAGCTCGATGGTTGTTTCAAACGTGCCCTCATTGTTTTGTTTTCCTTCGAGCTACCTTTTTGGTATGGTGTTGAAGGGGAGGATGGGGCGAGATTTGTGATGCGCGATGTGACGATGATAGGCGAGGAACCCCAGGCTTGGCAGTCTTTATACTTGCATAATCGGCTCCAAACCTTTGAACATAGGTTAACTGCTGTGCCTCCGATTTGCGTATGGATTGTGTAGCAATAGTATAGGATATCTGCCATGCCTCTATGAAAAGTGTAAATTCCCTATACACCTAAGTATATACTGACCTACTTGACATATGCAGAGTGTCACTTATCGAAGAAGTATGGCAATATAGTGTAAGGATAAACTAGTAGAGCCTTTTATTAAGCTCGGTAACTTGTTGACAGCTCTTACTGCGTGTTTTTGTAAATCTGAAACTACCTACCTAGAGAGATTTATGTTACGAGCATATGGGTTGTGAGAGATCTGACGGGTTTGGTTGTAGCTCAGTCGCAACTACGCGTTTGGGAGGTCTTATCGAGGGTGAGCTATACCCCAGAAGAATGTTCAGTAGAAAACTTCTACGAGAAGTACCGATAGTTTGTAATTCGTTGATGAATCCGTTAATAATCTGATGTAAAGTGCTTACTACAGTAGGGTACTATTTTGCTACCCATGCGACAAATTCCCCTTGTCTGAAGGTGGCATAAGGATCGTTAGGATGTTTAGCTCGTTGAGATGATTTCATCCGAAGACAGGTACTGTTCCTAAGAAATCTGCCTTGACAAGATCGTATATGTGATGAGGTTGATATCGGAGATGTCATGCTCTTTCCGGTAAGGTTCGGGGATCATCAATTCCCAGGGGAGCTCGGACAGCTTTAACATGAAGCATCTTGCTATTAGCATTGATAGTTATGATAACGTGTAATTATTGAAAAAAGACCAAGGCGCGGACCTGCGGACCGCGTCCCTTATTCTCCATATTTTCACATGCGAAATCCAAGCGCCGAACTGGCTAATATGGAAACATATGTAAACCGCTATCATACCGTTGTTAATATCTCTCTAGGGCTTAACCTTTTTCCCTCTTTTCCCCAACGGAGATATTTATGGCTTGGTATTGACGTGAGGCTTTTAAATCGAGAAGCAGGAGCGTAAGATGGAAGAATGCATCAAGAAAAAGAAAAGGGGGCGCTGTTACTAAGGGCCCTCCTGCATCCGGTTGACTACACACCGGCCTCCTTCTTCACCTATCAACCAACGAGACACTGAAACAGCGTAGTATTTGAAGCGCTCTACCACGCGTGTAAGAAAAGTTGATGAATCACCGCACCAATGAGAATTATTCCTGGCATCCCACGTGGATGGAACGTAAGACTTGCACAGTCGATATATGGCTCTCCTCACATATGTAGTAGCCTTATTAGTGGTTGAACCTTGACTCTTATCTGGGATAGCAAGGCTGACGGGAGTGGTTGGGCTGACTTGACTTGACTTGACTGACACTTACCCCAATATCAATAGACATTGAAGGGAGTTCGCTTTTTAGTCTAGTCCGACGGTTTAGAGGTCGATGACAATGGCGATCATACCGGCAATGAGGATCGGATCATGAGACCGGCCAGGAGCACATAAGTAGTTCCCGACAAGAGCTGCTTCTCGACTTCTGCAGCATCTTGGCCGAAGACATGAGGCATCGAGGCATACAGACAGCTAAGTGTGGATGACGCTAGATGTAAGTTGGGTATCGAAGAAGCCTAACCAAGCAGCCGTGAAGGTCAGACACTGGTACACACGTACAGACCGCAACTTACTGATTACCTAGTAACTAGGCACATATGTATGTATGCCCTTAAGGAAAAAGGAAAGAGAAAATATGATAGAAGAACAACCTTGGAAGTGGGCGAGGAAAAGCAGGGAATTGCTTACCCAAATCTATGGCAGTTGAACGTGGCTGGCGTTTAATAGTAATTTAATATTCTTAAGATATTGTCGAGAAGTGTTCAACTTAATTCGATGGTATGGTGCCTCCTTACATAGACTTAATACACTAACTACCTAGTCTCTGAGTCTGAGAGACTACGGGTTTTGTCACACATTTGTATACACACATGTGTAATTTGAGATTCGAGTTAGCAACTGGGCTTAATCACCACATTCTCCTGAACTGAGGCAAATACTCGAGAGCGCAAAAATTGTAGATATTCAGCTGAGAGGATCAATAGTGACGATCTCGATGGGTATGTACTATGTACATCATCGGCCGCGATGTGCGAAGACATGGAGTCTCTTTTGCACAGCCTCTCTTGGCACTCTCAACCTTGCTTCTAATTCGCCGAATATGGGCTAACCTTTCCCTGGAAAGTAATAACCGACGGCCACGGTACCTTCGGTATACGTATGTGTACTATTGTAAGCGTTTGTACACACGATTCCAAGGTGACTGCCAGGACTGCGGGATGCGAAGTGGGAAAGACTGGAAAAGACTGGGAATGACACGACGATCAGGTATTTATCTAGGGGCTCCATAGCCTGAATTTTGTAATTTACCAAGACCGACCACGCGGTCCAGGTTCTGTAGTGCCATGTTGTGCCAAGTTGACGATTGACGATGCTAAGCGCTCTAACAATGAATGATACTCTGTGAATATGAAAAGAGGACTTTGGTGATACATTGATACATCCAAATAGACTGTGCACGGAGTTATTGATGTAAGAGGTGGCATGCCTCCCACCAATGTGTGTCTGTTGCGACTGCTTGCAACAAACAGCCAAACTTTCTTTGTCAACAATGGGCTAAGAATTACTTGGATATTTAAACCATGGAGTATTCTTCTTAGTAGTACATTTGTTAAACCTCAGGGTCAGTGGCAAAACTATAAACTTCTACTAAAACAAACGATTACGGCGTAGTACAGGGACTATGTCGCTTGTGTAGCACGAACATTGAACTGACAATACCCAGGTACGCCTAGGTGACTTTTCTATTCATGCGTTTCGGCTGCTCAATCAAAGTATCTTAGTCGTACCATGCATACCCCTGACCATGTATCTTAGCATATCTTAGCTCCCCTAGTGAGCATTGAGCGTAACCAATCCAGCAAATTTCAAGACCACGATTGGATCAATTGCACTTGTATTTGCACTTATCAATAGTATCGCCCAGTGTTTCTCTTTTCCTCTTCATCATCCAACTTTCGCACACTCCTTCTTGTCGCCATGTCGGGTCGTTGATATCCTGATTCCCTCTGCCTTCTGGTGGTTGTTTTACGTGTTTGTTTTTTTATATTGTCAAAATTGAGCTGTGTACTTCACTGAGGTGGCCTGGAAACTGGAAACCGTGACAAACAACAAGTACCTCCTCGCCTCTTCCCCGTCAACCCACGCCTGCTTTGTTCATCCCCAAGCGACGGATTGGCGGACGTGACTCGATAACACAACACTTTGACCTCGCGGTGGCATTTGCCTGCGTCTCTTTTGCCATTCGAATCGATAACTCTATAAGTGGCCAGTCCTGCACAGCCCCGAACTCAAAGTACCAGGAACGCGACGCTCATACCTATGCGTATTTATCCTAAGGTGACTACCGAATAGAGATATCTGTGCCTCGATTACTCGTTACAGAACACCTTCCCGAAACAACATACCATAACATCTCCTCATACCATCGTCGTATTGTCAACAACTTTCCTATTATTCTCGAGAGATATCTATATTCCCGGATTTTAGGTCGAGACCCTCTTGGCCTTTAAGACCTTGTTGACCTCGCGGCCGCCGATTGTTGACCACCACCCTCCCAGATCCCGGATTCCGAGGGTGACCCTGAAAACACGAATTGGTCCGAATACATTCCCGGGTATACAATTACCGAATCTCTAGTTTTAGGAAGTATTGTCTTATGGTTGAGCATCGAACTTTGGACGCGCTGAAGGAACGGACCACGGACAGAAAAAGAATAAATTTATCGCCGGACTTCGCTGCGCCTCATTCAGAGCGGAGACATTTGGCGAGCTCCCATTAACAATTCAAATTCCAAATATTCGGGTTCGTCCATTGTTGGAAATCAATTGTGTCTGCAGTTTGTCCGGTCCCTTTCTGCCTCGCCGATATTGCCTTCCGTCGATGGCCGATTTCTACGCGCGCGAACCAATCCGCCTACATCTAGCCTCCCGCCACGAGGCTGTGCCTAAGCATTAACGACCCTCCCCGCGCCTTGGACCTTGTGATCGGTTTCTAGCTTCCTTTATCTCAAGTCCTCCTCCGTACGCAACATGTCTGACCCTAGTAAGGGTGAGCCCGAGGGCACGCCACGGAGAGCAAGAGCGTAAGTCGACTTCATCCACTAAATTACACACACTCGTCTTCCCATACTTGTTCGTTGTTCTAACTTGGCATCTAGCCCTACTATTACAATCGATACGACGAATGACACCGAGCCCGCAGCCGCTGTTCCTCAACATTCGCCTGTATCCCCTCACGACGAACCCATAAGTCCAACTGCATTAGCTGCGAGTTGGACATCTGAAAAGACTACTGCTCCATTAGGATCTCAGTCCTCTAACTTGAGTATCAAAGGAGAGGCACGGCCAAGCCATTCTTTTGATAGCACCAGGGATAGTCGGCCAACGAGCCCGCACAACGTTTCTAGTCCAGTAACCTCGAGGGGAACTGAAAAGGGCCAGGCTTTTCTTTCTGTACCGGACCACCACCGTTCGAGACAGAATTCGGTCGATAGCGAAGATGGATCAAGGTCGATTAGTTCCTCGCAAGGTGATACTGTGACGGCGTCATGGCCAGGCGAGAAGAGCAGCACGACGAAACAATCTTTCGACAACGAGAAGATTATGAAGGACGAGAATGCCTTGAAACCAGACCAAGGCAAAGAGGCCGATTTCCAGGTGGAGAACAACCCTTTTGCGTATAGTCCCGGCCAACTTACAAAGATGTTTAACCCAAAGAGTCTATCTGCTTTTTACCAGCTAGGAGGGCTTGTCGGAATGGAAAAGGGGCTCCGTACTAATCGCGATACCGGTCTAAGCCCAGACGAGAAGCAGTTGGATGGAAAAGTCTCATTCGAACAAGCGACAAACCGTACACCACCCAAACTGGCTAATGAAGGGTTAGAAAGCCCACAAACGCCAGTCACTCGGTCAGATACCGCGCGTGGGCATGGATCTGATGAGCAGTTTTCTGACAGAAAACGTGTTTACGGAGATAATCGAATTCCCGAGAAGAAAGGCAAGAGCTTTTTACAGTTGGTCTGGATTACTTACAATGACAAGGTCTTAATCCTGCTTTCCGTTGCCGCCATTGTATCACTTGCCGTGGGTTTGTACCAAACATTTGGTGCGGAACAAAAGAATGGGGAGCCATCTGTCGAGTGGATCGAAGGTGTAGCTATCATCGCGGCCATTGTCATTGTGGTGCTGGTTGGATCTCTCAACGATTGGCAAAAGGAGAGACAGTTCGCCAAGCTCAACAGGAAGAAACAGGACCGACTCGTTAAAGTGATCCGCGCGGGAACTACCGTCGAGATATCGATTTATGACCTTCTAGCTGGCGACGTAGTTCACCTAGAGCCTGGTGATTTAATCCCCGTTGATGGTATCCTCATCCAGGGCTTCAATGTCAAGTGTGACGAATCTCAAGCGACAGGTGAATCGGATATAATCCGCAAGAGACCTGGCGATGATGTATTTTCCGCGATTGAAAATGGCGAGGATACGAAGAAGCTAGATCCTTTCATTCAATCTGGAGGCAGAGTGATGGAAGGCGTAGGAACCTTCCTCGCAACGTCGACAGGTATTCATTCCAGTTACGGCAAGACCATGATGTCTCTGAGCGAGGACCCGGAGATCACGCCGCTTCAGTCTAAGCTCAACGTTATCGCCGAATATATCGCAAAATTGGGAGGCGCTGCCGGTTTACTTCTATTTATCGTCCTCTTCATCATGTTTCTGGTCCGCCTGCCTTCGAACTATTACCTGTCGCCTTCCGAGAAAGGTCAGCAATTTATCAATATTTTCATCGTCGTGGTCACTATTATCGTCGTCGCGGTGCCCGAGGGCTTGCCTCTTGCGGTTACGCTAGCGCTAGCTTTCGCCACCAATCGTATGATTAAGGACAATAACCTGGTGCGGCACTTGAAAGCTTGCGAGGTCATGGGAAATGCGACAACTATCTGCTCTGACAAGACTGGTACCTTAACACAAAACAAGATGACGGTTGTTGCGGGAACGATCGGCACCTCTCATCGGTTTGGAAGCGGAATTTCGAAGGAGGGAGAAGGAAGTGGTCCTGATGAACGATCAGAGAAGGAATTTGCTAGTACTCTAAGCAAGCCAACTCAGGAAATCCTACTCAAGTCTATCTCTCTCAACTCCACGGCCTTCGAAGGCGAGGTTGACGGTGTCAAAACATTCATTGGATCGAAAACAGAGACCGCCATGCTGGAATATGCAAAGGCCTATCTTGGCATGGGACCAGTGAGCGAGGAACGATCAAACGCCAAAACATTACAGCTTATTCCATTCGATTCCGGCCGAAAGTGCATGGGTATTGTGGTTCAACTTGAAAACGGTACAGCCCGCTTGTACGTCAAGGGAGCGTCAGAGATCGTCCTCGGAAAATGTTCAGCGATTCTACGTGACCCTACTCGAGACACATCAAGCACCGGCATGAGCATCGACGACACAGAACAGATCAAAGGTCTCATCGAAAATTACGCATCTCGGTCTTTACGAACCATTGGAATTGCCTACCGCGATTTTGAGAGATGGCCGCCACGGAATGCCAGACGTGCTGAAGGAAGCCAAAACGAAGTCATTTTCGAGGACATTTTTAAGCAGATGGTATTCGTCGGAATGGTTGGCATTCAGGATCCTCTTCGCGATGGTGTCCCCGAGGCGGTTAAACAATGCCAGAGAGCTGGCGTGGTTGTTCGCATGGTTACCGGCGATAACAAGCTCACCGCTGAGGCTATCGCGAAAGAGTGTGGCATTTTGACAGATGGGCTTGTTATGGAAGGTCCAGAGTTCCGCAATCTTAGTAAGCACCGACAGAACGAAATCATTCCGCAACTTCGCGTACTCGCGCGTTCTAGTCCCGAAGATAAACGAATCCTTGTGCGTCGCCTCAAGGACATGGGCGAGACTGTTGCTGTCACAGGCGACGGGACGAACGACGCGCCCGCTTTGAAATTGGCAGACGTCGGATTTTCCATGGGTATTTCCGGCACTGAGGTGGCAAAAGAGGCATCTGCTATCATCCTCATGGATGACAATTTTACCAGTATTGTAAAGGCTCTGAAATGGGGTCGAGCCGTCAACGACGCTGTGAAGCGATTCTTGCAATTCCAGCTTACAGTCAACGTGACTGCCGTCGTATTAACTTTTGTCACGGCCGTCTCCAGTAGTGATGAAGGCTCCGTGCTTACGGCAGTCCAGCTTCTCTGGGTTAACTTGATCATGGATACTCTCGCAGCGCTTGCCCTCGCCACCGACCCTCCTCAGGATAGTTGCTTGGACCGAAAACCAGAGCCGAGAGGTTCTAGCATCATCTCGATCACGATGTGGAAGATGATCCTCGGACAGGCCATTTACCAATTGGCGATTACCTTCATACTGTACTATGCTGCAGAAACTATCGGTATAGTTGATGAAGACACGCGGCGCAACACTCTAGTTTTCAACACCTTCGTATGGATGCAGATTTTCAACCAATGGAAGTGAGTAATGAGCGTTTTATTATCTTGGAGCTACACGTACTAATACTATAACAGCAACCGTCGACTAGACAACCAGTTCAACATTTTTGAAGGCTTGTTCCAGAATTGGTACTTCATTGCCATCAACCTCGCAGTGTCGGGTGCTCAAGTCCTCATCATCTTCGTTGGTGGAACTCCTTTCAGCATTTCCGGGCAAGATCCGCCACAGACGTCTGGCCAGTGGGGTTGTGCAATCGTTCTCGGGTTTATTTCCATACCCGTGGGTATCATCATCCGTTTGATCCCAGATGAGCTGATTAGGAAGTGTATTCCTGCATCACTGAGGAAGAAGCGTGGCATTCCCGGATTGACAATCTCAGACGAGGAACGCTTCAATGATTATCCCGAGGTCCTTGCGGATGTTAGAGATGAGCTTGCATTCCTTAAGAAACTCAAGGGTGGTCGTCTTAACAATTTGAAATTCGCCGTAAAACATCCTCGCGAGACCTTTATTTCGAAGACGAGGAGCCCGTCTCACTCGCGTTCGAACTCGATAAGGGTGCCACAGACCCCGACACGCGAAGATAGTTTCAGCTCTCCCTCGCCAGCCCCGACGCCGGATTCTAGGAAACGTTCTCGGTCTATGAGATCGAGGTCGAACTCAGCATTAGGCGCCCCTACGGTTATGGCAGGGATTATTGCTGGCAGCGTGGCCGCAGGATGGTCTCCGATCGAGAGGACTGGGGATCGCGATTTCACGCAGCCTCCTCGTCCATCGCCATCGCCATTATCAACCCGAGACAACAGTGAGCTAGAACCGGCACCGATCTTAACAGAGGAGCCCGCACAGATTCAAGACCTTGGCTCATCTACCGTACCCCGGCTCAGCGTCCCCCAGCCACCCCAGAAGCAGAAGTCTATTTCTTAGGCGGTATGAAGGAACTTTTTGTCTGGATCGACCAAGCTCGACTGCACCTGATATTAAGACATGCGGAGGCAGCGAGAATATACGCACGAAGAGCGAGCGAAGTATCCGAAGACAACCTATATTCTAATTGTAATCTACGTCTTCTCACAGCCTGACCGTTGGCAACTATAGTTGCTCGTCTGGCAATACTTCTTCTCTAATACGCTCACCAACCCCGGCAGGGCTTATGGGAAAGACTACGTCCCCGGAGTCCTATCGTGGAGCATGGCCGCCGTGGCCGAAAGGCAGGTCGTCTTGGCGTCCATCGTGGGGATGAGTAATGCGTAACTTCGCAGCTCCGGATTCGTGGGTCGCCGGGGTTGAGAATGTGGGCTACCTAGTTATTAAGGCGAACTAGGCTCGGGGGTTCCTGTCAGGGTAAAGGGATTTTTAGGAAATAAGGAGTTCTCTGTTGGGGGGCTCCTTCGTGTTTGATCAAATCGCGCGCGTGGTTTATAGGCTTCTAGGTCTGAGGATACACAATATTACATGCTATAGATAAAAACATGGACGGCACGCGGCTAATAGAAGGTCGCTCGTTCTTTCTTCTTTGTGCGTAGGGAGTTGGGTTTGGTTAAAGGGGTCAGGATCGAAGGCCATAGATAAGACAATGTGCTAAAACAGAGAAAAAGTACTAAAACCAGTTGCGACGTCGACCTTGGTGACTTGCTAGGTTTCCATCTGCCTCGTGGTATGATGTATCTGCTCTGTGTAGAATTAGCTGATGTTGGTCAAGGTGCCAGCCCTCGTCCCGTTGGTAGTTGACATGCAAATAATATACCTAGGTCGTACGACATATGTACGTGCATGCGTATGGGCAATACGCTACGTGACATCGGCTTTCTAACAAATGATACACTACGACCCCTACTGCGAGCCCGCTGAAGAATGCTAGGGAAAGGCAACAGGCCAAGGCTAACGAGATGCAGGGAATATTGGGGGATATATTTTCAGTCTTGCTCGGGGCTTATGTAGGTATATGTATGAGGTTGGTTTGTAGGCTCCATCGCACAGCATGAATCACCATGCATATATAGCCACTGTGACTTAGGTGGATTGCCGGCTTAATGCTGTTAGCTTTTGGTTTGTGATTTTAATTGTTGCTGGAATCGTCTTGTAAGTACCTAGGTGGTGCTATTATTAGAGGGGAGAGATGTAACGCGATATTTACAAGTTCACTCAAGTAAGGCGTCGTTATACGTGTTAGGGGCCGCACAGCTGCCATGTGGTGTAACAGTTGTGAGCAGGCTCGCTATATTGCGAAAGTGTAATTCTTACTACGTGGATGGATTTATATATGATTGTCCTAGGGTCTTAAGGCTGACAAGCAATATTGCATCAAGGAGGGCTATGGCTAAATGAGAAGTACACGGGTACATTAAGAAAAGGGGCGTTGACCCACCCCACTAAACCTTCATCCCGCATAAGTGAATATCCTTCATGATAAATGCATCATGAGGAAATTCAGGCCTCTTGTTAGATTATCTCGGCCAATACAAGTACGAAAATTAATTCCTAAATTGTTTCTTGAAGAGGACTGTATAATTAGCATGACAATGAAGTGTTTTTAATTTTAGTTCCCTGGTTTGAGCGGCGAATCTTAATTGGAAAGGTGTCGGTTAGAACGATGACTACACCGGTCAACATGATCCGGGGCAATGCTTCGTAGATGACTTGAGTCCAACAACAATTAGTCATAGATCATGGATACAGGACTGGTTCGCCATCTTAAATATCAAGAAAATGAAGAGCATGGAACTGTCACTATGTCAGAGACTCTTGTCTTAGACATCAAACTCTACCCCTCTTTAAGGGGAGTGGTAGGTTGGAATGCCTAGATGATCCCGACGATTGACATTTTACCTCCTAAGCTCGTGCTCAGATGCTATAGCATTCAGGAATAGTGCCAAGGAAGTTACCGTTGTCTGGTGAAACTGACTGCGGCGATATGGACGTAGGGTATGGCCAACTTGTTGAGGTAATGAAGATTGTGGGGTAACATATATCCGTTGATTTCTCAACCACGTGGCGTCTGTTCGTCTCTGTCATGATATGACTCTTGTGTCTCTTGGGTTTTACGGGTGCCTAGCGTTGCTAGTTTGAATAATCACTAAACAGGCAACTCGTATGTAGAAACTTCGAGCCATTCGTAAGCGGCGGGAAGGTGATTACTCATACCTGCCGCATACATATAATCGGATCTTGAGAGGGATGATCCCCCGTTTTAGATCGGGAGGCAAAAATTAGGTGCGAGAAAGAAATAGTAGGAGGGACGTTAGGAGGGATGCTAGGGGGGGGAACTAGATCTACTCATGTCTAGCTTCACGCGGGGTTTCCCGGGCATAATCGAATTCTAGGACTTGGACTGCTATCGTACCGTATAGTAAGGACGTGAGCGCAATCTGAATTATATAATAGGCGGGAGTCGATATTAATATGTTGAGCGATACATGAGAATAATTCGGAGTTGCGGAGACTTGAAAGTCTTGGCGTAGCTCGGGTTCGTCCAAGGACGACTGGAGTTATGGATTCCGCAGATGGGTTGGATGGCTGGATGGATGGCAAAAAACAATGTCCTATTTCACTTTAGAAGGGAAAACTCGGGGGAACCTCGCGCATGGGTTGTGCCTACTAATTAACAACTCAACGAAGACGACAAGTGGTCAAAATACCAAATGGTCAAAATAGAAGCGAAAGGTTTGTTACTTGGATAACCAAGGAGCGGGCAAACATTGGCAAGAAATGAGATATATGTGTGGTAAATACAATATAAACTGAGAGAGGAAACCTTGAATAAAATAAGAATGATTAATACTATGTACCCCAATGTTCTACAGTTTGGCTGTAACCTATCAGGGTATCGCTTAGTCTGGAACTTATCAACATCCATTTGAAGTTTCAAAAATCCAAAAGTGCTCCCGTTCTTTCTCTCGGATTTCCCTTTCATTACCTACTCACACCTAAACTTAACTTCCTTCCTTCCTTCATCGATTTTTACTTCTACCGTGCCCAGATACCCAGTAGGTACCTACTTCATTTCCAATTTCGATTCCCAACTCCCAATTCCCAATTCTCAATTCCTAATAAATCCCCAGACCACCCACCCATACTTTCTCTTCTACATCCTACAACTTTACTGCATAATAGTTACGATTATTACGTGCATTTTACAAGTAGGTGACCATACGTATACTTCCTACTTACCTTTTCCTATTCCTAACCCATACCTGTTCCTATTCCCATTTCCACCTCATCCCATTCCCAATCCTCCCCGACTCAAAATCACCTTCATCAGCACCAGCACCAGCACCGGCTTGAGCACGACGCAGCACAATAACACAAACGCGTTGACCATCCTGACCATATCATCCCGGCACAACTTTAAACTAGCCAGTTGCGCCAGTTCCCAATTGCTTGATTCAATATTTCCCGCACCTTTCTTTACTTCTTTATTTTTTTTTCCTCTTCTCACTAATAATTCCACTCTAGATTTCCATCAAATCAACCATCAAACAATTGCTACCTTCAACTGCGCACCAATTCCAGTTGATATATTACCAAGGCAATTAGTAAATCGAATAGCTTGCCTATTTCGGCTCATTCATCTACTTCTACACTTTCCTTGTACACATTTGAACCTCAATCCATCCTCTTACTCAACTTTCCCACTTACCATCCTTTTTCCAACTTTACTTCTCTTTTCCAACTTGTCACTTTCCACACCATCAACGACACAATGGGAGGCCGACGACCTGTCGGTAGACCCCGCAAGAGCAATCCTTCTGAGAAGGATGCTCAGAAGAGAGATGTCCAAAAGGATACCCAAAAGAAGGATGGCCAGAAGAAGCCTAAGCGTGTTAAAGCCCAAGTCGAAGTCGCCGACGACCAGCAAGTCGGCCATCTCAATGTAAGACCCCATGGTCAGGCCCGCAACGAGCTGGAGGAGCGTATCAGCGATCTGGGTGATTCGTGGGAGACGGAGTCGTTGTTTGAGGATGTCATTGAGGATATCACCGAAGTTAGCTTCTTCGATGATGGTAAGTTCACTTTCTCTTTCACTTTCACTTTTAATCTTAGTCGGTTTGGTCTCCTATTTTAACACTACTTCACAGTCGATGCCGTGACGCCTGAAGAAGCACTCGCGTATCGTGAGCAGCTGCTCACTATTGGCCCTCAGGAATTTTGCCGACAGACTGTTGATTGCGGCGCCATTTCGGCGAAGAAGCTTTTGACAGCCTTTGGAATAAGACCCCCGGCTTTCCTTGAAGGTCTAGCAGATGACGCCTATTATGGGCTGCTCACCTTGGCCATGTCGCGCGAACTAGGCAAACGCGCCAAGCTCCCCAAGTACAACACGGTCGATGATGCCGTCGACTTACTGATGAAATCGCACAACATCATCGTCTTGACCGGTGCTGGAATATCTACCTCGCTGGGCATCCCCGACTTCCGATCCAAGGAAACGGGCCTTTACACGCAACTCGAGAATCTTGGACTGGGCATCAACGACCCACAAGAGGTCTTCAACATTGACATCTTCCGTGAAGACCCCACCATCTTCTACTCGGTTGCTAAGGATATCCTGCCCGATACCAAGGGCCTCTTCTCTCCCACGCACGCTTTTATTGCGAAGCTACAGAACATGGGCAAACTCTTGACCAACTACTCGCAGAACATCGATAACATCGAGGCGAATGCAGGTATCAGCCCCGATAAGCTTGTTCAATGCCATGGCTCCTTCGCAACTGCCACTTGTCAGAAGTGTGGCTACAAGGTCAAGGGTGACACCATCTTTGCCGACGTCAAGGCTGGTAAGATTCCTCGATGTGACAAGTGCATTGCTGCCCTTCGCACCAACGGCGCGATGAAGCGTAAGCGATCCTCCAAGAAGTCTGCGGGAAAGCGAACCCGACGCAGAAGTTCGGAGGATGACGATGACGATGATGATGACGGCCGCTACGATATTCCTGCAGCTGGCGTCATGAAGCCCGATATCACCTTCTTTGGTGAGGAGCTTCCCGACGAGTTTAGTCAGCGACTCGTGAAGCACGACCGCGACCTTGTCGACCTGGTCGTCGTCATCGGAACATCGCTCAAGGTTGCACCGGTATCCGAAGTCGTGCCTTACCTTCCTCCCCATATACCGCAAATCTACATCTCGCGAACACCAGTTAATCATATTAACTTTGACATCGACCTGCTTGGTGATTGCGATGTGGTCGTCGCCGAGCTGTGTCGTCGCGCTGGATGGGACCTTGACCATAAGATGGTGTCCCCCGACCAAGTTGTCGACATTAGACTGGAGGATGGCTATAAAAGCCGACACGTTTTCACGGTCAGTGAACCGTCGACGCCAGAGGAGAAGTGATTAACTCTGGTAACATTGGATGAGTCATTTCTCGACTCTATAATTACGACATACAACCAATAATACAACGGTTGTTCCTACTATTTGCATTATCTCGGCTGGAGCAGGGCGCGGCAACGTGGCGTTCATTTTGACAGCAAGGTGTTTGGGGTCTCTACGTTTCCGACAAAATTTCTTTCGTACTTGGAGGCGGATGTGTAGCCTCAATTTGTAATACGGGTTTCAGTTTAGTCCTGGAAGTTGGCAGCCTCTTTTCACCCTCTTTTTCTATTAGGATGACGATAATCTTTGAAGTGGACACGACAGATGAAGATTGGATGCAGTAGGAAAACCCAGATCTGGACTCTCGCCCCGAAGCTTACCATATCCACACCCTTTATGTACACTGCCTGTCCACAAGATCTTCGTGGAGGTCGTGGAATTTTCTGTACCATACATTTGCATCACTTGTGGCGTTTGGCCTTATGCCGGTTGGGAGTTGGGCGAAATCGGCGAGGAAAACGAATTCTTGCTTACGGCAGCTGAGGCGGGCCAGTCGGTCTGCCATGCTTACAATAGCTGCGACGACTACTAATAAATTGCAATGAACGACGTATTGTGAAGCAGTTGGAATGTGTTTACCCCGTAATGACCCACGATTCACGTAGCGACTTATCATGATCACAGTATGACTTAACTATTACAATTCAACCAGCCAATCGTGAACTTCGAGCTAGGGCCTAGTTTCTCTTCCCTTTTAAAACATGGCGCTGCGACGGCGGACAATAGTACCGAATCTGCTAACCTGTTAATTCATTTTATATATTACGATATATATAATATAAATGTATAGTAAGTTTTAATTATTAATATTATATTTTATTATTTATAAAGGTTATTATATTAAAGGATATTATAAATTATAAAAAATTATAATATTTTTTAATTTATATTATTTATAACGTGTTAAATTTAAATAATAAATAATTTAAATTTAATATTATATATTAAAAATAATTTTTTATTTATTTTATTTAAAAATATATATTTATTTATTTTTA